AGGGACGGTGTTTGGTGGCCTGGGTGCCTGGACGGTCACTGAGCGAACTTATATACCCTTTTGTCTTTGGATTTGGCAGGATCATTGCATCTGTTGCATGGAATACAATGAATTGAACATCTGCATTCAAGTTATCATCCTTTCTTTTTAAATAATTCTTCAATTGTATAACCTACTTGAGGACTGGGGATGTTGTCTTCCTAGTGGTCAATTGCATCGTCTGCTGGCCGGCAACTGATGAACATCAACAACACGACACTCACTCGGCCGATAGGTCCATGCCAATATCTTCATCCCAAGACTATCTGTGAAAGGCGAAGCGCGGGAGAAGCAGGATCATTGGCTTGGGAACGATTACTACATCCCTCCGCAGATGGCGTGATTGTTAGGACACAGGAGCCTATTATCTGCCTGGATATGCATTGCTAAAGTGCACATTTCGACGAGAATCATCCAACTCATGCGGAGGAATGGCATTCGCATGTCAAGCTATCGGCAGAATCTTGGGATATATGGAGCATGCAATGGCACGGTGGAGAAGCCATGGACAGCCACCATACGTACTCCGGCCGTCAACTCACCAGGTCCTGATCCTGATCCTCCACTTTTCTCCTCTCAAAGCGCATCTCATTATAGTTTAGAGCAATCTCAAATAAGTCCAATGCTCGTTCGCTCTTTCATGAGAGACGCTCCTGGCTCCACCGCGAATCTCGTCATCGCGGGACCCGGATTGCTCATCAGCAACCCATGCTTGGATCCCGATTGACCTCTGCATTTACATCACGGGCCATGCAAGATCGGCCTGGACCCCGCAGAAGCCTTGTTATTGCAATTACCATCGCGCGAATCAGTAGTCTGATGGTGTGCTGTCGGCCATGTGGCCAGGACCACCAGACATACTTTAAATGAACAGACATGCCGTATTCCTACGGGAATAATCTGTCGGCAGTTGAGCTTTCCTGCAGGTCCTGTGTCTCCCCGGAAGCCCCATTGTGTCGAATTGTTCGAGACTTGTAATCTGGCCGGCAGCACATCGCCGCGATCATGGCGAAGTTGAACGAAAAAAGGGAAGCAGAGCTGGTATCTGCCCCCAAAGATGCAAAAACAGCCTCTCTCACGGAGAGTAGTAATGCCGAGGAGCACAATGGTATTAATGAGAAGGCCTTGCTTCGAAAGCTGGATTTTCGACTCCTCCCTCCGCTGACAATCCTATACCTTCTGTCGTTCCTGGACCGGAGCAACGGTACGGGTTTGCCAATCTGCAGAGTGACATGGCCTGGTTGCTAACTTTCCCTAGTTGGAAATGCTCGCCTCGAGGGCTTGACGGAGGATGTCAAGATGAGTATGTTGATTATCGACACTGTTCTCCCTCACACCAAGACTGACATGGCTTCCCAGCGGGCAACCAGTACTTGACCGGACTCACGCTGTACTTCATTGGTTACGTGGTGTTCGAGATTCCCTGCAATATCGCCTTGAAAAAGACTACGCCCCGGATTTGGCTGCCTACGCTCACCCTCGCATGGGGTATTGTTGCCACTCTTCTGGGTGTGGTTCAGAACTATCCCGGATTCCTGGTTTCACGGACCTGTACGTGCACGAGTAATTATCCGGACGAACGTGTCACTGACTGTCGGATGAATATAGTTCTTGGGATTACCGAGAGCGGACTGTTCCCGGGAGTCGTCTTCTACCTTTCCATGTGGTACAAGCGGAATGAGCAACACTACCGAGTCGCGCTGTTCTTCAGCGCCGCGTCCCTGGCTGGCGCTTTTGGCGGAGTATTGGCTTGGGTGTGTTCCAGTCTGGTGATGACTGTGCTGCGTCGTATGGCTAACTGGCTTAGGGGATTGCGCACATGCGAGGTGTCGGGGGGTACAGTGGCTGGCGGTGGATTTTCATCCTGGTGAGTCCATAGCGAGAACAGTCTGACAGCACAAGCTGATGATCAACAGGAGGGTCTCTTGACAATCATCATGTCCATTGTCGCGTATTTCTGGGTGTACAACTATCCGGCAACCGCAGAATTCCTGTCCGAGAAAGAACGCGCCTTCATCCAATTCCGCCTGAAGAATGACAACGACTCCACCCGCGATGAGCAGTTCACCTGGTCGGCCGTGTTGGATGCCTTCAAGGACCCGAAGGTGTGGCTGTATGGCCTGGGCTTCCACACCATGTCCCTACCGCTCTACACTCTGTCCTTGTTTCTGGTGAGTAGCGATAGTTTGGACAGTGTGCGATGTGCTTCTAACAGTGGAACAGCCCTCGATCATCAAAGAGCTGGGATACACAGCTGCGGAAGCCCAGCTGCTCTCCGTCCCTCCGTACGCCGTGGCCTTCGTGCTCACCCTCACCGTGGCCATTCTCTCCGAACGAACCCGTCGCCGTGCGCCGTTCATCATGGGATCTTCCGCGCTCGCCTGTATTGGCTACATCCTTCTGCTTTCTGACCCCCGACCGGGCGTGTCCTACGTGGGCACCATCTTCGCGGCTGCTGGCATCTACCCGGCCGTCGCGATTGTGCTCTCGTGGCCGGCCAACAACGTCTCTGGTCAGACAAAACGATGCATCGCCAACGCCATGCAGATCTCCATTGGCAATTGCGGCGCGGTGCTCGGCACGCAGCTATACCGGACAGAGACGGCCCCGCGCTACTTCCTCGGCCATGGGTTTGCGCTGGGGTATCTCGTCGCTAATATTGTTGTGGTGTTCATCCTGTGGCAGGTACTGAATCGGGAAAACGCCGAGAAGGCCCGGATCAGAGACAGAGAAGGTCTCCCGGCGCTGATGGGCGATGTTGGCGATGCCGAGGGCGATTTCCAGGGGGATAAGGACCCGCGGTGGATTTTCCAGACCTGATGGCGACGCCCAGGAGTAGTAATGACAAATGAGATGATGTATATAGTGACTGTGACTGAGATACCTGTGATTGTGAACTACGGAGTACCTATCGGTATGGAGTATTGCACGGATCGAGTGTCTTATCCGGACTGCATTAGGGCTGCTGCACGTGGCCGATCCGCAGCGGTTGAACGGGCTGTCGCAGATGGTGGGGACGCTCTAGTTTCCCCTTAATCTATTTAACCGGCTGTTCTTCGGAGAGATAGATCGCTAGTTGGATTCATTCTCATGACTCGGTAGAGATCGTCCACGTATAAATATGCGTGCACTCGACGGACTTGATGAGGGGCTTAACTCTCCCATACTTGTCCACGGAGCACCATGGCAGGCTACAGCGTCAACAAATTGGGATGGCTGATTTTGGGCTCGATAACTGCGAGCCATGCATTTGATCCGTTGCAGCATCTAGGTGCCAATTCTCCGTGGTTCGCTGGTGAGTAGTCTTCACTCCGCCATGGAATACACCCACTGACCGATGTAGGCCCCAATGTCAACAAGATCTCGTCCTCCGTTCCTGAGGGCTGTTCAGTTGATCAAGCCGTGTACGTTGTTCGCCATGGGAGTAGATATCCAGACCCAGGAGCCTATGCCGAATGGCAGGCTCTCCATAAAGCGGTACGTGATCCTACTCTTAGGTACATCATTTGTCATTCTTCTCATAATTTTTAGTTCCAATCTGCCGATTTCCAGGCAAAAGGGTCTCTGAGCTTCATCTCCGATTGGAGCCCTGTTCTCAGATATCCGGAGGAAGAAATCGCCCAGGTGTCCATCACTGGGTACAAGGAACTGTGCGTAGTACACAAAGGTCCCTATCTGAGTACGCCCTAACTAATACTCGTGCAGGTATAACCTGGGAGTTGACCTCCGCTTTCGCTATCCTGATTTCTACAAAGACAATACCCCGTTCTTGCTGTGGGCGAACGACTATCAGCGGACTATTGATTCTGCGAGGTAGACCGAGCGCATTCTGACTTTTGTGCTCTTTCTGACACACTCGTAGACTGTTCGCCCGAGGCTATCTCGGACCTAATGCCTCGTATGGGGATATCCATGTGGTTAATGCGGACGCGGCCGCCGCTACGGGCAATTCGCTGGCAACATCGGACATGTGCCCGAATTTCAAGGACGTCAGCGGCGGCGAGTATGCGGCCACTTGGGATGATATCTACCTTCCTCCGATCACCAAGCGACTGAACAAGTTGATCTCGGGGAACCTAACTCTCACCGACAGCCAAGTGTCCATCTTCCCGTACCTGTGCGGGTTCGAGACGCAGATTACCGGTCGGGTCAGCCCGTGGTGTGATGTCTTCAAAGAAAAGGAGATTCTCCAGTACGAGTATCGCCAGGATCTGCGGTACTACTATGGCACCGGTACGGCTCTTGTGTCAAGAACGAAGCGGTCGCTAACGGTGTTTCTCAGGCGCTGGTGCAGGCAAGAACATGACGGTCATGATGCCGGTGCTGCAAGGCATTGTCGATCTGCTGCAGGAAGGCCCTGGAGTGACAGCCAACACTACGGACGGGACGACTGAATTGCCTCGGCTGATTGTGGCCTTTACGCACGACAACCAGATCAATGAACTTGCCTCGGTTCTGGGGGTGTTCGACGAGCAGAAGGCCCTTGCCGCTGACAAGATGGACAAAGACCGGGTATGTACATGAAAGAACCAGGGCGATGGGATGGATTCTGACACTGGATAGCTCTTTGTGAGTAGTCATGTTTCACCGATGCGTGGAACCATTGCATTCGAACGGCTGGCATGTAGCAGCCAGGGGAAGGATTCGACCAACGTGCGGATTCTCCTGAACGACGCAGTCTATCGTGAGTGAAACGCCTCCCATAGAGGTGTACCCACAGTCATACTAACTGGATTAGCGGTGCCGTCTTGTCACTCTGGCCCAGGACGCAGTTGTCCTGTGGATGAATATGTGAAGCATGTCTCGCAGAAGAAGGAGCAATATGGGTCTTTTGCTGCTGTGTGTGGGCTTCCAGAGCAAAATGTCACCACTGCCGCGTCTACTGGGGCCGTCACTTTCTTCACTGATCTGACCCTACCATTTATGCGGATTGTGAAGCCATAGTCGAGGGATAATGAGTGATTAGAAAGTAAATAGTGGGAGACCCTTCACTGTTGTCATGGTGAATGGGCTGTGGATATAGTACTGGCTGTATAGTTCTTTCCTGTGAAGATGATGCTACAATTTCGCTAATTTCCATGTCGTTAGCCCTTTCCTTCGGCACAGGCCGTCTCTCTGCTCACAATAAAAAGCACTCCTCTTCTTTCGTCGCTTTGTTGTCTTCTTCCTCTCGCCATCCACTCACACCCGCAACCCTTTCCATCTCGACATCCACAACATCCACCACCATGAGGCCTCCATACTTCATTCTGAAGGTCATTGCAGTCATCCTAAGATGGTTGCTCCCCAAGGTCTATCCCCAGAAGCAAGCCCAGCCAGATACTACCATGACCATTGTTTCTCGCAGCGGGGACCGCCAGATTCACGTTAATGTCTACTATCCTGCTGAACACGATCCAGCCAATCCGCAGCCCAATCCTGTGCTCATCAACTTCTGTGGGAGCGGGTTCGTCATCCCGGGCCATGGCATAGACGATGAATTCTGTCGCTTTATTGCTAATAACGCCAACCACACCGTCCTCGACGTCGAGTATCGTCTAGCTCCCGAATACCCCTATCCCGCGGCTCTGGATGATGCTATAGAGGTTATCGAGTATGTCAAAACCAAGCCAGACGAATACAACGTGAGGCACATCTCTCTCAGCGGTTTCAGTGCCGGAGCGAACATCGCCGTCTCTACCGCCATGAACTCCTACGGCAGAAATGACTTCTATGCTGTGATTGCTTTCTACCCTCCCGTCGACGCGACCATCGACCCGAAGGAAAAAGAGGCCCCTGTTCCAATTCCCCTTCGCCGCGGCGGCTCGCATCCTTCTTGTCTGCTGCGTTTCTTCCAGGACTGTTACCTATACCCTGACACTGATCCAGCACATCCAAGAGTGTCGCCTTTGTACGCACCAGCCGATTCCTTCCCCTTCAATACTTTGTGGATTACCGCGGAACACGATCGTTTGTGCCCTGAGGCGGAAAGATTGTCGGCCAAGGGCAGAAGGGATCTTAATTGTGCTGTAAATTGGCGGCGCGCAAACAAGTGTGGCCATGCCTGGGATAAGTTTGCGAAAGAGGGAACCTGCCAGAACCAAGAGAAGCTAAGGGCGTATGGTATGGCAAGGGACATATTGACGAGGACGCATCCAAGGCCGTCGACTCCTGAGCCAAGGCCGTCCACTGCTGAGGCTGGGCCGTCCGGAGCGAGGACCCCGCCGCCTAGACGAGTGCGTGGAGAGGAGTTTGCGGGTGGTTCGGTTGTGACCATCGCCGGTCTAATGTATCGAGGAGCGGAGATCCCGACTGAGCCCCCAGAAGGGAGACCTCCACGACTGCCTGTGCCGATGGTCCCATTTCAGTCATTCGATCTAACCACCTGGGGGCATATGCCGTCTCCTGGATATGGGGGGCCCACCTAAGTCTTCGGAGGGTAAGGGCAAGGGTAAGGCCAGGGCCGGGTCGTCAAATAGCCCATCGACTACCCAGGGATGGTCGGAGTGAGTTTTGTCAAGATGGCACGAGAAACAGATGCAGCAGTATTATTGTGTTACATGGAAAATTGATGAAAGACAAGGCAGGAGGATATCGGAGCGAGGAGCATGGTGCATGTTCTAGTCGAGTGGAGCATACTTCTATTCATATCCCAATTCTATAGCTCTGCCCGACGTCTACTGTAACTCCGGCCAGTACTTTTGCACTATCGTCTTCTTATTTACCTTACCCATGGCATTGCGTTCGATCCCATCCACGATCTTCAAGACCGTAGGGATCTTGTAAGGGGCCATTTCCTGTTTCAACTGCACGCGGAGAGTCTGGAGCTCTAGTGGCTCGGTCTGCATGTACTCGTCAGCCTGGACTGGCTCATGTTGAGACAATCAAAGCTTACCTCTGGCCGTTGCTTTACCACAGCAGCGACCCGTTGTCCCCATTCCTCATCGGCCAAGCCGACCACCGCGACCTCCTGGATCGCATCCAGCCCCAGCATCTTCCGCTCCACCTCCAGAGCGGAAATCTTGTATCCACCTGACTTGATCAAGTCGACGGACGCCCGGCCCTGGATGAAGTACGCGCCGGCCGCATCCCGCCGGGCCACATCCCCCGTCTTGAACCACCCGTCGGCCGTGAACTCCTTCGCCGTGGCCTCGGGCCGGCGCCAATACTCAAGGAAGACATTGTCCCCTTTCACTTCAATCATACCGTCTTCATCCACCGCCTCGACGACCGCGCCGGTCTCTTTATCGGTCAAGCGCACCTGCACGCCCGGCAGCGGCCACCCGACACTCCCGTCGATGCGCTTCTCCACATCCAGCCCACAGCTAATCCCCATACCAATCTCGGTCATGCCATAGCGCTCCAGCAGGATCTGGCTGGTGATAGCAGCAAACTTGGTCTTGATCGGAGTGGGCAGGGCAGCGGACCCGCTCACCACTAGCCGAAGAGCGCGGGCGCCGTCGCGTGCGGCAGCCTCACGCTCCGTGCCGCGGATGTGCGTCTCGAAGTAGTCAACTAGCCGCGCGTAGATGGTCGGCACGGCCATGAACATGGTCGACGAGCCGGCGTCCTGCCAGCGCGTCCAGATCACCCCCGGGTCGAACTTGGGCTGCATTTCGACGGTGGCGCCGCTGAGCAGGCTGGCCGTTAGCCCGTTGATGATCCCGTGCACGTGGTGCAGTGGGAGCACATGGATGAGGTGGTCGGAAGGCGAGTACTCCCATGCGTCGACGAGACATTGCGCCTGGAAGGTGATGTTCTTGTGGGTTGTCACGCAGCCCTTGGGGTTGGAGGTTGTGCCAGATGTGTAGATCATGAGTGCGCGGCGGTCGAGGGGACATTGCGGGCTGAATGGAGGGAGCGCGATGTCGTCGTCGGCTTGGGTGAATGGGGTCAGCGTCATGAAGGGGATGGCTGCGGCGGACTCCCGCAGGGGGTCTTCGAGGTGCGCGAAGGCCGGGTGCAGGATGATCAGCGACGGATCCGAGTCGCCAATTGTGTAGAGGAGTTCTTTGACCGGGTGGGAGGTGCCTGGGTGGGTGTTAGCTTCGCTGATTTGAACTATCCAGGGGGACGGGGGATGTACAGAGCGGCACGCAGACACCCCCCGCGGCCCAGACGGCCCATTGCGTGACGACATAATCGTATCCGTTCGGGGTCAGGAAGGCGATGCGCCGCTCGTCGAGATCGTCACTGTCGGCGAGATGCAGTTCCTGCAAGAGACGCTGCTTGAGGGCGGCGGCGTCGGCGAGGAGCTGGCGGTAGGTGAAGCGCTGGACCTTGGTGGCATCGATCACGGCGACCTTGTGCGGGGACTCCTCGGCATGGCGCTTCGCCGCGACAAAGAGCGGCAGCGAGGGGAGGGAGGTCAGCTGCATGAGGGCTGGGTCGATCTGGGATCGGATCTATATAAATATGGCTGAGAGTGTTCAGGCAGAGTCGATTGGAACTTGTCGCTCATGCGGGGAGTCGGCTCGGTGATAGATTTGGGGCCGAGAGGTGGCTCGGGAGTTGATTTGAGTCCGGGTATACTTCATCTCAGGTCCAATAATGGTTCTTCGTCTATGAGTATTATTTTATCATATTTTATCAGTATTGAATGGAATCATGGTGTTAGACAGGTTGAGTACATGCAATAGTGAAATCCATGCATGGTCAACAATAGAGATAATACTGTCATGTCGTCACTCAGCTGGTTTATATCCCACCGTGAATCAGAATGGTCTGAAATTCAGTAGTTGGAGGCGTTTCGTGCTTTCGTTAATCAAACTATTCACGTAGTTGTAGTAGTCACGATTTCCCCGTCACTGAATGCATTGTGTTTCTCTCTGAACTGGCTATATATACAGCTCTCTTCGACCCTCACACTCTCTTCTCTTCTTCTCTCTATCCATCCTCGCCCTCGCATCTCCCAATACACTCAATATCTCAACCACCACTCTCATCCTTACAATGCCTTCCCTCAAGCTTCTCCTAGCAATCTTTATCCTCTTCAGTCTGTACATTCAGACTGGCCTGGCTGAAGTTGCCAACCCTACTACCACCAGCGTCGCGCCCACTGACGACAACATTGGAGCCCCTGCCCCCCTCTATCCCACTGGTGACGATATCCCCATTGGCAATGACGATGAAGGCTTCGTTGATGATGCCGTTAACGACGACACTGTTGTCGACGAAAACGACGACGCTGACCTTGATGTCTCAGCTGATCCGACTGACCCGGACACCCTCTTTGGCGATGATCAGGTATGCAATCCAGTCCCTCCACAGATATGCTCCCACCAACTAACAGACGATCAGGGCCGCAAGAAGATGTGCCGTGGAAGATGCCGCCGCATCGGTGGTGGCAAGGTCTGCCATTGCACTCAGAACGGCTTTGGCTCCTGCAAATGCCGTATTGCCCATGCGCCCTGCCGCTGCATTGTGCGGTAAGCGCAGCGAGGTAGGTGTTCTTCTGATTGTATTTTAGTTAGATGGGACTGACGTGATTTACAGTATTTTATCTACGTCAGCGTCTCTCTTCCACAGCTTTGACAGGGATCGAGGATCTGGGTGGTGGAGGCTGGATTAATTTGGATTGACACGGTCGTCAGTCTGATATTCATACTTGTGCTTTTGGTTTACGCATACAGATATGCAGGTCTTGCGCATTTGTTTTACAGAGGTAACCTAGATATGGCTTAGCTGTCGTTAATTCAGCTGCAATTGGCAGTTTATTCAAAAGAAAGTAGTATGTGATTGGTATGACCAGTAGACATAAACCCACTTGAGAATCACAATCTCCCGAGCTGTTGGTGCCCGAAATATTTTGGGGATGACGAGAGCCACGGTGCACTGTCGTATTTTCTACTTCAAACACTTCTCAAATCACAGTCCATGAGGTCAATGGTGACGCATGAGTCACTCCATGAACATCTGAGCTTCAAGTTTCACGTGGAATGGCCGAGACAAAATCCCATGCGATATGGCAACAGAGACCTGTGTTTCTTCCACCAGCCTCCGTCCGAACCCAAAACAATATCATACGCGCCCGTTGCATTTTATCAGGGGCGCCTGCTTTTGGGATGTGGCTCTGCTCACGGTGTGCATATGGGCGACGAGTTCGCCGGATATCCTCTCACAACCCTTTCGAACGGACCAGTGCAGCGCTTTGGAAGAACACAAGTTATCGAGGTTCAGGGGCTGACCCTGGATTGACTGATACAGAGAGACAATCTCCCCTGCGAGCAAAACTGCTCACGCGGCACACACCTTGGAAAGCCATGGTTGGCATCCAATTGCAGATCGAAGGCCTGGAGGCCTGGTTATCCGATCTAGACAAAGTCCTTTGCTGCAGATAAGGGTAATAGATGAAATCGTCGAAGGAGATAATATGTTCTGTGTCAAAAGCAATCAGCACCTCACGTCCGTCTAGTACTGGCTGCCCATTTTTGTCACATAACGTATACTTCCCCGGAGATGGCACCGTGCAGATAATATAGGGACCCTCCTTGCTATTCGGAGTCGCGTGATAATAAACCTCGTCCCCAGACCGGTATTTATTATCCTGTGATGCTTCAGCCGTATTCTTCAACTACCTAAGCTCTGTGGTATCTTACATGCGGATATCTGTCAACCTTCGAGCGTGGGTCCCCGAATGAATAAGTCTTGCTCTCCATAATGAGGAGACAACCCCGAGAGGTATGGTGCACAGCACACGAGTTTGTGGGAAAGAACAGCCTACGCGATGAATAACTCGACGGTTCTGGGTGAGGCGTTGACTGCGGTGCCCATTTGATGATGGCGGGGCATGCATGAGGACACACTTTGGTTAAATAGGAATCCTGTCCAGACCGTAGACGAGGCTGAGATATGTATGGTGACTACGTAACTAGCAAGGATTATCTGTCAGATTTAGCGCCAGGACAACAGCTACCCAACTGGGTGGCTGGCTCGCGCAGGTGCCCGGGCTGCCTTGGGCGACGGGCGTTCTGTCCACTGACCCAGATCAAAATGATTCATTTATCCCTTATATAACGGAGGCTATATGAGACAAAATGACGGAGAGAAAGAAGTGCAAGTAATGTAGGCTTACCTGATATCCATCCACTATGCATGGGGGTTTCAATCAAGATCATGATATTGAAAAGGGCCTGCGCATGCTCCATTCCCCCCAACGTGCCAACGATGAGGGTGCTGACCAGGGTCTCTCATCAAGTTGATTCTCGCCCACGCGAATATCCCCGATATAGCGCTCTCATCGGGTCCTCCAATCAATTCCACATCTGTCGGCGGTTTTCATGGCTTCGAAGTCGGCTCCTGCTGTCCAAACAGGATCAGCTGGTGAGATTGGAACGCCAGCTCGAGCATGTGGACCAGGACAAAGCCTGTCCCTTGTTCCTAGCCAGTCAGCGGCGAGACAAGAATGTCGAAAGGAGATCTCTTCTTGCTGGAATTAATGTCAAGTTAGCCGAGTATGGTTGGTCAATTTTCATCTCCACCATTCTCCCATTCGAGACCCAGGTGCTGAACGGACCTAGATGAATTGGTGGAGCGCAATTTCCGCATGTTCTAATACGAAACAGCCCAGACTCGTGATGTTATCAGCCTGCGGAACTGGGTGGATGATAATAGCTGTCTCGCCGGGAATGAGACTCAGTATCTGTATGCGGAGCAAGACCTCATAGGATTTTCTCCACTGGCAGAAGATGGAGCGACGCGCATGGAATCATGGATAGAAAGTGGCTTCATTTGGGTATATAGACTATTTCGCCGGGTACTTACTTACCTTACTGCTTCCCATTGCCATTATATTGGGCTGCTGATACAAATCAATCTACGGAGTACAGCGGCCGCCGGGCAGTTTGTCGATCGACCCCTACGTCCATTATTTGGCGCCACTGCCTTTCGTCGGGTCGCTCGAGTGGCGGTTGCATTTATGGTCCTGGCGGTTATCCTTGTGCCCGCTGTCTCCTGTTTGGTTGTTACATCAACGTGGACTCTGTACTCCGATATGTATACGGGGAGACGGGGGAAAACTCCGGGGAAGCTACCTAGCCACGGCTTGGCACGTGCCTCGGAGTTAAGGCCGCCGCCGGGGATTCCCCAATTAGGTACCTATTTCTATTTCAACTCAGCTTCGCCATGGTCGACCTGCGCTCATCGACAACTCGCATTTACACGCCATGTTGAGTCCTGCTGTGGTGCGCGCCAGGCTCTTCCAGCCTTCAACGCACCTGTTGCTTCGTTCCACTCGTCCGGTCTCTTCCGCCCCTCCGTTAATTCGCATCAAAGACGCCACCTTCTACCAGAAGTACCCAACCCCCGAAGAAATCGCCGACGTCAGCCCGCACAACCCTCCCCTCTTCCCCAATTTCAACTTCGTCTTACCTTCTGATGGAGCCAGTCCTTCGAGCAGTAAGGCCGAGGGGACGCAGAATTGGGCAGTGATCGGCTCCTCCGGGCGGACGCAACTCCTAGACGTCCTCCGCGGCCAGTACGTCTGTCTGCCGCCCAATGCACGCTCCTACCCTTACCTCCTGACCGACGAGATATACAACAAGGACCCGCAGCTACGCTATGCGGGAAAGGCGATTCAGTATATTGGTTTCAGTGGCGAAGGGTCGGAGGCGATTGGAGGCACGCGCGGCGCCTACTTGAGTGCCCGGTATGAGAGTCTTCGCGAAGAGACCGACTGGACGGTCCGTCAGTACCTCAAGGGGCAGACATCTCTGAATCCTCTGGAAGAGGAGCAGGAAGGAACGGTGAAGGATCAAAAGCTTCTGGAGCAAGTCATTACCGATTTGCGCCTGGGGCCACTGCTCGATATGCCAGTCGCAAACCTGAGCAATGGTCAGACACGCCGGACTCGCATTGCGAAGGCCCTCCTCAGTAAACCAGAGCTTCTGCTGCTGGATGATCCTTTTAGTGAGTCAACCAACCTTTTTGACCCGTGACTCCCCATCTGACTTCTCTGTAGTGGGTCTCGATCCAGCTACTACGCGTAGTATCTCTGGCTTGCTGCAGCGCCTGGCGGCCAAATCGGATCCCCGGTTGATCCTGGCTCTGCGGCCACAGGATTCTATTCCGGATTGGATCACGCACACCATGATACTGGGCAATTCTAACCATGTCCTACACCAAGGTCCTCGGTCCGAGACGGAAAAAGTGTTTGAGATCTGGAGGTCCGCTCTCGGCGGCAAAAAGACCGATTCGTACTCGGCCGAGGATAAGGCCATCTACCAGAAAGCAAGGGAAGCCATCGATGCAGGCCATCTGGACCGTCAGCTTCTGTGGGACCTGCGCTTGCTCTCCTCGAAAGCCAGCCAGGTGGGCCTTGTGGCTCCTCGAGGGGGCGAGGCATTGATTGAGATGGATGGCGTGCGCGTGCAGTACGCTGACAAAGTTGTCCTCGGAAACTGGACGCAGAAAGTCAACAACGAAGAAAAGGAAGGCCTTCATTGGACCGTCCGCCGCGGCCAGCGATGGGTCATTCTTGGAGCCAATGGATCCGGAAAAACCACCTTGCTCTCCCTGATTACCTCGGACCACCCACAAGCCTATGCTCTTCCCATGAAGCTTTTTGGACGGTCTCGTCTGCCTGAGCCCGGCAAACCGGGCATCTCGATTTTCGAACTCCAATCACGGCTGGGCCACTCCTCCCCGGAGATTCACGCCTTCTTCCCGCGACAACTCACCGTCCGTCAGGCCGTCGAGTCGGCCTTTGCCGAGACCTTCCTCTCCAAGCCGAAGCTCGACCACGAGCGCGATCTCGACGTCAGTGCCGCCCTCCGCTTCTTCAAAGCCGAACTTGACCCCGACGCGGCGATCACCACCCGCGAGAAACCCCCACGCATCACCATCGAATCGAAGGAGCTCTTCCCCCGACTGGGACAGCAAAAGGGCGGCGCGATCTACACACCCACTGACTACGACGTGGAATACGCTGACGGCGTGCGCTTCGGCGAGCTGGACACCGCCCAGCAACGTCTGGTCCTCTTCATCCGCGCCCTGATCCACAAACCGGACATCGTCATCCTCGACGAGGCCTTCTCAGGCATGCCCGCGCACATTCGGGATAAATGCATCCACTTCCTCGAGGCGGGCGAGCACTCGCGCAACCGGGTCTCCACCGCCACTCGGCGCACCACTCTCAAGGAGACCTGGCTCAAGGGCTTCAACGTCAACGAAGCCACCATCCGCCACCACGGCCTGTCCGACGACCAGGCTCTCATCATGATCAGCCACAACCGCGAGGAGATCCCCGACTCGGTCCGGTACTACATGCGTCTCCCGTCGGAGAACATCGACGACGCCAGTGAGCCGCTGGACTTCCGCTTTGGCGTGCTCAAGTACGAGAGTACGATGAACCACCCGGACATCTGGAATGTGGCGTGGTCGCCGCCGTCGGAGTTTAAGAAACACGCCCGGAAGTCTTGGCGGAGGAAGGACACGACGGAGTCAGAACACGATGACCAGGACGAGGAGGTGTATGATTGGTACTCGTTTTAGCCACTTCATCTGGTGTATATAAGCATTAGCGGTGTTAGATCTATATAAATGCTATTGGATAGATCATTTCTTATTTATCCAAGTACTATCCCGAACTTACTCCGATACATACGCATGTAGGGTAGCCCTACGAGGCTGGGCAATGGCATACGGATGCGATTGGCCTAAGGATTTGGCCCCATGGACTACATCCCATCTCCACATACTAGTTACAACTAGTAGTGCCCGACTATATTGCACTGACTGCACTGCCTCGGTGACATCATCTGACTCGCATCCGTATAACTACTTATACCACGCTAGAACCAGACTCCCTGAGAAACACAGCCGAAGTACGGAGTACAACCAATTCCTGAGATACCTCACAACCATGGAAAAAGACACCCCCACACCCACCGCCCCCGAGATCCGATCCGGATCCAACCGACAGAGCAAACAGCAAACAAAACACCAAAAGAAGCAGCTGGAGACTCAGAAACAAATACCCCTGCCCGACCCTTCCTGCAAACGAGACATCAACCCCCCAGGCAAGCTCAGCATCGACGATGTTGGACCAGACCACCCCGTCCATAAGGTCCCGCTGGAAAAGCAGGCGAAATGGCGCGCGAAAGGCATCGACCCGGTGCTTAGGGCGGAAATGGATGAGGTGACTAGAGGGAAGCGCGGGTTCTGGGCGAGATTGGGGCCGTTTTTGGAGAATTTGAATGTGGCTTCGTCAGTTTAGGGGGCTCATGTATTATTGGATTCTTTGTCAATGGGTGTCCTATATCAAGTATCACTTATATTCCGGATATTGAATTATGAACCTGGAGATGGGCTCCCGAATAGAGCTCCTCCTGGTTTTGTACATTGACGGGTCCATGATATTGTCCAGCTAGTATCGAAGCCTCCAATAAGGTCTATGGGAGCAGGAAGGCAGGTAATATATATTGTAGGTTACACCAAGTGGCAACTTCATCTCTATATATACCCCAATCAATAGTCAGGCACGGCGGCTGCTGCATCTGCCAGTCCCGAGATGAGCGACTCCGAGCGCGTCATCGTCGGCCGGTGGTGGTGCTCATCGCCGTTCAACTCTAGACCCCGCGCGACAAGATCCGTAAAGTCAACATCAACCTCGTTGAGAAGGCCGGCTTGCTCGTGGACGATGTCGATGCATTTCTGCCACACGGTAGTGCCGCGCTGCACGCTGCTCAGCTGGCGAGTGAGCAGCGCGTTGAACCCGTCCAGGTGGTGTTTGGCCCATTTGATGCATGCGCTGGTCATAACGGTAGGGAAGCAGTCTCGATAGATACTGATCGTGTTCTTGATGAGCGTGAAATAAACAAACGAGACCTGGAAGATGTAAAGAGGTAGGTCGCCTTCGAAGATGCAGGCCCTGCATGATCAAGGGTTAGCTAAAGGCGTCGAACTCCCATCACGGAGGACATTACCGAATACGCTTCGAAATCACGTCTGATCGAGCCTTCAGATAGGCCTCGCGAGCTTGGTCCCCGAATCCCAGTCGAGTCAGCCGTTCGACGTTGGTCTTGGTGGCGGTTGGGAAGGAGTGCGTGTCGACCAAAGCTCGCAAAAGCATCTCGGCCAGCTTGGCCGCGCGTTCGTCAACTTTAGCATTGATCACCTCCTGCGCAGCTGCATTGCCCCTTGAATCGTACTTCCGAAGCCTTTCGATCAGCTCGACCGATTCTTTGAACCGCTGTAAAGCGATATCGATGTCGAGTTGATCCACTTGAGCCTCCACCGATCGCATATTCTGCTGCTTTCCATCCACATCTATGAGAATTTCTGGCCGATCCCGGTCATTGTCTGTATGGTCATAGCGGTCGGGCTTTGGCGAGTACAGTGAATGTCGTGCCCCGAGATAACCAAAGGAGTCGTTCGCCCGACTGGCCGCCTCCGTCTCCGAACGGAGGGTCCGTCGCAAGTCCTCGACGGTTTTTCGGAACGTGGCGAGCAAGTCAGACTTTGCGGAGCTATTCCGCTTGTCGTGACGGTATGTAAAGGGTTTGTTTCCGACGCGGATGTTGATCGCGTTATCGATGCCCCGGTCCTCGGCTTCCTCGCGTGCTGCACCGGTCCCCAGGTTAGCACCGAGGTCGATCATGTCGACATCTTGCAGAGCCCAACATTCCTCTGCGACGAGCTTGGTTGGAACAGGGCCGCGATGATTCGGGTTGCTCTGGTCCACACGCTTTCGCTTTTTGGCCGCTACTAACAGATGGTCGTTCAGAAGAACGATGTGCACTGGTCGGCGTGGTTTCCAAGTGGCAGAGTCCAGCTCTACCCAATTGCCGGTTTCCATCACAATGTGCCGACCGGGGACCACCGGAAGAAATTTCTGGGAGCCCTCAACCGTCTTCCATAGCGTCTGCAGCTGCACGTTCCACATGCTTTCGAGATTCGCGACCGAGCTGCGGTTGGCGTTGCGCTTGGGTAAGCGCTCGTCCGGGTTTGGCGACATCGGATTTGGGGTATTGCCGACAGTGGTCTGCCCCAGGGCCGTTGTGAGCTCGGCCATTAGCGTGCGTAACGTGCGCATTTCGCCTTTCAGCTTCTCCGCCTCCTTGCTGATCTTGATGAATTGGGTTCGGTTTTGGTAGACATTTTGCTGAAGGTCGGTCGAGGTGCGGTTCTTGACTTTCCGGAGGCTTCTCTGGTACTCTTGGATCTCCTCTTCGGACGCGTTGGCGAGAAGGTTGGCGACGTCTGAACGTAAGAGACGCGGTCAGGACCACGAAATGACGTATGCGGGGAAAAAGAGGACAGCTGTCCCGAGATACTTACATCGATCGACGGGCAAACTAGGGTCGCGCAAAGCCTCCAAATCGACCTGAGGAGGACCGGATGATTCTCCCGAGGGTCGCCTGCTTACTTCGGGGGGAACCAATGCCCCAAACGCAGGCCCCTTGGGGAGACTGGGAACCGGGGGAGCATTAGGGTCGAAGTCGGGAGCTTGGTTGAACCGAGTCGAGTATCGTCGTTTTACCAGATCGGAGGTGGCATCCTTGGGGGCAGGTCGTTCCCTGGAGCGAGAACCGGAGCTCGAAGTCGTCGTACTCTGCACTGGATCAATGGCCTTGTTGTTCGGGGGCAGAGGCCCTGAGATGGGTTTGGGAGCGCTGATCTGAGGGCGAGCCCGTCGGGTCTTGCTGCGGAGGGTCAAGCCACGGGCTTCCATGGTGGGTGACTCTCCAGAGGGAGGATGACGGAAGGATGATGGAGATGATCGAGAAGCGAAGATACAAGGTGGTTAGGTAGAATGCGGGTGAAACAACATCCCCAGTGGCCCGAGCGGGACAGAAACCCCGAGGCGGAACAACGATGATCCCCACGCGTCAAAATTATACGCTTCCATCTTCCCTTCGGTTATCCGCAACAGCTTCAATCAACGTCCAAGCTCTACCCGTGTCTGGTCTTGTCCGAAGAGATCCGCCGACTCCGTTTCGTCTCTACACATCCCCCATCACTTCTCCCCTTCCGCCATCATGAGGACTTCCACCCTGGTTGCCGCGACTGCCGGCACCATCGTCACCGGTCTTCTGGGTAAGCCACAGGAACCTACTATCCGTCTGTCCATCTTCACTTCCAGTCACTAATCTAGCTTCTCCCCTCCGCAGCCTACGCCGTGTACTTTGACCACAAGAGACAGACCGATCCGGAATTCCGCAGAGCTCTGAAGCGGAACAACCGCCGACACGCCCGGGCCGTCAAGGAAGAGGTGGAAGCGCAGGGCGCGATGGAACGCGAGGCGATCAAGAAGGCGGTTCAGCAGGCCAAGGATGAGGGCTTCCCGACCGACCTGGAAGAGAAGGAGGCCTACTTCATGGGCCAAGTTGCCAAGGGAGAGTCGCTCTGCGCCGAAGGTATGTGCCTGGCTTTCCTTGCCTCCCCGAAGCCCCAACTATCATGAGATGTCGGCGATTCACATACCAAAACCTAGGTGCAGACAAGATGGAAGCCGCGCTGTGCTTCTACAAGGCTCTGAAGGTGTACCCCCAGCCCAAGGACCTCATCTCGATATACGACAAGACGGTCCCCAAGGAGGTGCTGGAGGTGTTGGCCGAGATGGTCGCCCTGGACGCCGGTCTGAAGCTCGGCTCGTTCACTGGCGGTAGTGAGGGCGGCGCCGAAACTCACGGCGTCGAGTAAAGCAACAAATAATATGGCAAAATAATTGGCAGTTACAGCGAAGTCGACCTCTCCTCTCTCTCTCTCTCTCTCTCCCACTCGCCTTCTTCGTCCCCGTTTCGACAGACAGACAGACAAGAAACTTGGCCTTCCGGATAGGTTTCTTGCGCTTCCGGTCCACGCTGGGCCGTGGCCTGGTCGACAATTTCAGGACGGACTGGACTGGACTTAGCCTCTCACACTCTCGACTTTGCCTGGACTGTCGTCATACTTGCTTACATCATCTCCACTACATCTGTATTTTTTATTTCTTTGTCAAGTGTTTCTCCCCTGTATATTTGCATCAGGTCTTGGCCGCTGGTGTGGCGGAGGATCTTGGTATTTCTCGGCGCCATGACATTGTTTGGGAATTCAATTTGTTTCTGAATGATTTCCCCTTATTGTTTCCCCTCCTCGATCGATCGCGTTTGCATCGCTGTCCCCTCGCCGTCGGTGTCTTTTGTTGGAGCCTGGATAGATGGGAATCTGTTGGGTTCCTCTTCTCCCTCCAGCGGGGTCTTTTTCCTTTTCATGATTTTCTCTGGCACCTGGGATGGGTTTTTGGGTTGTATTTTAAGAGGAGCAGGATGCTTCCTTGGTCGGTTCGGTAGAGTGTATTATCTTTCTGGCTTGAATTTGTGATAGTTGATTAAGGTAGGGGAAGAGAAATCAAAAGAGTATGCAAACAGGGATGATGTGGAGCAGAGGTTTCTGCTGGTAGATCGGCGTACTGACACAGGGTTTCGGGTAGGAAAGGGTACATCGGGGTACCTCAGGGTGCCTTCCGAGTACCAGTAGGAGCATCTGCTCCCCCAAGAACTCCCAAGACATCGCCAACACCCCGCCGCCACTTCGTCTACACCTCTCCTATATTTATAGATCGGACGACGCTGGTTGCATTCCTCTCTCCCCCAAGGACTCAAAGAAACCCTCCCGAATGGCCCGACGATCCCAGGGCCCAGGAACTAAGGGTCCTTGGCTGCCCCAATGGAGCAATTTGTGAGACGGTGGTGCGGTGGACGCCTCCACTGGGGACTGGCGCTGCCCAGAGTCTAGCGCTCACTACCGTTTGATTAAGTCTGGGCAGCTGCTCGGCTGTGGACTATTATTTAGGACTCCCTCCTCCTTTTCCTGCTGCTTCGATCTGTTGTCGCTGTTGTCTTCTGCTTCGTCGGGTGGCGCTTTTCCCACGTATCGTCGCATATAATTCCTGTCGTTCGTTCATTCCACGCTCGTTGTTTAGATCACCTTCTATACATTCACTTCCGAGTCCTTCTTTCCCTATAGAGATTTTGCGCCGGGTCTTCCAGAGAGAGATTCCATCCTGTCGTTTGCATAAGTCTATCTACACATCTCATCCACATACTCCCTATTTATAACAGTCGGTCCACGATGCCGGTTGGTTCTGCCACTATCCACATCAATGTCAACAACAACCAATACTAACCCCATCGACAGTCGTACGCTCGTCTGTTCGCCGCTGTGTCGGCGCTTGCGACCGCCGCCAATGCCGTCCATCCCGTCGAGGTCCGCGGAAAGGACTTTGTCAACAGTGAGACCGGTGATCGATTCCAGATTCTCGGTGTCGAGTAAGGATTCCCGTCTGTCATTTTTGTACATCATCGGTGATATTCGATCCGGTTACTGCGTGTGGAAAGCGGTGTTGTTGATCGTCGGTGTTTATCTATAACAGTTACCAGCCTGGTGGCTCTGGTGGTTTCAGTGGTAAAGCTGACCCCCTGACCGATCGCGATGCTTGTCTGCGCGATGCTGCCCTGATGCAGCGCCTGGGTGTAAGTTTTGCTGTCCAAGCGCTTCCACGATGTGGGAGCTAAATCGCCACGCTAGGTCAACACCGTCCGCATCTACAACATGTCTCCTAACCTGGACCACGATGACTGCATGTCCATCTTCAACGCCGCCGGCATCTATCTCATCTTCGATGTCAACTCGCCTCTGGAGGGCGGTTACCTCGACCGCACCAACCCCAAAAGGACCTACAACGAGGTCTACTTCCAGCAGGTCTTTGGCATCATCGAGGCCTTCAAGGATTACCCCAACACTCTCGGTTTCTTCGCCGGAAACGAAGTGATTAACGAGCAGAGTGTCAAGGATGTTCCCGCCTACGTTCGCGTATGTCCATGACCGTCCTCATTTTGTCACTCTTTCTTCGTTACTGATAGATGTCCAATCACAGGCTGTGGTCCGTGACATGAAGGACTACATCTCCAAGAACGCGAACCGTTCCATCCCCGTCGGCTACTCGGCTGCTGATATCCGTCCCTGGCTGACCGACACCGTCAACTACTTCATGTGCGAGGACGAGGACTCCCCCAGCTCCAAATCCGACTTCTTTGGTCTCAACTCTTACTCGTGGTGTGGCCAGTCCTCCTTCACCAAGAGTGGCTACGATGTCCTGACGGAGGACTTCTCTAATGCCACTCTCCCCGTCTTCTTCTCCGAATATGGCTGCAACGAGGTCACGCCCCGTGTCTTCACCGAGGTCGAGGCCCTCTATGGCGAACAGATGTCCAAGTCGTTCTCTGGCGGTCTGATTTACGAGTTCACCCAGGAGACTAACGAGTATGGTCTCGTTCAGCTCAACGATAACGATACCGCCACGCTCCTGGTCGACTATGACAACCTGATGAAGCAGTACTCGAAGCTGGACATGAGCACCATCCAGGCGACTAACGAAACCGCCACCTCCCTCAAGCCGCCCAAGTGCGGTCCCGGTCTCATCCAGAACAGCACTTTCCTCGACACGTTCGACCTCCCCAAGAGACCCTCCAAGGTCCAGGATTACATTGATGATGGCTTTGTCGGCAAGGTTCACAAGGGCAGCCTCAAGGAGGTCAAGTCGCAGGACATCTCTCAAACCATCTACGACCATAACGGCAAGGAGGTCACTGGTATTCGCCTCAATGCCCTCTCGAACGACGCGACCAACACCCCCGGCAACTCTTCTAGCAGCTCTTCCGGCAGCGGCAGCAGCAGCGACGATGAGAGCGCCGCGGGCAGGCTGTCCGTCTCCCTTCTCGGTCTCGTGGCCGGTACCGCCTTCATGGTCATGCTGTGATTGTGGTCGTTTAACTTCTTCTGCATGTTTTTGTCGTTCTGACGTCCATTATCCATGTTGTCTGCTCAAATAACTTTTTCTTTTCATCCATTCGGGGGTCTTCGTGGCCAATGAATATAGCATTCAAGTTCAATCAATACATCAATCAATGCCAGTAATGGAGAGAAAAGCGAGTGATTGGCTCGGGCACTTGCCCCTGCCTTCCCCTGTCTTGGTCGGAGAATCAGTCCGTAGGATATCTCCTTTCCTTTTGACTTTCGATCCTATGGCTATATATATTGTCTCTGGCTTTCCCCACTACTGGAAAGGAGGGCCAAACCCAGCGTTCTGTATTCGTGCCATCATCTACTATCCACCTTACTGACGGGATACTATATACACATCTATATTTGAGGTCGTTCATCTAGTATCTGAAATATCCCACATCACAAACGCTTCTTTCATTATCACTGGCCTCTTCCGACATAACACATATCATGTCGTCGGGAACGCTGTATATCCGCGATTCTCGCACCAACGCTCAGTATCAGATCCCCGTCGAGAGAAATGCTGTTCGGGCCACAGACCTCAAGAGAATCAAAGCCTCACCCATTGCCACAGATCCAGCGGACCAAGTCGCAAGTGGCCTGCGTGTACATGATCCCGGCCTACTGAACACCACCGTGATGGAAAACGACATAATCTTCTCGTATGCCTTTCCCGAGTTTTTCCAATCACGTCGATGATCTACTGATGGCGGCAGAGGCCATGCCGAAAGCCGGGTTCTCTTCCGAGGATATAGCCCCCAGCAGCTATGGAATAGTGACTTCGAGGACATGCTGCATTTGCTGGTCTGGCGCTCGTATCCAACTGAAGCGCAGAAAAAGGAATTGAGCCGCAGGTTGGCCAGCAGCATGATAGCGGTCCCAGATTCTGTGAAGCATGCAATCCAAGCATTTCCGTGAGTGTTGTCCTGGCATGGGTGGGTCTAGGGCGGCGGATCAATACAATGACATTTCACTCAGGCGTGTTACACCGTCCTTGCCGATGGTATTGGCCGGGTTATCGACATATCTTGGCTCTTTGCCAGATAGTATTCCGGCATCAACGCGAGCGGACCTCTACCCATCGAGCTCGGACAATATTGACAATGCAATCATCCGAACTATAGCAGGATACGCAGTGGTCTTTGGCTTGGTCAACAGCCACCGAACGGGCGTACGGTTCATCCCACCCTCTCCGGACATGAGCTACTGCGAAAACCTCCTTACGATGGCTGGCTTGGTTGACGCATCCACTGGCCGTCCGGACCCGGTCACGCAAACCTGCTTCCGCCGCTTTGGCATGGGCAATTCTGACCATGGATTGGCGCTTTCTACCTTTTCAGCCCTTGTGACAGGATCCTCCCTCGCCGATCCCATCTCCTGCATGATCGCTGCAGTGACGTCGGCGTACGGACCTCTTCATTTCGCTGCTACAGAGACTGTCCAGAGGACTTTACGGGAAATTGGGACAGTCGAGAACGTTCCTGCGTTTATTGACAAAATCAAAAGAAGCAAGAGCAAGCTGTTTGGCTTTGGCCACCGCATGTACAAGGGCATCGATCCGCGCGTGCGCATGATACACTCAGTTGTGAAAGACTTGACCCCTGCCTCAGACCAGCTGAAGATTGCGGAGCGCCTGGAAGAGCTCACTTCGAGAGATGAATATTTTCAGAAGAAAGGCCTGTATCCCAACGGGGACCTGTACGGTAACCTGGTGTTTACCGGGCTGTGAGTCTTCATCTCCTGTATTCGATGTCGTTAGCAGATGGACTGATGCGGAGTAGTGGTTTTGAGCCTGAGACTATCCCGGCTGCCATGCTGACACAACGCATCGTGGGCATCATGGCCCATTGGCGAGAGTATATACGTGAGTGCGTACAGGCTGCATAGGGATAAATTTTGGCTAACGGAAGGAGTGACACGCGGGAAGATCTTTCGACCGTTGCATATCTATACCGGGCAGGCGAAGGAAAAGCAATTGATAGCTCAGTTGTAATGAATGTTGAGACTTCAGTGTCTACACTTATTTGGGAGATATCTCGATATGTCCTATGCAAAGGACCTTACCAAACGATCATTCATCCCCTCTTGATCAATTTTATCTGTACACCTTCTCGGACAACGAACATCCTTCCCCTGGATCTTTGTTTACTGCAGTCCAGATTGCAGACCAGCGAAACTGCTTGTTCATTAAAAATTGGAAATGACGACTGATTTCGAATACATTCATATCTTTGTGGTAATTGGAAAACTGAGAATGGTATGTCGTACAAATACCAGAGCGAGAGGCATTGTGATTGGTCAGAATAGGTGAAACGAGGACTGACGCAGCCCGCAGTAAACAACAATCCATCAACTTGCCAGGCTGCATATACTACATGTGAAGCGACGGTCATTTCAAAGTGCATCAACAATGGCTTCCATGTTAAAACGGACGTCTTGTCCGATACTTCCACGGCTGCGTCCGATCCACCAAAATCCAAGGATCCGCAGCCCCTGGATCGTGCCACCCAGGGCCAGAACGCCCTCACCGGGGTCCGCCATCGCCTTTACGTCCAGCGTCCATGCAAACTCAATGTCAAGGGACACAGAGGCACCTCGAATGTTTCCCACTACCGGTTACCAATCTATTGAGGCTGACCAGCCCGTCGAAGAGGAGACACTGCCCGATTACAGAGCTTATCGCTTTTATCCCGTCCAACTGGGCGAGGTGTTCAACGACCGCTACCAAGCAATTGCGAAGCTGGGCTATGGCTCATCATCGACTACTTGGCTCGCCCGGGACTTAAGGTACGTGTGGATGAAGCCTCCGTCGCAAACTCGATCTGATCGGCGCAGTGATCGTCGGTACGTCGCATTGAAGGTCTATGTGCATACATCGTTGGTGCATCGTGAACTGCCGGCCTACCATCAAATCGCTGGCCGTATATCAGACAGCTCTCATGAAGGGCAAGGCAATTTACGCAGGTTATTTGACTCATTTGAGGTTAAAGGTCCCGATGGCAGCCACATCGTCCTCGTGTTTGAAGCTGCACAAATGAGCTTACAGGACATGAAGAACATATTCCGCCCGGATGGATTTGACGAAGATCTCGTCAAAGGTGCTACTATTGAGCTCCTGAAAGTGCTTGATTTCCTACATACGCAGGGGGAAGTCGTCCATACCGGTATAAGCTCACCAATACAGGTCCTTTCGGTCTCTGCCTCCTAACCTCTGTCCTGACCTTAACCAGATGTCCACCCCGGAAATATGCTCCTCGGGGTTCTCGACAACAGCATTTTTCAAGCCATTGAAAAGGAGGAATATACAGATCCGGTGCCTCGTAAACAAGTCTCGTCCACCCGGACGATCTATCTCTCCCGTCTAATGCGACCAAAGGTAGGCCCAATGCTTCTATCCGACTTTGGAGAAGCCAGAGTTGGCCCTGGACCGCACGGTGGCGATATAATGCCCTTGGAATATCGGGCTCCCGAGACGTTGCTTTACGTGGGCTGGAGTTATCCGGTCGATATATGGAGTGTTGGGCTTACAGTATGATTGATTGCACACGTGCCTTGGTTGGAGCTAATATCATTGTGAGCAAAAGGCGTGGGACCTCCTTGAACCAAAGCAGCTGTTTACTGCACGCGACGAGGATGGCGATCTCTATGATGCTGCGCATCTAGCCCAGATGGTTGCCGCATTAGGGCCCCCTCCAGCGGAATTCCTGGCTAAGAATCCCGAGAGAAGGGCTGATTTCTGGGATGATGAAGGTATGTTGGAGCCTTGGACGTTGGACGTCTTAAGACTATATGTCTTGTTTCTTTCTAATTCCCGTTCCTATAGGCAAATGGCTGGGTCTCGCGCCCATCCCGGAGGGCCGGACGATGGAAGCCCTTGTCACTCGCTTAGAAGCTCCAGCGGGCTTTCTCGCATTCATTAGAAGGGCGCTGACCTGGATGCCGGAAGAGAGAGCAACAGCTAAGGAGCTCTTGAAGGATCCTTGGCTTGCGGAGGGGGAGGCATAGAGTTATGTCCTTGTGCGTTGTTCTTTATATCTTAGACACTATCGAACACTCTCTGCTCTACATAAATTGCTTGAAACGGCAGGGTTGGGCTTAGATCTTCCACTCTCGGCCATCTGCAGCTCAGCTAATGAGACGCGACGGTCGTTAAGCGGCTCTGAATGTGAAGCTAAGGTTGACGGCGGCGAATACTTCGACTTGTGCTGTCCCTTTGATAGCCAAATCCCTGCGCGCCGCCGTTTGATGCGACGATCGTCGAGAAAATTACAGCTAGTTTGCGCCAAAATACGAGTCGTGCGTCTGGCAGCTTGACAGAACTTAGTAGGGACCGCATGAATCAGACGGTTCGATTGACAACGCGAGGGACATTGGGATGCTGTTGGTTGCCTTTCTGTTGGGACTATTCATACTCTTCTAGATGCTATTATGTGATGGTCTAGTCCCCTGCCTTGGAGAGTCATGTCCATTAGTTGTAACTTGATATCGATAGAAGAGTATTTAGGGTTGCCAAAAGCACGTGTTCATAACTCTAGTCGTAACTAAGAAACGCTATCCAATTGAAGCATCCACAGATGAGAAAACGGCAAAATTGAGAGCCATAAGGAGACACGACCGGAACAGAAACAAAAGTTTAGGACTCCCATGGACTTCTGCATGTTGGGCATGTCGGAGCGGTAGCAGTCTCAAGCCACTGGTCAATGCAGGCTTTGTGGAAATTCACTCCACATCTCGCCTTGCACCAAACCAGTTCTTCTCCCACATTTCCTTCGTCCAGCACTCTGTTTTGTCCTTCCTCGCCTTCCCCTTCTTCGGCCTCGCCTGCTGTATCTGAATCAGATTGCGAAGTCTGCAAGTCACACAAACAAATCCCACAATCCCCATCGACTGTCCGACGGACAGATGAAGCCTCACTGGCTGGAGACGCGGTCTGCGAATCTGTCTCGTCATCATCCTGACGGACAGTGTCGTCCGAAACGATTGACTCAGTTGGTGCGGCTGTTGGCCTACGCTCTGATGCGGGAACTGGGCTTCCTTCAACTGAAGCTCGGAATTGTACCTCACTTGGCCCGTTGGTTGCTAACGAATCGCTTGATACCGTTGACCGTGTCCCCTCAGTCGATTCATCGGGGTTCGCAACAGTGTCACTTCCTAGGGTTTCGCTCTCGGTGCTGATAGGATTGCTGTCTTCGCTTGCCTGTCTACCGCCACGACGAGGAGGAGCATTGGAAACCACACTTGCCTCCTGCCGTACGGCTTGGAGACGGTTAAGCTCCAGCATGATATCTCGGAGCTTCTGGTAGAGAACGGCGCATTGTGCCTCCACATCGTCTCTCGTAGTTTCTACGGGAACGCTCATGGATGATTGCCTGGTGGACCGTCCAGATCTTGCCGAAGGGGCCCTCGACTCCAGGTACGGCTCAACCTGTTCTTTCCAGCGGCGAACAAGATTCGGAGCTTGGTTTTGGTGCCACCTGGTGCACAAGACGTGGGGAGCAAGGTCTTCTAGCAATGCATCAATGCGCCTGCCGGCGCGAAGATCGGCAGTGCCCTGGTCGAGAAGCCGCATTGCAGACGTGCGGCCGCGTATGTTTGTGCGCATGTGGCAACGACGGCCCTTTGATGGAGCGTAGCCTGCACACCACGGTTCCAAGTCCGGTTCGAGGTTGATGATCTCTGATAGAGGGGGTATGGAGAGAGCTGACATATTGGTATACCTGGAGGGCATGACGGAATGAGGAAGAAGAATATGGCAGCGTGCAATGAATCTCTTGTACTATCACAAAGACTTTGTGGTCTTTAGGATGCGCCGTGAGAGTGAAGAGGTGCCTCATGTCTATATACCGTTGTCTGTAGGGCACACAAGGCACTCTGATGCTATCCTGCAGACCCAGGCCACTGCTCTGCCACAATAACGTGGCGCAAGCGTGGAATGATACGCTCTCCGATGCTACGCCGCACCAGGCTCTCCGCAGCCTGCTCCAAAGATAGAAGCCTGTGGCTTGGGAACGACTGGGGGTGTAGTCAGGGAACTGATAGCGCCGGACGGAGCACCAGTCGATTCACAAAATGAGGGGCTGTTGGATTCAGTTGGAAGCCAACGCACTCTGATAGGCCCTTATCTTAGATACCTAGATGCACGCAATGCACGAGTATGTTGGCTCCGAGACTGCGCTGCAGGGGTCGCTGGTATGCGGACGATATGGCTTGGACACCCACAGTTGAGCCACCACGGCCCTCAACACTCGGGCCAGGTCTGTCACAGCTGAGGTAAGTTGGAGATGTCATATTGTGTAGTAGAGAGCATAACCCCTGATATGTGAGAAGACGGTTGTGCATATTGGATGAAAAGCAAGAAGCCACCTCCTCTTTGTGCTTTGCATAATTTCACCGACATACCACCGATGGCTCGGGGCAGTGGGTACGTATTCGGTGCTTCCGGAGTATCCCATGTCGTTCTTCTAGTCACGAGGCTGCGGCGCAGTCAAGATGCAGCTTACCAGGGGGGATCACCACCACTTTTGGTAAGCAAACCGATCGTAGCCGCCCACTGAGACAGACACATAGGGCTAAGGAATGCTTACGGCGCAGGAAGGGCGTTCCCTTTGGAGCCCCAGTAGAGGAGTAAGTCCGAAGGAGGCTGGGGAGCAGCTGGGTTGCACTATACCTCAATCCCATAAGATTGAACATGGGCGCTCTCAGGAGCTGTAATAGCCCAGAAACTCTCTGTGGGGATTGGTAGCAATGGCGGACACTCCCTCTTCCTCTCCCTTCAACACTCCCTTTTCCTCTTCGACTGATACCCTCTCCTCGAAGAGCACTCCTCCATCTTCGCCAGACGACAGTTATACTCCCACCAAAAAGCCAAGCTCTCGCTCTAAGAATCCATTCCCCCCTGTTCGTTATCCCGATCTCCCAATTCAGTTGAACGATGGAGAGACCGACGATTATAACGACTTGTCGACTGGCCACGTCGATAGCGCAGGTTGTCATACTGGGCCTTCATCTCCCTCGGATGGGAAGTGTTCGAAGCGCTCAAGTCAGCCGCCTGGATACGATGATGCCGCAACTGGACATCCCATCCACGCATGGCGTAACGCACCCCGACTGCCCACACGTTTGAGACAAGTTGGCTCTGGTCTCAGCCGTATGGAATCAGGACGACATGGAAAGCCAAGCTCTGAAACCGTGAGTGGATTAGGGTCAGACAACCAGGAACAGTGCATCAGCTCTGAACCCGACAGTATCTCGTCCCCATCCAGTGATACACCAGATATTGAGCCCTCCCCGTCAGGCCCTTCATGCTACGAGTCAGATGATACACGTGTATCTTCTTCCCTAGACTTGTTTTTCGTCGAAGATCAGAGCACAGAAAGCTCCCCGTTCGATCACAAGTTCGAGACACCCCATAAGAAGGATGGAGCGGAAGCAGGTCTGTCTACTACAAACGGTGGTGATAGACCGAGAAGCAATACTCTCGGCGTCAATCTCACGCAACGAAGGGATACTCCTCAGGGAAGATCTCATTCTCCGGTTAACAACAGTTTCCCACCGGCTATTTCAGATATCCCCGGGGTACACGCTGCTGAAAGCGTCGGAAGCAAATCCCCTGATGTGTCACAACCAGAGAATGATTCTATTCAGACAAGACCGAGCCATGGTAGTCGACATCCAAAGGATTTGAATCCCAAGAGAAATCCCATCAAGTCACAGCGCAAAACCTCCAGTGCTAACAAAGAGGATCCCAATTATACTGAAAACTCTCTCAGTGAAATTTTACCCCGTGAGATGGGACGGTTATTTCATAAGGACAGTGCAAGATGTGTTGCCTTCTATCAAACCCCGCCAGACACGAGGTGTGGACACCCCAACAAAGGATCAGATTCCGACCTCCCCGCGCAGCTTCGAATCTTCGCCAATATCGATATCAGTGAAGCAACGCCATGTATAGAAAAGTTGTTGGCCTCGATTGTGTGTGGAATGCACAGGAATGTCGCACTTAGACGCTGGAAGTACTGGAGAGATGTCTTCCCGAACCTAGAATCTGCGTCGAACAACATCGATGATCCCCGTCTTCCTCGACTTGTCGATTGGTTTCAGGCGCTCCAAGATGGTGCCAGATCACTGGGACCATCTGCTGAACCTGGTATCAAGGCTGAGGATGAGCAAGTTGATGGTCCAGCCAAACCCATCGCTACACTTCAGCAATTGATACCTTGGTGCCCAGATGGACAAAAGAAGAGGTCAATCAACCAGAGGTTGCTTGAAACCTGCATTTCCCCTTTGACGCCAAAGAAAGACCACAAAACTGGCTTTATTTACATCTGTTTGTCTTCAGGGGGCCATGAGCGCATGAAAATAGGATGTGCAGAGAATATCGATGGGCGACTGCGGCAATTGGGCAAGTGTGAGAAGGGCTTAAGCCTCTATTTTCCGAAGGATGATGAGAAAGGACTTCCCATACCCCACTTCTACCGTGCGGAGAAACTGATCCAAGCTGAACTGAGAGATTATCGGCGAGAATTGTCTAACTGCTCGAATTGCAACAAGAACCACAGAGAGTGGTTTGAGGGGGTGGGTGTTGATTTAGCGGCGGACGTTGCAAGGAAATGGATAGATTGGGTGCGGCGGAAGCCTTACGTATTGAGAGACTATGAAGGGAAGGCTGAATGGGTGTTGAGTGATGAAGCTTCGGACTCTCTCAAGACCGTGTGCAAGCCTCACGAGAAGCTCCGAAGTGGGTTTTTCCCGACGAAGAGGTAGTACTCATTGTGGATGGTCTCAAGTGGGAAGCAATGGCTGCAGGGGATGGGGGGAGCGGAGTTGGGGGTTGCAAGGTCTCTGTTAGGGTTAAGGAGTATGAGGTATCCTGCACAGATATTACTTTTCATGCGCTATTCGGACCTTTTCATGATCCTGAGAAATCAAACTCCAGGACAATGTCTCCATAATTGCCTCGCTCTTTCAGTACACCCAGCGATAGCTCAATAAGCCGCATTCCCAGTGGAAAGTGAATACTGGGCCCACTCAGACCTACCTGCCAGATAGCCATATGTTCGACCCCATGGCTCGGCGCGAAGAACGTTTCTCGACGTGCCACAAGTTGTCTCCATGAGGTCCCATGGAACTGGAAGATGAGCCGCCAGATCCAGTCGATCGCTCTTCTTCCCTCGGACATACAGAATCACTAGTGATGAAGGCTGAAGATGGTTTGTTGAGAAGATACCCCAGACACCTGAATTAATTGTAATGCCAAATTCTATCCCGATTCCGGTTTATCTGCTTTTAAATACATTTCCCGGCAAGTATTATACACCCGTGGTGATGATCGCGGCAATGGTATTAACATCAAACTACCTCTGAGGTGCGGTGGTCGAGCGGGGAATACGACGGGCTTGAGGCTATTGTAGTAACAATCTGGTTAGCCATGGAGCCTGAACGGCTACTGCAGGCCAGGGGAGGATAGAACACCAACCGGTCACTTGATAGGAGCGAAAAAACCAAGCCTCCATATACTTCCCAGCAGTGACAGGGGCAGGACGGGGAGCATGACGAGCTTCTGTATTGTAGTTCTCTGCAGAAGCGTAGGTCAACATCATTTGTGAGTGTATGTCGGAGGGAGGATTAGCGAATGCGATGATAGATGGATGTAGAAATGTATGAGTCCTAGTCAAGCGGCGTCGAAAGAGCTTATACAAGCTCAACAGGGCCAGGACCGAGGTGGGGACAGCAGCAAGGAGTGCGAGAAACTCCAGGACAAGTGATACAGACCAAGACATGGCCATTCCTAGGGGTTTCTCTTTGGGTGGACTGGAGAAAGCGTAGAAGGAGTAAGGAGGTAGGCAAGACTGGATTTATACATTGATTCCGTTACCTTGCTCTCATCTACATCGCTCTGTTCCTGATTGGGCTCGATTTTGTGCGAACAGTCTGAATCGCCGTCTAAATCGCCCTATGCCTGATGGGGCTGTCTTTGGCATACGTAGGCTAGTGGCCCATGCAGAGTAGCGACTCAGAAGGGCAGCCGTCGAGGCACAGCGGATGCTTCCGAACCAATATGGGGCTGCGGTGGCGTCAGAGTAAGCAGTGGAATGTGCAGAGCGAACCTGCTGGATGGGCTTCGACGAGATGGAGGCCCCCCGATGGGATGCCCATAATTGAGGGCTGTGGTTATGCAATACCGGAGCCTCAGGCCCTTAACCCCCCAAGGTTTTTGAGATCGAGAGGCCTCTACAAGGACCTTACCTATAATCGTCTCTAGTAAGCTGGCCCCATCTCCACGATAATACTCATCGCACCGATACTTCCCAGATCAACGATAAATGAGCCAATTCAGGATAGTATACGACAAAGCCTTATGTAGCAAATTCGAACAGAATACAGGGATAGGATGATTCTTTTTCCTGTAAGATGCTGTAGTCGAAATGAGATTCAGAGATAGTCGTCGTTGTTATAGTAGCCTAGATTTCCAAGGGAATGATAGTTGTAGATTTACTGATTAGATACACTATAAAGACTCGGTTTGAAGACATTGTAGCTCTGATATAAAATTCAACTGATACTCTAAGGCACTTCGCTAATTCCTTGTCCCGACCGTATTTACACCTTCAATATTACCCACTCGCGCTAATATTTCCTGAAAAGTCCCTTCATTGTGCTTTCAGCCTTACGAAGTCTTTATGTCCATTGGTCGAGCAGAGAGCGCCAGAAGGCTGGATTTAGGATCAAGAAGCAGTGGATACCTAGCAGCCCCATTCCGCAGCTAGATGAGCCAGGCGGTTGCGGCTATTTGTGCTGCTTATGGTCCGTGTTGTGCATGGACCGTGCTGTTTATAGACGGTGCCGTGCATGGGCTATGCTGTGCATGGACCGTGCTATGCATGGAGGGTGCTGTTCATCGACCGTGCTGCTCATAGACAGTGCTATGTATAGACTGTACTGTGCATAGACGGTGGTATTTATAGACCGTGCTGTTCATGGACTGTACTGTTTATAGATGGTGCTGCGCCGAGATATGTTGTGGTGTAGGGACGCCCAGGGAAATGATCACCAACTAGAACAGAACATCAGGCTACTTTGTAGCGAGAGAGTTGATATTACAGCTGAGGTCTTATAGAGATTAGTACATAGCCTATCCCATGCAGGCTCTTGGTTCTTGATACTACCTAAGGCCTGAAACATACAATTTCGCCTTTTTGTTCCGTAACTACACACTCTGATTACCGCTTCCGCTTCTTATGGCTACGTTTCTGATGGAAGCTTTGTGCATACTCCTTGAAGAAATCCGGCGGCTCCTCAGGGTGTCCTCCTGTGACATCATGAAAGGTAGTGGTGGAAATATAATTCGTCTTGCCTTCGCGGACTAGGGAGTAATACTCCAGCAGATACTGTATCTCGGACATGTCGCTTTCGGCCTGGGCGTGAAGGACCTTTTTGGCTTCCGCCCTACATGTGATCCGCTCTTAGTACAGGTCTCCTAGCAGATTAAGGGGCACTTACTCGGATATATCTTCAAACTTGAGGTCCTCCCCCAAGGCTTTGCTAGCAGCCGCGGCGAGCTCGTCACCCATAGTAAGCATCGGCCCTAATTGGTGTCAACATGGTATGTCATAATCAGGGATGTGTCTCACCAGTCAGAACCATAAGCTGCCCCCTGTGTTGATCGCTGAATCCATGTTTTCCCTCCCCCGTCAAAATGTGCGCGACAACTTGGGCAACGTCCTTTTCTAATTAGCGTGCGCTTCAACATCCGGCCCACAAGGTGGCTTACCCCAAGGGCAATCGGCGCAAACTTATGGTTGGAGCCGATGGGAAGTGGAAGAGTGCCCTCTTCTTGCGCCAGCCTAGAGTATAGGAGGAGGTTCTCTGCGTAAAAGCCAGGCCTAGTAGTTAGGGTTAGAATATTTCACTTCCATCCTCTGGCTCAGGGAGGAACAGCCAACATACCGTACCACAACCGGAGAATGACCTGTTGAGGTGGACGGATCCCCCTCCGAAGCCATGAATATTGCTTCCAAATCTATGAACTCGCGCAGACGGGGTTGCTTATCGCGCTCTGCTAGATCGCAGCCAGCAGAGCTCACAAAGCAGACGTTCGGAATGTTCGCTTTCTTTGCTGCCTCAATCAACTCGACCGTGATGTCAAATTTATCCTGATGGGCCGGTGGAATCAGACACATCGCATCCGCTCCGATGCTCTTCAGAGTCGAAACCACGTCTTTGAGCCGGCCAGGCTTGTGCGGGACAACCTTCGCGCCCAGCTTGGCGAGCTCTTTGCATGATTCCGCTTCGGGATGGAGCGACAGGCCCGTGATGGAGCCGATCTTTTGGGCGAAACTGGGGTCTGTCAAGATTAGTTCGGCGATCAGGAAGCCTGTGTGGCCGTCCACTGAGGTGATGCACAGTTGACGAGACATTTCCAATTATGTCTTTGTTGTTCACTTGTTTTGAGGCGTCGACAAGGCAATCAGAGTCTTTATATATAGATTGATCTGACAGTCGCATGTACTTCTCCTAGCGTCATCAAAAGTAATACTGCCGTCACTGGAGCGATGTCCGACCATCTCGATGTTGGTGGGATACAAACTGCCAGAATTGGGTTACCTATGATGAGCATAGCCGAGTCGCATCTGACCTGATATCTTCGATCGGTGTTTGGTTAGATTACCATGGGTAGGTCAACCTTGGATAGGGTGCGTTAGTTATACGCTTCCGTCAAGTCAACTTGCCAGAGAGATAGGTCCAACATCATGTTGACCTTGAATGTGTTACGGCGCATCATATGCAGCTCCAGATCAAACGCGTACTGGATGGCGGGCTCAGAGCTCTTGTCCCTATCCAATGGTCCATTACCAGCCGCATTTTGCACGAGTCAGACATCTTTCGGATAGTACTTGCTCACGGGGCCGGATCATTAACCAAGTGATTCCACCTATACCGGCTGCGAGCGAGTACTTCAAGTCATATTGCTATCACAGTGACCTCATCTCTTCGCCGACCTGTCTGACAAGTATATAAAATGGACAATCTCGCTCAATCACTTTTTTCATAATCTAGCCCCGCAACGGTACCCTTCAGTTGATCATTACATTAGTACGAGAGCCAATCCACCACAATGCCGCAGTACAGAAACGGCCAGACTGTCCGTTATAAACCTGTCGGAGGTACAGTCGGCCAGAATGACAACCCTGCGTGCTACCAAAAAGAAAACATGCTAATATACGCTCGACCTCCAGGCCCAGAATCGCACACCTCCGAGAGCGTCGGCACTATCAAGTCCGTCTTGACCGAGCCTGGAATTCAAGCTGACCGGCAGGTCCAGGCCAGTGAGGATCAGCCGCGCTACGAGATCGAAAACCAAAACACAGGCAGACTGACCACAATCTATGAGAAGAATATTTTGGGTTCCGCCTGAGTTTCTTATACCCTCCTCTCATGTACCCTGGTCTTGGGGCTATGGATTGCTAGTATGCTCTAATTTGAATGTTAACATGTTGGGTGTCTCAACGAGAGTATGTGAGTAGTCCGTAAAACGTCATTCAGGGTAGAGCAAGGGGAACAGGAGACATCGCATGGGAAGTATATGTCTGTATTCAGCTTTGATTATTGATAGGACTTAGGTACCTACGGATCTATCCCATACCGATCGAAGATACCAGGTAGAAGAGTGGACTTTGCAAAGAGTGCTCACGCCGTATCAGTCAATGAATGGGATCCATGATGCGCTGTTAGAATTGGGGTGTCAACAACTTTCTTCACAGATAATGATGCGTCACCTGTGGTCATAAAGGCATATGAAGAAAGCTAGGCAAATTCCTCGACTAGATGGACCCATCACAGTTGTCGATTGCGGCCTGTGGTGCATAAACCAGCATATTATCTTGCACTGAGCCATGCATTGGGCATTCATGAGCCCTGAAGCAACCGAAAAAATGAAAAGCTATAAAAGACTTCGCTATACATCTAACCCCCTCCGCACTTCGATGAACCGGTGACGGACACTCTTGACTGACATGGCGGTATCGTCCAGTGAGAGCTGGGGTGGTTAGTCCCTTCAGGCGATGAGAAGAAAGCGGAAGACAGTCACGTACCTCCTCCATGAGACTGTCCGCTCTAGCAAGGTCCTGCTCATACTCATCATAATCTTCACTGTCGGCATCCAGCTCGGAATCGGACTCCTCGCTGACAGAAGCAATCCAGTCCTCGTCCCATTTCTTCTCTTCATCGTCCGTTTCCACGTACTCCTCACTGGTCTCTGAGACACTATCCTGAAGGTCATCACTCGCCTCCTCTTCGTTGGAACTGCAGTCGCCCCCTCCTCCATCATTTTCAACTTTCAGGTCCATCTTGTGATACAGTCTGCCCAAGTTACCTGACACCCATGGACGAAAATCATCAAGGATCCATTTTTCCAGGCTGTCGATGATACATATGAGCTCCGTCATTGACTCTTCAATGTGCAAATCTCCCTTCCAAATACATTGCATATGCTGATGACGGTCAGTTCTTTTATGTTTGTGGCTTCCCAATTGTCACAAGGCGTGAAGGGATTTGGGAACGTACATATCTCACCCTGGTCCGCGCTGGCAAGTTGTAGTCTGCGTCATTCGAGTCACCCTCCGGGACTCTCTTTCTCGATTTGATACCTGCTATCCAAAGACGTGTCCGGTGCCCATTCAAAGTGATGATCACCACCGGCCGGATCTCCGCCTTGACACCGGATACAAGGCAATCGACAGTAAGATCATTAAGCAAGGCAAGTGCGCTTGCAGCACCGTTCGCAGCCTGCCAATAGCATTTTTCAACTTGTGCCCCGCTTACCTGGTGGTGCTTCGCTTCAAGGACCACGCATGGGAAAGAAAGGCAATCCATCTCATCGACTTGTCTGTCCCCAATAAATTTCAGTGGGCTAGATGCCACGCCCATCGTCTCCTCTAGCAACTGCAACCTATCGACCCGAAAGTTACCTAGAACGGGCTCACTTGCGAGTCCTCTGGGCGCCCTATGCTCTTCGATGGTTGGAAGGGATATAAAAAGATCGGGCTTCGGTCGTGTCAGTTTTGGCGCATCGAACGGCGCTGTTTCCGATCGCACGCAGTCAGCAGCGTCCCAGATAAGGTCACCTCCGGCGTGGCTGCACGAGAAATAATTAGGAATTGATAGGCCGAGGGCCGCGGTGACAAAATATAACTGACACTCTGAGAGACTTGGCTAATCTCCTAACCCCAACCGTACTTGCGCCTTCGATATCGCGCGCTCGCGTTATCATCGGCTCAAAAAGCGTCTTCACAAAGTCCATCCAGCGCGATTCCAAGGGGACGACAATCTTCTGGGCGTGCCTACAAGCACTGGCTGCTCTTGCCTTCAGATTTGTAACCTCGTGAAGCCCTCGTGGGTCTTCAATGTCCTCGTTCGGCCTGCATGAAAGGTTTCGATCCATCGAGACCATCAGAGTCTATCGGAATTCCAGACTAAGCAATCTTGCCGTCTAGGACGACCGGATTTCTCGTACCTTTGCCCGTTCCTGTGGTGCAAATCTGTTGAAATCAAGGAGGCGTGTAGCAAGAATTTCAGCTTGCTTACCCAGTATCTCGCGCAGCTCAGTCGACCCAATTACATCCCGATTAAATGTGATTCCGTTCCGCTCCAGGGTGTACCTGCTCAGCACCCCTTTGACCATGCTGACCAAATGGAACTCGTATGAGGTTCCAGAGCGTAACTATCCGAGTGATGGTAAGAATCGTCCCAGGTGAGTGAATAGGGGGGCTTTTATGTCTGACCTGCGCCGCACACCAGATGGCCACACTAAACTTGTATAGACTAGCGCTGCAGTTTCGAGCAGGCCCAAAGTCAGCCTTGCTGCATTAGGCAGACAGCGCAGTATTTCACAAAGGAACGATTGGCGTTAGTCGCCGAGGGTCTCCTCCTGGCCGGTCCGGTCAGCATGGGATTGGATTGAAGTGAGAACGATATGGAGCAGGCCGGGGTCCGATCAGTGTGGTAGACTTGAACCATACAGTCTTCCCATGAGGAAACTCGGTGATGCGGCCGTGAAGAGAAAATAGCCTCCATGATGCCGTTGATCATATTTCTAGTTGCCAGGTTGCATGTGGCAGAAGAGATGGTTGATTGGGTTCCATTGCAGACCGGTGATGGCTAGGTTTCTTAAAATTCAATATACAAGTCATCTTGAGAGACAATAAAGTATCCCTTGTAAGAGACCCAATTGAGGACTCCCGCAGTGGACGAGTTCCTTCATGGTGAAGGGGCCCGAATCCGGCAGGTAAGTGGTCTATCTCAACGTGTCCCTCCCAGCGTTTGACATCAGACGGACCCGAGATGCTTCATAAGCCTCATAGAGCTTATTCTTTACATTTGTCCGTTCTTGGTATTAACAGAATCCGCTTTCCTAGACCGGTCTTATTGCCTTAAGAGCTTATTGGGAGGTACATACACTCAGTTTCATCGTACATATCGAAATCTCCAATCATTATTCTAGGCTCGCTCTCTAGGCGGAAAATTGCCAGTCTTTGCCAGAATGGGACAGTAGTACTTCTCTAACTCCCTTTTTCAGGGATGCTGATTTTCATTGCTATATCCCTCTATACTTCCCGTACAAGAAGTCGCATAACCAATTTATAAAACTCATGACAATGAGCCTGGGGACCAGATGAGGAGCGCGCTCACCTACGCGATGCTCGCCCAGTGTCAAGTTGGTCAAATAAACACCTATATTGAGAGCCACGCATACCACTACCATTTTCTCCACGAGCCGTCGTTTAAAGCTGATCCGAACAGTACGAGAAGGATCGGAAATTTCAGGATCTGTAGTCTTCATCTTGCTGTATGAGGGATTGTATTGGCGACTATTATATCAGCCAAATGTGTATTAACACCAAGAAAGGATATGACTTACTATATCCCAGGAGTATTAGACTAGACTGGGTGGTGGACAGTATGGGATATAAATAGACGGAAGAAGTACAGAGGGAATCGACCACCAAGAAGGTTACGGTCGGAATATATAGCAGGGGACTGATCGTCGCCCATTCCGACAGGGGATGTTACATATTACTCCTACCCCGGCGCTTATTTCGAGGCTATGGCTGGTTGATAATTGTACATCTGGTCCACTATGATACCGCCCCCACGGAGATCGCGTGACCAGCATCATCCAGGTCGTCACATTTGCGTGCGCTTGACGGTGATGTAGAACCCGATGAAGTTGATTGAAGCGGCACCATCAAAGTCTCGTCTATATAAGATGGGCAGACGTCAGGTGATGGAGACAAACAATCGATAGAAAGACCATTGGGCGTAAAAATTTCCTAATTTATCATGTATTGGCTGGCAAACCAGAAGCAATTAAGATAAAAGACTGAGAAAGACAAGAGGGAAAAAGTCAACGCAAAGCAAAGCATAACATAATTACAGAGCTCGGCCCTTCCCTTTGCCTCCGCCAGAAGTCGACCTCCCCGCGATGGAAGGAAATTCCTCCTGTTCGTCAGGGAACTCGTGCCCAGGTGGCTGGCTGTCCGCTAAGCTCAATTGGATCGCCAACTCCAAGTCATCCAGCTCCTGTTGGCGGCTGCTCTCGCCAATGGCATCCGCTGATGGCGAGAAACCCCCGTGGCTTTGTTGATACTCCTTGGAGTACTTGATGGGAATAGAGGGAGCAGAATCAAACGACCCCGGTCCCTCATCCAGAAGACTCAACCGAATCGCTTCAGCAATGTCCGGAGCGAGATCATCATCCACCGGAAATTCGTAGGGAGATGAGGATGACGAGATTTCGTCTGGCGCGACTGAACTGTCATTCCGTCCGATGGTGTCACTAGACGGGGTGCTAGCAATGGAAATGTCGGCCGGCACACCGCGCTTGGCGGCATCATTGGCATACGCCTCCTCGCTTAAAAGCTGCGCGTATGCAATCAATTGCTCTTCGCTGACATCGGGCCCGAGTAGATCCACCCCAAACCGATTGCTGAGATGCGCTCGTTCTTTCTCGTCTTCCACCATTTGCCGTTCCATCTCGATGCGTTCATCTTCAATATGATCTTGTATCGCTCCGCGGCCGCTGCTGCTAAACCGCTGGCCCTCAGGGCCCATGTTGCTGCCCCTTTGCCCGCGGCGAAACCGGCGCTTGCTCGATTTGTACTGATCGGCGGCAGTGGAGCTGTACGACCAGTAGCGCAGATGGGTCCCCAAAGCCACCATACCTCGCAGGACGGTGGGATCGGGGTCCAGACAGATAGCCCCTGTTGCGTAAAAATTATTACCCACGCCGTGAATGGAGGCCTCGGCTTGGATCAGACGCCGCCGCGCGCGAGAAGAGAAGCGGGAGTTGATCGTTCGGATAGGCCGTGTGGTCGATGCGAGGGGATCCCAAGCTTGCACAAGCCCATCGTTTCCACCGTGAACGAGATACAGCGATGTGATTGCCAAGCACGATACTTGCGGTGAGTCGGTTTGGATGACCCGCACTGGACTGACGGAGTTGATGACATCCGTATTCTTTGAAGTGGGGGCGCGTATGTCCCAGACGAAGACCAGTCCAGTAGTGGTACCCACAGCCAAATACCGACCACGTTGTCCCGGTATTTCCAGGTGAGATGACGGCTGCTGCATGTGCGGCAGTGGAGACGACATCACGGAAGACTGTGTGGAGCCTCCTGACATCCCAAGAAGGGGATCCTCGTCGGGCGTGAGCAAAGCATAAGTCGAACCGTCTAGAGCAGTGGCGGAGATTTGCACTGACTTCCGGTCGCCTAAAATGAAGTCGGAGATGCGCCACTCAGTATTGCTAACCGAGCACACCGGAAGAACGACACTGCTAGAGGCCCTGGAAGACGGCAGGCTCGGCGTTGAGATATTTTGAGGACCACCAAAGATGGACGGCGGGGCAGTGTTCTCGACCGCTGGGTGATGCTCGGAGGAAGCGGACAGTTCCGACTTCGAAACTTTCCTGGTGTACCTCCTAATCGAAGCCTTCGCGTTCTCTGCAAAACCATGAGTGATGACGAGCAAGGACTCGCCCGCCCCGTGACCATCATCACCCGCAAAGTCGACTTTCAGCTCCCGTCTCATATCCCAGCCTCCGCAAACCTTTCGGAAATGCTTTGGCTTGAAAGTCATAAACCGCTCGATCTCTTTTGTCTCCGCGGCGATCTGTTCGCTGTCCAGATTCATTGCATCCGACGAAGATCGAGGACTATAGCTACCATCGACAGGGTCCCGGTTGTATGGGTCAGGTCGTGCTGTTCGCCTGCTTAGTTCTGCAAGCTCCCAGCGAACACTCCGCCCTGTTTTCCATGACAAAACGTCCAGCTCCTCAGGACTCATCTTCGTGGATTTGACGTCCGGTTGCCGCGGCAAGTCAGAAAGATAAAACACCTCGCCCAGGGCATTAAGGACCACCGCCCAGATCCGACGACCAGCATGTCTCTTCGTGGAATAATTGTCGTCAACTGCAATTGACACAATCGGGACGCCCGGGCAGATGACCCATTTGGCAGTCACTTGTCCTCGTTCGTATCGATTTTCGTAAGCAGGATGAGGACCCAGAGCGTATGCCAGCAGCACGCCAGAAGACGTTCCCGAAAGCATTCCTACCAGGCCGGACGTCATTTTTAGGACGTGAGTCGACTTGGCAATCCATACAGCGGTGACGGCTGTGGTGATGGGGTTGAGAGTCGGAATACCCAGGTGATGCTGTGGAAGGGAGTCGGTCAGGGAAAGGAAACGGCCGCGTTGCTCCTGGGAGGAAATGTAGTATGTGCGCCCTTGCGGACAGCCCTCGCCGTAGATCATGCCAAATGGTTGACTGACATCCATCTTGTTGGGAGCTCCAACCATATTCCCAGACCCCAGGCCATACTCAGCATCGCCCGGGAACAAGTCGGCAAAGTGTCGAAAGAGCTGGTGGTCTGACAGGCCCCATGTACCGACTTTCACAGCAGACGGGTCACTAGCCGATGCTATGCCTTGTTCAGAAGCCCCGTGGATGAAGACTGGTTGCTTTCTCCTAGTCTCTCCTCCAAACGACCCGCTCATGTGACTGACCGGGTACAGTAGCTGCGACGTGTAGGTGACAACCGCACTCCCATTGCGGGTATTAGCAGACCGCACGGTTCCAGTCTTACGAGAAGGCTCGAACTGGGTGGGTTTGCCTCTCGCGAGGGATCGCAAGAGACGAGTTCTCAGGATATACTCCGATCTCCAGGAGGCGAGCGCAGTCAATCTAGAAAAGTACCGTTTGTCGGAGGCAATATTTTCCAGATGATCGGCACCATAGAGACGACCATTGCTCTCCGTGGTATAAGGCCCCGGAAAGTAGCGCGAAAAGGCGATGCGCCACGCGTGCGGCGTCGTCACCAGACCGTGAAAGCGATGCGACACTAGGGCCATAGACGAAAGAGACGACGGCGGGAGGTGAGAGAGAATATGCGTCAATACCTCTGATAGTCCATAATGTCAGACATTGTCTTCTCATGTGTCTCAGCGTAAGATGACCTACCATTAGGGAAAGCCTCCAGCGACAGGCGGGACGGGGCAGATGACGGCATCACTCGAAACTCGAGGTCCCGCTGTCTTCTCGGCGACTGGGCCATGGCCTGTTCATACTGGCTAACTCGATCGACTGAGGCGAAGGATGAGACCCCCGCGTTCAGGGACGAGGAATCGCCGTCTTCGGATGAGCCCGAGCCGGCATCAGAGCCTCTGTCTTCCACCCGAAGGTGGGAGTCTGAGAGGCCGCCACACGAATCATGTCCATGCTGGGTGTAATTGTAAGAGTCTTCGTGAGATGGGTCGACCAGAGGGGTGTGTCCGAAAACTGCAGTAGGCTCTGATTGCATAAAAAGGTCTCGCGGGGTAACGGGATCAACGGAGGCGACTGAACCAGGGGCGATGTCTGGATCAGTCGGGGATGGGGGGGTGGTCAGGGGATGCGATGAAAGAGCCGAAAAGAGGCGCGCAGTCAGGTAGGCAGGTGAGGAAGCGACGAAATGCGACAAGAGGATGAGGATATGTGCAGATAGAGATAGGTATAGAGGGAGAGGTGGATGGAGTCACGATCGGAAGTTGTAGGAAGAAAGCCTGAATGGGGCCTGAGGAATCCTCGCTGACTCAGCCAGGGGCGGCGCGTGAGTGCACGTGACAGCGCGCCGCGCAAAGATGCGTTCGCGATGCATGATGGAATCATCCTGAGGACAGAGCTGACAGCATCAACTCCACTGACGGGTTGGTCGTGTTGACAGTGATTCCTTTGGAGCTGGTAAACTGGGTTGCGTTGTTCTAGGCTCCCATCAGATAGCGCACTGTTGCCTTTGAGGCTTCAGAGACTAAGCACCACGATCTTCATTACGACCATCTTCAGTCGGTTCTATCTAGCACTCACTTTTCTTCTTGCCCATGTGTCGTTGATTCTGCAGCATGCCAGCCGCTAGTGGTAAGTCTTCAGTACGAACTTCACGTTTTCAGCCTTCGTCTAACTCGCACAGACGCGGAAACGATCCGCATTCTTGTCTCGACCGATAACCATGTCGGGTACAATGAACGAGACCCCATCCGGGGGGACGATAGCTGGAAGAGCTTCCATGAGGTGATGTGTCTAGCGAAGGAGCAAGACGTCGACATGGTTCTCCTGGCCGGCGACCTCTTCCATGAAAACAAACCGTCGCGGAAATCCATGTACCAGGTCATGCGATCGATACGCATGAACTGTCTTGGAGACAAACCGTGTGAGCTGGAAATGCTCAGCGACGCCAGTGAGAACTTCCAGGGCGCCTTCAACCATGTCAACTACGAGGACCTCGATATCAACGTGGCAATTCCCATCTTCTCTATACATGGGAACCACGACGACCCATCGGGCGAAGGTCATCTGGCTGCGTTGGATTTACTCCAGGTGTCCGGACTGATCAACTACTACGGCCGTACGCCAGAGTCCGACAACATCCAGGTCAAGCCGGTCTTACTGCAGAAGGGTCGGACCAAGCTAGCTCTGTACGGGATGAGCAACGTGCGCGATGAGCGGCTCTTTCGCACATTCCGCGACGGCAAAGTGAAATTCTACCAGCCATCGATCCAAAAGAACGATTGGTTCAATTTGATGTCTGTCCATCAGAATCATCACGCCTATACAGAGACGGGATATCTCCCGGAGAACTTCCTCCCCGAGTTCCTCGATCTGGTCATCTGGGGTCACGAGCATGAATGCTTGATCAACCCCAAGCTCAACCCGGAGACCAAATTCCACGTCATGCAGCCGGGCTCCTCTGTAGCGACATCCTTAGTGCCAGGAGAAGCCGTGGCGAAACACGTAGCGATTTTGAGCATCACCGGCCGCGAGTTCAAATGCGAACCCATCCGGCTGAAATCCGTGCGTCCATTCGTCATGAAAGAGATCGTCCTGTCCGAAGAGAAAGGCGCGCAGAAGCTCGCCCGAAAAGAGAACAACAGGACAGAGGTGACCCGGTTTCTCATGGCCATTGTGGAGGAGCTCATAGAACAAGCAAAGGCCGAATGGCTAGAGATGCAAGATGACACAGCGGAGGACGAGGAACTGGAGGTGCCACTTCCTCTTGTGCGACTGCGCGTGGAAATCTCCACGCCAGAGGGCGGCAGCTATGACTGCGAGAACCCCCAGCGCTTCTCGAATCGCTTCGTCGGAAAGGTAGCGAATGTGAACGACGTCGTGCAGTTCTACCGCAAAAAGAAAAGCGCCACCACCCGCAAGAAAGATGACGATGTCGACGAATCTGCAATGTCGCACCTATCTACCCTGGACACTGTCAAAGTGGAACAACTGGTCCGGGAGTTTCTCGCCGCACAATCTCTCACGATTCTCCCGCAGAATTCGTTCGGCGACGCCGTGGCCCAGTTCATCGACAAGGACGACAAGCACGCGATGGAGATGTTTGTCAACGAGTCGCTTGAGAGCCAGATCAAGCACCTGATGGACCTGGATCGCGACAGCGACGACGCGGACGAGGAGGAAGCGGCCCAAAGCTCGCTCCAGCAGGCCATGGAGAAATACCGCGGGCAGATGGAAGACATGTTTTCGCGCGGGGTCAAGAGACGGGCCCGCGGCAAGAAGCGCTTCAAGCCGAAACCAGATGGCTGGGACAGTGAATTCGATGGGCCTTGGGAGGATCAGCCCGGGGCACTTATCCACTCGGACAATGAAGGCGGTGATCCTGTCGAGGAGGAAGCGGCCGAGGACGGTACTGAAGCAGCCAGAGGGACATCCACAAGGGGTCGAGGACGGGGCCGTGGCCGAGGTGGAAGAGCTGCCGCTTCTACTAGCACCCGCACAACTACCACAGCGAAGACGACGGCCACGAAGAAAACCGCGCCAGCGAGGGCAACCAAGGGCCGTAGCCGCCGGACGGTATCGGACGATGAGGACGAGAACGATGTTATCATGCTTGACGACTCAGATGACGACGTCGGAGCGAACCAGGGTCTGTCTGACATTGACGAGGACGATGATGATTCCCAAGCTCTTTTTGTGAAGCAACCTACTACGCGGACTCGGAAGGCCGCCCACTCAACAGCGAGCAGCAGGCGTCGATCAGGGCGGAGCGCAGTCTCGCCGGCGCCTTCGTCCAATACGGTAGGAGGCACGGCTCCGCGTAGATCGACTGCAACGGCGCGGGCGAGACAGACCCAAACCACGCTCAACTTTACCGGATCTCAAGCAAGCGCGCGAGGCAGTGCCGCAAGCTCTGCCAAACGACCTAGTCGCACCACCCGAAGCACTAGTGTTCTCAGCGAGGACGTCGATGACGATAGCGATGCGTTTGAGGCCATGCCGAGCTCGAGGAGGTAGACCTGGGCCCGCGTCAGGGACTGCAGATGAAATGTCTACGCTACGATTAGGGAGTAATTCGCATTGCAGCGAGATGTACCTTATATTATGCGTTGACCGCCGGCGTTCCAGGATAGCCATAGCACATGAGACATGAATCAACTACACCACGAAAGGTCCACTTTCTATCTAACACCTACAACTTCCCCCGATTCAAGAACTTCACCGGCAGATCCACCCACCTGGCACGCAAGAACTCCGCAACATTCTTGCCCAAAAAGTCGACAGTCGTCGTCGCGCCGACGCCCCGATCCAGCAAATTCCGGAACAAAAAGTGCACGCCGCGGAGATTGGGCAGCTCGAACCGCTCAATCTGCAGCTGCGGGTTGGAATTATACTCCTCCCCGAGCAGCTCCTTCATGCGCGCAGTGGACAACAACGACCGCAGCCAGAGGTATTCGTCGCTATGACGCACCCAGAACCCGCAGTTCGCATCGGGCCCCTTGTCGCCGGAGCGGGCGTGCACGATCCAGCCCAGCGGCCCGCGGACCGTCGCTCCAAAGTCGACGTCTCGCGTGCCGGGGGCGGTGGTGACCGCCTGCGAGGGTTGGCGCGCCGGATACTCGCGCGTGACTGGGGGCGGCGGCACGTCCAGGGTCTGGTTCTTCCAGGGGAGGTGCACGCGGTGCTGCACGTCCGCCTGCGGCAGGAGACTCACGTAGTACTCGTACACGGGCTTGGGGAATCCCTGGCGCAGGTCGAGGTGGAAGGTGGCGCCGGGGTAGCCCTGCATGATGTTGTCGGTGATATGGCGGAGGAAGTTGTTGGGGGCGATGGCGTCGGGCGTGCGGGCCTGCACGACGACGCGGACGGTGACGGTTGCGGCGTCCTGGGAGCGCGGGTCGTCCGGCGCGGAGCCCAGCGTCGAGAACTTGAGCGCGGTGTAGTTGGCCGCGTAGGGGGCGAGCAGGCGGCGGAGCTGCGCCTCCAGCATGCGCGCCTTCGCGTCGATGTCCAGCCCGACCAGGAACCACGACGCCTCGGCCTGAAAGCCGCCGCGCGCGGTCACGCCGACTTTGGTGGTGGGCGGCGGCGGCGCCGAGCGCACGCCGTGCAGCGCGACGCGGTTCGTGCCCAGCTGCTCGAAGTGGATGTCTGTTAGGATGGCGGTGACGTCCGAGTTGAAGTACCACGGGCCCTGGATCTCGTACAGCAGCTGCGACGAGCAGGTGTCGACGGTCACGGCGCCGCCCGTGGCGTACGACTGCATGGTGATGATGACCCTGCCGTCGGGCGAGATCTCCGCGATGGGATACCCGATGTTGGACCAGCCGGCTGGGCCGAGGTGTTCGAGCGTCTTGAAGCCGGTGAAGTTGCCGCCGCAGACGTAGTTGCTACATTCGATGAGGTGGCCCGCAACGAATGCATTCGCCAGCTGGTCCAGGTCGTCGCGGGTCCAGCCATGGAACCAGTATGCGGCGCCAATGACGGGGGAGGCGTCTGAGACGCGGCCGCAGAGGACGATGTCGGCGCCCTGGGCGAGGGCAGCGGCGACGCCCAGTCCGCCGAGATAGCACTGGGCGTAGATCGGCTCGAACGACCAGTCGCGCAGGGTCTCCCCGGTGTAGACGTTTTTGAATGTCGATTTCCCCGAGGACAGGGCCTGTTTGACGGTGGAGAGGACCTCGTCTCCAGACACCCAGGCCACCTGCGTGCATCACATCACATCAATACATGCACGGCTCACGGAAACGAAATCCTGTCGATGCGCGCTCACCTTCAAATCCAGCTTCTTCGCCTGCACCATCTTCGTCACGGCCTTGTACAGCCCTTCTGTGTCTGTGTTCCCCGCATTGACCGCCAGCTTGATGCCGTACCTTGCCAGATCATGGAGGGCCGGCTGCAGCGCGAGCAAAAACGCCGGCTCGTAGCCCGGCGCGGTGGGCTCTAGGCCGGCGGCGACTTGCCGGTCGGACTCGATGCGGCGCGCGGCCCCCGTGGACATGTTGGCTTCGCTCATGAAGTCGGCGATGATGACGTCGACGGGGTCCTGGGGATAATTGCGGGCGAACTCGACGATGGCATGGCGCCGGTCTGAGGCGGAGCCGGAGGCGCCTGTTTCGTTGGCATAGAGTATAGACGGATGGATGGTGGGTGGACTTACCGGCGATACGGACGGGACGGGAGCTCATGGTTGTTGACTATGGTCAATTGGGACCTGGCAACGGAACCAGGTATACATGAGCGGTGGTGACGCGAATGTGATGATATAAGTGCACGCAGTAGAAATGCGCCGAGGCTGTCGGTCTGGAGATGCGGGGGTGAGGTTACCCCGAGCGATCAACCAAGATTCTATCGATCAGCCATGGAATATTGTCTCGTCAGGGATGATGCGATATTGCCATATAAACGCGGTTAGTCGGAGAGCAATAGATGAACTCATGAATCTCATCGAACCCCCTGCACACTACAAGCCACATAATCCGTAGATCTACACATTCCACCACTGCCCGATCAACACAGCAACCAACACAATAAGCACCACAGATTTGACCATCTCGATCTCATCGCGATGTCGACTCGCCCAATTCCCCAGTCGCGCCGCCCAGACCGACCGACCGGCGTCTTTCAACGCGCTACGCAGCCCCGGTAGCCCGTCGAGACTGGCGCTATTATTCAGCCGCTGATACTCGTGCAGCACATTACCCTCGACCTTCTTGCTGGCCCAGTGGCCCATCGTCTCACGGTCCTTCAGATACGGTCTGGGCTCTGGGTCGGGCGTGAGAGCCAGCAAGGGGACGCCGTAGCCGCAGGACCTTTGGACCTGCCCAACATTAGCTTATGGCGTAGGGACCTAGTATGGTTCGGAAGCAGTAGCATTGCGCCGGGACCACGGTTCCATCGTCACGCGCGACACAAATGATATAAGAACACCCAGAAAGACACACCTTGAAAACATCCAGACGAATAACCGCCCTTGCCCCCAGCACCCTCTTCCCGCCCATGCGCGCCAGCTCCGACGCAAACCGGGGCTCGTCCCACTCGATCACCTCGGCCGTGGAGAAGAACCGCAGGATGCGCGGGGTCGGGTCGAACGAACAGAACATGACAGTAAGGCGGCCGTTTTCGCGGACGTGGCTGATCGTCTCGCTTCCGGAGCCTGTGGCGTCCACATAGGCGGCCTCGTTCGGACCGAGGATGGCAAAGGAGGAGTCTGGGAGGCCCTTGGGTGACAGGTTGATGTGGCGGCCGCGCAGGGGCGCCGAAGCGACGAAGAAGACGCTCTGGCGGAGGGCCCAATCGCGGAGGTCGGGGGGGATTGAGGGGTAGAAGGTAGGCATCTATACGGTTAGAGTATGTATGTATGTATCTAGGTAGTAAGGAAGGGTGAGATGTAGGTATCTAGGTATCTAGAAGATGGATTTGTTGGAGGGTTTTACGGGCGGCAGGGGCCAACGCGGGTGACTCACCACCCTAGTAAATACGACGGGATAGATGTAAGCATGCACACTACCGCATCCCTACGATGGTATTTACATCCTCACCTCAACCACATCTCCAATCCTCCCCGACCACCACACCAGAAACCCACTGTCGGGAACATCCACCCACCGACCCCACGGCAGACGGGCCTCCACATCCACCGCAGACTGTACATGCAGCACGAACCGTTGGTTCTTCTTCCACGGCCCGAGTCGTCCTACATGGAGCCTAATCGCCGCTGGAATGCGCTCTGAAATCCGCTGGTCCCACCGGAACTGGCCGACGCTTTCGCACGAGCCATCCTCGTAGTGGAGGAGCAGGCCTAGGCAGCGGCGGGAGTAGTGGGCTACGCTCTAGTACGCCTGCACCTGGCGCAGGCCGTGCAGCGGTGCGCGGGACATGTATTTGATGCAGAAGGGCTCGAGTCGGGGCGATGGGGGGGTGGGGGTGCATACGGGTACCAGTTTGGGGTTGGGAGCTGCGATGCTGGAGATTTGGGGCCGACGGCAGGGTCGCAGGTCACTGCGTAGCCGGATATGAAGCTGGCGTCTGGGTCAAGCTGTTATGGCACAGGTCGGAGACCAGGCTGTCTCCAGGGTGTGAGGTGGGGGGGAACTCGTAGGCGTATCGGTTTCTCACCCATCCGTGCGCGGGATACTCGCCGAACAGAGCGTATCGCCCGCGTGTGGTTTGGAGCTGGGGAGTTAGGCGGGCAGAATGAGGAGGGGGTGATACTCACAGCGAATTCGGGGTAGGAGGGACTTTTGTGGTCGTTTATTCGTTTGCGGATCCAGACGTTCTGGATGTATTCCCCCAAAGGGTTAAGAAAGTATCTCCAGTAGGGGGTGAAGCGGCGCGGACAGGCTGTGTAGCCATCTCCAGACGATGGCCACGGGAACAGTGCCACATTGGCGGTTCAATAACACTCAAGACCCCAACCACTATCCACGGGAGTAGTCCAGCGGGAGGTAGAAAAAGAGCGCCTCGGGCACAGGTCGGTAGACGTTTCTGTCGGGGAGATAGGGTATATCGGGGGCGACCCATCTTTGAGTCGTGCTAATCTCATACCGCTTGATGGAGTCAAAGCTGAACTGGATGCCATGTACAAACATGCCCTGTGTTGGTTAGCGGTGGCTATGGAGATGTGAGGAGGACTCACATGGTGGACTAGTTCTATGCAGTCTTGAGGGACGGCGGTGTCGCCAGAAACAGCATGTTGCTCACGTCTGAGATGTATGACCATCCTCGGTCCAGAGTCTTGATGTACACACACCAGGAGGTACGCATGTTCGTCGTAGCCTAGGTCTTGGGGAACCAGTCTACTGAATATCGAGCAGACACACCAGCCGATACTATATCACAGCCCCCTTTCATACTTTACAGGGACAACCTCCCCTTTATTCAAGTTGTGAGTATCAAAATGCGCTTTATAAAGTGTGGTTTCTTCCGCAAAGCGCTCCCTCTGCTCAATATTCCGGGCTGGAAACGTCTCGCAAAATTACTACAGCCAGATCATCCGGAGAACATTGGGCAGCAGTTGCTGCTGGTGGGGACGTCCTCCCGACGATAGAGATCCCCAATCTCCGTATTCGTCTTATGCTTGCTTAGGCAGTTGTTCAATCTCTGAATTCTTTAACAATGACTAAGATTGACGCCGCGTATTACTCAGGTTGCTAATGCCTGGGAAGAGATAGAAATCACAAGTACTCAGCTTCCTAACGGCGCTCCAATGATGCACTTGAAAGTCTTACGTATTCATGCAGTGACTTGAATACATGACGACAAGACAGAAATGCATTATAGAAACTTGATGTATCTCACCCACATCTCTCCGACAATGAGGAACTTTTCTCCGTGCCTTAACAAGAGGATAATGCACTGGTTTTTCCGCAAATGTCCCGGCCGTTCTAAGTACATCGTCTGATCATCAGATCCAATCACTCTTATCACCGCATTCCGGTTCTCCCTCCAATCCGCAACTAAACCGTGCACATCGTCTGGCGGTGAGAAGAATCCTTGGGCATGTGTCCAGGTTCTGTCGATATAGAAACTGTCCGTTCGGTGCTCAAGTTTCTGTTAAATGGGAAAAACCTTAGAGACAGACCGAATAACACTCAAACTGGGTATATGCCTGGAGCCGGGCGTACCATAACTTTTATAATGTCTCTGCACTTTTCCTGAAGTTTATTCTCCGCGAAATCGTTGAAGATCTCACCATAGTAGCCAGAATAAGGTGTTTCCGCTTCCATGGCGTCGAGGTCGACTACGGCGATATATAACACATCGGCGATACCTATGGCGCCAGACAGCGCAGCCCCTATTATCAGTATCACAGCTGGTAAAGATAAGATGAACTGTCATACCCAAACAAAAAGCAGTGCGTGGCACTCTCTCTTGGTAGCGTCTCTGGTGGCGATGGTGAAAGGGAGTATAGTTGCTGCAAAAGACAGCATTACATGAGGTTCGGACGAGAAAGGTATGGTGGTGAGGGGTAGGTCGCTTTGAAGTATGTCGTGCTCCTATATTCAAGGATACATTGTATTGTTTCATGCTTCTAACATATGTACAGTAGATAGGGAAAAGCCACTGTTTCCGAATTTCGCTTCCCAATAACTTTGAAAAGACCGTTCCTTGGAAGCTCAGTCGATCGTGAACCTCATACAATGTGTCAGCATGCTTTTGGCTATCGCCCAATTACCAGACGTCACGGTTAGTGGAAGTATTTGTGATACAGCCCCCGAACCACCCCGGAAATCAAAGCCGAGGCCGTATCACTGCTGGAGCTCCATCCCCGGATGCGTTTCTCAACTGCATGGTATTATCTTAACTTCAAAATCTACGGCCGGCCATCCCTACAGGAGATCCTAGAAAAGCTACACATTCTGCACCCGATTGTAGAGGACATCACCTCCTCGAGTATGCCGTCAACTTGGTTCAGATCGATGACCATATACGGGTTGTTTCGATGGGTATTCCGCCGCAGGTCCTCTATCAGACGGCGAGATTCTCCCAGAACGACCAAATAGCGGGAGCATCCAATGGCCTCGGCGATGAGGTTGAGGATCTCAGCGGGGAGTCTTCGGAGCCGATCCTGACAAAAGCAATCATGGAGCACCCGTTAGACCGAGCGGGATAGAAGGCCCCCCGGATGGACGCCACCGTGGCCGACTTGGCCCCGGGGGACCGATATACCCTGCCGGTGGCATCGCCAAAGGCCTCCAGGTCGCCGAGGCTGGGCTGGGGCCCCGGGGGGTAACTAGCGATGAGAAGCTCATAACACGGCAGGTGCAGCCACATATGCGGCGTGGGAAAGCCATCGCAGGATACACAGTGGCTTGGACAATTGTGGGCAGTGTAATACACGCCATCGGGGTCTGATCGGGTCAGTACGGGTGGATGGATGGATGGAGGATGATGGGGAAGAAGATCGGAAGAGTACCGAGAATGGCGTCTCCGTCTGGGGCGGGTTGTCTACAGAGAATACAGCGGGTGGCTCGCAGATGGGTGGGTTGGGGGGAGGACATGCAGCGCTAGCATTACGTATGGAGTACTCCGTAGTATAGTTCACGTAGGAGAATATAGTTAAGATTACAAATCCATATGGCCAGACTGTCTAGAGTAGATCCGTTATCCCGATGTAGGACGAATCCCGGACAGACGGCTGCTTATGTGGGGAGTTATTAGGAGTATAGAGTATACTAAGCATGCTTCGGGCATAGGGGAGGGACATAGGAGGTACCTGGCGGACGACGATGAAACCAGCGAAAGACAAGTAGCTTGAATTGACCCGAACCCCGAATGACCCCGCCTACCGAAAGAGGAGAGACTGCCGCCGTTGGTGCTTGGCAGCCCGCTGTGGGGGAGCAGAATCATCTGTAATAGAATAAGAGAATTGTGATTAATAGGTATTATGCAGGGAGGGGGGTATAATAGCGAGTATTATGCGTCTCCATTCCTCCGCACCGTCGCCAATAATGGAGGATGATATAGTCTGCATACAGCGAACAGACGGAGTACAGATCTGGAGATACGGAGAACTCCATCAGTCAGCCGTACCGAAATGACCGTACCATACCGTCCCTTACACCAAACCCCGAATCGCTCTCACTGGTTGGTGGGAACCCCGCACGATCGACTGCAGGTGGGGACTGCCCGCCAATACGACGTTAGCGCCTGGTAATACCAATACGGTCCCCTCCTCCGATCCATCTCGCATCTGGAGCTCTTCTCCATCACGACTATTTAGTCCCCCACCTCTCTCTCTTCTTCTCTTCTCTTCCAATTCTTCTTCCTCTACTACTCTCTCTCTCTCTCCTATCTTCTCTATCCTCTCCCCTCCACTTCGTCCCATCCATCCTCCACCATGTCCGACCTCTTCACCACCATCGAGACCCCCGTGGCCAAATACGAACAGCCTCTGGGCCTGTATGTGACACCATCCCCCCCCTCGCCACCGATGTCATTCCGCTAATTCTTCACGCTAGCTTCATCAACAATGAGTTTGTAAAGCCTGTCGAGGGCAAGTCCTTCGAGGTCATCAACCCCACCACCGAAAAGCCCATCACCAGCGTCTTCGAGGCTACCGAGAAGGATGTCGACATCGCCGTCGCCGCCGCTCGCAAGGCCTTTGAGGGCGAATGGGCCAAGGTCACCCCCTCCGAGCGCGGTCGCATGCTCGGCAAGCTCGCCGATTTCTTCGAGCGCGACAGTGATATCATCGCCGCGATCGAGTCGCTTGACAACGGCAAGGCCTTTGTCATGGCCAAGGGTGACGTCGCCGCCGCCGCGGGCTGTCTCCGCTACTACGCCGGCTGGGCCGACAAGATCCACGGGCAGACCATCGACCAGAACCACGAGTCCCTGACCTACACCCGTCACGAGCCCGTCGGTGTCTGCGGTCAGATCATCCCCTGGAACTTCCCCATCCTCATGTGGTCCTGGAAGATCGGTCCCGCCGTCGCCACTGGTAACACCGTCGTCCTCAAGACCGCCGAGCAGACCCCTCTGTCGGCCCTCTATGCCGCCAAGCTGATCAAGGAAGCCGGCTTCCCCGCCGGTGTCGTCAACATCATCTCCGGCTTCGGTCGCGTCGCCGGTGCCGCCCTCTCCTCCCACATGGACGTGGACAAGATTGCGTTCACTGGTTCCACCATTGTCGGCCGTACCATCCTCCAGGCCGCCGCCAAGAGCAACCTCAAGAAGGTCACCCTCGAGCTGGGCGGCAAGTCGCCCAACATCGTCTTCGACGACGCCGACATCGACAACGCCATCTCCTGGGCCAACTTTGGTATCTTCTTCAACCACGGCCAGTGCTGCTGCGCCGGCTCCCGCATCCTCGTCCAGGAGGGCATCCACGACAAGTTCGTCGCGCGCTTCAAGGAGCGCGCGGCCGCCAACAAGCTGGGCAACCCCTTCGACATGGGCACCTTCCAGGGCCCGCAGGTCTCCAAGCTGCAGTTCGACCGCATCATGGAGTACATCAACCACGGCAAGCAGAGCGGCGCCACCGTCGCCGTGGGTGGCGAGCGCCACGGCACCGAGGGCTACTTCATCCAGCCCACCGTCTTCACCGACGTCACCAACGACATGAAGATCGCCCAGGAGGAGATCTTCGGCCCGGTCGTCACCATCCTGAAGTTCAAGGATGAGGCCGAGGCCATCAAGATCGGCAACGACACCAGCTACGGTCTGGCGGCGGCCGTGCACACCAAGAACGTCAACACCGCCATCCGCGTGTCCAACGCCCTGAAGGCGGGTACCGTCTGGATCAACTGCTACAACATGCTCTCCTACCAGGCGCCGTTTGGCGGCTTCAAGACGTCCGGTCTGGGCCGCGAGCTGGGCTCCTACGCGCTGGAGAACTACACCCAGGTCAAGACCGTCCACTACCGTCTGGGCGATGCTCTTTTTGCTTAGTATATATGAACATAGTTATGAAATAATGAAGTTTGTTCACTTTAGATATTCAATCATAAACTGGGAACACTGGAGTGCTCTGATTGTAGACTACACCAAAACAATCCCCATCCCAACCCCAAACCCCATCACCATCCACACCACCCACCCCAACCCAGCATACACCGCACTCCCCCCGGACGCCGCCGCCTCATCCGCCTCGCAGATCCTCGACTCGGTCACCAGCACCGTCTCCTTAGTCGGCGTCGCCTCGCGATCCGCCATAGTCGACCCATTCGCCAGCGTCCCATTCACCACCAACACCAACTCCCCATCCACAGTAACACTGCACACATCAGTGTCATTGCGCGGATCATTATAAATCCCCAGATACTCCAGCAACGCCGGCACAAAGCTCGCATTGCGATGCCCGTCGTCGCACCCGCACACCGTATACAGCGCGCAGCAGCAGTACACCGGCAGCAGATGCACAATATACGCGCCGTAGTCGTCATCATCCATGTTCAGCTCCGTCCAGTTGTACCGCGCCGCGTACCGGTACGCCCACGACGCGTTCGCTACCGAGCACAACTCCCCCCCGATATACGGGTACGGCGCCGTCTCGAAGTCCAGGTCCAGCCGGGTGGGTGTCACCCCGTTCGGCGACGTCTCCCCCGCTGTGTAGGGTACCCCCGCCCCGCCGAGGTAGACGTATTCGTGTCCGCTGAGCAGGTAGGATACGTCGTAGTCGCGCACCGATACCCACGCCCCGCTGCTGTTGTCCCAGCGCGGGTATGTGCCTGAGCCTTCCGGGGTGTAGCCGCCTGTGTTGTTGCCTGGGCTATAGGGTAGGATGGTTAGTTTATAGGGGTTACGTAGGTGTAGGCGGATGGGATGGGAGGACGGACCTGCCCGTGCCCGCGCGGTAGAAGTCCCCGAAGCTGCCTGTGTTCATCATCTCGATCGTCACGTTCTTGTCGTAGTAGCACATTGGTGCAGAGCTGCCGCTGCTGCTGCTGCCGCTGCCGCTGTCTGAGTCGTAATCGTCATAATCCGAGGAGGAGGAGGAGGAGGAGGAGGAGGAGTCCGAGTCAGAGCTGGAGTCTCCGCCGCCTCCGCGGCGCCGTTTGTATAGCCATTTCGCGTCGTCTTGTGCTAGGGCTTGTGCTGGTGTCGGTGCAAGACCCGCGTGTCCCGCGATGCTATGCGCGGTCAGCGCAGAGAGCAGGAGGGTCGTGAGGAGGACGGCGGGCAACATCGCTGCATTCTGGTGGCTTCTTGAGACTGCATTTTGTGGGGGGTTTGAGTGTTGATAAGGGGTGTTGGAATTGGCTTGGCAGGTGCTCTTTCTTGGACTAAGCGATGCCAAGCTCGTATTCTGGCTTGGCTAGAGGTGATTTGGGTCCTTTTAGTGGGTGTTGTGAAGGATCCGAGGTTGAGGGTTTAAGCGAGCAATCTGGTAAGCATTTTAGTGTGTGTATGGTTGCGGAGGATGGAGCGTTTGTACGAAGGCAGATTTGTCTTGCTGTTCGGGCGTATTCTGTTGATTAATAGAGTTATAGAGACAGGGGGGTTTCAAACTATTTCTGATAGAAATTAGACCGTTTATCTTATCTCCACTACTGCTTCTAGGTGCATAGAGTGCAGTAGATCACAGGATGCATATAGATTATGATAAGCTCATCGAGACTACAGGAATCCATCTTCTATCAGATTGGAGTACGGGATATCTCTCCCGAGGCACTCGGACCCCATTATACCGAAGGAAGTATATCAGATGCTCTCACCAATCATGAGCTACACTAGTACTTCTGCGCTTTTCAAGGCAGCGAAGAGCAGGATCTATCCGGTAGGGGGAAATCTGTTATCTGTGTTTATATCTATTAGCTTATCTGCTTTGGGGGCATGATGACAGTGGACATATCTTCATCATATGACTATGGCTACACTAAGACAAGAGGAAAACAAACGCTTCATATCATACATAACAATCATATCATCATAACGCCGGATTCGACTCGCTGCTCCGGTTCGACACCGGAAGAGACCCATCAATAAATGGAAAACTATCCCACAGCGGCAGCTCCATGCCCTCCCACCCGGAAAACGCAGGGTCCTGCTCGGCAGGGTCCATAGACGCCCACGCGTCAAGTATATTAGGCGTAGCCGGCAGTAAGTCATCATTCTCCATCGAGAACCTCGTAGGGTTGGCCAGCGGTCGATCACTGTTCAGGCTAAACAGCTTACTCACATACCGGTTCTTGTTTTGCGGCGCGTACTGCATCAGCCGCTGGCGCTGCTCCGCGATCGCGTTTTTCAGCGAGCTGAGGATCTCGTAGTAATGCGAGGCTTGCGCGGACTGCTGCGCCAGCGTGCGCAGGATCTCCAGCGCGCCGTGGAAGGCTTGCTCGACTGCCGTGTCGGTGTCTTTTTGCGAGAACAGCGAAAATCCTAGCACGAGGGCTGCCGCAAAGACGAAGGCCCTGGTTGTGTGAGCTTGTTATCGCGAGTCATACTGGGGGACTCACTTGAGAATGCACATGTTCCCCAGGAGCAGCCCCGAGTGATACACCTCCATGCATGTCTGCATCATGTACAGGGCTGAGTCGGTGCACGCATTAGCCAGCTTCACGTGCGCTGCATCTTCTTGAAGGAGGCTTTCGTTCTCCCCAGGGCTATTGCACATTCGCGCCAGACGAACGCCCAAGGACGAGATGAGAAACGGCCGGCTGACGATGATGACGGCGAAATGGTACGAGCATGCAATATGCAGGCTCCCGACGATGTGGGCCTGCGCCGTGTGTGGCTCTGTATCTGCGCTCGGCGAGGATAGCACCGACTTGGGAAGACTATTGCTCCATTCGTTGAGCTTCGCCAGCAGCGACTCGGCGGTGTCGGCGGAAGCGGCTGTCTCCCCGTACAGACGGACAATGATCTCGTCTAGGATCTGCGACATCCGGTACGAGGCGAGAAGCCTCTCTTCCATCGCACCAGGAGGCTCTTCCATCTCCCCCAGTCTTTCGTTGTATTCCGAGCGAATGTTGGCGGTCGCCGGCGGTCGTCCGAGGATCGAGCTCGACATGAGGTCCAGGGTGCAGAGGCTCATCCACACGCACGTTCTATCCAGGATTAGCATAGTGAGCCTGCAGATTCATCCACGACATACCTCTCTCGCTGTTCCTCTATCGTCCCCGCTTTGGAGTCCTTGAGATGGAGGCCTAATGCCACCGCGGCGCGAGCTGCAACGCCGAGGTACATAAACGCCGCGTTTCGACGGCATGCGCCCATCATGTAGAATGCCATCAATAGGAACAGTTTGACCAGCTCTAAGCTCGGGGTCTCGATCATCCCGGCAAATGCGACCCGCTGGCCGCGGGCAAAGAAGTACCGTTCCACCTGAATGGTGGTTGGGTCGTTTTGAGTCGATTGTGCGCCGATCGCGATTTTGATATCCCGTAACGCGGATTGGGTCCGGCTGTTGACTGTCGCGGGACGATGACTATTCACGTCTTCCGGTCGAGAGTCCGACAGGAGATAGATAAATCCATTAATCTATAATCATCAGCGCCAGTCAGGGGACTCCAATAGTAGACTCACAGCAATCCGATAGGAACGGAGGAGGGCGTGTATTTGCGACGGGTGTAGGCTCGGTTCCACAATTGGGGGGAGATCATGTGGTGTTTCGGTCTCTAGCATATCTTCGCTCTTTACATTGTGAGAGAACTGCGACGGTCCGATGTGTTGGGTCACGGTGTCGCGGACAAGCTGGAGGAAAGAGAGTGACGCCGCACGTCCCACGTAGACTGATCTGTTAGTTTGCGCTCAATAAACGCCTCCCTGTGTGGCGAAAGTCATACCTCGTTCGCCGTGCAGATTCCGCAGCATACGAGGCCGCGTCCGGTGCACGGCTTCCGGTGAGCGGGAGCCCAGCTCAGTCGACGTGGTCGACCGGTGATCCTGCGGACTGTGGTTCGAAATCGACGAAGACGGAGTGCACTGAGACTCCGAGAGAGGACTCTGAATCAGCCCCGGCTGGCGCACCGCGGGCGATCTCGCAGAACGAGACGTGCGCTGCAAGCTTCCACCCCGAGCTGGCACACAGCTCGCGGCGCGGTTCATCCGGATACATTTGGCGCAGGGGAATGTCCCACTGCATCGTTTCTTGGTCAGGCGACAGGCGATACATGCCTCGTAGGCACGGACACGCTGGTCCGGCGGGACCTTGGGTCGAGGCATCGTCCGGCAGCCTGCCCGATATACAGCGAGATGAATGCTTTTTAACGACTAGAGAGAAGGGGAGAAGTGGACATGGCGAGGGGAGACATGGGATGGACGACTGGGGAAGTGGGAGAGTGAAGAGGTGGAGTCGGTTGATATCAACTAAACCGGAAGACATCCGTGGTCCGTGCGGATCTGTTATCCAAACCGACCAGGCATCATTTCCACCATTTTTATTCGGATTGCATTGCAAACCCTGCAGACTCGGCAGATCGCTTGCGGTTGACCCGGCTCGGTACTGGCGGCTGTTCATCAGAGCTTGTGCCAGCGGTAGGAAATCCCAGATCCATCTGCACCTGTCGAATAACCTGGATGAACTGCTCTCTTTGCTGGCCGCTCTCAAAATCAAGCTCAAACCTTCCTTTCGGACCATCGATAATCAGCTTGCCTTTTTCAAAAAAGCAGCAGATCTGCTGGTCAAAGGCGAGGGGTATCCAACAACGAAATAGATTCTTCAGGGCCTGTCGGCTGAGGGTCGGTACAAGAGGGTAGAAAGAATTTTGAACCCTCAAAACCTCGTCTACCTTCTTTACACGTGAGGGTTCGTCTTCAAGGAGGGCGGCCAGAGCTTTGACTGTTTTGGGGGGGAAATCCGACCTCAGACCAAGCCATAAACCCCAAGAATATTCGGATTTAATGGCAGGGGAAAAATGTAGCATGGCAATGTCATGGAGTACGTTTTCTGCCAGGTGCGACTGCTTGAGCAACACCATCATAGCTTTGTCTTTTACCACCTGGCGCTCGTCGTCCAATAACATGACCAACGCTTTGGTTATATCGTCAGGAAGATGCCGCTGCGTTTCGAGCCACTCGGTTGCGTAGCAGGAACAATCATCCCGGCTATGTCTGAGCACGTGTACGAGAGAAGGGAGCAACTCGGATGGAAGCTCTTTTTGACTTTTCAGAGCCCCGGCTGCGCAGTTACGCACGTCTGCGTCTTTATCCATCAAAAAGTCGTGCAAGCTTTGAATAATCTTATCCGGGATCGGCGAGTGCTTCTGGATTGTGATTGCTGCAGACCACCTTGTTTCTGGATTCTCGAGGCATAAAACCAAGTCATGTAGAATCTCATCGGAGAGGGGCACCCACTCCCCAAGTTCATAAGCTGTGAAATCTCTCATTTCACTATCAGGGCCTTTTAGATGGTGGTGCAATGCTGGCAGAATGGCTTGTCGAAGACTTTTCTGTTGCCTGAAGTACCAAAATGTGCGTTGAAGTTTTCCCCAATTACCCTTCGCTTCCTCGAGAAGTTGTGCCATGCTATCGAGAGTTCCATCTGACAGGTTGTCTTGACTTGCCAACGCCCAGCCTGCAGCGAACCTTGTACCGGAGGCTTCTGCCTTGAATAGAAGGCTTAGCGCATGTCTGGTATCGTCTGGAAGAAGTTGACTCCTCAAGACCTGAATTGCATGCTCTATTTTGTCGTCAAGGTAGCCATCTATCGTAAAGTCTGCTTTTTTATTGAGCACTGAAATCATATCAAAGAGAACATCCTTCGGAAGGCTTTCTTGAGCGCACAGTGCTTTGCATGCGGCGGACCGTACTCTTGAAGATTCATCTTCAAGGAGCTGTACTAGGTCGTGAATAATCCAACCAGGTAAAATTTTATTGACCTCTAAAGCGGCAGCCGCCCTGTAGCGTACGCAGCCCAGGTTATCCTTGAGAAGCGTACCGAGAGACAGGACAGTGCTCTCTGAGAACTTATTTTGGGGTGCTAAAATTGGTCCTAGAGCGCCATTGGGGTAGACAATTTCATCATCTCCAAAGAGTAGCATCATATTTTGTATAACGTTCTCAGGAAGGTCGACCGCTGCCTTTAGGGCTTCGAAACTATCCCAGCTGATATGAGGATGAGGATGCCGTAGCAGCGATACCAGATCCTGGATGGCATTTCGGGAGAGAAACCTCTGGAACAAAACACTGGCTGCGGACCGACTGAGATACGAATCCTGATGGAGGAGGTCTCCAACTAGGATTGTCTCAATCTCTGTTGTTATCGTGTCTGGGGAGCTTTTTAACAAAGCTAATGCCATTTTTCTCACTGGGACGGGCGCATTTCCTTTGAGCAACAGAGCCGCTGCATCAAGTACATCTTGTGATATTTGATTTCCGAGTCCTAAGATGTCTAAAATATTTTCGTGATACCTTTCGTAACCCGGCCCGAGAAGTGTTGTGATGATGCGGCTTGGACATTCCATCTCGGCGACCATTCTTGGCCATGGGCTAAGTTTGCACTCAAGCTCTGCCCATTGAAGCAGCCGTTCCTCAAGCGCAAGTCTCAACTCCAAAATGACCTCATCGTCGTTCGCGGAGGCTACCTCACTGAGGCAATGCATGGTAAGTCGCTGGTGGGCTGGTCCCACCATGTCGCGAGGCTCACGGTCCAGTTGATCGAAGAAATCTTTCACCAACTCCCCACTTGGAGCATTTGGCTGCCAGCAGTTTTGTAAAAGCCCTGCCACAAAACGCCAATAGATATTATAGTGCGAATCATATTTCTTGGCCTGAAGGAACAACCGGGGTGCCATTAAAGAGTCCTTTGTTGATTGTTGACCCGCGCGAAAGCACGGGAGAGGCTTGTCCTGTAGCCAGTGCCTAACAAAATATCTCGCTGCAAAGAATTCTTGGAAGGTCAAGTGGAGGAAATGAAAGCTCTGTTCGTGTCTCTGGAGAGTAGCGTCTGAGGTACGCAGAAATGAGACCTTTCGAAGCACACGGTCGCCAGTGCGAGGAAGCTTCTCTCCGTTCCGTTTACAAAGTCTGTAGAAGGATTCTCGGTCTTTCAGCCGAAATTCGATAATGTCGTTGGTGAGCCCGTGGAAGGCGAGTGCCTCAATCAGGTTGATCTCGTCGAATATATAATCCTCAATGTCCGACTCGAAGATGTCTTTCACTTTCCCCTCCGTCAGCGGCATTCCTTGGTCATCTCGAATGCCTAGCTGCAGTATATCCTTTCTCCACAGCTTCAGCACAATTGCCTGATAAATGCTGGTCATTGTCTGTGGCCTCCCTTCCAACCAGTCTCGTTCCCAACTAAAGCACAATGCGTCCAGCTGGATAGGGATCCGCATGAGGCTCTGCATGAGTGTATGCTTTTGCAAGAATGACTCAATCTCTCTCGCTATCCCACCATCCGACACAATCTCCGGGTTGTTGATGTAGTTGTTAACCTGGTCCGGAAGAAATCCGATGGTTTCTAGTTCGAGATCGACAGTCCCGAGATCGATTTGGTCCGAGGGACGTGGTCTTGTCGTGATAATGGCCTGCGGTTGCTTCAGTAGATGGGACACAAACCCGTACATTGGCATGTCTTTATCTAATTCACGGGATATTTCGTCGAGGCCATCGAGTAAGAAAAGTACTCGGTTGCTGAGGGATGGATCCTCGACAGCCTGCCACAATGCTCGTGCCAAGTCTTTGCCGTCAGGTTGTTGAGAGAAATATTCATCATAAAACAGATTTTCCAAGTTGTACGCAACGGCCGTTTCCGATCTTCGTCTTAGCCTGCGCAATGGAACCCACAATACCCAGTCGAAAAGGTGGTTCCACATTTGATGGTGCAGGTGGTCATAAATGATCTTCTTGCAGAGAGTCGTCTTTCCTACGCCGGCCCGCCCTTCTATCAAGATGCGTTTGGGCACTGAAGGCGTCCGAGACGGTCCCGTGCGTGGTTCAAATAGAGACGGCAAGGCGATTATGTCTGTGTCCTTGTCTGCTTGCACCTTGAGGCGTGACATGAGAGAGAATGACTGATGATTCTCGACGACCTCTCGTGAGCGCTTCACCACTGCCAGATTTATATAACAGTGGCTCATTGGGAGTATTTGACCCGAAATACGCTCTATACTCAGCCGCTTCCCTTCAGTGTAGAAAGCCTTCAAGGCGGAAGTCGCACGAGAGGATCGAATGGTGGCTGCCAGCATTTTGACATCCTTGGTCAGCTTTCTCACAGCTCCACTGGATATTATCATGACATCTCACTTACGGCCCGATACCTCCGGATAGGAGAGGAGCTCTTTTGCAACAGCCGCGGCAGCTGCAGCGGCATAGGGGTGCCAAATGTCGTTTTTGTGCGAGTCCGCATAGTCGGAGATTCCACGAATAACGATGCAGCGGAAATCGTTCATAAGGCCTGCTGCCTCCATCTCAAAACAGATCGCCCCCTCGCTGCTCTTACTGATCTTGTCCCGTTCCCTCGCATTCTTCATCACGCGATCCCCTGATGCGATGACCCCGTAATGAATGAAAGGTTGATCCGAGGGGTTGCGGTCCTCCCGGGTAACTGTCTTTTGTCTATCGCAGAACTGGCAAGTCCGCTGATCTATGCAATGGTCATAGTCGGATTTGAACAAGATATCCGTCTCAGGCGGTGGTCTCTTATACTCAGACAGTGCTGGAAATCTTCTCAGCATATGCCCTATGTGACTTGAGACCTTGTTGGATCGCACGCGGTGATCAGATTCCATTTTCGGGAGGATAGACAGCCAATCCTGGGGCGGGGGCAACAAGAATCCTTTGCGTTCAAACCCAGTTGTAGTCTGCTTTCCTAGATCGTATTGCACGACACCACCGTGAGTCCCAGATGGAACACTGACCACCACATCCCCCAGACGAATATCGGTCGTGTCGCTGGGCACGCCGCCTCCAATTCCCACGAGCAGTCGAAGCGTGACTGACGGGAATGTGCGCGCTAGATCTCGCGCGACGACCGCAGCGGAGATCGTACCTTGGTTGCCAGCAGGCAAGGACACGATAACGACGTTGTGCTGACAGAGCCGTCCCAGAACGTACTTGTTTGGGTCACCGTGGGCGGTCGGTAGGGGCTGATGTTCTTCGTCCAGCATATATCTCATTGCACTCAACTCGACCTCAAGGGGAGTGAGCAGTGCCACTGTATATGCATCATGAGATAGATGTTTCGTCTTCGTTTCCATTGTACCTTGAGGTTGCCAGCGTATCTCGTGATCGGCGCACATGATTTGGCCTACACGGTTTTTAATCGTCGACTCAACCATCAAGTATGCAAGAAACCATCAAAATTTGCCAGCTCTCAAGCCTCATGTGCTAACCGAGATGTGTATAAGAACGAGTATCAGATTGCTTGGACGGGTTCTGGATGGTGAGACCTCAAAAATTGGGTACGAGTGCAAGAGGGAAGGCAAGGCGCACCAGGCAGCATCGCGCCCGGGATGTGCAGGGGCGGCGCAGTCAGATGTACTACAATTGGTACAGGCACCAGCCGGCGGTTAGATCACGTCTACTTATTGGTCCATGGCGGACTGTGGGTAAATCGAATACCAAAGACTAAAGGGGACAATTGAATAGGTAGCCTCAAGGTACAGAGCAGAAGGGGAAACTACCGGCCATTACCATTATCTGACACTTTTAGTTTAGTTCCTCGCATTCAATAACAATAACTCGCTTGAGTACAAGCTCACCAGTATAATTCATCAATTACTCTCTTACGATTATCTGTCATTAGATCATTGTCAGACACATGCCTGGCTGGTAGTTATAGCATTAGGCTAGCTGATCAGTATCGGGTATAGTCCCAATACTATATCGCCCTCCCAAAGTAGTGACTAGTGAGAGTAGCGGAGACCTCATAGGGGATCCCAGTTTGTGAGATTTAACTGCTTAGTATGGTAAAATCTTTCTGTCTATTACCCTATTCCTAATTTAGGTTTTCTATTTTACTGACTAGTATGCAGTTAATAGAAGTAATATTTGAATGTTTTGCACTGAACTCTAGTAGTGATGAGATAAACAATAGTTACACCAGAGTCTATCGTAGTCTAGAGAGAGATCTTCTTAGAAGTATGTCCCGTTCAAGCTCCACACCAACTGGTTGCAAAGTACAGAGTCTACTATTTCTATAGATTCTGTAGATATTCTAATGTATATCTTGTCTCCTGTCCTTGACTATGTTCGCCTGTTGCGAAAGGTGCCTGTATATGCTGCAGTCTGTATACTCGGACATCCTAGTCTGTACCATCACAACTCCATCTCCGGCGCCAGATCCCTCCACAGCGCACAATGCTCGGTCAACATCGACGAGACCAATTCCATGGACGTCGCATTCGTCTCGATCTTCAGCCGCTTGCCATCGCCCGATCCCCAGCGCCCCCACTCCGGCGCGTTGCGGTTGCGCGCCACGTTCGGATCCAAGTACTTCACAAAGCTGATCCAGTAGTCCATCACTATCGGAACGACGGCCTTGTTCACCGTGTTGTAGCTGGTCGTCTTCTCGTGTCCTGCATACCCCACGCCAAAAATCGCACTCATCTCGAACGTATGCGGAACTCCCACCCCCGCCGCCATCAGCGCCGGCGCGCGCACGTTGTACCGGTAGTTCCAGACCTTGCTGTCGGAGTCGTTCCGCTCAGCCATGGACATGGTGATGAAGTTCCCCGGACAGGTGAACGTCGCGTCGCCGTATGCGGCCGCCACCGAGGGGAAGTAGGCGTTGTGGTTCGGCACGGGGGGCATCAACGGGTATGCGCGCTGGATGGCCTCGAGACTGGCCGGCTGCAGGTGCGGATAGTTGGCTTTGAGGAAGGAGGCCATCTCCGCTGGGGTCGATGCGTTGTTCACGAATTCGGTGCCCTCGTTGGTGTCGTCGCCCACCAGCAACGGCATGTTTAGTGATTTGCCCTGGCTGAACAGCGTGTAGAGTTGGTCTTGGATCAGGTCGCCGTCGATGACCGGGAGGAAGTACCAGTACGGGAGAAGCAGGCCCTCGGCGCCAGGGAAGGATGAAACGACATTTGCTTGCAGTAGTTGGTCGAGGTTGGCCGCTCGAAGACACTCCATCGGGGATTCTGCTTCGCTGCACCCGGCGTCCTCAACGAACCGGTCAAACTGGAACTCCATCTCGGACACAGTCCGCAGGGTCGGCCAAAACGGAGACTCGTATACGGCTCCTATGAAGAGTCGGTCATCACGACCGCCGTACGCCGTCATGTGGTGGGCGATGGAGCCAGCACCGGCAGAGTCTCCGTGGATCACAATGTGCTCCGGATCGCCTCCGAACTGGGGACGTTAGTATCTGGTCGCGGGTTGTCCAGTGAAACTGTACCTGCTGGATGTGCTCTCTGATCCAGAACAGCACTTTTCGCTGGTCAAGCAGCCCGACATTCAAGTCGCCGTCCTGTCGCAGCCGCTCGCTGGCCAAGAACCCCAGAGCTCCCACGCGGTAGTTGAAGGCGACGTAGACCACATCAAAGCCGGATTCTTCGATCACTTTGCTGCCGTTGAAGTTCGCGTTGGAGTTCCACGCGTAGCCCCCGCCCTGGATGTGCACCCAGACTGGGAGCTTCGACTGCGCCGTCGCATTGCTGGGAGTAAACACGTTCATGTAGAGACAGTCCTCGGCGAACGCCACGCTGACGTTCTGCCCAACGCCGACGCATGGCCGTCGAAACTGCTCCTTTTAGCAACGGTCCCGGAAATCAACCAAGCATCTTACCTTGGTCGCATCTTGCACTCCGGACGCGTCCACCGGGTCCCTTGGAGCACGGAATCGCAGGTCGCCTAGGGGTGGTGCGGCGTAGGGTACCCCTAGATACTCGTCGATGCCGGAAGGCAGTCGGTTCCCGCGGTATTGGGAGTGGCCCAGGGTGACAATTGGTTGCTCCAAGCAGAACACACCGGCGCCATACAACAACGCAGCAAGCGCAGTAGCGAAGTACATGTCGACAACACGGCGCTGACCATCAGTGGTCTCTCGCTTTCGCTCCTGGAACCTCGATCATCTTTGTTGCTGCAGCCCCTTGCGAGTCACGTGGGATGTGATTTCAAGAACAGTGAGTCCGTCCATCGACTGCAGGGCTTATCACATCGGACTTGATTCAGCGGTCTATTGGGTTGGTGTAACGTGGTGTAGATGGTCGACGAACGAGGCAACCAGCTGTTGTCTGGAGCGGTCGGATCGCCCCCCATTCTGCATTCACACATTTCGTATGGAGGACAGGCACATAGACCTTCATAAGAACGGAGAATCCATATGTGACCTCATCTTCTCTTCTGTCGACAACCGAAAGATCCGACGAGCTTCTCCATCAGGAACATCCGTCCAGCCAATCACCGGGCCGCAGTGACATGCGGCATAGAGACATCTTCGACACTTCAGCATGAGCTCTCGAGAGAAGACCAGATTCAATCCAGACCCCAATGCGTCCTCTCTTGCGTCTTTCATTCGTATCCAACTTGCGCCTGGCGACTCGTCCCAGGCTCCCGATCTCCCGGTCGGCCCGCAACTTCTATACCACAACACCTTCCCTGACCAGCGCAGCCAGCATGACCAACACAACGAGCCTTGATATGTCGAATAGACAGCCCCAGACAAACCACCGCTCGTTATCCCTGTCGCAACATGAAGACGACCCGGAAATCCGCCAAAAATACCGCCCATTCATCCTCGAAGACACCGCGGACTGGGTCAGCACATTGGAACTGACAACAGCCCTAAACATGGCAGAAGCCAACCTGCAGACCACCAACTCGCGACTCAAAGTCCTCGTCCTCTACGGCAGTCTCCGCCGACGCTCCTACTCGCGCCTGGTCGCCTTCGAGGCGTGTCGGATCCTCTTCCGCCTGGGCTGTGACGTACGCGTCTTCGATCCGGAGGGCCTCCCCGTGAAAAACGACACCGACCACGGCCACCCGAAGGTGCGCGAGCTGCGCGAGCTCAGCCGGTGGAGCGACGGCCATGTCTGGGTGTCGCCCGAGCAGCACGGGAACCTGGTAAGTCGTGCCTTACTTCGTCTGTGCGTGGGTGCAACGCGCTGACACGCGAGTCGTGTAGACGGCCGTGTTCAAGAACCAGATTGACTGGATCCCGCTGAGCACGGGGAGTATCCGGCCGACGCAGGGCCGCACGCTGGCGATCGCGCAGGTGTGCGGCGGCTCGCAGTCGTTCAACGCGGTCAACTCGCTGCGGATTCTGGGACGGTGGATGCGCATGTTTGTCATTCCTAATCAGTCGTCGATCCCGAAGGCGTACACGCAGTTTCCGGACGAGGGGCAGGCGGACGACCAGCGGTTGATGGCGAGTGGGAATCGCGACCGGTTGGTGGATTGTATGGAGGAGTTTGTCAAGTACACGATCGTGATGCGGCCCCACTTGGAGCTTTTTGGGGATCGGTACAGCGAGCGCGAGGAGGCGAGGGTGAAGGCTGAAAAAGGGAAGAATACATAACATTTGATTTGAAGGGGATAGAATTTAGAGATAGACAGGGCTTGAACCTGCGAGGTACTTATTATGGAGAGTCTTAATAATGCTTGTACAGCATGGTAGAGCCGGATCTTATCCGCGTCAGTCTGTCGCCCATATGAGGACAATCTGGGTCGTGAAACTCGGAATAGGGAAAGACTATGTGTAACATTCTGTTATATTGAATGTAGAGTGTTTGGATGAAGGATAACTAGTCGCAGTGTAGCGGGTTGAGGTGACTTGGGGTTTGAGGATGGTGAAGTATACAAGTGTACACTGGGGCATATATATATCTCATCATGGATGAACATTCTGATGCTACATAATCACGGGAAATAGAGCAAATTCGACCGAAAGAGTTCGTACTACACTATAAACCACCATATACATTCAATTAGTGCATACTATTTACTCTATAGACGATGTTATGGCCAGGTATAGAGCCCAAAGTGAGATGTATCGGCATGCCGAACAATCGGGCCGAGGACCTGGGTCAGGCAGGGGTTCAACTGGGGTTCAACTTGGCATAATCATCACAGGAATATGAATCAGAATAATTGAGTAGGCTCCATAAAGAACCACGGTCTAGACAGCGATAGAATCAATTGGATTGAGTAATGGATACGGAAGAGTGAAAATTTTCCTTCTGGTGGGGGCAACCGGAAACAAACCAGACAAACAGGAAAAATTCGCTTGTGGCTAGCGCAGGCGGACAGGCCCCGCCCGAAAATATAAAAGGAGGGCCTCCCCCCATCATTCTGGAAATCAAGCGACTCTACGTACGTTCTCCTCCCCCCCTACCTTTGGGATCATCCTCCCTCTGGTTTCTCTGAAGAATGTCACTAACAACCTCCCAGTTCAAAGAATCACTTTAGAGTAGACGTCTCTCATTGAGCTTTTCTAAAAAGCCACAGAATCTCCACCCTTGCTGATGACTGCTATGTCCTCGATGCCCTAAAGTGAAGCCGTGTTTACTTCCGCCGCGACCGCGTCCGTTTCCGCATCTTGATACGCCTTGTCTTCGGACGAGCGTGTGTCGGGTGTCTGGGGCGGGCATCGGTCAAGGGAGTGGTGATGATCTTGACCTTGTCTTGACGTCGGACTTCGGTCGGTCGGACTTGGTGGGTGTCGAGGAGGTCTGAAAGGTGTTTTTATTTTCCATTTATGTTGTGGAAACGGAGAGTTGCTCTATACCCAGATAGTTGAATCAAATGCCTTCATTAATACGGACAATTTTATATTCCTGTAGCCTGTAAATATTCGAGATGCCTGCGACCCTTCTTACACACCTTCGGTCGAAACCTCTACCGTTTTGAGTCATGTGAGCGTTTGTTAGGTGACTGCTCTTGGAACAGAAAAAGGCAGTTGTACTCGGTGAAGCTCTGGACTCATAGATCTCGTAGATTTGTTGAGCTTCTTGGCCGTGTTTAAACCTTCAGGTGAAGGATAAGAACGTAAGGAGTAATGGCACGCTGGGCGGGCACAGCAGCATACTCGTATGCTCTTGCGTATTGCTGACATTAGTCACATGTCCACATCAGAATCAGGCAGCAAGGTTTGGGCCTGAACATCTTCCTGTCACCCTCCACCTTTTGACAAGAGCTCTTGCAAAAAGGGGAAATCATGTTGCAAAGCACCATGAAGCAGTGCTCACCTTTCACAACCGAATTTGATGCCCTGGTCAGCAACCTCCTCGACGAATGGCATGTTCCCGGGATGTCAATCGCCATCGTGGATGGCGAGCGGACGTTTGCAAAGGCAAGACTACGGAACAATTGGGCGTTATATATATTGACATTACCAGGGCTACGGGATTGCCGTTTTTCCGGCCACCAAAGCCAGTCCAGAAACACTATACTACACTGCGAGTACTACAAAGTCTTTCACAGCTGCCGCAATGTCTCTAGTCATCGAGGATAGGAAAGATAATTCGAAGGAAAAGTTCACAGCTGAGACCATTGCGGATCGTCCCATCCAGTGGACAACTACATTGGCCTCTATAATCCCTGAAGACTTCGTCGTTCCGGATGAGTACGCAACCGCCCACATCACGGTTGAAGATGCCTTATCCCACCGTACCGGTATGCCTTGCCATCTGAGGCACTTTGGCCCGAAGGGCTCAAAACGAACAGTAAAGGATGAAGTGCGTCAACTGCGCTATCTACCCTTGACTGCGGAACTGCGCGCTAGATACATGTATAACAATCTCATGTACACTGCAGTTTCGCATGCAATTGAAAAAGTAACAGAAAAACCCCTTGGTGAGTTCCTTAGGGACAGAATTTGGAAACCACTGAAGATGGATAATACCTACTGGACATCGCTAGATGAACACGCCAACCACAACACCTTGGCGCTCGGATATGCTTGGGATGCAACAAAGAACCTATACGTCCCTGAGCCGCTGCCAGATGTCGCCAGTGCATCTGGTGCTGGGGCGATGATCAGCAGTGTTTTGGATTATGCAAGTTGGATCAGATGCATGATATTCAAAGCCGGTCCACTCAGTTTGGAGTCTCATAGAGCCCTCACCCAGCCGCGGAGCATAATAATCGATGACGAGCAAAACCTGTTCCGCGAACCGCACTTCTATTCTTTGGGCTGGACACTCGATTCCTATCGGGGTGAGCAGATCATTTGGCATAATGGAGGCGAAACTGGTTATGGTACTACGATGATGTATTTTCCAAGTCACCAGCGGGGCTTGGTGATGGCAGGGAATACTTCGTTCACAAGCAATATAGTGCAGACGATCCTTTATATGCACCTATTGGACCATTGGTTATCAACACCCGAAACCGATCAAGTGGACTGGAACAGCCTCATCAAAGGCAAGATCTACGAGCATCGAAAGAAACAGGCTGATGCGAAAGAACGGCTTTATCCGGACCTACCTGGGTTCTCTATCCCTCCTGCGCTAAGACTTCGAGAGTACACAGGCAATTACTATCATGCTGCTTATGGAGAGTTGCTGTTCCATGTGGATAGGGACGGTAAGCGACTCGTGGCAGACCGGCTGTCCTATCAAATCTCCATCGTGATTAGCATGGAGCACGTGAACGGTGAATTCTGGCTTGCCACCTTGATGGAGCAAAACAAAGATCCTCGAGATCACGAGAAAGTTCGAGCCGAATTCAGGATTGGTTGTAATGGTCGAGTGAAAGAGATTGGTCTTGATATGGAGGCAGAAATGGGTGGAGAGCTGATTTGGTTCCGGAAAGGAATTGTTTAGCGTTCTAGCGAAAGGAACAAACCCCTTTACTCCTTCGGGATCAGGTCTCACACAGATTCGAAAAAATATAGCGAATACGATAACGCGCCTAGAATTGGATCCCATTCATTGTAGGTGATTAAGGGAGACTAAGCACTTACATGATCGAGAGAGTGAGGGTCTTTATTTCGGGCGTATCTTACGTGATACTATAAAAATCGAAAAGTATAAGCCCGTTGCGGATGAGCGCCTTGGCGCCAGGGTCCTGGAAATAAGCTCGTCACTGCGGGGAGAAAAGAGTATCTTCCCTCTGCTTAGCTGTCTACTCAGTTGAAATAGTTGTACGGTCGAATCAGGTGTTTGACCTACTCATACTTCAGGCCACCATTTGTCTATGGGTATCATATCATACATTCATCCGTACTCCGTACGCACATCTACTTCCCTTCCGCCTTCCCTTCACCCTCCTTCTTCGTCCCTCCCTTGTTTTTCGACCCCCGTCCACCTCGACCGCGAGACGATCCTCCCTCCGGCTTCCCTCCCCGATTCCCATTCCCACTCCCATTTGCATTTGCATTCCCTCCACCGTTCGTTCCCTCGCTGCGGTTCTTCCCCCGTCCCTTCTCCCCGCCCGGATTCATCTTCCGCTCCAGCACCACCACCTGGCTTTGCGCCACCGACACTGGACTCGCCGCAATTGCCTTCTGCAGTCCTTCTGGTTCTGCAAAGTCAACATACCCAAAGCCCTTCTTCTTGTCGATCTCCACCTTCACCACCTTCCCAAACGGCGTGAACGCTGCCTCCAGCAATGGCTCCGTCACTCCCTGCGATGGATTGGCGTGTTTCAAGAAGGCCTGTGTAGCTGTAGCTGTCGGCGGTGCTGATGCCTGCTTTCCCTTGCCAGATTTGGATGCCTTGGGTGTAGCCGTCGTAGCGGGAGGCGTGCTGGTGTCGGCGCGAGACGCCGCCTCACTCGGTGGTGCCGTATTTCCTTTAGACTTGGCGTTTTGGGAACCGCCTCCCTTCCTATCCTTTTTGCCAGATTCTGACGATGCTCCACCCGCCTCAGTCTTCCCGGCGTCGGGGTCCGCGCCGCCGCCTTTCCCACCACGGCGACGACCGCCAGACGGAGCGAGGCCCAGGTCTCGTTGGAGGATCTTGGCCGCTGCAGCGACATTCCCGCGTTCGCGCTTGCGTTCTGATGTCGCGGGCGACTGGCCATCCTTGGGCGAATTCTGGCCCGTAGAGGACTTGGATGCCTTGGCAACATTCGCCGCCTGCTTGTTGGCGGCCTTCACAGCATCGCGGGTAGCTTTGTCCGTCTTGGACGATTTCTTCTCCGACTTCTCCCCATCCTTGTCCGAGCGCTGGAGCAGTTTCTTCGCCTGAACCTTCTCGGATTTCCCGTCTTTGTCACCCCGGTGCTTCGATTTCCCAGATCCGTCTTTGGCTTTGTTGGCTTTCTTCTCTTTGATATACTGGACCAACGGCGTTGTTGTTATCGTTTCCTTCTTGTCTTCGGGCTCGCCGGTGGCTTCCACGGGTGCGGGTTTGGCGATCGGCTGCGTCAGACTCTCCAGGAAGGCAATGAAGTCGGGGTCCTGGTCGATTGTCCCCTGACGGGCGTCTTTGCGCACGCGGCTGCCAGGGATTTTGGCGTACGGGGCAAACTCCAACGCCGCCGGTCCTAAAAGTACCGGGTCGTTGGAAGTGTTTCGCGCATCAACGAAAGAGGTTTGGCGGACTTTGTTGGACAATGGTACAATGTATTCGCTGGAAACAACATGGATATAGGCGCGCGACGGTCGAGAAGGTTTGGCGGGACTATACAGTATTAGTTTGCTCATACATCGAGATCTATATCAACGGCGACATACTCTTTCGACACCTTTCCGGGTTTGTACTGAAACCAATCTACCTTGCCGGCGCCCACCTTCCACTCATCACCGATAGCGGACTCAAACTCGTTCTGCGTAAGCCCTGGCGGAAGCCGACGGACGAGGAGCTTCAGGCGAGGCGCGGGCGGTTTGGGCGCCTTCTTCGGAGCGGCGGTAGGTGCATTCTTCTGCGTTGCGGCGACAGGGATCTGGAGGACTCCCCCGGAAGATTTACCTGTCGGAGCCTGTGCCATCATGAGGAGAGTTCATGGGATGGGGGAAATGTGATGGGGAAGAAGTTGGATGATGAGAGGGAAGAAGAGGTCAGGTGCGGTACCCACGATTCCTCAGGCACCCAGGCCACTACGGCTGAGCACATCAGCCACCCACGCGGTCATCTCTGCGGGGAAACAACTCGCAACTGACCAGCTATCCTATACATATCCTCGTCCTTCTATATCGGGCTGCGGTCATCTGGCTCCCTGACATTCACTCGCTTATGATTTGATTTTCTCTCACTTTTCCGTGACACCTTTTACCGAATCTCTCCCTAGTCCGCCACCCTTAACCAGCCTGCTCCGTGCACCATGGTCGACAGTAAGGTGCCCCAGCCAGGGCCGGCCAAGTTGAAGCGCAATGCGGGACCCGATGAGTGGCTGGAAGCAGCAAAAGACTGCAAGTATCTCTCGGAAGCACACATGAAACAGCTGTGTGAGATTGTGAAGGAGTATATGATGGAAGGTGGGCGTTCTCCTGCGCCTTGCGCCCACTCACCTGACCAGTGTGTTCTATACAGAATCAAACATTCAACCGGTCTCCACTCCCGTAACCATCTGTGGTGACATCCACGGCCAATTCTACGACCTTCTGGAGCTGTTCCGTGTTTCAGGCGGCATGCCTGATGGATCCGATGTCGAGCCTCCCAAAACATCCCCCTCCGTGATCACATCCGACGACATCGAACCCCCATCCACCATCACAGACCCGAAGCTGCGCAAGAAGTTGAAGAAAGGTGGGGATGGAGAGGAGGATGATGAGTCTGCTTCGAATACCAGTCAAAGAGGTCGCTCGTCCAGCGGGGGCTCTGGGGAGCTCGCTCTGAACCGGAATTTCGTCTTCTTGGGCGACTACGTTGACCGGGGCTATTTCAGTCTGGAGACGCTGACATTATTACTGTGTCTGAAAGCGAAGTACGTTCGAGCTGTTGAGTACGGATGTGGCGTGAATGCTGACCGCGATAGGTTTCCGGATCGGGTGACGCTCGTGCGTGGTAACCACGAGTCGCGACAAATTACCCAGGTGTATGGGTTCTACGAGGAGTGTTTCCAGAAATACGGCAATGCATCGGTATGGAAGGCCTGCTGCCAGGTCTTTGACTTTATGACGTTGGGTGCTATTATCGACGGCCGGGTGCTGTGTGTCCATGGGGGCCTGAGTCCTGAAATCCGGACCCTGGATCAGGTCCGCGTGGTTGCGCGGGCCCAGGAGATTCCCCACGAAGGCGCGTTCTGTGACCTCGTCTGGTCGGATCCTGACGATGTGGAGACGTGGGCTGTTAGCCCTCGAGGAGCCGGTATGGTGACAACCTCACAGATGATGTCTCCAAGCTAATAGATCATGCAGGATGGCTTTTCGGTGACAAGGTGGCGGACGAGTTCTGTCACGTAAACGATCTGACGCTCATTGCGCGCGCACACCAACTGGTGAACGAGGGCTACAAGTACCATTTCGCCAACTCGAACGTGGTGACGGTGTGGAGTGCCCCCAACTACTGCTATCGCTGCGGCAATCTGGCGTCGGTCTGCGAGGTGGGCGAGGACCTGCGGCCGACGTTCAAGCTCTTCAGCGCCGTCAGCGACGACCAACGACATGTGCCCACGTCGCGGCCGGGCCGCAGCGAGTACTTCTTGTAACAATATCGCATGGAATTGTCTGCTTGCTCGTGATCTTCCAGACCTGGTCTGGTGGCACGGGGTCAATGATTTGCACCGGCGCTGGCGTTCGGGGACGTACATGGTTACGGGTCCCTGCTCCCATCGAGCAGGGACAGGGGATGGATATCTTATATACCTCGGGTGACGATTAGAGCATAATTAATGACGGTCATTGTGCATTGAGCTGTCTGGTGTTCAGCCCTGTAATGCATCGTATCACTAAGTTTGTGCAATCTTTGACCTGACCCGGTGGCACGATGTCTTCGGCTATTAGGGACCGAGTCGGCACCCCGACTGCCAGACATACCCCAGGTCGGGAAAGATTTATCCATGCCACGACATTGAGTTACCGTGCCTGGTGTTTTGGGTACTCCGGACGGGGCTCCGGATATGCGGAGGATTGTGTGGGTGCTGATTGGGTCAGTGGCTGCCAACCCCGGAATGCATTCCGGGGTGTCGGGACTCATCCCGGAGACACAATCATAAGAATCACTTCTATACCACTCATTCTCTTCGCCTTCATTCTTCTTTGCTTTTTGACCCATATTCTGTTGGATTCAGACGGGAGGCTTATATTCACTTTAGTTACACCTCACAATGGTCGAAAAGGTGGACGTCCTCATCTGCGGTAGCGGATCGGCTGGGCTCTGCGCCGCAACCTGGCTAGCTCGCTATGGCATTCGCTGCAAGGTGTTGGAACGTCGCGATGGCCCGATGACCATGGGCCAGGCCGATGGCGTGCAGTGCCGCACGGTTGAGATCTTTGAAAGTTTCGGGATTGGCGAGGAGCTTCTGCGCGAGGCCTACCATGTGCTTGAGGTGGTGTTCTGGGCACAAGACGGCAACGGAGTGATCCAGCGGACTGGCCGCACGGCTGATACACAGCCGGGTCTCTCCCACCAACCGCATGTCATCCTCAACCAGGCTCGCATCAACATGCTCATGATTGAGGCCATGCGGCGCTTCAACAACCAGGAGATCGACTACGGGTACGACATCAAGAGCGTCGAGGTTGACAGCGAGTTGGCCAAGGATCCTGCCGCGTACCCAGTCAAGGTCACGGCCGAACGGGACGGAAAGCTGGAGTACTTTGAGGCAAAGTATGCCATGGCCTGTGATGGCGCTCACAGCACCGTTCGTCGCTCGTTGGGATACACCATGGTTGGCGACAGCACGGACGCGGTCTGGGGTGTCATGGATATGGTCCCCCGGACAAACTTTCCCGATATCCGCAAGAAGGCTACCGTTCGGTCTAAGGCTGGTAACTTGCTGATTATTCCGCGCGAGGGGGATAATTACAATCTAACCAGGTTCTACATTGAGCTGCCTGCCGGCACAAAGGCGAAGGAAGTCAAGCTCGAAGACTTGCAGCAGACCGCTAAGAAGATCCTGAGTCAGTATGAGGTAGAGTTTGTCGAGACGGTGTGGTGGTCTGCGTATGCTATCGGCCAGCGTACGGCCGACCACTTCCATAAGGATTTCCGCGTCTTCCTCGCCGGCGATGCCTGTCACACCCACTCCCCGAAGGCTGGCCAGGGCATGAACGTCAGTCTGCAAGACGGCTATAACATGGGCTGGAAGCTCGCGTCCGTGCTGAAGGGCCTGGCACCTCCCTCGCTTCTCGAGACGTACGTCCTCGAGCGCAGCAAGACCGCTGTCGATCTGATCAACTTCGACCGCTACTTCTCCGGGCTGTTCTCCGGCGGAAAGGTGTCCCCGTCTGAGTTCCAGGAGGGATTCATCAAGTCCGGCAAGTACACGGCCGGTCTGACTGCCAAGTACGACAAGTCTCCGCTGACCGCCGGCGACGGCGACGCTGAGAAGCTGGCTTCGAATGTGGTGGTTGGTATGCGTCTGCCGAGCTCGCAGGTGGTGCGGTTCTGCGATTCGAAGCCGCTGCAGCTGATGACGTCGCTAAAGTCTGATGGCCGCTGGCGCGTCATGGCGTTCGCTGGGGACCTGCAATCGGCTGAGAACCAGGCCCGTTTGACTGCTGTACGTTTGACTTGATCGGTATCCGTGTCTGCAGGAGTACTAACAGCGATATAGCTCGGCAACTACCTCAGCTCCGCCGAAAGCCCTCTTCTGCGCTTCACGCCCAAGGGCGGGGACGTCGACAGCCTGATCGAGCCTATCTTGGTGGCGCACGGTCAGCGCCATGAGACTGAGCTCGAACAGATCCCCGAGATCTTCTACCCGTTTGCAGGCAAAAACAGCACTCGCGACCTGCATAAGATCTTCTTCGATGACGAGAGCTACAACAAGGGCCATGGGCGGCTGTACGAGTATCTGGGCATCAGCCCCGAGAGGGGGGCGATTGTGATTGTGCGGCCGGATCAATGTGAGTGTCATCGCCATAGGATGTGAATATATCCTGAGCTAATGGTGTTCTAGATGTCTCTGCTGTTTACAGTCTCGATGACTACGCCCAGATCGGCAAGTTCTTTGACGGGTTTTTGATCCCGCAGGACAAGCAGCAGGCGAAGCTGTAACTGCGTGTTGGTAGGGGCGTTATGATCATGAGCGTTGCATTGTATATAGCTGTCGCATATTATAGATGTCGTATATATTGGTTATCTCGTATTCGAGTTGAATATGATGCCAAGCCTAATCACGGTAGAACCTCGTAAACATCCAACCTCACCTCTTCCAGTTCACTCCTAAAGAGCACGAGCACAAACGGGCATGAACATGGAAATCCCACCGCATCTCTCCGAATTCACCCTCCCCCTCCCCACCTTCTCCAAAACAAGACCCCATCTCACCGACTTCGTCGTCGGCGGCCTCATCTTCTCCAAGCCACCCCCCACCGATCCAACCACAGCCCCCCGCATCCTTTTACTGCAGCGCGCCGCAACCGACGCCTTCCCCGGCTTCTGGGAAGGCCCCGGCGGCCTAGTCGAGCCCACCGACGCCTCGATCGTGGCCGGGGTCGCGCGCGAAGTCCTCGAGGAGAGCGGGCTGCACGTGTGTCGCGTGCTTGATCTGGTCGCGGTCGATGAGTGGGTGCAGATGAAGCCGGACCGGGTGCATCGCGTGGCGAAGTTTACGTTTCTGGTTGAGGTGGAGGAGGCGCAGGCGCAGTCGGAGACGAGGACAGGCCTGGCGCGCTGGCAAGAGGGCGTCTTGTTGGCGCCGGAGGAGCACCAGGCGTTTGTGTGGGCGACGGAGGAGGAGGTGAGAGAGGGGGTTGAGGGGCAAGAGCGGGCGAAGTATCGGTTTGTTGGGGTGCAGGGGGAGAATTTGTTGAAGGCGTTTGGGATGGTCAAGGGTGATGGTGGGTCTTGTATGTAAACGGGGATGCAGTGTATAGACTCTAGGATGTCAATATTGAGTTGATATCGTGATATAGTATCTATTATGCTAGGCAATGTTGTCTTCCGCCGGCAGTGCCCCCTCCGCCTGCATCTCCAGCGCAACCTCGTCCACCTCCCTCCATACACGCAGCAGATTCCCTCCGGCCACTTTGCCCGCGTCGTTGTCGCTGACGCCCCGGCGCAGGAGCTCGGCGATGAGCGCAGGGAACTTGGATACGTCTTCTAGACCGCGCGGGGTGCTCATGATCCCGTCAAAGTCGCTCCCCAGTCCTACATGCTCGAACCCGATCAAGCCGCCGATGTGCATGATATGGTCCGCGACGCGCTCCAGTGTGGCGTGCTCCGGGTCGAGCGCGGGGATACCACCTGGATCATCCGAGGCGACGCAGGAGATAAAATCCGGCGAAAAGTTGACCATCACCAGCGAGCGCCGCGCCTTGACGAGCCGCAGCACGTCGTCTGGGACGTTGCGCGGATGCGGACAGACGGCGTACGCGGAGCTGTGGCTGAAAATCACGGGCGCGCGACTCCCCGCCCAGTCGTCCTTCCCGGCGCCGAGCACATCGCGCATCGTGTCGGCGCTGACGTGCGCCAGGTCCACGATCATGCCTAGCCGGTTCATCTCGGCCACGAGCGTCTTGCCGGCGGCGCTGACTCCGTGCCAGAGCGGGTCGGCCTTGCGCACGCCGCCGTCGGGCGTGCTGACGATGGCTGCGTCGGCGTAGATGTTGTGGCAGTTGTGGGTGAGCGTGGCGTAGGAGACGCCGCGCGCGTGGAACGTGCGCAGGTGCGCGAAGGAGTTGCCGATGGAGTGCAGGCCTTCGATGCCGAGCGGCGAGATGATTTTGCCTTCGTTGAAGGCTTGCAGCGCGGTGGTGCCGTTGGGCGGCTTGGAGAAGGTGCCTGGATAGGCTGTCTGCAGCCGTGACACGAGGTCGACCTGTTCGAAGGTCTGACGGACGCCTGTGGATGTGAGTGGTTGGATGGAATGTGTTGCTTGGTTAGACGTACTTGATGCGTAGTTGGCATCGGAGAGGTCCGTCCCGTTGTTGGGACATTCGACGTATACACTCCAGAACGAGCCGCCGACCTTGCCTTGCGCCAGTCGTGGTAGATCGACGTGACCGGCCAGGCCGCCTTGGGTAAATGGCGTGGTGAAGTTCTCTTGATAGATGTGGTTCTTGTAGAGAAAGCGAAGCAAGATCGGAAGATCGTCATGGCCGTCTGCGGATGATTAGACTGGGTCTGCGTAGGGAGTTGAGAAACCTACCGATGAGAGGAGTGTTTGATAGAATCCTATTCACTCTATCCTCTATGCTGGGAGGGTTATCGCTGGCTCTGATATGCAGCATCAGCAGCCCTGCCATCAGCAGCGTCAATCCCAGACGAGCCATGTTTCGTAGGAGGGATGAATGTCTGGAGTGATCCTGTACGATGGCCGGTTCTGAACCCGAGAGGTGAGGGAGGAGACTTTCCTTGGACGACATTGTACCACCGGGACTCCTGCGAGATGCGCACTCCGGAAGGGATGCTGATGCGGAGTTCATGCATCCATCGGATGATACGGATTACCGCTTTGGGAGTTTCTGCCTTATCTCCCAGGCATAAAGGCACCACTGCGGGAGCCAATCAAGTTGACGATGTTCCACCATCCACTAATTACATAAGCTCTCCAATATTTCCAATTCCATTGATTCAATATCTTCAGTTCTTCTTTTCTCTCTTTCTTCTTGTTCATCGCCCCCTTCGTTTCGTTTGGTGTCTCTGCAATGCTGACTTAGTGTCTTTTGTCACATCTCCGCCTCTGCTTTCCCAGAGAATCAACATGGCCGAGGTCTCTTCTGAAGGGGGTAAGTATGCTTCATCCCACTACCTATGCAGCACTATCTAACATCGCACATAGGCCTCGTGTCTTTCTGGCACTCTTACCGCGTTCCCCTCCTTGTACTGTTCCTGACTGGGTTTATCGTTGTGCGCGCATACCGCAATCTATCCTCTAAATCGAAAACCCCCACCGCCTCGTCGATTCCTCCCTCTCCGCGAAGCCAGTCGCCCGTGAACAATGAGAAACCTACGGAAAAGACCAGTCCCGCGGCTGCATCTGAAAAGAGCGACATTACCCCCGCGAGGAGCCCCTCGCCCAAGTCGACAGGCCCAAAGAGAGTGACCGGGAAGAAGCCGCTGAAAGTCGCCGGTCGCCGCGCCACCTCGGACGAGACCCCTCTATCTTTCATCCAGCCCATTATCTTCTTCGCCTCTCTGACCGGATCGACGGAGCGGTACGCCAAAATCCTGCTGGAGGAGCTGCAGTCTGCCGCGCGCGACCGTGCCGACCCCGACAACCGCGAGCGAGGCCTTCTCCCGCCCCAGATCCACGACCTCTCCTACGTCGATTTCGACGACTTCTTTACCGCGGCGCCGAAGCCGCCGTCGACCTCCCCGGGCACCCGATATGTCTACTGCATGCTGATTCCCTCCTACAACATCGACACCGTCTTGAACACCTTCCTGGGTCATCTGGATGAAACGCACCACGACTTTCGCATTGACACCGCACCCTTGTCCAGTCTGGCCGGATACGCCGTCTTTGGATTCGGAGATAAAGAGGGTTGGCCTACCGAGGAAGAAGGATTCTGTTCGCAGGCTAAAGAACTGGACCGATGGATGGCCAAGCTGACGGACCGGAAGAGAGCCTACCCGCTCGGATTTGGCGATGTCAAGAGCGACGCTGAATCCGCTTTGAAGGAGTGGTCGCATGGACTTCAGGACATTCTTGGAGACATTGTCGAACACGGTGGTCTCGGTGAAGGCGCTCCTGGAAGCGGAGACCCTCTGGAGAGTGATGAGGAAGATGTGGACGACGAAGGACAAACCAGCCGTAGGCGGACCAAGGCTCAAACGGTCGTCGATCTGGAGGATATCAAGATGGGCCCTGATGGCCAGAATACTGGAGGATCCCCCATCCCGGTCGACTTCACTACGGCAGGAAAGTCGGCTGCCCCCGCGAGCCAGGGAACGGAAAAGGAGATGGTTCCTACCACGTCGCCTACCTACGCTGCGCTCACCAAACAAGGATACACGATTGTTGGTTCTCACTCTGGTGTCAAGATCTGCCGTTGGACCAAGTCTGCCCTGCGTGGCCGCGGTTCGTGCTACAAATTCTCGTTCTATGGAATTCGCTCGCATCTGTGTATGGAGGCGACGCCGTCGCTCTCCTGCAGCAACAAGTGTATCTTCTGCTGGCGACACGGTACGAACCCGGTGGGCACTACGTGGCGGTGGAAGGTGGATTCGCCAGAACTCATTTTCAACGGAGTGAAAGAAGGCCATTACAAAAAGATCAAGCAGCTGAAAGGTGTGCCCGGTGTCCGAGCGGAACGGTTCGCTGAGGCGATGCGCATCAAGCACTGCGCTCTGAGTCTGGTGGGCGAGCCGATTTTCTACCCGCACATTAACCGGTTTTTGGACATGCTTCACAGCGAGCACATTTCGAGTTTCCTCGTCTGCAATGCGCAGCATCCCGACCAGCTCGAAGCGTTGCACCGCGTGACGCAGCTGTACGTGTCCATCGACGCCAGCAACCGGGAGAGCTTGCGAAAGATTGACCGTCCCCTCCACCGAGACTTCTGGGAGCGGTTCCAGCGATGCCTCGACATCCTGCGGGAGAAGCGTCATGTGCAGCGGACGGTCTTCCGTCTCACGTTGGTGAAGGGATTCAACCTGGACGATGAGGTCGTCGGATACGCCAACCTTGTCGAGAAAGCGTTGCCCTGTTTTGTCGAGATCAAGGGCGTAACCTATTGCGGCACCAGCACCAGCGCGGGGGCCGGACTGACCATGCAGAATGTCCCGTTTTACGAGGAGATCCAGACATTCGTCCTCGCCCTGAACGAGGAGCTCGAGCGCCGCGGGCTGAAATACGGCATCGCAGCCGAGCATGCGCACAGCTGCTGCGCATTGATCGCATCGGAGCGGTTCCATGTGAATGGCAAATGGCACTCGCGCATCGACTACGACCGGTTCTTTGAGCTGCTGGAGAAGGAAAAGGCGGATGGCACGTCGTTCACCCCGGAGGATTACATGAAGGAGACGGAGGAATGGGCTCTCTGGGGGAATGGGGGCTTCGACCCGAAGGACGAGCGGGTGTATAGCAAGGGGAAGAAGAAGAAGATGGCGCTTGCTGGAGCTGGAGCTGAGTAGCTGCACCTCCATATGGTTATGCCACTCTGATATTCTGGCTAACAGCAATGCACAAAAAGTTCGCTTGATGACAACTACATCGACATGTACATACATTACGACTGGTTATATGATTACGTTCATTGCCCCGTAGGGATCACCGCATGCCATATCTCCTACTGGGCATCTCATGCAACGTCATTCCTATGTACTACTATACTCCTACCCAGTAGACTCCTTCGTGGCCGGCGCATCATTCTGCTGCCACGCCTTGAACTGCCGCGCCGGCAACCCCAGCTCAAACATATGGTCGATCTCCATGGGCGTGCGATTCCTCATCTCCGGCACGACAAACCACGTACCCACCAAGCCCAGCAGACACAACCCCGTATACACAAACCCCGTCTTCGCCCGCAACGCGCCCTCATCAGGATTAAAGATATACGGCAGCACGAGCCCAAACACCCCATTCGACAGCCCATTCACCAGCCAGCCCAGACCCTGCGACTTGGCCCGCAGCGTCAACGACGACGCCTCCGCGCCGACCACATACGACGCCGGCCAGACACTCACCCCACACACGCTAATCACAACCATCATCGTGACCGCCGACCACCACACCGTCACAACCCCCTCGAAGCACCCGGCAATCCCCATCCCCGTCCACAGCACCGTGCTCACCCCCAGCCCGAACAGCATCAGCGGCACGCGCCCGAACCGCGCCAGCGTCCACATGCTGACGATGTTCGCCACCAGCCCCAGCGCGATCCCCACCTGCAGAAACAGCAGGCTGTTTGTCGCTCCCATCCCCACCATCTGCAGGAAGTAGCTCGCCTTGGCCAGCAGCGTCAGCCCGAACAGCTGCGGCACGAGATTGGCGAACAGCACGAGCAGCGTGCGCCGCCGGTTGACCCCGCCAAAACACCGGATGTAGGCGTCGGGTTTGCGGCTCCCCCCGGCCGGGGAGGCAGGCTCGTGCTCCAGCCGGATGGACAGCTGGAGCTGGGCGATGGCGGCGTCGGAGTCTGCGCGGGCGGAGTCGAGGCGGCGCTGGGCGGTGCGGGCGGCGGGCAGGCGGTTCTTGCGGACGAGATACGCCGGGCTTTCGGGGAGGAAGACGGCGACGACGAGCGGCAGGGCGGAGAAGGGCCACATGGAGATGAAGCAGCGCAGGTAGCCGGTGGCGCCGGGGAGGTGCAGCGAGGTGAAGACGACGACGGAGCCGACGAGCTGGCCGAGGAGGGTGAAGAGCGGGAAGAAGGCGAGGAGGGGCCCGCGCAGGGGCGGCGGCAGCACCTCGGACATGTAGGTCTGGGTGGTGCACATGAGCATCTGCACGGCGTAGCCCTGGACGAACTTGGCGACGAAGAAGACGGCGCGGCGGGCGTCGATGGCAGCGGGCAGGTTGGAGACATAGGCGACGGCGACGCCGGCGGCGGAGACGAGGCTGGCCAGGGCCAGGGCGAGGCGGCGGCCGGTGCGATCCTGCACGAAGCCGCCGGAGAGCGCGCCGAAGATGCCGCCGATCGGGTTGGCGACGTTCCACAGGCCCAGCCAGAGGGAGGGGATGATGAGATGGCCGTCTAGACGGCGGCCGAAGTCGTGTCTAGGGATAGAGAGTTAAGAGGGGAAAGTATGTGGTAGGTCCTGCGGGGTGCGTACTGGAAGTTGGGCATGGAGGAGACGTTGCCCACGATGACCAGGTCATAGCCGTACAGCAGGATGCCCGTGGTGAGCGCCAGACAGTATGCGGCGACCTTGGGCGACTGCTTCAGGTCGGCGATGAGCGAGGTCTTCTTGACCGTGTCGCTGGCGGCGGAGGTTGTGTTTTCGACATGTTCGACGGAGGGTTTGGGATGCATATCGCTATGGCTTCAGGATGGTGTTGCTCAGGGCATCTGGGGCAGACGCAGCTGGAGGCGACCAGCATATGTATCTCGTCGCAGCCTCGGCTGGCGCAGCACCAAGACATCGCTCAATCTATCCAGACCGATTGGGAATGAGGTGTTTGTCCAAGCGCACGCTGGTTGGCACACATCGCAGCTAGCAGGCGGGGTTTGGACGGTTGATTCCCCGCATGATCACGATGAGCAGGATCGTCGATGCAACCCGAGTGAGCTAGAGGTAGTAGAGGGTATGTAGTCGATGTCGTAGGTGTAGTTGTTGTAGTGGAGTATGTGATGGTGATGTGAGGTTGTGCCGGGAGATACTGATGGAGATACTGACCATACAGATTCTCGTCAGTCAGCACGGCTGACGGAGTCTACTGTACCTAGCTGGTCTGAATGGCAATCAACATGCAGCTGGCCATGTTTCAGACAACTCCGACGGAGACGGAGGCGAAGGATGTCGCACAGTCAACGGCCTGCAACAGTCTGTAACAGCCTGCATCAGCCTGGTCTAGGGTACGCCTGCGGTGAGAACCTAAATGCAACAAAGGCATTGTTCTCATTGTCCATTTGTCTGCTCTCCTGAAGACATCTGATGCCAGCCACCAATCGGGGAATAAGGGCTTCGGGGATCTGACCGTTGCTGATCAACACTAACGTACTAACATCCTACAAGTAGTCATGACTGTAACGTCAGGAGATGCCAGATACATAGTACGGAGTACTCCGTAGAAGCCAGACTACCAGCCTGCAGGAGACGTCAGACAAATCCCTAGCGCAGAGAGTCTAGACATCGACCCGTCGCCATGTGGATTCATAAGACGTGGGACTTCTACTCTGGGTATCGTCTCTGCACTGGTACATAGTTGGTGGCGTTCTGGAAGACGATCAGCAGTGCATCCGTATTCCGCGAGACACTACTGTCATCGTGAGAGCACAAATTCGTCTTCATAAGGAGTTACTAGTATATGTACATACGCACACCCGAAATCGGCCGAGCTACAGCCGTCTGCAAGTCATCACGATCATATCATACTATAAGATGGCGACTATAATAACACGTCGGCATAAGACCGCATGTGACAGCCGAGCCCTAACTTGCCTCGTGCTGTTGCGTGAAGCTTTCGAGGAAATGAGCATTTCCCGACGATAGATCAACCCCATATTGTTTCTATATTTACCGTTCACGCGCCCACTTGCCATATGGACAGCGTTGTCTGCTTGCTGTCCTGGTCAGGGGCAAACTACCTGCCAAAGGCCCAAAACGGCCCAAAAATACCGTCCCAACCCGCCGCGACCCGGCAATACGAACTAGTTAGTCTGCTCCGTAGCCTAAGGGGATCCGTTAGTTCGACACTACGACAACTCCAGCAGAGATTAAACCCCGCTGCTTGGGGTCCGATCACCGAAATTGAACTGGATCCTGCCAAGGAGGTGGCCAGGATCGATATGGTTCGTTGACTATGCCTCGGTCTGTGTGCCCCGTACTCTTCACAAGGGGTAGTCGACGGCGTAAGGAGTCAGAGTCTAAGATAGTCACCTAGTGCAATACGACCTGCTCACCGTGGATTCTCCTCGGGTTGGTTTCATGAAGAAACGGCGGATGTGGCTCGTCTGGTGGCTTCGTCGACCGTCAAAGACTGCACGGTGGACCCGCATGTCCCGTTGCTCCAATTTTTCTCTCGACCAGACAATTGCCGATGCACGACATGGCGCTGGAGAAGTCATCTATCTGCGGCTTGGGATTAACGTCTGTATTCCGGCTGTCCAGCGTTCGCAACCGTTCGAACCATGCGTGGACCAAGAACCGTCCAGAGCCGAATATCAACCGACGTCGAGACTGCCCGTTTACCAGCACTCGACCCTGCAGATAGCAAAATACCCCCTCTGGGTGTCTGTCGATCACGGAATCTCCCCGGAGACACGCCTCTCGCCTCTCTCCTGAAGTATCGTACGTATTTACGGCATCCTGACTCGCCGCGGTCTTCACTACCGAGTTGGGATCTCCGCCGTGGACGGTGGATCAACCACGCACCAGGGCCAAATCACAGGCCTATAACACCCGATCCTATACTGTCTTCCTCTGGGCCGGGTGGGCAGACCGTATTCCATCATCCACCGCCGGCCAGGGGAAAAGAAAAATAACAGCCGCCGTCCGTCTCCTGTCATATCCATACCGACGGAGCACACCATGGTTCTCCTGCAGCACAAGCGAGCCAGTCACCCCTCCCCAACAGCGCTCTATATCCACCCCGTTGGTCGATCGTCCTGCTTTGGTGATAGTCGCTGGGACAGACGGAGTCCGAGGAACTACTAAATACTAACTAGTCCAGGGAGTCCGCTGGTCTGGGACGGGCAGAGCAGAAATTTAGCTCGTCGTAGGGGCCCGCGGCAGTTAGTTAGCCTGTCAGGCAGGGTGTCGTTCGATCCGCCGCGCAGCAATAAGATCTTTCTTTAATAAATAAATACTCACGCCCATCCCCACCGCATCTCCCTCCCTCCGCGTCCTGACTCAGATTATGCCCTCGCCAGACCAGGATGGAGAGCGAGGACAACCGCAGCCTGGAAGTCCGGGCCGTGGCGGCTGCCTTCTTTTCGGCCGCCTCGATAGCCGTCATCCTGCGCTGCTACGTGCGCGGCTGGGTGGTGAAGGCGTTTGGCTGGGATGATGCGGTCATGGTGCTTGCCCATGTAGGTTCAGGTCTATCCGTTCGTCGTTGCACTGCGATGAGATACTGATGATAGTCGTGGACAGCTCTTCTACGCCATGTTCTCCGGCAGCATGATCGGCGGCAGTCTGTACGGCACCGGCCGCAAGTTCCAATACCTCGATGAGCACCAGCGCGTCACGGCTATGAAGTACTGGTGGCTGTGCGAGATCGCCTACTGCTTCGCCTCCGTTGGCTGCAAGGTGTCCGTCTGCATCTTCCTCATGCGCATCACCGTAGCCCGCCTGCACATCTGGACCCTGTACAGCGTCATGGCCATGACCGCCGTCGCCGGGCTGGTCTTCATGCTCATCATGCTGCTGCAGTGCCGGCCGTTGCAGTTCTTCTGGACCCGCAAGGCCTTCGACCCGGCCATTCCGGGCCACTGTCTCGACATGGAGATTATCGTCGCCATGACCTACGTGTATAGTGCGTTTGCGGCGATTTGCGATTTTACCGTGGGCATCCTGCCTATTTTTCTGGTGCGGAAGTTGCACATGAAGCGGAAGACCAAGATTGCGGTCGTGGGTATCTTGAGTATGGCGTGCATGTATGTCCTCGCCCCCCCTCGGCCTGGTTGTGAATAACTTCATACTAACTGACCAGTGCCTCCTGCGCCGTCATCATCCGTCTCCCCTGGGTATCGACCTTTTACGACCCCGACTTCCTCTGTATGCTCGATACCTCCTTCTCCTCTCTTCTTTTACAAACACTAACACTGAAACAGTCTCCACCGTCGAAATCGCCCTCTGGTCCAACATCGAAACCGGCCTCGGCATCACCGCCGGCAGCATGGCCACGCTCCGCCCGCTCCTGCGCCACTGGTTCGGCTCCAACGCCGACTACTCGTCCGGCATGCCCGGCGTGTCCGGGTCGCGATCGCGCCGCCCGCCAGGCGCCAGCCGCGACCGCCCCTTCCCGCTGGGCTCGCTGGATGAGCACGCGCAGAACCGCCTGCGCCCGGACAAGCTGGCCGTCACCGTGACCACCGTGCAGAGCACGCAGAACGAGACCACGTGGCGCGGCTCGAGCAGCCCCAGCAGCAGCGAGGAGCGCCTGACGTTTGAGCGGCCGCCGCCGATGCCGTCGCTGGAGTCGGGCGAGATGGGGCTGAGTATTCATCGCACGTTTGAGGTGACCAGTTCTGCGGGGCCGGGGACGGGGACCTCCGAGAGTATTCGGGAGCATGTGTAGATTTCTTTGTGTTAGTCGTATATACATAAAGTATTTTAATGCATACGTGGGATGACCGCTGGGTGTAGGTGTAGCTGTAAGATGGCATTGGAAGGGCAGATGCTATGTACACAAGATGCAGCTTAGGCTGCGTGCAGGAATGACTGCACCACCTCTGTAAACGCAGCCGGCTGCTCGACCATGGGCAGGTGCCCGGCCTTCGGCACGATCTTCAGCTCGGCGCCGCCCTTCAGGTCCGCCGCCATCTGCTGCATGGTCTTGGGGAGCACGCCGTCGCCCTCGCCGGCGACGAACAGCCCGCGCACCTGGGCGGCGGCCATGCGGTCGCGCACGTCGTACGCGCACAGCGCGTTGACGGCCGTGCGGAAGCCGTGCAGGCTGTTCGTGCGCACGATCTCCTTCACGCGCGCCGGCACCTCCGGCTGCGTCTCGTACGACTCGGGCACCATCCACCGCCGCGTGGTGGCCTCGGCCAGTGTCTCGCCGACGATGGGCTCCTGCGTGGCGGGCGCCACGGCGCCGTCGGCCTCGGCCATGGCCACGCGGTCGCCCCAGGCCTTGCGGTTGGACTCAGGCGCGGAGCTGTTGGTGTCGCAGGCGATGAAGCGCGTCACGCGCGTCGGGTACAGCAGCGCCGTGTTGAGCACCGTCACGCCTCCCAGGCTGACGCCGATGAGGGTGGCCTGCGGGATGCGCAGGGCGTCCAGCAGCGCGACGATGTCGGACGCCAGCAGGTCGATGGTGACAGGCTGGTCGCCGCACTGGCTGGTCCGGCCGCGCGTCTGGTAGCGCAGGATGCGGAAGTGCTGGTTCTCCGGGCGAGAGAGGAACGCGTCCACGAACCCGTCCCAGATGCTGTAGTCGACCAGGATGGAGTTGCTGAGCACGATGACCGGGCTGTGCGGGTCCGTGCTGCCCTCCAGCCGGTAGGGGAGGTCGACGCCGTCGGCGGTGGTGACGAAGGACTCGACGGCCGGGCGCGTGGGCGACGGCAGCGTGCGCGTGCGCCCGTCGTTGGAGGACCACGGCCCGGCGACGTCTTTCGAGGCGAGGGAGGCCAGCTCGCGCGGCGCGGGGCCGAACGTGTACGCCCACTCGTAGACGCGCCGCTTCTTGTCGATGACGGTGTCGGCCATCAGGCGGTTGCGCCAGGGGGTGTTCATGGCGGCCTGGTGCTCGGGGCCGCCCAGGCCGTTGGCGGCGCGGTACTCATGCAGGGAGATGAACTCGCGGGGGGCGTTGGGGTCAATGGCGGCGGTGACGAAGAGCCGGCTGCGCCGCCAGCCGGGGACGCGCGACAGCATGGGGATGTGTTCGTCGCGGTACCAGTTCTGGAGGTCTGCTTCCTTGGCGGCGTCGGCGGGGATGGTGGTGGAGACGGCGATGAGGACGGAGCCGGCGGCGTCGGTGTCGGGAATGTTCTCCAGGGGCTGGTAGTTGGCGGCCTTTTGGTCCTGGAGGAGGTCGTACAGCCGGCGATCGACGGCAATCTGGGCCATGGTCGCCTTTTCGCGCGGGGTCTTGATGCCGTCGCCACGCAGCGCCAGATAGGTCTCGCGGGTCAACTCGACCATGTCGGTGATGTCGTAGAGGGCCACCCACTCAGGTTCCTGGCCATCGGTGGCCCGGTAGCGGAAGCCATTGGTGACAAAAGGCAGACGCAGACGCAATGGACCGTGTTCGGAGTTGTACCAGTCGTGAAACTGGGCCGCGGGGAGGGAATCGCGGGGGTGCATGGTCACGTAGAGGAGGCCGGGGGTCGCCATGGTTGATAGAGGAGTCGAAGGAGTCGTCAGTCGTTAGGGATCGTTAGGTGAGGGTGAGTTGGTGCAGCAGAAGACTGAGAAGAATATGTCCCAATCTCGTGGACATCTTGAGTGTTTTCCCAGGGCCGGATCAGAGGACCGCCGATTGACTGCCGACCGCACAGCCGAGTGAAGTCATCGGGATTGAGGGGCCGTGAGAGCCCGAGTCGGGGTGGTGGTGGTGATTGTGGGGATGAGATGGTGCAAAATGAGAAGAGGAGTAGGGTAGATTAGAGGAGATCATGAAGGAAGAGAGAGTGAAGATGAGAAGGAGAAAAGAAAATGAGAAGAAGATGGAGATGATGATGGAGAGAAAGAAAGGTTTGATGCCTGATTTATCAGGCACCAACTCGGGGTCTATACAAGCCTACCCAGGTAGAGGATACTATAGAGTAATCTATAGATCTATGTAGTCAGACTGATGAATGACTATATATACATAACCATGATAGACATGGAACAATTATCCAATTACTCGCAGTGATAGTGAGTCGTAGAATACATTCTCCATCTATACATCTATACAATAGTAGTAGTGAGTTACTCCGAGTATTCTCCTCTGCAGGCTGTCAATACACATCTGTAGATGCATCTCTATTACTTATGTGCACCCACTACATCCAGATGCTCACGTATCTATATCAGTACATGCTTTCATCAGTATAAGCTAGTTATATCATACTAACTCCCTATACATCTACAGTCGTGACGCTATACTCAGTCCACTCAACCACAAACAGGCTTGCTTACTCGATCTATGCTACTCATCATCTATTCATTAATCATACCAAATAGCGTTCATGCCAAATCCCTGCTCCGGAATGTCTACCCGCGCCACTCGCGCCAGGTTCTCCTCGCGGAACCGATAAATCTCCACAAACCCCAGCTGGTCATCGCACAGCGCCAACCACTCGTCGCTAAAGTCGCACGGGCTGACCGCGTTGGAGTGTCCGCCGCTGGTCGACGTCGGGTGGATCCACAGCTGCCGCTCGATGTTGCCATGCGGTCCCAGCTTGAACGCCGTGATGTAGCCCGTCACGTCAAAGTGGTTGCTGCGCGTGGTGGCGAAGAGGTACTGGCCGTTGCGCGTGGTGAAGGTCACGTCGCCGCGGTACTTGTTGCGCGGCGGCAGGCCCGGCGGCAGTAACGGGTACTTGATGTGGGTGTAGACGGGCTTGTGCGTGCGCTCGTCGATCACGTAGATGGCCAGGTTGTTGCCCGCCTCGTTCAGCACGTACAGGTACTTGCCGCTCGGGTGCATCTCCACCCAGCGCGGATGGTCGTCCGGGTGCGGCGCGTCGATGCAGTCCACCAGGCTCAACTGGCCCGTGGTGGCGTCCTTCTGGTGCGTCCAGATCTTGTTGGCCTGCAGGTCGGCCGAGTACAGGTAGGTTTCGGTGGGGTCGAAGACCATGCCGTGGATGCCGGTGTTGGGGGCGTACTCGTAGTTCTGGATGTTTTGGGCGAGGGCGCCCTCGGCGTCGACAGAGAAGACGTTGCCATAGCCGGCGTACTTGTAGAAAGGGTTGCCGTAGACGTTGTAGGGGGGTTGCCGGGCGGCCAGAACGAAGATGGCGCGGGTGTTGGTCTCCGGGGAGGCGGCCAATTCATGACCGGCGACATCGTGCGAGGCCTGATGAACGATGTCGGTCGGGCTGTTGACCTTGAAGCTGTTCCATTTCTTCATGGCGGCGCCATAGATGGTTTTCTTGTCGTGATATAGAACTGCCGTTAGTTTTAGTCCTGATAATCGGGGATCGTATGATACGTACAGAAAAAGTCATCCAGGAGATGGGTTCAGCCTCGGGAATGTCGGTCTTCTTGACCAATTCGAGCGTGAGAGCTTCATCGTCAAAGGCGACGGTGTAGATGCGGCCTGGAGGGGTCCAGGTACCGACCATCAGATGATGCTTCATGGTGCGGGGGGCGGAGTGGGAGAGGGGACGGGAGAGAGGGACAGAAGGGAGACTGGAGCGAGAGAGACGAGAAGGAAGACGGGTAAGAGAAAGCATCAACTGCGTGGTGTTTGTCTATCTGTAGGTATCCAGTCTGGGGAGTCTGTATAGATGAACGGGAAATCCACGGCAGAACAACCGAAGGCGGGGAGCGGCAGCAGAAAACGGCTACGGCAGTGAAAGACAATTCCGGGCGGCTCTTGCGGATCATCGCCTGCCGATTTCTGCTTTGCGACGCTTGCCGATGCTGCGGTCCGGGGGAGTTGCTGGGTCGCGCTGCTGGTGGCGTGGTCTGGGGTAGAGATTATTATAAAAGGTGCTGCTTTCATGGATTCCCTTCTCCATCTCATCTGCAACTCCTTTTTCTACTCCTAGTATACCCCATACTCATACTCATACTCATCCCCATACTCCTACTCCCACCGCCACAATGCCCCAGCGCCAGTTCGACCCCAACTTCACCCCCTATGTCATCAACTCCATGGGCCCCAAGACCCCCGAGCGCGCTCGCGTCATTCTGGGGTCTCTGATTCGGCATATCCATGACTTTGCGCGCGAGGTCGAGCTGACACCCGCCGAGTGGATGCTCGGGGTCGAGTTCATCAACTCCATCGGTCAGATCAGCACCCCCATTCGGAATGAATGCCACCGCATCTGCGATGTCATCGGTCTTGAGTCCCTGGTGGACGAGATCGCCAACAAGATCGTCACCGACGATGGCGTCTCTCCCACCTCCAACGTCATCCTGGGCCCCTTCTGGTCGCCCAACGCCCCCTTCCGCAACCTGGGCGACTCCATCATTCAGGATCCCAACCCCAACGGCAAGGTCACCTTCATGCACGGTCGTCTGACCGACATGGAGACCGGCAAGCCCATCGTCGGCGCCGTCCTCGACATCTGGCAGGCCTCCGCCAATGGCCAGTACGATTTCCAGGACCCCAACCAGTCCGAGAACAACCTGCGCGGCAAGTTCCGCTCCAACGAGAACGGCGAGTTCTACTGGTACTGCTACCACCCGACCCCGTACTCGCTGCCCACCGATGGACCGGCAGGTGTGCTCCTCAACCTGATGGACCGCTCTCCCATGCGTCCCGCCCACATTCACCTGATGATCACCCACCCCGACTACGCCACCGTCATCAACCAGATCTATCCCAGCGATGATCCTCATCTCGATATCGACTCCGTGTTTGCGGTGAAGGACGATCTGGTTGTCGACTTCAAGCCCAAGACCGGTGATCCCAAGGCGGAGCTCGATCTGGAGTACAACGTGCGCATGTCGCTGAAGAAGCACCACCCCAATCCCAACTCGGCGCCCCCGGTGTCTTCCTTTGAGCGGTTCAACAAGGACACGAAGAAGACGCAGGAGAAGCTGTAAGTTAGAAAGGGAAGGGTGTACAGTGATTTTTGCATGGTTTAGCGATGATTGCATGATTTCTTTGACTTGTACATATGGTAGACCAATGATCTATTTGAATATTTTCTGAGCTTCGTAGAGCGTTATGCGTAGCTCGATGCTTCGACGGTTCGACGGTTCGATGCTTCTATAGAATTTCCCTTTTGATACTAGTCGCCGTGCACGACCCCGCATTATTATTATCGCTCTAGTTATAGGTGGGATAGTATAGGTGGGGGATATCGACATCACCTACGTACAACGAGACAGGAGTATTACCTATATGAATGATAAAACTGCCGATGAATAGATGGTACGGACAGCTTTTGATCGAGTAGATATCAGTGAAGATATAGGTCTTCTCGCTGTTCCTCAATGTAGTAATGGTGAAGCTATACAATATATATATTATGTAATATCCATCTCTTCAATACGGAAAATGGCCTATTCAGAGTCACTCACTACGGAGTACAAAGAGCATGCCCATTATCAGTCTACTGAAAATGGTCCTCGGTCTGATTCACATGGCTGACGCACATGGCAGCAAGAAGACTTATCCCTTCCCCGTCTGTTCACCGAAGCTTTTGCTCTCCCGCCGGGTATGATTATACCCGCCCGGAAAGGACTTTATCCCTTCTCCACACCCCAGAGTGTCCCCGAGTGTCCCAGAGAGTCCCATGGCTTTCGGCTGTAGAGATGACGATTATCCCGTGTCTGATTGCTTCGTTCTTCCGTTATACTTTTTATGAATTCTGGGGAATAGTTATTCAGACACTGCTGAGTCATTCATTCCTAACCACTGAACTATATACATCCTCTCACCTACTACACTCATACTACTCCCCCATGAACACCTACAGACACTGCGAGTACCAGTCGTTCTGCTTCTGGCACGTATACGGGCTCACACACGTCGTCGGCCCCGTCCACCCATTCCCACCACACTGACCCCAGTGCTGCGCCCCCGCCGTCGCCGTGCTTGATGCCGTAGTCGTGGTGGTGGTAGTAGCCTTGGTAGTGGTGGTCGTCGCAGTCGAGGTCGTCTTCGTCGTCGTCGTCGTCGTCGTCGTCGTAGTGGTACCCCCCGAACCCCCCACAAAGTACGGCTTCAACACCGACAGATAGTTCGTATACCCCGTCCCACTCGGCGGCTCCATGTTAAACATGTACGTCCCCCACCACGGCCCAGCCGCCCACCACGACGCCCCCATCCACACGTCCGCGTTCTGCGCCAGCGCGTCCAGCATCCCCTTCACGGCCGTCGCGCACACGCTGTTCGCGCCGCCCGCAAACTCGCCCAGGAAGCCCTTCTTGCCGTTGTTCTTGAGCCACGTCGTCGCCGCCGCCACGCGCTCCTGGCCGATCGTCCCGCTGACGCATGTCTCCGACGTGCCTGACCCGTCCGAGTCGAGGTACTGGTGCATCTCGTAGACGATCTTGTCTGACGGGTCCGTCAGCGCCTTCAGGTTGTCGTTGACCGTCGCCCAGGTCCAGGCGCCCGAGTACGAGTTGCCCTCCACGAAGATGTACTGGCTGGTCGCGCCAGCGCCGCGGATCGCGTTGATGGCAGCTTGGTTGAGGTTTAGCACCAGCGTCTGGTCCATGTCGTGGTATTCGTTGTCTGGGTTGTTAGTATCTAGATAGAGACCGATTAGGGAGGGGGCGTACTGGTGTCGAAGATGACCTTGTCGTTGGACGCGAACTCCTTCGCTACCGTGGTCCAGAAGGCGGCAAAGTCGCTCGTTGACGAGATGATATTGCCGTAGCTGGGGGGTTAGTTCGTCTACAGACTCTATGGATATGCAGTCTTACTAGCGTCCAAAGTTGTGCGGGTCAATCACCGCGTACGCACCCATATCGGTGATCGCCCTTGACCGTCTGGGCGGGGTTAGCCAGCACATCGAGGTACACCAGCTCCACGCGACTTACAGCCTTCAGATCACCCATGTACGTCGCATCCGCCGCCCCCGTCATCGTACTCGGCACCAGCCGCTCCATCATGAACGCCACGCGGAAGATGTTCATGCCCGCGCTGTGCAGCGTGGCGATGGCCGATGCATCGGGCCAGATGTAGTCCTTGCCCAGGACACCGGGGATGTTGCCCTGGCCGAATTCTGCGCCGGACTCGTTCGAGCCGAACCCTGTGCTGTTAGCATTGTATCCCTCCAGACAATGAACCAGGGTACACGTACAGACAAACGACGAGGCGCGCTTGTTGGGCGCCGCAAGAGCGAGAGGGAGCGCCAGCACGGCGAGCAGCGAGAGCTTCATCGTGACACAATGCCTGTTAGTCTGACAGCGATGCCTCGAACCAAGTCCCTGCCTCTGCCTGTGCCTCCATATATACACCCTCCTCATCGTCTACAAGAGCCAACCAACGGCCCCTCGGTCCGTCCCCCGACCCGCACCCCTTCATATCCACCTATACACATACATCAAACACACCGCATGTGCAATTTCCACCACGGCACACACCCAAACCGGAACGGACACCCGCAGACCAATTCGTCACGGCATATCCTGTCCCCCCGTCGCTTCGGCAGTCACCCGCCCACCCCAGACGCATCCCTGCCCACTGCAGGATGCTGATCCGGGCCTTGCCGGATCGGCAAAGGAGCAGACGCAGCTGGGCCGTGCCTTCAGGCTAATCAGCGCAGTGCAGGCCCTGTCGTGGCCGCGGGGCCTTGCTCCGTCGTCTTGTTCCTGTGCTGGCGGTGGTGGAGGTGGCGTTTTGGCAGACGGACGGGGGTGGAATGCCGACGAAATGCGGAGAAATGCCCGTTCCATCCTGCGGAGTAACTATATTCAGGGGCGTGGGCTGGAAAGGAGGCGTTGAGGCGTTGAGGGCGTCGACGGAGGGATGGCTTCATTTGCCTGTTCGTGATGCTGTTCCGTCGACGGCTCGGCGCTAGGGCTGCTAGTGGCTGGTCCAGGATGAGAGTGCCAATGAAAGCGCTGTCTGGGCCGGGAAAACAAGCCCCAAAAGACGACTTAGATTGCTTAATTGAGGGGTTGAACCATGTGATGTGCTTTAATCTCGACTACATGCAGTGCGTGGGTTACATTCGCTACGCTAAGGGAGAGCAGTGATGAAACAGGATAAAGTCAATTTTGTCACTAATCGCACAGTAACTAACTACAACAAGAAGGCCCGCAGGCAGAAGGGAAGCTAGCGTCCTGGAGAAGATTCTCCTAGACACCCCGCATGGCGTCGCGCCTACAGGCACTGCGAGTAGTAGTCGTTCTGCTTCTGGCAGGTGTACGGCGCGACACAGGTGGTTGGGCCGGTCCAGCCAATACCGCCGCACTGGGCCCAGTGCTGCGCTCCGCCGGTGCTGGTGGACGACGCAGACGTGGTGGTGGTGGTCTTGGTGGTGGTGGTCGTCGTCTTGGTCGCGCTGGTCGTGGTGGTCTTGGAGGTGGCGGTGGTGGACGAGCTGGAGCCGCCGCCAGTCGACCCGCTAAAGGTCGAGCCGATGGGACCCACCTTGATGTTCGAGTACACCACATACGCGTTGGCGTCGTTGGCCTCCACGTCCTTCGGGTCGCCCGAGGAGATGTCGCACGAGCCGCGGGCCACGCCGGGGGTCGTCGAGGGCTTGTCGGTGGGGTAGTTGCTGTCCAGCCAGAGCATGTTGGAGTTGTGGTCGTCCCACAGACTCAGCACGAGCACCATGCCCTCGGCCAGCGCCGCGCCCATACCCTCCATGCCACCGTGCTTGGTGAAGACATCCGTGTCGCCGAAGAGCGTCTTCTGCGCGTTGCAGTAGGCGGTGGTGATCGAGTTGCCCGACACGCCGGACCACGTCGACTCCGAGTTGGGGATGACCTTGCCGTTCTGCACGTAGAAGCGCTTGATCTCGGAGAGCGTGCCGGACGCGGTGCCGTCGTTGGTGAGGAACTGCGTCACCACCGTGATCTTGCTCTTGGTGTCGACCGTCATGCCGGGGCCATAGAAGGTCTTGTTGCCCTGGCGGTACGAGTTGAAGTCGCATCCATCCGGATCGCACGTGCCGCCATACCGGTCGCTGCTGTAGGTGCCGCCGCAGGAGTCGCCCGTGCACATGACCTGACCGGGGGTGTCGCAGGGATGCGGGGTGTACGCGGTGGAGATGCTGTTGGCCTCCCAGATGTCCATCTCAGCGCAGCAGGAGCCGTGGTTGCCGGTGCCGGCGTTGGCGTCATTGGCAGAGGGCTCCCAGCCCTCGACGTTGGCCATGCCGTTGATGAACTTCAAGTCGCGCGGGCACTGCGAGTCACAGTAGCCGGTGCCGTACTAAAATCTGTCAGCATACACGGTATGGTCGACGGAAAGGCACAATGCTCACCTTTGCGCCCGCCTTGTTGGCCGGGTACTTGGCCATGCCACCATCGGCGTCCATGGAGACAAAGTAAACGGCGCCGTTCAGACCGCAGGGGAGATTCGAGACATCCACGTCAAAGGTGAACTCCTGGTTCAGCAGCTTGAACATCTTGTAGGTGCTGTCGTCCTCCATGAGGTACAGACGGGATCCGATGTTCTTTTGCGAAGCCTGGGTGACAAAGTTCAACCGCAGGGAGTTGCCGCTGGTGGTGACACCATACGTGCCAGAGTAGTCCGCACCTTCCAGGGCGCAGTTGGAGGCACAGGTCTCATCATCAGGGCAGAGAGTGGTATCCCAGGTATTGCCAGTATAGCAGTTGTTGTAGCCGTCGACGTTGTGGACCCAGCGCCAGTTGGCGTCAACGACGACCTTGCCGTTGACGGTGGTGCAGCTACCGCCGCTGGTGCAAGTTTGCCAAGTCAAGGAAGGATGGACTTCGGCCTTGGAGGTGCCGACCTGCTGGGCCTGAGAGGCACTCAGGAAGCTGGCCAGCAGGAGGAGCTTCTTGTAGATATCGTAGGTGGAAGGCATGGTGAGGGAGGTATGGAACGGTCAAGACTGAGACTTGGAGGAGGTGATGAGGATGGTCAGGATTGAGCAGAGCGCGGGGGCAACTTCGCCTTTTATGTCGTTCCGTCTTGTTCAGCATCGTGTAGACTGTCCCTGATCAGGCTTCATGGACTCGGACGGCTTCGCGGACCGCATGCCGTCAGAGAAATGAAGACATTGCCCCCCACGGGGAAGACCTCCGCATCCCAAGACGAGGACGCAGCCGACACCAGCAGATGCGGAGGTTGTAGAATCGGCTGCATTTCCCGAGGGTTTGTCCGGCTAAATGGGCGCCCACGAGGTATCTTCATCAAAGTTGCGCCACATAGGTGACTGAGGACAAGCGCCGCGTCGCAAGTAGATGCAGACAAACCCAATTAGGGAAGACGGCGATGTACTGCCGGCACAGCAAATGGACTGCAGAGACCATAGGCTGCGCTAATGCAAGCCTCGGCCATTGTTCGTATCACCCGCCGCCGGTAAATTAGGTGGCGACACGGAAGGCTGGATTGGGCAAGGCCACCACCGTGGCGTGTGAGACCTGCATTCTTCAGACGGACGATGCGGTAGAGGAGTGAATGGCGGAGAGCGTACCCATGATGAGGGGAGATGATGGCGAGAGGAAGAGGAGATGGAGTTTCCGGATTGGGATGCGGGGGACCCTAACCCTGGAAAGCAGCCCTAGCCCTAATCTCGATCTAATCAATCGCGCTGACTCAGCACCGCATGCATCGGGCCATTTTTCTTCCTCCGATCCGCGCGTCGATCTTGATATCATCCCACCTTCATACATACATCGCAATTCATTCCGTTCCGGTCTTTTCAACACCATCCCCCGATTCAACATCATGGACAGCTTCATCCTCACCCTCTCTTGCCCGGACCGCCCCGGCATTGTCCACGCGGTGACGGCCTTCCTCGTCCAGCATAACCTCAACATCATTGACTCATCGCAATTCGGCGACCCCACCTCCCAGCGCTTCTTCATGCGCGTGCATTTCAAGGCCGAATCCAGCGAAAAGCCGTCCGTGGAGGACCTGCGCAAGGCTTTCGAGTCTACCGCTACCGACCTGTCCATGGATTTCCAGGTCGTGCCGGCGGCGCAGAAGACCCGCGTGCTGATCATGGTCTCCAAGATCGGCCACTGTCTGAACGACCTCTTGTTCCGCCAGTCGACTGGTCAATTGGCCATTGAGATCCCTCTGATCGTCTCCAACCACCCCGAATTCGCCGCCCTGGCGGCCACCTACAACATCCCCTTCGTCCACCTCCCCGTCACCGCCGACACCAAGCCGCAGCAGGAGGCGCAGGTGCTCGAGCTCATCCGCGAGCACAACATCGACCTGGTCGTGCTCGCCCGGTACATGCAGGTGCTGTCGCCCACCCTCTGCGAGGCCATGTCCGGCCGCATCATCAACATCCACCACAGCTTCCTTCCCTCCTTCAAGGGCGCCAAGCCCTACCACCAGGCCTACGACCGCGGCGTCAAGATCATCGGTGCCACCGCCCACTTCGTCACCAGCGACCTCGACGAGGGTCCGATCATCGAGCAGAACGTCGTCCGCGTCAACCACTCCATGAGCCCGAAGGAGCTCACCCACGCCGGCAGCAACGTCGAAAGCAACGTGCTGGCTACCGCCGTGAAGTACGTGACCGAGCGCCGGGTGCTGTTGAACGGACACAAGACGGTCGTGTTCAACTGAGCCAACCCTGAAAAAGTATATATGCGGGAATTCTTGTTATATGCGTTATATCCGGGCGGACCATAGACCATCCTAATGTTACGGCATGTGCATCACAGTTGGATCCCCTCGAACGGGTAGTAATCCTCCTCTCCGGCCCACTGTGCCTCATGTAGCGACTCGCCCATCTGCGCTGCGTCCATGCCGGCCATGACGTCCCTAGAACTGTTAGCGCCGCCCCGTCTGCACGAAAAGACCAACATACTCATCTGTAGCCAACACCTCCAACCCGGGCACGCAATCCACCAACGCATACAACACATAGCTCCCGACAAACGCCCACGTAAACCCGATCCCCGCCTCGACCATCTGCACCCACAGCTGGCGCCAGTTGCCGTCGAAGAGACAACCCCCAGCGATGACGGTCGCCCCGTCGTAGGCAGCCACCTCGCGCTGGGCAAACAAGCCCGTGACGATCGTCCCAAGAAACCCGCCCAGACAATGCGTGGCGAATGTGTCCCCGTTATCGACCCAGCGCCAGCGCGCCGCGCGCTTCGTGAACTTGATCCGTAGGGCCTGCCGCCCCAGCACGGCGCCGAGCACCCCAAACCCAACCGCGGTGTTCATATCGACGAAGCCTGCGCTAGGCGTGATAAGCACCAGCCCCGCGATCGCGCCCAGGAACGTGCTGTCGAGACTCCACTTCCCCGTGTCGTAGTAGGTCAGTCCGGCCCAGGTGAGCGCGCCCGACGCCGCGCAGAGATTCGTCACGCATGCCGCCATGACGCTCTTGAAGTTCAGCGCGAGGGTCGTCCCCGCGTCGAACGCCAGCCACGCGTTCCAGATGATGATCAGCGCGAGCAGCTGGCACAGCGCGTTGTGCGGCCGGTGCAGCCGCAGATGCTGCGGTGTGCGTGTTGCCGACCGTCGCGACCGGAAGAGAGGGTACGAGAGGTAGACGCTCATGGCGGTGGCCGTGGCGCCGCTGCAGATGTGCACGGGCGTGCCGCCGGCGAAGTCGAGAGCGCCGAGATTCGCGAGGAAGCCGTTGTCGGACCAGACCATGTGCGCGAGGGGGGCGTAGATGAAGGTGCTCCAGAGCTGGGGAGTCTGGGTTAGTTGGGGGCTTACACGCGCTGTTCAGGACAGACGTACGAAGATGAAGGGGATCAAGGGCAGGAGACGGCCGCGCTCACAGGCGCCGCCGATGGCGATCGCGCAGACTGTCGCGCAGAAGATGAGCTGGAACTCGGAGAAGAGGATCTCCGGGATGGTGCCCATCGGTTGCGAGAGCACGCCGATGTGGAAGGCTTTGTCGAGGCCGCCAAAGAACGCGTTGCCCTCGCTGTACGCCAGCGAGTAGCCGATCATCCACCACTGGATCGAACATACCGCGACGGCCAGCAGGCCTGGGTAGAACGAGGCGAGACTGTTGAAGCGGGTGGAATAGCCCGAGTAGGCGAGTCCCACGGCGGGGATGATCAGCCAGCAGAAGACACTGCAGACAAGGATGAAGAGGGTGTCGATTTTGGAACACGCCTCCCACGCAGCTTGGACGGACATTGCGATTGTGAGAATGAGATGAGATGCCATGCTCGTGAGAGTGTGGTCTATATAGGTGGGTGCCTACAAGCGCCTACGTTGATAAGAGGTATAACATCTATTGGGTGCTCTTATCATCCGCAGGGGATCAGCACATCGTGTATGAAGGCGCTTTAGCTGAGAATGGCAGGTCGATCCTATGCCCCTCGATATGAGATATTCTTATTGTCTTGATTACAGAATTGCTCTGTTGATCCTGTCGGCGAGGGTATAAAATCCTTGAATGGTATGGACCTCGCGGTGAATTGAATCCAGACATGCCACCTTGAAGACAATATACATTCTTTAACCACACTGCATTGAAGGGTACTCTGATATTGAAGAAAGAACTTCACCAGAATGGACTTTACTTCACTTAAGACTTCACAGGCCTAAGGTATATCTCCCACCTACCTTCCGGCCATCTCGCTCACATCTCCAACAACCATCACCGTATACTACCAAAAGTGTCAAGGCACCTAGTGGTACGTAAGGCAGTCGAGATCTGCCAAAGATGACACACACACCTGAAGACCCACGGAAGGTCACAATGACCAAACACCAGTGGCAAAGATTCCTTCAATGGCTGAGGATTGAAATCAACCTTACGAACAATCGGCAGCGACATGGCCACAAATAGATGGAGTTCGCGGAGCTCATCGAAACCATCAGGTCAGGAGCCCAGGCCAGGGTCATGCTTTGAAAATGGGCATGCTGCCCTGTCGACCCGAGAACTTAAGCGCAAAGTTCATGCGTCTTCGGGGTTGATATCGACCAGGATATTAGCCCAGAAGACCTGCGGCGATTTACAGATTGGATACGCACGTTCCGGACAATGTGTCTTTGTCGCTGGAGGGAGTGTACTCGGCAGACTCCACCTACCTGATCCTAACTGCTGCGTACTCAGTCTTTTCGAAGCTGTCCGGTATCAGAGGTTACACCCTCATAAAAGAGGTTCGTGGTCCCAACATGCGCGCATCGGTTCCTCTGGCGAGCCCTTCGGGCAGAAGGAGAACGTCCCGTTTTCGAAGCAGCCCAAAAAGAAGGTATGTCAATGACATTCCCATAACTTGGATCTACCAGCCTCTAATGCAACCATGCGATTAGTTCCTGTGCCGAGGTACCGTCGGCTGGTGGATGCGATTCATCAATTTACTGGCGTCGGACTTTGGCAGGACATGGCCTTGCCGCTGGTTAGCATAGAGCGGCTTCTTTCCATCTCACTTATGGTGAACAAGACCGGTACAGATCTTGAAATCCGTCTGACTGGGAGCGTTCGAGAGCTCGAGAAAGTCTTGCGAACCTCGACGGTTCCAAAAGTCTTATCAAACGGCGCGCCAGCGACCGCCTATTTCAAGACCGCCTGGAAACCCAGTACAAGAGTCAACAATGGTATCTTTCATCATATTCATGCACAAACAGCGTAATTCATTCCTATATTCTGGATATCCGTATCACACACGTGCGACATTTCCCGCAACCACATCGTAGTAAATGTTCATCGACGGTCCCTTGGTCTCGGAGTACGCCACTCCCAGCCAGCGATGGACGTTCTTGGTTTGCGAGATATCCACATTGGGACTACACGGGTTAGTATGCATATTTCAAGTAGACCCAAGCGCAACTTACAATTTCGCCTTGAGTTCATCCTTGTACCGACTCGCCTGGTCCTCCCAGCCCATGTACTGGAAGAATTCCACTAGAGCATCCGCAATGAACCCGTCATTAATCCCCAGCAGCGGGAAGTAGATCTGGGGCGGCGCCAACTCAGCCGTCCCCGGCTTCATGGCATAGTTGATACCGAACGGCAGACGCTCCGCGTCCAGCGTCTCGCAGGCCTCATCGCCCAACTTCAGCGTCTTGGCCAGCGTCTCCACCATCTCCAGGCCTTTCATCGTGCCCTCGTCTTTCAGCAAGCCGCCCAGCGTCCAGTAGTCGCGGATCAAGGACAGGTCCATGCGGAAGGTGGCCAGGTACACCTTCAGCCGGGACAGCATGGGGTCGATACAATCGACGCCGATGAGGCCGGTCAGGGGCGGGGTAATGCTGGCGTCGGTGGGCACGCGCGGGCGCAAAAAGTCCTTCAGCGACGACAGCGCCGTCCGCAGCGGCGCGTCTTTGTGGTATACCTCCATCTGCTCGATCGCCGCAAAGGTGAGGTCGAACAGCGGCGTTTCGGTGACGAGCCCCTTCGGGATGGTGGAGAAGTAGACTTTGGGAATGACCTCGCCGTCTTTGAGGTCGAGCGACGTGCAGACGATGTTGTGGCTCTCCTTGATGAGCTTGGTGGTGGCGACGGCGCACTGCGCGCGGTCGAGCCCGACCTGCGCGTTGAAGTGGTCGAACAAGCGCAGGTCGACGTGCGGCAGCAGCGTCGCGAGATTCTTGAGGAGTTCACGGTCGCCGAAGCTGTTGAGCGGGTCGCGCGCGGTGCCGGCGAGCGGCCCGATCGCCTGCAATCCGAGCCGGCAGATCGTTTTGGACTTGTCGATCTTGACGCTGATCTCCAGCGGATGGCCGCCGTGGGAGAGGCCGCTGATGTACTCGGGCTCGACGCCCGGGCGGCGGAAGGGGCCCAGACTGGGCAGGATGTATTTGTGGTAGAAGGCGAGGTACTTGTACTGCAGATGCACGCTGTAATCGCACTGTTCGAGGACGCGGTTGAGCGTCTCCGCCGTGTTTTGCCACCACAGTTCCTGGTCGTAATTGGGGAAGCCGAGCGCCTGGCTCAGGATCTGCCAGGGCCGGGGATCTTTGCTGTCTGATGGGGGGAGCATGGTTGTGGTGGGTGGTGGGGAGTCGATGGGATGTCAAGTACTGTATGTATGTAGTATGTATGTATGTACTGTAAGTGGGCGCAGCTGCGGAGGGCTAGAACCGACTTATATAGCCATCGGTGGAGAAGATTGCTTTTGCAAAAGCAAACCTGCCCCAAGGCCAATTCCAATCGCCAACCAGGCACCCATGTACGCGATCGCTGCACTAAGCTCCATCTTGACGTGGGTGTGCAACCGCCGCCACGCTGGATACGTCGAATGTTTGCGCTGGATGAGCGGAGGCGTCCTCGAACATGTCGAATCAGCGTGATGAGAGCGACCTGGCTAGGTCCACGTCTGCATCTAATCCCGGGATGCCATGCAGCCAACGACACTATCGATTTGCCTGCGGTCGATGGCGAGTCTGACTGGGCCGGGGCATTCTCCATGTCCGACTATATGCAGGGGACGAACTATCGACTTGCTTGACGTTCGGGTTATTGACCAGACGCAGGGGATGCAGCCGAGCTTATCGATTGGTGTATAATTGTACGATAGATAATAGTGCATTTATTGGAGGAGTAACTGCCGTGGTGTTGTCGTTGTTGTCGTCGATGATGATAATGATGGCGTTGTATAGAACAGGTGACTCGCTCAACCCTAAGTGATGCATTCATCTCACTCACCATCATCATGACTCTACATAGCGATTAACCGGGTGACATTCGTAATGACATAGAGATGAATTCACACGTGTCACCCGTCAGAAGCGTACTTGCCTCTATTCTATCTCACCTTCCTCTTCTCTCACCTTCTCGCACATCCCATCCTCTCCCCTCTCTTCCTCTCTTCAATGAACGCATCTCGCAGACGTCCATTAACGCTCCCTGCTGCAACTACCATGACCAGATATAACAATTACAACGACTGGGACGATGACAACGAGGAGCTCGATGAACTCGACGAGCTGGAAGAGCTCGACGACATAATGGAAGCAACCGGTTCCAGTGAGTATATCCCGTTCTATCCTGCATCCACACTGACCGCAAAGGCGACTCCGAGCGCAAGGACTACGCTCCGCGCGGCTCCATCTGTGATGTCTACAATCTCTACCAGACCAAGCCTGACGCGTGTGGCCAAACATCGTGGTCGAAGAAACCCCAGAAGATGGACGCTCCTGTGGAGAACTCCGAATCAAGCGAGTACGCCCTCATCGTCCGCAATGTCAAGTGCTACGACGGCCGTCGCAGCCTCAACATCTACTCCATCGTTGTCCAGAGCGCACTCCTCAAGACCTTCCTCGAGGACCTCTTTGAGGGATACCCCGGGGTGACGGTGACGCTCGAGCGCCTCGAGTTCAAACGGCCGTTTAAACCCTTCGTCCACCGGTGGGAGAGCTTCGTGCAGGCTCGCGACAAGGTGACCGACGCCACGACCAAGGCCCACGTCGACCTGCTCTATCGAGTGTTGGAGGAGGAGCTGGGTGAGGTGATTGCCCGCAAGAACGACCTGATCCAGAACGGCGTGATCACGCACGACCTGGTATGGACACTCTTCGAGCCGGACGCGGTCGTGTACACGCACGCAACTGGCCACGAGCAGGCCCTCAAGTTCACCGCAGGCACTTCCAACAACAGCGCGGGATTCCTAGTGGCCGCCAGCTCTATCGACTACAATGGTCAGCAATTCGGCTTCCGAGGAGAGAGCATAGACATTCCCATGTACGAGGGAACCGTGCCCATCACCTCGCTGCCTGTGTACCCGCTGCAGTACCACCCCGAAGAAGCCGCGACCCGACAGCGCCTGATCGCTCGGGGTGCGCGCTGGGAGCAGCTCAAAGGCTACCATTACAAGCAGTATGAGGGCCCTTCCACCACCAGCTTCTTGAACAGGACGGTCAACTTCAGGACGCAGACCCGCATTATCATCGATGCCGAGGCCTACTGCACATTTGGGCCGGTCAGGGGCACCCGCGTGTTCGCACCGTTCTCAGACGAACTGGACGACGCGGGCCGCCTGCTAGCTACGCCCACCGTGCGCGGCTACTCGCTGGCGAACAAGAAGTGGGCCGAATTTAACCTCGATGGCGTGCGGGAGATCGAGTGGAATCCCCGTGCGTTTGACTCGCTGGTCCTGCCACAAGGACAGCAGCATCTGAAACAGCTGGTTCTGGCCTGTGCCACGGCGCAGTCTAAGCGTCGGGATACCTTCGACGATGTAGTCCCCGGCAAAGGCCGCGGCATCATCCTGCAACTCAGCGGGCCGCCCGGTGTTGGCAAGACACTGACGGCGGAGAGCGTGGCTGAGACGATGCGTGTGCCGCTGTATGCGCTCAGCGCCGAAGATCTGGGCACCGAGGCCATGGACGTGGAAGCAAACTTGAAGAACATCCTACAAATGGTCCCCAAATGGGGCGCGGTTCTCTTGCTGGACGAGGCGGATGTGTTCATGGAGCCGCGCGACTCGGCTGACCTGGGTCGCAACGCGCTCGTGTCTATCTTCTTGCGAATGCTGGAGTACTACGAGGTGTGTATACCTTCAGAGGAAGTCGGGGGAAACTGACCGTCATGATGTAGGGTATTCTGTTCCTCACTACCAACCGCGCGGATCATATCGATCCGGCGTTTGAGTCCCGCATCCATGTGTCGCTGCGTTATTCTGAGCTGGACGCGGCTGCCCGGCGCCAGATCTGGGCTCAGTTCGTGGGCCAGCACAGTGGGTTCACAGAGGACCAGCTGGACGACATCGCCACCGAGCGTCTGAACGGAAGAGAGATCAAGAATGTGATCAAGACGGCGCATCTTTTGGCACTGGCGCAGGAGTCGGAGCTGAAGTACGAGCATGTGGATGCTGTTCTGAGCCTGCGAGCGTTCAATCCAGTATAGGACTGGCTTTGTAGGCAGTTACTCAGGTTCTCCCGCGCTGCTTCCGAGCACAAGACGATGTTTATGAGAATGTTTCCTATCAATGGCATTACACTCGTTAGATGACTACTAGGTACTTCATTAATTTCCTTAATGACCTGGAAAAGATTACTCGGTGCATCCATATAGTATCTCCACATAGACCCACCCCATCGTCACTGCGGAGTATATAATCCCACCATATCCCATCCCATACCTGTCCTCCCCCAACCTCCCACATCCAAACTACAATGGAACCAGTTTGCCCCCCTCCAGCCCTCACCCATCTTTTTACGCTACGGTGTGCAGTCGATCCACCCCTCGAGATCGGCCACGGACCGTACGGCCGACGGCGGTGTGTACCCATCAAGTCTGGTTCCGTGCGCGGCAACTACATCAACGGCGAGGTCGTTCCGGGCGGTGCCGATTTCATGTAAGCCACCCATTAGATATTGATTGTAATTGACGATGCTGATCATGTAGGCTGGTGGAGGAAGACCAGACCACGCATGTGAATACTAACTATGTGATCAAGAGTGACGACGGGGCCTATTTATATATCCGGTGTGTCCTCTCCTGCATCAGTAGCGGATCCGAGCTAACGAGACACAGAACCGAAGGGACCAGGGCGGGTCCGCCGGAAGTCCTCAAGGCACTCATGGACGGCGACGGCGTCGACCCCGACTCGTACTGGTTCCATCTGCATGTTAAGATCGAGACGGGACATGAGCGGTACCGCTGGATGAACAACCGGGTCATTGTTGGACGCGCGACCCGCGCCAAGGGCGAGGTGGCGTACGATGCGTATTTCCTGGAGAACAAGTAGGACCAAGTCAAGTCCGTGGGATATTATTGTAACATCTATCGTATACAGCTATATACAAGGAAGGCATCGAACGCTCCGTCATGTCGTAACATTAGGTGGCTTTGGCTTTGGTAGAATCGCGCAGCAATTCCGCCAGATTGGCATACTCCCCCTGGCTCGCATCCTGTCGAGCCAGGACCTCCTCGGCGATGTCGTTCGCCCAGCGATATTCCGCGTGGTAGTCGCGCAGTTCTAGCAGGCGCAGACGCAGCCAGTCGCGTTGTACGGGGTCGTCGGTTTCGATCACCGCCATCACGACCGGCCAGTGCAGGCGACGGAGGAGCTGCGGATCCGACGCGTACTGCTTGTGCGTGATCTCGATGATGTTGGTCAGCGCATGTCGGTGGACGGTCGCGGGGGGTTGGTGCGGGCGGAGCAGGCGGCGGTGGAAGAGCAGCTGCGCGTAAAAGGTCGCCACTCCCATGTTGATAGTGTTCAGGGTGCGGCGCGTGGATGCGGGACCGGAAAACTTGGCCGTCAGGAAAAGGTCGGAATATCGCTGTGATGGTTAGCAATGGCCGGAGGCTGATCAAGTGGAGTACGTACGTCGTGGACTGACATGAGCTCCTTGAAAAGTCCCTCGATTTCGTGGTCGCTGGGGGGTCCGTCCGTAAGTAGTTTCAAGGTCCGGTATCGTAACGTGAATCCAACATGCAGCAACTCCAGCGCGCGGTAATTCTCCATGTCATCCGAGACCTGGTGATCGGGGTACTGCTTCCCCCAGAAACATCGGGCCCACAGGCGGGCGCAGCGGTGCAGACGGTCGGGGTGAAGGGCGGGGTTGCCGGTTTTCAGTACATAGTCGTAGAGAGATTCGGTGATGCCCATGGGACGACAGCTCGCGTCGATATACCTGTTCCGGTCAGAGACGTCATCGCCACATGATGGGCGCCAACTTACAGGATCCAGAGGAGCAATTGCTCCGGGATGAACGACACGCGCGGCACCGAATCATCCGAGTGTTCCGCATCCATGGATAACAAGACGTTCGTCACATCTTTGATCTGGAACAACTCCGGATGGGACTCCAACAAGGATCTTACTCCTTGTAGATGCAACTGGAGATGGTGCACGCAGTTCCCATACTGCCACTCGTAGGTGACCATGAGGAACATGGTAGCAAAGATCATCTCGAGTTCCGTTGTCGACAGCTCTCGCTTCGGGGATTCCAACAGCTGGCGGAATTCCTTGACGGCATGGCCATAGTGAAATCGGGCATGATCTTCAGCCGTGGGGCGGCCCGGGGACCGTACGACCAACCCCTGACGATGCATATCGCTGGCTGACAGCGCCAGGATCATGCGCATAATGACCTTGTTGGACGCAGCCGGACCTTGATACAGGTAACAGAAGCTACTCCATTGCCACGGTTTCATGTAATAGAACACCACCGACGAGGAGGGGAAGAACTGGAAGTACTTTTGGTCATGCTCGGAGAGCACCAGGGAATTGGCGCAGGCAATCTCGGAGGTCGACAGAGATGGATATAGAGGAGACGGAGGCGGTTGCGGGTACTGGGAAAAGCAGGGCCAGCCTGCGGGAGAAACGGCGTCAGTCGAGATGGGAGTCAGGTCTCCGGAAGGCGCGGGATGCCACAGGTCCGCGGGGACGCTCGCGTGCGGCGCATGAAAGATCACGCCTGGGGATACCGCCGTGGCTGGAGTAGGGACAGCAACAACCGACGTCGGCGCCAGATCACTCGGCGTCGACCATCGCGGCTGCGCGGGTTGTATATGGCGTACAAGAGCGGCCGCTTTCCCGCGCTTGACAGGAACCCCCCACTCGCAGTTGAGTCGCAGGTTGAAGCAGCGCTGACAGACAGGCCGCTCTTCACCGCATTTCACTTTGCGACGGCGGCATGTACTGCAGCCTAGTCCACCGAGGGATTAGCATCGTTGAGCGATACCGAGTATCCCGCGGGAAAGACGGGCACATACCGTTCTTCGAGCGAGGGGCGTTCCGACCCGACATGGATTGAGAGGCCCAGTCTTGGGAAGGACCGATCAGGGGGCAGACATGAGTACTAGAGGGAGATGTGACGCCGTGAGAGGGCAGGCAGCAGATTGTGAGAAGTCTTGAAAAGAGGAAGAGGAGGAGGAGTACACGGCGGAAAAAGAATGACGAGAAGAGGCGGCGGGCGGGATTGCCGCAAAGGGAAGGGGAGCCGCCGACTGAGTCAGTAGGATTAGTCATCTATACATGCATCCCTGACATCTCTGTCGCTGATACCCATTTCAAGATGCGAGGAGATTATGTATTGACGTAAAAGTGGACTACAGCGATGCCTTCACCCGAGGCTTAGTCTGTCACTTCAGATGAGCCTGGTGGTTTAAGCTATTACCTTTCTTTTCGCACCGCGTTCCGGTACAGCAAAAGGCCACGCGCCAGAGAGCTCCTGCTCTTCTTTCTCGTTGCGCGCATGCGTCCGCACAAAGTCATCTCTCGCCGTGGGGAGGATTCGTTCGAGCTCCGCGAATTGCGCGTGGCTCACCAACCCCCGGCCCTGGAAATACTGGCTGCCAATCATGCGCTGCACGTCTCCCATCATCGCCATTGCGGCCGACGCGCCTGCGCTGTCACGTTTGATCTTCTGGAGAACATCGTGCGAGAACGTAAGCGGTGTCTTTGTTCCACTCCTCGATATCCTCGAGACACCAGCCCAATTCTCCTCTTGCTGCTTGGCTAGGAGTCCGAGGTAGGTAGCCTCGCCGTCGACCAGAAGGTTCCGGGCGAACAGAAGTAAGTCGAAGCAGTCGGTCTGCCGGAACTCGAGAGCCTTGAACAACCGGGGCATCGTTTTGTGCAGGAGATATCTGTAAAGCGCGAGCAGAGACATGGTAGTAAATAAGGACTCCGCTTTGCGGGTTGCAATTGCTTGGTCGTGTTCATCCTGGAACAGCGCTTTGACGTCGGCGAGCTTTGGTCGGTCGAGGAGGCCTTCGAGTGGTGGGCCATTGTAGTCTAGGATATACGGTTCGATGGTGTGATGGTATAGCGGGGCGAGCTCTGTAGATTGCCAATCAATAAAGTCGCATATATCTGCTGGATCCTCTGGATTGACAAAGATATTCTCGACATGCAAGTCGTCATGCCAGATGCAGGACGCTGATATGTCCTCGTCCTCGGGGAGTAAGAAATTGACCACTTTGAGGTAGCTCTCGATCGCGAAAAGCTTTGTCTCGCGCGACGGCTGGTACGTCCCCAAATAGTGAATAGCAATGGGAGATCGTGGCAGTTGCTCCATATTTTTGATACAATAAGCTTCGCGCTCTCCAGTTGCCCGCTCATAAGTGTCTACGGTATCCCAGGGGCCTCGGTTAAAATCCAACTTTGCCCTGCCATCATCGACATTCTGCCGACTCACCGAAGGTCCAACAGCGAACCTCTCATCGACAGCGTGATTGCCATCTTTATCCGTGTACTGGAGGATGGGACTTGACGGGTCAAGGTCACTTCGGTAGTACAGACTCCCATACTGTGAAAGCAAATCTGGGACCAGCGCTCCTGGTAGGAGGCGACTTTTTCGAGCACCTTGAACTTGACCGGCGCGCCAAGTTTGTCCCACAGGCTACTCAGTGGCACGCCGCGTGCTTTCTCCATGAGGATGTACTCCGCCGCAACAGGGTTGTCGGTCGAAGAACTCCACGAAAGAACTTTGGGAACTGGCGTACAGAAGACTTTTCTCATCTATCTAATGTTAACACTTCGTGAAGAGCCACCGCAAAGAAGGGAAGATATGCATACGAAGTCCATTGTAGCGGCTTCCGAGGCAGTGGTGAAGTGCGGAAGCCCAGCATTCCGATTCGGGACTTTGCCCACTGCTTGGAAGCCATTGTCCATTGTGAAGCGTATAGCCTTATTGTGCATTCCGTCGGCCATTTTTTCAATGCCAATACACGTTCGCGGCCCATTACTTGCCGCCTCTGCAGCCCGAACAGCTAAGCGGGCGAGCTCATCCACGGCAAAACGGATGTATCTCTTGGCCAATTCACTGGCTTCGTCGGTGAGGAATCGGCCGCGGGTGAATTGAAAAAGGGTTTCTCGTGTGCTGTACGCTCGCATGGTGAAGGGGGCTTAGTCGTAAGCTGCAGGGCTAGTCGGACGGGGCGTACCCTATTCTAAAAGGTAGACTGAACGAGCAGTGTGAGCTGCGCGCAAGCTTGCGAGCTAGCGGTAGCACATAGTAGAACATCTCCAGTCCGCCAGCGACAGCCACATGAGGAGCCGGTGGGACGAATGCGCAGACTGGGGTGGTTGGGGAACTTCGGATGAAGGAGGAGCAATAGAGCGGTGAGTGGTTCCCTTGCACGGCTCCAGAAATGTACATACTCAACCATAACCCCTGGAGAAGTATCACAGAGGCTTAATTTGGATAGACCGGCCGGCTTAGCATGCGTCCACCTCCTGTCACTTTTCCCTTGCTGCAACGCAATGTAATCGACCGTTCTGTTCTCCAAAGCTACATTCCCTCAGCCATACCTTTTGGGGGCGGGGGAAGGGTGTACCGGACATATATATCAATAGCGCTAATCTAGCTGTCTTTATACCCGTGTATTGGCAGCCTCGGAAGAAAGACTTGGATGCGAGTGATTCATCCGGAGGAGCAGGTTTGACCAAGTCCAATAAAAAGGACTTCTAGGATGACCAGAGACTCTTGACTCCATTGCGCGTTGAAAAGAGAGAAAGAGACTCCGCAAGGGGGGTTGTGCTGGAATGTTTATGGATAGTCGATGCCTCCGAAGTATGTCTCCTTGGGAATGTTGGTTGAGTGCTGATCCCATGGGATGACACACAAACAAGGAGCCTTGGGTACTTATACTAGATGGCTTCCCACTGAATCGTCTGGACGCGTGTAGCAGTACGACCGGATATTCTCGTCTCTCCATACCATGAAATCCTCAGTGACACGGATGGGCTTAGTCGCCAGTCTGGTGGCCAGCGCCGCAGCGCAGGACTACAATGAGCCACCACCAGACCTGTCCACCCTCCCCAGCGGCTCACTGTTTGAGACCTGGAGGCCCAAAATCCATGTCCTCCCACCGGCTGGACAGATTGGCGATCCTTGTGCACATTTCCCTGATCCTGAAACCGGCCTGTTTCATGTCGGGTTCCTACACAATGGAACTGGGATTTCGGCTGTCCAGACGGCCGACCTGGTTTACTATTACGATGTGAACCCGGGAGGTGGCTACACCATCGTTGCTGGGGGTGCCAATGACCCCGTGGCAGTTTTTGATGGCTCGGTTATTCCAATTGGCGTCGATGATAAGCCTACACTGTTCTATACCTCTGTGTCCTCACTCCCGATCCATTGGACGCTTCCCTACACTCGTGGCAGCGAGTCACAATCTCTAGCTGTCACCTACGACCAGGGGCACAGCTTTACCAAGTTGGATCAGCCGCCCGTCATTCCCGAACCTCCTGCTGGGTTAGATGTTACTGGTTTTCGCGATCCGTATGTTTTCCAGAGTGGACCATTGGATAGCACTCTCGACAGCGCCGACGGGACTTGGTATGCGGTCGTCTCGGGGGGCGTCCATGATGTCGGGCCCGGAGTGTTCCTTTACCGAAACGAGAACCCCGACTTCGACGAGTGGGACTACCTCGGCGAGTGGTGGCAGGAGCCAGCTAACTCGACCTGGGGCGATGGCTACTGGGCCAAGCGCTGGGGTTACAACTTCGAGACGGTGAACTTTTTAGGTCTCGATGAAATGGGATATAACCCTGACGGCGAGACTTTCGCGACACTGGGCGTGGAGGGTGCGTATGCTCCTATCCAACCATCGGTCACTTCCATGCACGCCCAGTTGTGGGCGGCAGGCAGCATCTCAACAAGCGATGACGGCAATGTGACTTTCACTCCAAGCATGGCCGGTGCCTTGGATTGGGGTCAAGCAGCCTATGCGGGGGCAGGAAAGGTCCTGCCGAAGGATACCCAGCCATCACAGCAGAGTGGCGCGCCAGACCGCTTCATCTCATATATCTGGTTAAATCAGGACGAGTTCGGAGCAGCAACAGGCTTCCCTGATGCCCAGCAGGGATGGCACAACGCCCTCCTGCTCCCACGCGAGCTGAGTGTAAAGATCATCCCGGATGTGGTGAACAATGAGCTCGTGCAAGAAGAGGAGGCTTCCTGGCTTGTAAAGGACGGATCTGATGGCCACTGTGTTGAGCTCCAGACGCTCGGGATTGACATTGCGAGAGAAACATACGCGGCAATGACGCAGACTGATTCCTTTACTGAAGATGAGCGTACGCTCGCAGACTTCGCCATTATTCCCTTTGAACAGTCGCCTTCTTCCAGATTCTTCGTCCTCGAGGCGCAGCTGTCCTTCCCGTCGTCGGCGCGAGACTCGGAACTTCAATCCGGCTTCCAAATCCTGTCATCTGATGAGGAGTATACTACGATATACTACCAATTCTCGAATGAATCTATTATTATCGATCGCAGTCACACGAGTGCCGCATCTGAAACTACGTCTGGAATGGGTACTTCCCCCGAAGCTGGACGTTTGCGGTTGTTCGATATTTGTGGCGAGCATTGCAAATGCAAGCATAAGAAATGCTCCCACCACGACGGCGAAAAGTCGGATCATCATGATGAGCATATGGAAACGTTGGATCTCACTATTGTGGTTGACAACTCCATGCTCGAGGTGTATGCTAATTCGCGATTTGCGCTCTCTACTTGGGTTCGGTAGGTAATCCCTGGTTATATTTTCGCTACTGGGCACGAGCTTACTTTATATACAAAACAGGCCTTGGTACAGTTATTCGAATGAGATTAGCTTCTTCCATAATGGGGAGGAAGAGGTGACGTTCAGCAATATCAGAATATTTGATGGTTTGTATGATGCTTACCCCGAGCGCGAGAGGTAATCTCTCGGCATGCGCCACGCAGTTCGATGGCTCTCGCCATAGGAGCTCAACACGGGAGTTCCACGTTTGGAACATGGTAGCTAGGCACAAATGAGATCATACGTGATCTCCTCGGGATTTCGGGGTATTTATGTTTGAGATCAATGGCCTTGCATTTGCAGAGAGGTTATTATGAGGGCTCTAATCTAATCATGTTACAATACGGAGGGTCTGCCCACTACCTCTCAGGGCTATTAATCAGGAGCGCTGTTTTTATTCAATATAATCACGTTCTAAACATGCCACCGGTGCTGGCGTAAGTCTGATATCCAGTCTTTGAATACTGCATTGGAATCAACGTTAAACATGCAAATTGGCTTTAAGCATCACTAAGATTGAGATGGAAGCATCTGTCTGTATTGCGATCTATGTGAGTTGGATTCTAAGGCACAGCCTACTTGGCTGGGACGGTTTCATATTTCCGTCTGGCACAATCCACAGAGTGCGAGGGGCCAGCGTACGGAATAATCATCATTACAGCCATCTCTGTATGTACAGTCGCAGTTAAAACGGGCCGAGATCATCATGCTATGCGTTATCCACGAGGGAAGGCAGTTTATGAGGTGCCTGAGCTGTATCCCTGTACAAATAATACCCTCCTCATCTAGGTCTTCGTATCTACACCCCTATCTACCATGCTCTATCATGCTCGCCATGGAGGTACTATATAATAAACGACCCCATGGCCAATGGCAGCCGCTAGGGGCCCAACCTTGATCCCATCAGCCTTGCGCAGCCAGTCCAGAATCCACCGGTGTATACGTACCCAATGAATCCAGTGATAACCCGGGAATTCCGACCCGACATACACCCCAAAACATCGCGCAGGGTTTAATGCTGCTGACACGATCAGTGTAAGTGGCTGTCTGGAGCGAAAGTCTTACAAGCGCCTGCGTATCCTTTCCGTGTATACGCCGACCCCCAGCTGACCACCCCCAGGACCATACCCACAAGCCACGGCGACAGGGCTGCGCCGTACACCTGAACTTGTCGTGGATCGAGCCCTACGCCAAACGAGAGGAAGATCAAGGTCAGGCAGCAGATGAACTCCAGAACAAACGCCTCCCGGACGGGGACGAGGTTCGTATCGATGGTGCACCCCCCGACCAGGTATTCATCCGATCCGAAGGCCGATTCCAGCATCCAGCCGGCTAACGCACCTCCTAGTATCTGGCTGCCGAGATAGAGCACGGTCCGAGGGAGGGATATCAATCGCGCGAAGAAGGTGGCGAGCGTGATGGTCGGGTTCAGATGGCTGCCTGAGACGGAACTAAACGTGAATATGAAAAGCGTCAAGAACAACCAGTTGCAGATGCCTCCAAATAACGGTCCCAGGAACTCCGGGGTGCCGAATACCCCCGTTGATCCTGGGGTGACTTCGGGGGCGGACGCAGGGGTGGCGGATGCCCAGGCGGTGATAAAAGAAAGCATCATCGTCCCTTATACTGTTAGACACGAGTATGTTATTCATGTGCCCAAGGCTGAGATACCGACACATTCCACCACGCTGAATCTGTACAAGTTGGGGTCTGCGAAGCCTTGGAGATTCCATGCCTCTCGGAAGGTCATCAATGGCGCTGCGTCAGGGACTTTCTTCAGATAGTCCGCGTTCGTTGGGTCGTGTCGATCGAGAACAAGCCCCTGATTACCCCCAATACGGCCGGCGAAGGGCTGGATCTGGGGCTTGCATGAGAGCTGCCGGACATTCGTGCTGAGGTCGACATCGTCTCGGTATTGCATGGGCGCGGTCATGTTGAGCAGAGAGACAGTCACTCAACTTATCAATGAGAAGCGAGGTTAGGCCATGCAAATCGATTACAATTATGAAGTCTGGTCTGCTACTGTGGGGATTCGAATATTGCCGTGGCTCAAGTCTATTGCATCATCGCCCGGCTCGGATACAGCAAACCTTGAAGACAACCCGATAACAATAAAAGAGACTGTTCAGTAAATATAGTCATAATTATAACGTCCGTATATCGTCTCTATACCTATTCTTGGATAGCTTCCTGCCACTGCTTCTTCGCCTGCTCAAACAGTTGATCGTCGGTGATCATCTCCCAGCCGATGAGAGCCAACGACTTGCCGACAATGACGGCTTCTTCGTGAGCATCATCCGTGCCAGCCGCCGAGGCGAACGAAGGATGATGAGGGAAGGAACCGTCATCTGCAGGGATTCCAAACATAGTGTGGAGGGTGGGAAGGATATAAGAGACGTTACCTACATATATTAGCACAGACATGCATCTCTATGGAGAGGCAGTGGAACCCACCGATGTCAGAAGAGCCCGTCAGAACCTTCTCATGGCGCTTGAGGACGTTTCGGTCGTATTTGCCCATATGTGCGCTGTAGCGTTCACACAATGTGTCGTTGATCTTGATATCCGTGTACAACTCATTCCTATACATAGTCATTAGTTGGTTGCCAACACACCGGTCGGAGTAGACGTACTCGACAATCTTCACCTCACACCCCGTAGCCAATGCGCCGGCTTCAATACAATTGCGCACCTTGGCCATCAACGTGTTCAAGCCCTTCATGGTCGGGCTACGGACTTGCCAGTAGGCTTTGGTGTAGGATGCAATCACGTTGGCCACCTTCGGTACATCCAGGAACGCGCAGTGGGCACGCTCATCAGGTTGCATCTGTTGACGCAGCACAGCAACATTGTTGTAGGATGTGACTAGGGCGTCCAAGGCGTTGATGCCCGCCCAAGGATTCCCTCCAGCATGAGCACTCTTGCCGAAGAATTCGCAGTGAATTTCCTTCCGCGCATTCATCAACACGCCACCCACACCGTCGCAAACGACGCCTGGGAAGAGCTTCTTGGGGCCCGCATGACTGAAATGATTAGTTTTGTATGCAGAGAGGGGACGGTAGACATACGCCATGAGAGAGATATCGACGCCCTTGTACGCTCCAGCATCGATAAGTTTGGCCTTACCACCGCCATTCTCTTCGGCTGGCGTCCCCAAGAGCTGCGTGCGGCCGGGGATGTTGTACTGCTTCAGCACGGCCGACAAAGCTAGGAACGCCGCAACACTACTTGTGGTGATCAAGTTATGGCCACAGGCATGACCAATGTCTGGTAGAGCGTCATATTCGGCATTGAAGTTGATTAGACGGCCCCCAGATCCACTGGTAGCTTCAAACGAAGTGTCCAGTCCGTATGCATGCCGAGTGACAGTGAACCCCAGTGCTTCAAGAAAATCGCAGATGGCTTTGTGAGCCCCGTGTTCTTGATACGCAGTTTCAGGGTTTGACCAGATCTATGTCGTTAGCGAGTTAGCTCGTCTCTGCGAGAGTGATGACAAAGAATTATACCTGTCTGTTGAGCTCGCGGAGGGAAGCATTGGCAGTGGCCAATGCTGCATCGACAGATGCCTTGACTTCGTCAATGTTCATCATGATGTACTTCAAGAGATTATTCCGTGTTGTCAAGTAGATTCTGGGGCTTATTCCTAAGTCGAGCAACCTAATGAATGCTCTTCGATGATGACTGTATCTAGGAGTTGGCTGAGCGAGTGATGGCCAACTCGGAAAACTGGCATACGTCAACATATATGAGACGCCTCCATCTATCCTCCCCCAGGTGAATCCACGGTATCATTTCCGCCCCTCGGCAGATATGGATACAACAAAAGATATCCCCGGATACTGGTCATCCTCCTGATAGGACAGATCGCCAACTACACCATGCACGTCGCCTCCGGGGCATGCACCCCGCAAACAAGGCCCCATATCAGGCAAAAGATGACGTTGGACCGTTAGTAAAGGACGGCAATCGATGACCAACGACGCCCATCGGTAATCTAATCAGGGGAATAACACGGGGATATCACGAAGATTGACAGCACTACCTTCCTGTCTACAGTCCTCGGCAGGTAAGAACGTCCTCATCCTCCGAATGCCTCGCAAAGGTGGGGATGTCAAGTGGGTATTAAATCCACGCTGGCTCTTGAGTCGACCAACACAGGCTTCCAGACGAGTCTTCTCCGCACGATCGAATCTGTGGGGGAAGAACAGTGGTCCCTCTGGCACGCTCTCATCGTCGTCGTGGTCCACCTTGATAAACTCTTCGTGGCTGATAAACAAGCGTTAGCGTTGGGATTTGCCGAGCTCTATCTGGCATTGGCCGATCTGCCGACCGGGCCAGCACTTACGGACACTTTGGGACACTCCGGGACGCCATGGTGGACACGCTGGGATTTCCAGTTCCTTTGCCGACCGAATGCGCCGGCGTTATTGGGCGTCCGGGCTATGGAGCCCTGACTGACCCACGGCGCAGCACGCCCGGACCACCAGGCCACATTCCGCAGGGGACCCATCGCCACGGCTCCGATAGCCATGATCGCATTAGGGGAGGCAACTGCAATGCTCGGCGTCTTTCGACTCAGTGTCGACGGGGAGTAAGGAAAAAGACTTTGGATCAGCATGCGAGTGCGGAATTCCTCCTGAATCTCCTCCGCTGGGCCAGCTCTGATTGCGGCGCGTCGAGTCCGCCACTATTTGCCGATGATCTCCCATCCTCCCCGGTGATATAAGACTCCAGCTCGCTCGGCCTGAGAGATATGGCGTGGTTTTCTTCACGTCTGAAAAGACGCCATCAACAAGCCGATATGGAGAAGCAACCAAGCAACGTCCCCACGGGGCCACCGCCGGTGGAAAATGCATTGGATGATCTGAAGCTCAGGGCTGAGGCATCGCTGGCTCGCGATGTCGACCTAGGACAGATGCTGGAGGTCGAGGCTACGCCAGAGGAACAGCGGAGGGTGTTGTGGAAGTTGGATATGATGTAGGTTGATTGTCCTGGACATTACAACCTGCTATCGATGCTAACCTGCCTAGCTTGATCCCCGTCATGGGTCTTTGTTACATGATGCAGTATATGGACAAGCTGGCCCTGAGCCAGGCGACACTATTCGGCATCCGAGAAGATCTGGTAGGTGGCTTCTATTCGATGTAGCCATCCCCGTGTTAGATCCTAACGGAACTATAGGGCCTTACTGGAACACAATACCCCTGGGCCTCGGCCGTGTTTTATTTCGGATACTTTGCATGGAGCTGGCCGAGCAGCTACCTCATCGTCCGTCTGCCCATCGGCAAGTACATCACGGCATCGGTGCTCGTCTGGGGCGGCGTCTTGATGTGCCATGCCGCCGTAAAGAACTTTGGGGGACTGGTGGCAGCCCGGTTCTTCCTGGGGGTGGGAGAGGCAGCCATTGCTCCTGGGTTTTCCTTGATTACCGGAATGTTCTACAAGCGTGAAGAGCAGCCTGCGAGGTATGTCCTAACAGATGGTGACGTGGATCCCCTCTGACCGAGTCTCCTCCAACAGACAAGCTGCCTGGTTCCTCGGCAACTCCATCTCGACCGTCGTCGGGGGCGTCGTCGCCTACGGAATCGGATCAGTCAAAGACACCGCCGTGAACAGCTGGCAGCTCCTATTCATCGTGCTGGGCACCATCACCGCCGGCATGTCGTTCTGGATGGTGTTCCTCCTGCCTGACTCTCCGAAAAACGCCATCTTCCTGACGAAACACGAGCGCGCCATCGCGATCCAGCGCACACTGAAGAACAAGACGGGTGTGATGGACGAGGGTGCCTTCAAATGGAGTCAGGCGTGGCTGGCCATCCGCGACCCGCAAACATGGTTCCTAGTGTTGTACACGTTCTGCGTCAACCTCTGCAACGGAGGTGTCACCAGTGTAAGCCCTGAGTCTTTCCTTGCCTTCAACTCTCCTGGACATTTCAATAACCCGCAAGCTAGTTCTCATCCATCATCATCAACGGGTTCGGCTTCTCTCAAATCCGGTCTCTCCTTATGCAGATGCCCTTAGGTGCAGCCCAGGTCGTCTTCCTCATCATCAGCGCGGGGGTCGCCACCTTCGTCCCCAGGACCCGGATCCTGATGATGTTTTTCAACACGGTGGTCTCGATGGTGGGCATGCTGCTGGTCTGGCAGCTGGACGAAGACAACCAAAAGGGACGGCTGACGGGACTGTCGCTGGGCGCGGTCTTTGCGGCCAACATTCCCCTGTCGCTGAGTATCATCAGCTCCAACGTCGCTGGGTTCACGAAGCGCAGTGTGACCAGCGGTCTACTGTTCGTGGCGTACTGCGTTGGAAATATCGTCGGGCCGCAGTTCTTCATTGACAGCGAGGAGCCTAGCTATCCGGTGAGTTCGCTACAGAATTGGATCAGGAATGAAGCTAATGAGGGTAGACCGGTATGAAAGCCGCTATTTCGGGCCTGGCCTTTGGCGCGTTCTTCCTTCTTTGCCTGCTGGGGTACTACATCTTCGAGAATCGTCGCCGCGACGCGCTGTATGGTCCGCCGGCGCAGCTGACCGAGGAGGAAGAGCAGGCCCAGGGATTGTCGAACAAGACCGACCTGGAGATAGAGAGTTTCCGGTACCTTATGTAAATAGTTTCTAACGTATATAATTGATTTGCGACATGCTTTGTATATTGCCTCTGGATATAATCAGATGCCTGCATTGCAGGCACCTATTCGTGATGGCTTGGACCAGATAAAAGCATCTGTGTTTAGCTGTCTTCAGTAGAACAGCCAGGAAGAGACTAAGTGGACAATATACATCGATCATGATTCAGGGCGTTGCGGCTATTCCTTAACTCAACCTCACCCTCCCAAACTAGACTGCAGGTGCGGTTTCAATGATCAATCGTCCCTGCATCGATCTATGTGGAACTGCGAGTGGAACGATCCACATGGTCGATACGGAGTACAAGCTGATGGACCTAATAAGTGTTGGCACCAAGGCAAGACACTATCTATGCTCAACTCCACCATCAAATGTAGATTAAATTTGCAGTCGAATACAGAGCAATCTGGCAGCTCTCTATAAATACTGCTGGTGGCTTTGGACCTCCCGCTTGGGCTTCAGCCCCGCCACGGTGATGATGCGGAGGAAGGCCTCCCGATGGAACGCCCGGCTTTCGGCCGTGTGCGTCAGCCTGATCGTCGTCACGGCCAGGGGGGGGGAATCTCACTGCCGATGCGCACGTATCCCGCGGTTTCGCCCATGGGCGAAACTTCCATTCGGTCGCCAGTGTCCCGCGCCAAACACACCATCTTTAGAATTATTGGCAGAACGATCAGGCCTTGCCGGGCCGTCATGTCCCCGCGCCCGGCGAGGACCGCCAGGCGCTGGGGGGCCAGCAAGCCGTATGGTGGATCGTCATCCTGCGGCGTCGTCTGCGGAAACCCACGCGAGATATTCGACCAGGACCGCGTCGCGGTCGAGCCGTCCTGTAGGGTTCTCCTCCGTGGCCCCGTCCCAGTAGAGCTGCACTAGGTACCCACAGAGGTCGATAGGGCGGTTCCATATAGGCGTCGCGGTAAGGCCCCAAAAGTTATCGGCCCGGAGGAGGGCGACCGCCTGGTGATTGCGGGTGCGTACTGTTTTAATCGCATGTGCCTCATCCGCCACGACGCGGGCGAAGGCCCCCGCAAAGGTGGACCGATACGCCCGAGCTCTTGTACGAAATAGCCTTCACTGCTCACTCTATCCGCCAAAGCCATGCTCATGTTGGATGTGGACAACCTCTTTCTCAATACCCACCCGAGGAACAGGCTAACAGGGCAAATACACCGAGTCAGCAATAGAATCCGCAGCTGATTCTCACGTATCCATCTTGTGATCGCTGAATCGCAGCTGTCGGCGGATCTAGGAACCAGCTTCGGGTGTGGAGTGATCGTGCTTCGGCAAACTCGAAGCCGAACCTCTGAGATGCTATGGAAAGCTTGGAATGCGTAAGTAGGCGCTTATTGCCGGACGAATATGGGTACTCTCCACTGCAGCTGCTAGCTGCATGACTTTTCTGGAAGAAATGAGAAACACCCGCTGATCCGCGATCCGAAGAGACTTATGATCGAACTTCGCCTAGCAAAGATATCGGCGGAGACACTCTACCTCATTTCCTTGGACCGGTTCGGGGAATATGGTGCGGAACGGTGTATGTGATACCGACCTACTAAGACGCACGGATCGTTTCCATTGTCCCTGTTTGCTTCTCTCCTTGTTCGCATTCGCTACCTTCATTGTGTCGTCCTGTGTTTATGCCTGTCATTGCTGTCTGGGAGGTCTCAAATGGTGGAGTCGCCGTTGGGCTACGGTCTGCTATTCTTTGTTGGTATTTGACCCGATTCACAGGGGAGAATATGGACTTACCGACCTTCCAGATCCATGCTACTATGGATCTGTGGACGCATTCAGAGTGAAATTCAACCACAGCCTCCAGACGATACCGAGAATGCACAGGAACATCCTCCGTCGTCGGCTTTTCTCTTCTCTTCTGCTCTCACCTATGAGCCCCCCTTATTTCTGATACTTGTTGCCGTTGAGATGTCCCCGGTCGGAGGTGCATGAGTCGCAGGCGTGAAGAATACTCCCCGCTGACGATAGCAAGTTGTTTATATCGCGCGTGCAGGTCCCAGATCCGCTCATCCAGCTAGGCCGAAATAGATCCGTGTTTATTCGACGACGTCAAAACCAATGCAAGCCGTATAACCAGGTCAAAAGAACCTCGCTAGCAAGGTGGGTCGGAACAGGAGATCTAGCGTCTCTTGGAGCTCCATCATTGGTACGATGGGCATTGCGAACATGTTTCCGCAGCTGGCATCAGTTAGCCATATCTACAGCATATAACCGGATGATACTGACCGAGATCTAGGAGGTAAAGCACTGGCCGCCCATCTGCGTGCTATTCACCGCTATGTGGCAACATGGTCAGCATATGCAGAGATGGTGTAGGCATTAACTCATACACAAGCCCCTGGGCCCTTATCTTCCACCACAATGGCTCGTTCAGACGTGGCACCGGCGGCGGCCATGGTCGCGTAGACGTTCTGCAGCTGCTGGCCGAGGGCGTCCCGATGGGTCAGATCTTCCAGGTTACCTAGTTCGATCAGTCTCTGTCATGGAGGTTCGTAGGAAGCGCAAGGACGATTTCCGTCCGGCCGGATTCCGTTCTCAACTCTTTGCCAACCGAAGCTCATGGATGCTTTCGAGTCGGCACGGATCAGTTGTGATGGATGATATATAGAAGTATGGGTATATGGGAATTAACGAGGGTATAAAAAAGAAAAAGATTGCGATGAGCGGGTGCAGCAGCAGATGTAAGGATAGAGAAACCCGACGCCTGGCGGCTCTATTGGCACCTTGAGGAAGTCATCTTTCTGTCTGCAGATTCCAGTCCCCGTATATCGATATTCTATATGTTGGCCTTGTGTGGAAAGCCAATGAAGAATCTCCCTCCATGTATATCGTATAGGATAATCGTTCTAGGAGATGTCAAGCAAAGGAAATCTTCGATTATATACCTGCTTCCCTAGCTTCACAATAATGTCTTTCACTGCTGGCGACACACAATCAACTCAGTCTTTATTAAATAAGAGGTGTGAATTATAATTGCGACCGTTGGATATGCCTGAACCATCAATTGACCGACCTCAGTGAAGAAAACTAGCTACAACAATGAACCCTTTGCGCTCTATAAGCCCATAAGCCCATTACCCGCAAGCCAACAGCAATCACTTAGCAAGACACACCCGAAGGGAGGTTCTTGCATTCACTGCTCGACTTTCCGCCGGAGAGCTTCACATTCTTCCAGGTCCAGTCGGAGCAGCTACCGCTACCGCAGAGGATGTAGACAGGGGTGGCCTTGCTATCCACGGAGCCGGTGATTCCGTCGACGGTGACATCCTTGATGGGAATACCGTTGGAGGGCTTGCCGGTCGGACCACCGTTCTTGTAGTCCTGCTGAATGACGATGCCCTTCTTGTGGATGCCGGAGAGCTTGATGTTGGAGTAGGTGACGTCGCTGACGGAGCCGGTCTCGTCGACGATGGTCTTGATGCGGATGCCGTTGTCAGAGTTGGTCACAGTGGAGTCAGTGATCTTGACGCCCTGGACGGTGTTGTCGTCGCGGCCGCCGATGGAGCCGATCGAGAGGCCGTGGCCGCCGGAGCAGGTGCCGCCGGTGAACTCGATGTTCTACACTTGTCAGCTACAGGCGCACGAAGAATTCGTGGTGCGTGCACTCACCTTGCCGGAGTTGATGGCGATGCAGTCGTCCTGGTTCTTGACGTTGGCGCCGCTGATGTAGACGCCGTTGCTCTCGCTGATGTCGAAGCCGTCGGTGTTGTGGCCGCCCTTGCTGTCACCGTCCGAGTTGTCGATGGTGATGTCGGTCAGGTGGAGGTTGTTGGCCTGCACGCTGATGGCCTGCACGGGGGTGTTCTTGATGTTGAGGCCCTTGATGGTCGAGTCTTCGAGCTTGTGGGCGTACAGGAACTTGGGCTTGGTCTTGCCGCCGTTCGTGCCCTTGCCGTCCCACCAGCGAGAGCCCTCACCGTCGATAACAGCGCCCTTCGCCATGGTCACGGTGATGTCCTTACCGGCCAGGCGGATCAGAGGGCCCTTCCATTCCTTGTAGCCGAAGGTGGTGGTGCCCTCGAAGGTGATCTGGGACAAGTATTAGCGTTGAACGTCTGCGGGCTGGGTGCTAGGCTTACGGTGGTGCCGTCTTTCACATGGGACAGATCAAGGGTCTTGCCCGCAGGGACGGCGATATCCTTGAGGACGATGGAGGAGCAGCTGGACGCGCTCGAGCTGGCCTTGGCCGCATCGGTGAAAGTGCAGGAAGAGGACCTCTCCGTCAGGTCCGACACACGGGACGGCGACGGAGCGGCGGCAACGAGGGAGCCCAGCGCAGCCAGTCCGAGAAGTTGGAAGGAATGCATAGTGAGTGAATGATGTTCTGGTCAACAGAACAAAGAACAGTCAAAAGAGTGAAGTTCTGGTCAACAGAATAGAGGTTAGGAAATACAGATGCAGAAAGGAATGATGCGGTCTGGCCTCGAAGGCACTGCAGCTCCAGATGTAGGACTTTAAATACCTCCCCGCTAAGCTTCCCATTTGGAGCTTGTCCCTACGGACCCTCCAGCAGCTCCATCACTCTTCAATGATTATGAGAGCCATTGGTGGAATTCGCAGTATGTGGTTCAGAGAGGCCCACAGACTTCTCCTCCTCCATATCAATCTCTAACCGCCATGCGGCGTAGTGGGTGCCCCGGACCCTGGCGACATAGATAATAATAATACCGATGTCTAGTGGGGATTGGATTCCTGTATCATTTAAGGGTCCCACCCTCGGATTAGATGCTCTGAGTGGATCGACGAGTCAGCCAGCATCCAGAACGCGATGGCCGGATTCAGCCCTAAACACTGCATGAACTGTTTCACATTGTTTCAGTCGGAGAAAAATCTCCACTGGGCGATACTTCTTGCATCTATCTGGTGGAAAATTCTCGGGAAGTCCGGGTAGGGCGGTAGAAGCCGATGTCGTTCATTCAAGATAAATGGGCCAAGGGTTGATGGCGCTGCATAGATCCGAACCTACCGTGAACTATGGCGTACTGGGAGCTATGGCCGAGACACATGGAGAGGGTCTCCATGTTCGTGTCTTATTCAGGGGTAGTTAGAGAATGGAGAACTCCTCCGTACTCCGTAGTACATTCGGCAGATGTCCGAATGCTGCTGCCTGTGCAGGCGGTTCATATTGAAGACATGAAATTAATTAGTACCGTTTTGGAGCCATGCATGGCATGACAGTCTTCTGACTGTCCCCTACATCTGTGCGGATTCTTCAGACATTGAATGCAATGAGTTCCAGAGTGACTTCAAGAATCGAGCTCGACCTGTGGAGTGGGTCGTGTCAGACACCGGGCGTTTCTAATTTCCCTAGAACGACGACAATGCATAATGATCTTTCGGGATATATTTGGATTGCTAAACTGCACAGAACGCTCAACAGCCATCTGATTAAGGGGTATTATGTTCGAGTCAGGCCAGCCTTGAAAATACTAGGTATTCAATCGAAACCAACCCCCCAGTCACCAACTAACCAATGCATGACACTCACCACAGTGCTCAGACACTCAGCCCTTGATCAAGACTCGCACGCCTTCGCTGTCGAGCTTCGTGAACGGAATGAAGATGTCGTGTTTCACCCGAACGTCCTCCACAGTGGTCTCATACAGCTCGAACTCGAAACGCTGCAGCAGGGTGCTGATGACCATGAGGATCTCGGCCCGAGCAAGACTAGCGATGTTAGCGTACCCCATACGGCCTACACGAGTACGAATGCGAGGAGCATTGGGAACATACTGCATGCCGATACACTGTCGCGACCCCTTCGAGAACGCGACCATGTATTTCTCCAGCCGCTTGCGCTCGGTCAGGTCGGTCCATCGTTCGGGGTCGAAGCGGTAGGAGTCGGGGAAGACCGATTCGTCGTGATGCATCAGAAGACAGCTCATGCTGATCGGCGTCTATCGGATGTCAATACAGTTTTCAAACAGTGGGGAGGGAGAACTCACTCCAGGAGGGATGGTCCAGTCCTTGTACTTGAGCGCGTTGTATGGTGCGATTCGAGGGAGACGAGCAGTCACTCCATATGAAAGACTACAGGCCGTCAGTATCAGACACGATCATACAGAGGGAGAGATCATACCGAATTCCCTCCAGCATCACGCTAGTCTGTCGAGCCGTTAGCAAGGTGTTCGCATCAGAATCATGCTAACCCACCAAATAAGGCAGCTGTTCCAGCTGGATCAACGCCGGATCTGGGCCCAGAGGCTCCAGCTCCGCCTTCAGCTTTTTGAGCAGCTCCGGGTTGTCCAGGAGGTAGAATAAAATATAAGTCATCGCCTTGGCAGTGGTTTCGGCGCCGGCCGACACGAGAATCTGCATCTCCTGCGCCAACCGGGCCTCACTCTTTTCCTGCTCCGGCAAGTCGCTGCTGAGGACATCGTCGAAGAGGGTCAGCCGGCCTTTCTGGTCGACGGCATGCGAGCCCTTTTCAAGGTGGTCAGTCGCGATCTTATGGATGAGCTTGCGGCAGCGGCGTTGGAAATCAAAGAACAGCTCCATGCCCGGGTTCAGCCACGCGGTCACCGACTCTGGCATGGCCAGCAGCAGCGGCAGCAGGAACGCAACCGGGCGGATAAAGACCAGCGTTCGCGCCGTCCCCGTGAGGGTGTGGTACCACTGCGGGATGAAGTCGGGCTCGTCGAGGTAGTGATAACCCTCGCCCATGGTGTAGTCGGTGATCACGTCCGTCGTGTAGCAGGTCAGGGCGTGCTCGATATGCAGCGGCTTGCCGGTGTTCTTCCACTCCTCCAGGCGGCCACAAAGCTTGTTGATCAGGGCCCTGAGGACAGGCTCCTGCTGGCGGATGCGCATCGTCGAGAAGAACGGATTCATATGCGAACGGATCAAGCGGTGGCGGAAATGGTCTTCGGCGGTGATCAGGGCCAAGGGCGCGTTGAAGGTGCGCTGGTAGTAGTTGTATTTGTTGCGCGGGCTGTCGCGGGAGTAGATCACTTCATAGTAGTCCGGGTCACTGACGTGCAGTTCGGTCGGACTGATGCGAACAATGGGGCCTGCAGGAGGAATTAAGCTGTTAATATCTGAATAGTATCTGAGAGAAGAAAGGCTTATCCATGCACCCACCATATTTCTTGTGCAGTTCGCCGATATGAAAGGTAAACTGCCCACAGCAAATCGTATCCCAGTAGAACTCATACATCACCGTCAACGCGGCCAACCGCGGCCCGGGGAAATGGGCGATCGGACAGAGCCACAGACGATAGACCGCCGCAGACAGCAGATATCCCACCGTCACGGCAGCGGCCGTGACGTACGGATGCGACAGGAGCAGACGCAACAACTCCATGGTGAGGTGGTGATCGTAACGGAGGACGACGGACGGGGAGAGATTCCCACGATATCGAGGGGGGGGCCGCAAGGGGACGCAGGGGGAATTTTATTCGTGTCGGTATATATACCGGCGGTGTTAGTTTCCACTTTTCCAATCCGCCTTAGTCTTCTTCACTACTCCTCCTCCGGCTGCCCCCCGTGGTGATGGCCGACGGAAGGGCGGGTGCTCAGGCCAACTGACGATTCCCAGCACGACGGGCTGAGATAGGTGCCAGTGGAGCCATGACCTTTTCCATGCTCCCAATGACAGCTCCGACAAAGTTCAGCAAAGACGGGATTGTCGGATACGAAGGCCATTGTCGTCTGAAGAGTGTGGCCTGGGCGTGGCGTTGCTCCACCTGCGTCGATGGCATCAGCCAGTCGACGACGATGGACGCCCGGAAAGGCGGGATTTCCTTGATTACCAGCCGCTAACGGAGGAACTATTGTCGTTAGACTCTAGTCTAGTTCTGCTGGGACCTCCTGACAACGCCGTGGATCGAAGCGACGGAATGTTTTTCGCGGTCTCGAAGGATGCGCTGACGAACCCTAAATTACCATGTCGAATGGCCCAGCTGTCACCTGTCATGGAGCCAGATTCCTCTTGGGGAGTTTCATGATTCAGAGGTGGTCTGATGGTGGATCTTGCTGTTTCTACGGGATTTGAACCAGATCCCCGACAGCCCCAATAGTAGTTATTTTGAAGTGTTTCATGTGATATCCGATCCATGCGAGCAGCGATCCCGACCAAACGGGCTGGCTGGACGCTTGCATGTTCTCGCATGAACTCGTCCTGCAGCTAATAAACAGCCTGCTCTGTTTGGCTGGATTCTCCTCCCGGCGGATGTTGATCGATATTGTTTTGTATCCACTGTTCCGGCATGTCGGATCCACCCAGAGATCAATGCATCCCGAAGAAGATGAACAAAAACAATTCACATCCTGGATAGCTGGGCTTGAGACCTCTTCATCTGGAAAAGAACCAAAAGAGGCACCAGAATGGGAGAGGATGTAGGGAAACGGAAACGCGCAATAGATTCCCCTTTCGTCTGCAATACTGCGCTATCGCATTACCGGAGCATTCCGCCCCTGAACGATACGTCGCTCTGCAATTGCCATAAGGGGACGATATTGCTGGACTGGCATTTTTAGCCATCTAGGAATCCCCACAGTACTCTGCATCTCCAGAATGGATCATTCCAGGCGGTGATCATCGTCTTGGGAGGCCCGACAGTTGTAGGCGTACCGTCTCACTTGGAAAATTCTGATCCGATTGTACAATGAGATGGAATGGAGTCGCCTGGGGTACAGTAGTGCACAGAGACGTTGGTATGGGTATAGTATTAGTATTCTAGATGTCAGACAATGATCTATGCTGCGTACTCAGTACAAAGTGTCGTTCTGCTCGAATAGACAAGACCGAAATATATTTCCCTGACGAGTCTACGCTCAGACCAGTATCCATATTGTCGGGTCCATGGCACTTCAACCATGATAATAATATATCGAAGTATACTCTGTACAGCACAGCATCGATGCCTGCCGCCACAAAGTGCATATTCATCTTTAGGCCTTAAACTTGTGATCTAAACCACCATACAATGTATCGACAATCTCGCAACAAAATATAGTCAGACAGCCAAAAATCCCCTTTGCGTCTCCCACAGATTACCCATATTCAATCATACCATCCCTTTCTCTTGTTTTTTCTTTTTCATCTCCTCTAAACGCCGCTTCGTGAGCAAATACCACGTCCCCAGTGTCAGGAGCGTCAGAGGAACCGCAATAACCACAAAGATCCAGAACTGATAGGATATACTAAAGCCATGATTTGAATTGTCAAAGTCGAACAGGTTCATTCCCAGGAGAGTCTACCTCGGTCAGATCTTAGAAACGCTTCTAACATAGTGCAACGTACCGACACAAAACTTGCAGGCAGGTATATCAAAGTAACGAGCGTCACCACCCGCACCGTGATATTCTCATCGAACGATTGGCTTGTAAGTTCAAGCATCTGGTTATTAATTTCATTCGTGAGCCTCTGGCTGTCCAGCGCCAACGCTTGGTTTTCCAGAGTCAGCGCAACCGGCAACTATGGACGGTGGTTGGTTAGCTATTCGCTATGCAAGATGCAAAGGCAGAAGACGCACCATGTCCGAGATACTCCGCACCCTTCGCTCCAGCACCCCGACGCTCTTGAGGTACCCTTCGAGCGACATGATCTGGTACGTGAAACTGTCGCCCACGGTCTGATGGTCTAGATCAGACGTGAATCCTCGCGCGCGGAATTCCGTGTTGATCTTGTCCAACCTCTGGAGAGTCGTCAAAGCCACACCCACTTGCGATGCAAGTGTCACGATCTTGTCTCGCAGATATTGCTGGTTCATCAGTGGCCCCAGTCCCTCCATGCTGTCTTTTGTCCCAGGCTTTCGAAGATCAAGTGCCAGTGTGAAGTTGATCTGGGGAAGCTTTAGCCCACCTGCATGACCATGGCTTGGATTCGACTCACTGCTGTCTCGATCTTCTCACTCAGACTGCGTATATACCAGCGCCAGTTTCCCAAGTAAGCCGACTGCACAGTCAGGTGCATGGCAGACCACTTCCCGAGCAGGTCCTGCGGGCTGGTGGACAATATCTGCTGGATGTGCTTCTGGAGACGGGATTCATGGTTTGCATGGAGCAGAATCCACAGGTTTCCGGACCCCGAGGGATCATGCCGGTGAAAGACGCAGACCTGTCGGATCGTCCATGACACACTCTCTCCCTTGTTGTTACCCTCCGCGTATGCGAAGAGGTAATGCATGTCTAGGCAGTTAGCCCTCTGCCCCAGAGGAACATGGCTGATTATTACCGTATGCTCCATTTTCCCTCCGTTTCACGTTCATGCCGCCATGACCAGCATCGGAGGCGCGTGGTTTGTCGCCAAAGGAAACAACAAGGTCAAGGAACGAGGCGTCAATATCATAGACGCTCATCAATCTTTGCATGGCCTGGGCGGTGATTTTCAACGGGTCCACAGAGGTCTGAGAACATATCGACCTAGGATGGTCAATGACTGTATTATAGGATGTGGGAGCCGTCGGACGAAACGTACACCACGCGCGCTGCCGGCTTCGGGGTGGTGATCAGGTGCGATTCGAAGAGTTCGCTATTCGCAAACACGCGGGAGGAATGTCCCTGCGAGGTATTCTCGAAAACATAAATGTCCGACTTCTCGGGGTGCGAAACAAACGCTGGATAGCGTAGATGGCGCCGGACGGCTTCGTAGGCGTCTGGCCTTGGAGGCGTCATATCAGACTGGTTGACGGTCGGAGATGAAGAGAGAGGAAACCCGTCGGAGGGCAGTTCGTGCAGTTCCAATTCCATGAGCAAACTGCTTGAGCGAGCTTGATTCTGTCCTTCTAGAAGGAATCTAGAATTATCTTAAACCCAGATGAATGGAGCTGTCCCAAGGCACAATCGGAAGGCGGCTTCGTCAAGGCACTCTTGGCGATGCTTGCACGACACAGAGACCGGGCTGAGCTTGCGGCGCTACAAGGTATACGAGGGTTACAGCAGCTATCGTGGCTGAAAAGGCAATGTGGTTTAATTTGCAACGACAACAAAAAGCAAAAGGTTACATGTCAACCCAGCGAGTTCATCCGTCACTCCGTGACATGAATCAGCCCCAATTCACCCTCGCAGGCTCGCGAAGATCACTTCTTGGATGTCAGCAGGCTACGTCTGTCTGGCCAATGAAAGGGAAAGGGGTGGGATCGTACTCAATCTCGTCCTGTGGCGATGACAAGGTCAGTTCCTCTTCCAAGTAGATAGGATTACCAAAGTCAGCGCACCTTGTTAACCACCCTGGGTGCTTCAAACTGGAACCGGCCGTAGATGTGCTTCGCGCCTCTCAGTCAGCCGATGCCACCGAGGCTGTGCTGGGCTGATCGCTTACCCGAACTTGAATGTCGTAGCCAAACATAGAGCGCAACCGCGCCTCCAGCCTTGCCTTCTGGATATACCCGGTCACTTCTTCATCGATGATGTTGATGACGGGGGCCCGGCCAGTTGGACTGGTTGGACCCGGGTCCAGCGAAGAGGTGGTCGAAAAGGTACGGGTGGACATCAGGATGGTGGAAGGATCTATGCTTGCTAAGAAAGAGAGATGACTTTCCAGGCTTTGGAAGAGGCTATTGTTGGACAGGGCAGGAGAAACTTCAGTACTAAGACCTCCACTGGGTAAGAGCCGCTTGTCTTCCAGTTCACAAGTCTCCTTCAGAAAGGAGGGTTGAGCAAAGCCATGATTGTATGCTCTGCTCCAGCTGCATATTGGGCATGCACGAGGTTGGACGGACTGAGCCGGCTTCATCTAAATCGCTTTGCCATAAAGAGGGGGTTTGTTCATAATACGATCAGCTATTGGATATGTGTCCCGTCAGTTCGGGCGCGAGGCTGTGCGTGATGAGTTGTCCATCCTCTGATGCCCTGGAGAAGCGGGGGAGACCGCCACGCTGGAGGAGCGAGGGATCGTCGTGTTGTAATTACGGCTATGCTGGGCAAGGCGCCCCAGTTCTCGTATCATGTAACAGTAGCCTGGACAACTTCATCCAGGAGTATGACGACGTATATAACCGAGTGTTTCCTGGAGCGGACCATGAGATAGTTCCTTCTGGCGAGATGGAGAGATAGAGATCATGAACGACAAACGGTTCGCATTAAGCAGCCAAATGAGGAGTTTGGTTCCTCCTTGAGCATCGTACTTTGGTAGCTGAGAGACATCCGGAGATGTTTGCTTTTGATGGGATGGCACGGGTCTTTGCGCACAGCAGCTGTCGTCCCATGGCTTGCGGAGCTCTGGATAGCCATGCCGACAACCATACCAACAAACATATCGGAGTCGAGATGCATATGATATATTCAGATCAGCGCATAGTATTCCTCCCAGTCCTGAAAGTGCTATGTCGCAAAGACACTGTCCAGTTCTCCACAGCACACATGGTTGGCACCCTGGAGACGAGGCTACCATCGTAAAGCGGGGAAGACCCTGGCCCCAAATACAAGCCCTTACATGTAGTGTCAATTAATCCAATGACAAATCGATAATACGAAGCCGCTGCAAGTAAAGGATTGCGCCCTTCTCTCCGAAGCGACGGCCATTTTCAGCCTCAGCTCCGTCCTCCGTGACTGGCGCAGCCGGGGTTCGTTGAGCCGGAAGATTAATGGGACTAAGGACCACGAGATAATGTCCATCTCTCTGGGTGTGACCAACTACATGGTTCCAACCAACTTAGATTCTAAGGAAAACGAATAACGGAGTTTACGTATGCGCACGACATCAGTTCCTTCAGCCTGTCTGGTGTTAGTTGCATTCTTTATTCCCCCTTGCATATAACGTGGTTCAAATCGATCTCTTACTTCTCATGGAGACTATGACGGGGCGTCACAGATCCAATACAGAGAGGCGGTAAGTGATCTGGCCTGGTGCTCAACTGCAGTACCCTAGTAAATGCGAAACAGAATGAACCCGGGTCTCTGATAATGTTTCTGTAGCTTGCCCAACCCCCTGCGGGGCCGAACACCTGACGAACTGGAAGACGATGTGCGCCAATTCTACGAGCGACAACGACCCAAAGGATTGGCCGATGTTGTTGAAGTCGAGGTGCTCGTGAAAGGAGCCCTGGTCGCACAAGATCCAAAGAACCTTGCGGAACTGCCACATGCGGAACAAAAAGCTATTAGATTTGAGCATAAAGCGGGCTTCCTACAGCAGACAAAGGACCTCAAAGTGACTATTCTAACCACTGCTTGTGCTGCCATTATTCAGTAAGCTCATGAAACTCTCCTCGTATCCTACACATCTTGCTAACCGCGTTAAAGGGGCTGGCAACAGTCGACAATCAATGCAAGCTCACCCGGCTGGAAGCTCGAATGGGGTATAGAAAACTGGAATTATATTCCTGGGTTGATCGATGCTGCGCCCTGGATCTCTGGGAGTATCATGTAGGGACTTGTCTCTGGCTAGAGCACAATTTGGCAAGCTGACCCCAACAGAGGTACATGGTTGAGCGACCCTTTGCAGGAGGGACGATACGGTCGACGACCGGCGCTCTTGTTATCCGCCATCGTCTGCGCAGCCTGCGTTATAGGTGAGATACCACACCGCTTGCGCCAGCGAAATCGGCTGCTAATATCGTCTAGGATCAGCGCGATGTGAGTCATGGCAAGCGCTCCTTGCCTGTCGTTTGATTCTCGGAATCGGAGTAAGTAGCAAACAGGCCTACACGAAATACGACTGACGAAAGGCTTTTATCTAGATCGGTGCGAAAGCTTCCATTGCCCCCGTCTTCGCAGCAGAGGCGGCTGTAGATCATCTCCGAGGCCGCCTCTTGATGATGTGGCAAGTATTCGATACATTGTGAGTCTCCACGTCCCCCAATATGCCTATAAACAAGCAACTCACGTATACAGTGGCATATTTGTGGGATTTGCCTGCGTCTGGGTTGTCGACCAAAACTGGAGGGTGCTGCTAGGAACGGCGGCCATTCCTGCCCTGATTCTACTGTTTCTTGTTTTCCTGTGTCCGGAGTCGCCGCGATTCCTCATACGACAAGGTGATTATGCAGGGGCATTTACAAGTCTCCGTCATCTACGAGGGACAGATATTCAGGCTGCCAGGGATCTCTACTACATACATAGCCAGCTCCAGGTGGAAACAGCGTCTCTCCAGGGCAGATCCGCACATGAATGGTGGAAAGGAGAGCTGTACCAGGAAGAAGTCAGGTCCAAAAGCTTCCCGCAGCGCGTGTGGGCTCTTTTTGTACTCCCCAGGAATCGAAGAGCTTGTCTGGCTGCATTTTTGGTTATGGCTTCCCAACAGCTCTGTGGCGTAAGTGTCCCAGGGCCTTTGGAGGTTATCATTATCAACCCATCTCTAACCATAAGCCGCAGATTAACGTTCTATCTTTCTACTCGTCGACCTTATTTGGAAGCTTGGCTCATGAAAATGGGGCAAACGTCGAATGCGAGACCCCGAACTCACCAAAGTGCAACAACCCGTTGGAGAATACCAAAGTAGTCTGGCTGAATTTCGGTGAGTAACGAGCGCACATGGCGGAGATACACAACTGATAAAGACAGGCTTTGGGCTAGCAAATTTTCTCTTCACCATTCCTGCATATCGATTCATTGATTGGCGTGGCCGGAGACTCCTGCTTCTGATCTCTCTTGGTGGTATGTTCTTTACGCTGGCAGCCATCGCAGGGTTCTTCCGCATCCAGAACGATCATGTTAAGATTGGCCTTGTTGCGCCTTTCGCAATTGTCATTTTCACTCTATTCTACGGGATAGGGGCCGGACCAGTGCCATTCACATTCAGCGCCGAAGTTTTTCCTTTGGCTTTTCGAGGTGAAGTATAGTCCCCATGTGTCTCCCAGATAAACTAACAAATCGCAAATAGAAGTCGGAATGAGCTTTAGCGTCATGGTGAACTTCCTCGGTCTTGGTTTGTTGGTTCTCTTTGTGCCAGCTTTGACCGATGCTTTTGGGCCACACAATGGCCAGTCCAATCTTCTGTTTTTGTTTACGTAGGTGCTACCCATTGCCTGGCTTGTGACTGCACGACACTGGTCTTGTCAAAGATCTCAGGTAACGCAAGGTCTGCAAATGATACATATTTCTAACATCGCCTTAGTGGACTGAACGCACTGGCCTTTATCCTTGTCTTTTTTCTGGTAAGATTCCCACCTACGATCATTGCAGTGGTACTAATCCTGTTAGGTACCAAGTGGTACGGCTCGAGTTAGTCTGGAAGACATGGATGCCATCTGTAAGCTCTGGACCTATACTCCTTCTGCTGAGTCGCTAACGAGAACTGTAGTCAGCGACAAGACTTCGAACCACATATCTCAGCATATATCTGGCGTTACCAATTTATACCACCGACGAAAAAGTGAATCGGAGGGGAATGACAGTTTCCAGATGGCAACGAATCATGTGTAACTAGGAAATTAATATTGTGTCTGTTTGGACAGTTCCCTGCTTGGCTTCGACTGCAAGCAGTTGAACATGCAAAGGCTTGAATAAAAATTCCCTCTCAGTGAAGACGTACCGGTGTCTGTGTAATGGGCCCCTTTGTGGTCGCGATTTGCTCTTCCCAGCTACAGCCACAATGGTCGTGCTATTCACCAAGGCATGAATGAAGAAGAATGTTTATTGTGCATTCGGTCTTTCACCTTGCGCAGGCAATATGCGGGGCGCAACAAGGGCTTCATATACATCTCTCACGTGGAGCATTGCCATCAGGTGAATTCCTACCTTGACATAAATATTATCTGAAGAATTCAATTCTCATGGTATCAATTTCCCACTACGCAACGAACTGGTACCTACCTCAGAGTCAGCAAAGCTTCCCACCAGGGCATCCATGTCCGGTATGACCAAACCCCCGAGCGAACATGAGTATCACTTTGTGTGGCCCTTCCCGGGCCAGTGCCACGTAACGCGAAACCTCCTCCAGCATTTCCTGCGATGTCTCGAATCCCGCTCCGAGGTGAAGATGTACCAATCCAGACAGAAGTATGCGATGTCCAAGCCTGGTCCTCAAGTCGGTGATTTCTTCCTCATCGTACCGGCTACTTGTGCCCCTGGACCGGCGTGGGAAGTTGCAAAGCTTACTCTCGAGGGCCACATTCTGAACTGGGAGGCGTGCCAAGAGCCAGAGGGTATGTATCTTGTCACTGCTCACCCGACTAGGTCTTGCGAGGTGTTGAAACCTTGTACTTGAGATGGGCTTGGTGCATATAGTCGACCTGGATCAAGGAAATTCTGCGAGCTGTTTGCTGGGAGTTTCGTTGATCAACATAAGTGTTGGACATGTATTTCATAGGATGGGACAATGTTAATGGATAGCGCTTATCCAAGAGTGACTCACTGGTATTCTACGGTTCTTCCATAAATGCGGTAGCCTGAGCATGGTTATTCTCGGAAAGGGATCTGTTGATGCGGAACGGACCGCCATATACGATAGAGCGTGAGATTATAAAACCCACGGTCGCCCCTCGTTCTCCCTCCGTACGAATTCCAGTGAAAGGAAGTATAGAATCACCACGACAGATTGCACCGATATGACCCAGGGACAAGGAATTTCGTTGGCTCCCATATCGCTGGAGGATCTGCCGAGTCTTCAGCAGGTACATGACGAAGCATTCGCAGATAATGTGCTAATGAAACTCATGTACGGTCCGCCCGATCCACCGGCATTCATCGGTGACATCCAGAAGATATTCCAAACGGACTCAACCGCCCGAATAACCAAGGCGATCGACGATGCAACCGGCGAAATCGTGGGCTGGTCCTGGTGGAGTTTCCATACCGACGCAGCGACTCACATGGCCGCCGCAAAGGCAGCCGAGGAGCGAGTGAAGAGAGTCCCCAAGAATTCAATCAGTCCTGCGCTCTGGCGGGATATGCGAATTGCCATAAATGCGATGAGGAAGCAATGGATCACGGAGAAACCTGCTGCTGGTAAGGATGTCTCTGCCATGACTTATATTCGATTCACGCCTTGGAACCGAGATGCTCATTCGTCTCTAGTCCTCCAAATCCTCGTGACGCGGCCCTCGTATCAGCGAAAAGGTGTTGGCAAGGCGCTGGTCATGGCTGGCGTCGAAGAGGCCAATCGCCTTGGACTGTCAGCATGGCTTGAAGCAACCCCTGCAGGGCATGCGCTGTACCAGAAGTGCGGGTTTCGTGATGTCGGACAGCCTGTTGAAATGGATTTGAGTCAATATGGAGGGGAGGGTATCGTGAAGACGATATGCATGTTGCGTAATCCAGAGCTATAACTAGATGAAGACCGAATCTGAATCCAACGTCAGAAATACCAAGAGCACAATACACGGATACGTGTCTTCCGTGCACAAGTCAACGCAGGCTAATTAGCTGATACAGTGTCCCAGCAGTGCGTAATTAGTGCACTTAGCCCCTCGTCTAGTCCTCGTTCATCCGTCTTTGGCCAACCCCATGGGGCAAGCGGGCTGTTAGCGGTGGCTATGGCCTGCCCGTATCACTGGGTATATAATCCGAGAAACCGCTCAAAGGATGACGTTGCATAAGCCTCGCTGGATTGTCGCATTTCGCTCGTCACTCTGTCTGCTTCGTTATCGTCTTTCTCGCTCAGACAATAGAACGCCGCCTGGGATACCCGTCCCGCATGAGATCCTCATGGACCTCAATACAGCCGAACATGGTACGATACTGCTCGTATTTCCGCTTGCCAATGAACTTGGGCTGGCCACGGCACAAACACGCTGATAATAATCCATAGACAAAGTGCACGTAGCGTTGTGTGGTCAACCAACAAATATCCCTCGTTCGTCGTCCAACGCTCCACGGAAAACATGTTTCCCTTCTCGACCACTCGTCGGCGATCGGTATCCTTTCAGATGACCATACAGAACCTGTTAGACGATGCGATCGAGAAACCACATATCCCGTTGGAGACCTTTGTCCCCCGTCAGCGCCTCGTGGAGATATGGACGACCGAACGACTCGAGGAATTCGTGCAGTATCTAAAGCCAGGGGTAGACCGAACAAGCATTCCGCTTATCCAGCGGGAGTTCCTTCAAACAATCTCTATTCTTATGTATATTGAGTGGGGTGAATGGCCTCGCTTCAATGAGATCTTCGTCGCGCATACAGATAGGGCCGGAAGACGCGATCGCACGGATTTGCATATCCCCCAATACACCTTGGCTGTCTTGCAGCAGGATAACTTTCTCGGTCGAAGAGCTGGAGTGAAATTTCTGAACGCCCAATATACCTTCTGCCCGATTGACATCGAAAAGGGAGCCAACCTGATCCGATCCAAAGAATGGAGGCTCCCCTTTCTCGAAACGGGCTCTGAGATCCTCGGTAGGGGAGGATTTGGACATGTCACGAAGGAGGAGATCCCGAAAAGCCATTTCTTAATATCGAAGGGCGTTTTCTCCCAGGTAGGATGCGGCTGTACTATCGGCCTACCACACGCTTGCGGGATCAGTTAACTGACTATATCGGATAGACCAACCTTGTCGTGGCTAGAAAGGTCTTCCAATCCAGGGGGGATTTCCATCGCGAGATTCGAATTCTCAATGAGATCCGGAGTAGCCTTTCCCAGCATGACCGCGTGGCGCTTCACCTCTCAACAGTGACGGTCGGAGACGAGTTCCATATCCTGTCGCCCGTCGCCGACATGGACCTGGAGAAGTTCCTGAATGGTGGCCACCTCCCCCCAGATGATTTCACCATGGCGGAACTGATGCAGGAAGCTGCCAAGCTGGCCGGGGCATTGGATATCTTGCACGACCATCTCCAGGGCGAGCACCCGCGTCGCTTTTGCCATCGAGACCTGAAGCCCGCCAACATCCTCGTCTTTCTCGATCGCGATTCCCTGGATTTCCCTCGGGTCGGAAAATGGAAGATTACAGACTTTGGTCTTTCCGTCATCAACTCCCAGGAACGGCCGATCCCCATGGAAGAGTTCGTCACTCAGACCGACAACCAGCAGGTGTGGGTGGAAGGGGCCTACCAGGCTCCTGAGGTGTTTCAACGGACTGCATCAGGCCGGCGAAGCGACATCTGGTCTTTCGGATGTATCTTGGTTCGCATACTTGCTTTTAAGCTAGACGGAATCCAGGGACTCCGTAGGTTAGATGAACGTCGTGGTAAAGCCGCTGACGGGGTATCGAACTACGTGGATGATTACTTCAACCGAGGAGAGCCCCGTATCCTGAACCCTCATATTGAAGAGTGGATCAACGGGCTTCCCAATCGATGTGAAGAGTACAGTGAGGGATTCAAGGAAGGCTGTCGGAAAATCCTGCTGAAGATGCTGAAGATCGACAAGGAGGAGCGACCAACGGCCAGCGAGGTTGCATTTGAACTGCAAGGCCTGCAGCAATTGAGCCTTGTACTTCGCCCACGAGACGACTCGATATCGGTGCATACTTCAGGCAGTTCGACGTTGCCGCCTCGCTCGTCCGTTTCCGATCCGCCATCGTGGCCCCAGTCTTCCGGCTCTAATTTGCGATCTTGCTTCACGTCTTCGCCGGAGCATCTTGTCAGCGAGATTGAGAATCACCACGAAGCAGGGGTGCAGGTGATCCTAAACGGTCATGTTGACGTCGAGAGAAATGTCAGGAATGACAGGCCACTAATCCACGCAATCAACCATGACTTCCCGGAGGGGGTGGATCAGCTGCTTCGATATCGACAAGGCGTCAACATAGAGAAGCGGGACAGTAAAGGCAACACACCGCTTGGGCTCGCGGTGAAACAAGGAAACCTGCGTATAGTCAATCTCCTCCTGAATGCCGGCGCATGTGTCAATGCCGTGTCCCAGCATGGCATCACTCCCATTATGACCGCTGCGCGCAATGGGGATATAATAATTTTCCAAACGCTCTTGGACAGAGGGGCCGATTGTACGACTTACTCCGAGGTCGGATTGACATGTCTCCATTACGCTACGTACAGCGAGACTGGCGCAGACATTATCCGAATCTTAGTCGCAAAAAAATTCAACGGCGCTGATGTTCCTCGAAAAGGATCGAACGGAGAGATGCCACTGCTAACTCTCATCAAGAACTACGCCGATAGAGACAGCTGGTGGGAGAGATTCGGAGCTCTGATTAATGATGGGAAAGCCGACGTAAATCAGGGCGATGTTCAAGGCGTGACGCCACTCTCTTTGACTGTCGATGAACAGAACCCGAGGTTGTTTAGGCGACTGATCCAGCTGGGAGCCTCAATGGAAGGTATTGCTATCCCGAGGTCTCTACGGACAGACATGGCGGAGGCCGTGCGGTGGGCTCAACAGCAGGATCATCAAGGCTCTCGAAGGAGATCCCGGAGGATGAGTTCGTTTTTGCGATGACCACGCTCGGTCAGTGGTTTCTTATTACATGTTTCCTGTCTCCTAGTGTATGATGGTTATACTATCATCATGAGCCATACCCATGCTTTTATATATATAGGCCAGGACGTGTCTGATATCCGATTCTTTGTTCTACTTTGGTAGAGGAGGGAGATTCATTGTTTAGAAATACCCCGGAGCGCTAGAATACCATCTTCTTCTATTTCTTGCTTGGAAGCTCGTGGTTCCCATGGTAAAGAATCCAGTGGTGGAACAATGCGACCCCGCCTTGATAGCCGTAGTAGCTTACCTGTACCCGTTGACTTCACGGTTGACACAACGCAGCCAGCCCCCTCAGTCTGCCTCCAGGTCGCCAACTATCTGCGCCTAGTCGACTAGTCAATCTTCCTATAACGCCAGACCCATGGCTGTATCAATGCCCGGAACTCTTCGGTTTCTGGATTTCCCCGCCGAGGTGCGCTTGGCAATATACCGCTATCTCATCCCTAACATCTCCATCCGCAACTTCAACCTGATCCGGGGGCGGTCGAAACATATTGTTCTTCGACGGGATGGTGGTCGCTGCTGTCCAGCGCTCCTGCGTACCAGTCGTCTGATCTACAATGAAGTCGTGCAGGAATGGTACGGCTCAACGCAGTACGAAGTGGTGCTTGACACCAAATACATTCTCTTCTGCGGGCAGCTCGTTCCCCCATATGCACCGGTTCCATCGACTCTCCGCTACGTTCACTCCATGAAACTATGCATTTCCATGCAGGGCACCCCGCAATACATACACAGTCAATCGACCGTGGAGCACCTCCTAGGTTTTCAGGACCGTATAGCCATGCTAGCACGTCTGCTGTCTGACCGGCCCAGTTGTCGCCTGCAACATCTATGCATGGAGATTGGGGTCAATATTCCTCTCTTGTTGAGTCTCTGCAAAACGCCCACAGGGATGTTGGAGCTGCTGAGCTGGAACTTGGGCCCCCTACGATCCCATGTAAGGGATTTGAAATCGATACAATATGAACTCAAAGAGCAGAGCTATGGAATTCAAAGCCAGGAATTTCAACAGTCTTATGCGGAGCTTCGCTCGATCATGTGTGGGTTTCTGGATGACATGCGGTTGGAAATGCTCTCTGATATAGAGTGTGATGATGGAGCATGAATCATCTTTATCGTTTATGTTTGAAATCCTTGTCGATGCATCGTGTATATCTAGCTGAATGTCTACCCACTATTCATGTATGTATCCTACTACGAATATCAACTGCTTGCGCGAATCGAACTGGTCTACTAATGAAGGAGACCGCAGCATGCCATTGTCGAACATTGCTTAGACACGATATTAAACCTACATGCTTCGATCCGAAGGCTAAGTATGGATCTGCAGATACAGACCAGCCCTTGATGCATCGACCCCCTTGCGTCGCAGGTGCCCTTGGGCCCCTACAGGGCATCGGATCGAATTATTCTGCTTTGCCATTATCGCACCGCGATTTATCTTCCAGTCGCACAGACGACGCTTAACGCCTCCGCCATGAGGATACTATCCCTAGTCACCATCCAATTATCATTATACGTTGCTTGTGGGCTATCATCAGCACCTAAAGAAGATGAAGCCCCGATCCCCCCAAGCAAGGATCCCTTCTACACGCCACCTACCGGATACCAACACGCGAAGCCTGGTACAATCCTGTCCCATCGCGAAGTGCCATATCCGGTCGCAAAACTGGGTGGAGACGATAAGCCGTCCCACGCGTATCAGATCCTCTACCGGACGACCGACAGCTTCGGCAAAGCCACGGCCACACTGACCACAGTCCTGGTGCCTGAGAATGCCAACGGCACGAAGATACTCTCATACCAGTTTGCCATGGACTCGGCCGCCACCAGATGCGCCCCCTCGTATGCGATACGAAAACACCTCAAGGAGGACATACTGATGGACAAAATGACAAAACTCCAGTTTCTCATGTCCACAGAAGCACTGGCGAAGGGGTGGATCGTTGCGATACCTGATTTCGAAGGCCCCAATGCGGCGTACATGGCAAACGTCAAAGCCGGATACGCTGTACTTGACGGTATACGGGCTGTGCTGTCGTCTACTAGCTTCACGAACGTCTCATCCTCCGCCGCGATCGCCATGTGGGGATACTCTGGTGGAAGTCTGGCGACGGGTCTCGCGGCGGAACTGCAGCCTCTGTATGCTCCAGAGCTGAAAATCTCCGGAACTGCGCTGGGGGGCACGGTATGGCGGACGCCGACTATTCCTAACCGGGTTAACAAGAAGGCGTCGGCCGGACTGCTTGTCGCGGCCATGCATGGGCTTGCGAATGAGTACCCCGAGGTTGCGTCGTTGATTAGAGAAGGTCTCGTTGATGACGCGAAGAAAAGAGAGAAGTTTATGAAGGCGGGTGATCAGTGCTTGCTTGAATATCTGGTCGAGTTTGCACACAACGACGTATTCAGCTATTTCAAGGACCCCCAGCTGCCGAATCATCCCCTGCTGCGCAGGATTGAGGCAGCAAATGATATGGGGAAGCACACGCCCACAATGCCGCTCTTAATATACAAGGGGGTCTTGGACGCTGACAGTCCTCTAAATGATACGGAGGCGCTTGTGTCTCAGTACTGCGCAGAGGGAGCGACGGTGGATTTACGAGAAGTCACCACCCATAATCATTTCTTACTGGGCGTTGATGGGTTTCTGGCGGCTATTCCATGGCTGGAGGACAGACTTGAGGGTGTCCCAGTAGAGCACGAGTGCAAGATGTCCAAGAGCCCTGTTCCGTTATCTGATTCTGGATCTTTGGAGGCTCTGTTGGGCACAGTGGGTGTAGATATTGGGGATGTACTCGGAACTATCCTGAATTTATGAATGGTTTTCACCATTGCTTCTACGAAAGGCGAATTATACGGGTCGGATCCCTGAATAAATGCACGTCTTCATACCAGTGGAGCAGTAAGTATTAAAAGATCAAGCGGCGGATCGGTTGAAAGCTACGTTACAGCTTTGCCTGTCGTTGAAGGGCAGTACAGACATTTCCAGATAAGGATACGCCTTTGTACCACAACAGGTTGATAGCGTGTACGGGTCTAGAGGTGGTATGCATCCTTGTGTATTTCTGCCTTCCAGTCCTCCTCCTTTGGAAGACAGGGCATGCGATGCGGCTGCAGCCAATTCTTGATGCGGAGAATGCGCAAGTGTCCGATGCTACGATCGCTCAACTACATGCGATCCAGGAAAAGGACGCTGCCGTACAGATGAAGTGGGCAATGCCAAACGTACCAGCCACGGCCGCTTTGAAAATGCCGAAAATGCGTAAGCAGGGGACGCAGAAAACCGTTGCCTGTGAGAACTAGGACTAGTCATGTTTGTGAGAGCCAGAGAGTATATCTGTAATTGCTGCTATCATTTAATGGATGGCATGTATATGGAAGGAAAGCCGAGCAGAGTTCTCAATACCACGGCTCTAATCTACTCCTCTCGATCAGCACGAGTGAGATTGCGATAAGGGTTATTCGGATCCTTTTCTTCCTCCTCGGCAGAGGGAATGGTCCTCTTCACCCGACAAGGGCTCCCTACAGCCACCGAAAAAGGAGGGATATCCTTGGTCACGACAGACCCAGCTCCAATAGTGCATCCTTCTCCGATCGTCACACCCGGGAGAATGGTGACGTTCCCCCCAATCCAGCAATCATCACCAATTCGGACGGGATGGCCAAATTCGACAAATTTTCGCCGCGACAAGATGCTGACATCGTGGCCTGCCGTGAAGATCCCCACGTTGGGGCCGAATTGGACCCGGTCACCGATGATAATCAGACTCGTGTCAAGAGCGGTGAAGCTACTAGGATCAATCTCGGGTCAGGCAATGGTTAAGCGGGAACTCACTTGAAGTTGATGAAACAATCCTTGCCGATTGAAATGTTGCAGCCGTAGTCTGGCAGGAATGGCGGCTCGACAAAGGTCCCTGAACCGACTCTGCCGACAATATTCTTCAACAATTCCATTCGCGTGTCGTATATTTTGTCGTACGACACAGATTTGGCGTCGAGATTGTTGTAGTCTTGTGCGACTCCGCGAGCACGGTGTCGGGCCTCCTGAAGCCGGGGCAACAGCGGATTGTACCTGGACGGTCAGACTGGGTATTGCGAGTGATGGGCGAGGATATCGTACATCATGCCCGAGATCATGCGCTCATAGTCCTCGCACATCGGGACATGATTCAGACTGCGGGCGATTTCGATAATCTCAGGGCATTTCTCTGCTGCTGCAACGGACATGGTTGCTGGTGGGCGACTCTACGATGAAGGAATAACGTATCTATGGTAGATGGGTGTAATAACAATCATGGTGATGTTGATTGATAAATATCCCGAAGATCTCCCGGCAGACGCTAATCCCAGATAGTCAAGGACCTCGGCAACACCCGAAAGGGAAACCCATAACATTGGTAAGAAATGTCAATACTCAATGGTTCTAAATGTGAGGAAACATGGCCGGAGGCAGTGATCTCGTATAGCTATATCAGGTCTTCTATAGTGCAATGCAGTGATTCATCTATTGGTCATCTCGATCCTGTCGCGTAATAGTAACTATCAACTATGACTCATTCTTGTTCTTAAAAAGCCAAGCTATTCACATCTATTCCCTTCCTTATCAATCCGACAATAAACCCTCGTTGCTCTACTGATATACCTTCAAAATGTCTCATATATCTCCTAACCCCCTCCAGAACGTCCCCTCCCACATCCATGCGCTTCTCAATCGACTCCACGCCGAATCGACCGCCCAGGAATCCGCCCTGCCCAGCGATGCCTTTCGTTCGGACAACTTCGACGACGTGATGCGCGACAAGTTCATTGCGCTGGACCAAGACAAATGCCAGTTCATCTATCAACTGTGTCGCTCAATCAACGCCAAGACCATTGTCGAAGCAGGCACCTCCTACGGAGTGAGCACGATCTACCTGGCGCTGGCGGTAGCGGCCAACGTAGACGCTACAGGAGGAACCGGCACCGTCATAGGCACTGAATATGAGCCGTCCAAGGCGGCCAAGGCGCGAGAGCATTGGCGCGAGTGTGGCGAAACGGTGACCAAGTTCATCGATCTGCGTGAGGGCGACCTCAGAGAGACCCTTCGGGACAATGTGGAGAATGTTGATCTCTTGTTGCTGGATAGTATGTGTCCACCAGAATACGAATGAAGCCACATGGCTACTGACCGAAGAACTAACGCTCGTCCAGTCTGGACTCCGATGGCGCTCCCTACGCTCAAGCTTATCCAGCCCAAGATGCGCCACGGGGCGGTCGTGATCGCCGACAATACCATCAAGAGCGGGGTGAACTACAAGGAGCTGCTGGATTACCTGAGGGCGCCTGATAGTGGATTTACCAATCTCACTCTGCCGTATAGCAACGGATTGGAGATGAGTGTCTATCTGCCGCAGAAGTAGGCGTCATTGTCTGTTATGGTTGGGTCGAGACAGCACATGTACCTCGGTGATGACGATTGTCGAAGCCCAATGCGTATAAGCGATCACTATCGCGTTCAATAGGTGCACCCAATTGCAATCAATATACTTCGTCGTTTGGGTTGCATTATATAGCCATGGTATATGGCAGTCATTAACATACTTGTATAAAACAGGCGTCATCCCCTCCCACGGATATCAGTCAAACAAAAACACCCACTTTGAATGCAGTCCCACAATACCCATTTCCTCCTTATCCTAGAGCATACCGATAGCGGCAATGACAGCGGCAGCAGCAGCTCCTCCATACTGTACACTCGCAGCAACGCCGGGCGATTCAGTGGCCTGAGGAGAGTTGAGCTTGTTAACACCAGCGGTGACCGGTATCGCACGGTAGGTGATATCGTCGCCCTTGATGGAAGTTGCAGTCGTCCACGAAGTCGAGGTCGAGATGCCCAACGTGTTAAACTCCAGGCCAAGACTGATGGAGCAGGAAGCGCCCTGGGTCGAAGAGGTGATTTGGCAAGCCTCCTGCACGGTTCCCGTTCCCTTGACTCCGAGGGTCCCCGTTACGACCACGGCGTTCATCGTGAACGCGGACGGGCCTTGGGTGACAGTCGCGGGAACAGCGAGGTCGCAAACGTCCGAGTCATCGACGCACTTGACCTGGTAGGTGGTAGCGTCGGCGTTGGCATTGATGATGCTGGCTTGGAGGGAGTGCGGGGCGAAGGTGACCTCTCCTTCGGGATAGAACATTTGGATCTCGGTGGTCTCCGCAGCGACAGTGGTGATGAGGCTGCCGGCCAGGAGTAACGACTTGATTGTGAACCGCATTGTGTTGGATGGGCGTTGTTTGCTGTTCCGAGGATGGAGAGGAAGGATGGCAGAAGGAGGCAGTATGAGGATGTCTTCTAAATTTGGCCAACAGAGCAGGATTTTTCCGTCTTATAGGAACCTCTGAGGCGCAGTCCAGTCCGCTATCTCCTGACCCTGCGGCTCTGTGGTGGAACGCTCTAATCCTTCCGATACTACCCCGTACTAGGTACGGTGTACACCTGGGCTGTGCAGCCTAATACTATTACGGCAGAGTAGCCACTTAGTTCCCATTCAAATAATGGAAATAACGGGGCTCTACTGGCATAGACGGCGATAACTGAGCCCTATTGGTGAGTTCAGCCCTGCACGTTTGCTCCGAGCTACCAACGGACGCCCCAGTCTCGAAGAGGACCAAGCCACCGTACTCCAATATTTCGCTTAGTCGAAATCCATGGCAGAGAACAGCCAATAGTATGGAAATATCGACTTGCAGGATTGTTTAATTTACCCCGTATGCAGTAACATAAGCCGGGGTGCCCAAGACGAAGTTGGGCTTCCCTACGCATCATGAGGGATCCAAGGATGCTATAGTGAAGGCGAGATATTTTCCATCAGCCCTAGGGCTTTGGGAGTCCACGGATAAAAGTTACTCTCCGAAACTGCTGCTCCAGGCACCCGCGGGAGCCTTGGGACCCGAACGAGCCCAGAAATTAGCAGGTCAGGCCCCAGATCCTTCAGAGGCTAGACCCTGCGCTAACACTTTAGCGTCTGTTCGTGCCGAAAGTTCCATCTCACGATAAAGTCTAATCAGAAACAACCCACGAGTCGGTGTAACAATAATAATACCTTAGTTACGGAGTACCTATTATTGTGCTGGATCCTTAGCTCTCCTTGGTGCACCAAATATTTCAATGTTTGGACTTGCGTGAAAAATAGGCCCCAGTGGACCCTGCAACTGTACCCACATCTATACGAGACATGGAACAGATCTGGGTAAAGCTGTGCCCTGCTTTTGTGTGTTGGGCTACGGAGTACATTATTATATGCTAGCTTTCATCGCATAGTTATCTCGTTTTGATTCCTCCGAAGCAGCTCCTTGTTGCTTCAGTCCCAGGCAAAATATCAGTCATTCATCTCGAGTATATCGGCATAACTCTTCAATGACCGTCCGATCAGATTGACAAGCTCCCAGATATAATCCGCCGTGAACAGACGAGCCCACAGTCGCGTGACAATAGCGCTAAGCCGAGTGTTATTCGCCAACAGCCAGTCCCTGGATACCACATGCTGAGTCTCCATAACCATCTCAATCACAAACTCTAGGAGCTTGCTTTCTTGCTCCGTGAGTGGAGGCTCTGGGTTGGACACAGTCGCTACCTCCAGCCACTTTGCAAGGAGTACAGCGCATTCCAACGAACACAGGGCGTACTGGTTCGACCATGAGGCCACGTGCGTATGGGCCACGAAATTGATCCCGAGCTTGATGGGTGTGCTGAGCGCGTGTGCGCAATGCAGTGCCGCCCTCGTCAGACGGTCACTCCGTTGGACGGAGAGGTTTTCCTTCAAGGACCGGGCGATCTGGTCGGGTTTCCAGGTTTGGAGGCGTCGGGCAGAGCTAAAGTCAGCGTTTAGGCGGATATAGGCCAGGCGGAGGAGAGCTGTCGATGTAAAGGATAGGGGTCCGTGTGGGTTGAACGGATCGATGGAGGACTCCTGATTGTGCTCCCAGCACTGGCACCAATGCTCGAGCGCTTGTTCTAAGGAGGTTATCTCCGCGGCGGACAGGCTGTTGCGGTTCAGGCCCGGGAGTCGGTAGGTTTTCTGAATCAGCCAGATATTCTGGAGAATGGCATGGATTAAGACATATCCGCCCATCGACGAGAAACTGTCCAGACGTCCCTTGCTGCTGGGTCCGTGGGTGAAGAGCGAGCAGAGCGCGTCCTGCAGTTTCGGTTCAACTTTGCCTGGGGTTCTTTCTGCCATCCATTGCTCTGCGCTGGTCGCCTGCCACTCTTTCTCGGTGCAGGGTAGGTTCAGGGCGATTTCTTCTGTCAGAATCATTGGCGGCAGGTCAAACACAATGGTGTGGATGTTGAAGAAACAAAAAACCACCAGAGTGGTGCGTTTTCGTTCCTCGCTCCGTATCCAGCTGTCCCAGGAGCCGTCTTGGGTTGGGAGGGTATTGAGACCCTTTTTCCTCAGTAGGGTTTCCATGAAGCTCCGCATATACAAAGCTTCGGAATACGGTGGTTTATGCTCAAACCAACCTGAAACCGATGTAAGCAGCAGCAATGCTTGTACAGTTTCCATGATGTCCTGGTCCTCGGAGTCGGAAGGGCCATTTCTGGATTTGTTGGCGCTGGGGTCTGCTTTATTCATCGTCCACTGGAATTCCCGGCGGATATGTTCCATCGTCACGACTCTGGCAACGTGGTAGAGGCTCAGGCTTGTATCTGGCTCACGGCAATACTGGGCTCCTAGTGCAGCCATGGATAGAAAGAGGTGAAGAGGCAGGGTATCAACGTTGAGGGTGGGAATATGTTTGAAAGGGTAATGGTCATGGAAGCCGGTGAGATAACCAGTGAGACACCTTGATAGCGCATGTCTGGAGGGGACAAACGGGTCGGGTATCACATTAGCGTAGTCCAGCAACGCAGCCACGATTCGATCTCTGCACTGCGTCGTGACAGATATTGAACTTCTGGGCTGGCGTCCCTTGTGGGCGGTGTGGGTTTCCTCCGGTTGGAGAGACGGTAGTTGAGTCCCATGTCGAGGAAGGACAGAGCTGGAGGGGGCTGCCACGTGATCTGGGACGCCTTCTCTCGCAGGAGAGTGGTCATAAACTGGCTGTGTATCGAAATGGAATGCAGGGAACAAAGGCAAAGGCTGGTATGTTGGAGAGAACGGATGACTGGGCAGGGGGATGCTATCCAGAAACGAGGTGAAATCGTCACCGTCGTAGGTGGCGGATGGGCCAAACGCACTGAACGGTTCGGTGAACCCAGCCTGTGCCTGGGATCCTGGATGAGGCGATGTTGACACTGTAGGGGTCAGATGCGGAGTGAACGGCTGGCTTCCAGCACGTATCTGCTGTTCATCCTGGGCTGTAGTGGCGGGGCCGGCTGAGGAGTAGTCCGTGATAGCTGAGGCTAGCATGTTCAATCCATCCATTCCGAGATGAGATGACGGCGGCGAGCTAGATGGCTGGGCTACATCGCCTGATTGGGCGTTATGTGCGAGACGTTCATGACGGGCCAGGAGATCCCTTGAATTGATTAGGTGCTGGACTCTTTGGCGAGAAGGAGCAACATACTTGCGTGTGAATGACTTGGGACATTTATCGCACACGAATGGCTTCTCCTTGGTATCTGGGACAGCGTCAGTTCTAGGATCGCATACGATATATCCGGATAAACGCACGGGATCGATCATGACGTTGCAAATGCTCCAGTCTCGCGAATGTTCGAGAGCATCGCTGACATTGGAACGTCCTAGCAGCTCTGACCATCGCGACATGTTCCTGCTGCTACTATCGGTCTGATATCAAGGACCGTAGGGACGTGTGCATCTGGTGGCAGCATCTCCGAGGATAATAATGTTGGCCGCCGAATGAGAAGATTGAGAAGATGGCCGGAAGCATGCCGATCGGGCGCCAAGTATTTCCGGCTGTTTCCCGGCGGGATAGTACAAAGTAGGGCTCGATGTGAAGAGTGTACCATTGCGTGGGCATCTAGATACAAGGAAGTTGAGTGTTGTCAACTTGATATACAATACTCAGTTGCTATGTTTGGCCATGTTATGCAGAATTCCAGTTTATTCGAACAATCATCTTGTATCTTGTGAAGGGATCTTGTGTATAAGTGGGGGAAGATATATCTCCACCGCACGAGAGCAGCACTACACATTCTTTCTCATAAGAACTGATTGACAATTTCAGTTGGAAATTTCTAGAAGATACAATCTTGAAAGCATACAAGTATGCATACTCTGTTGTAATTTTCCTGTTCTTTGGCTTGAATCTATCATGCTTGCATCATCTTCAGAAGTTCAGCGAAGAATTGATGACTCACCATTCTCCGAATTGGAGAAACAAAATATTACTAATGACAAATTGTCCCAGTGGGGAAGATGGAAAAGTTCCCCAAATTTCCTCTTGAGTGCGCAAGGCAAGATAAAGAACAGAACAACGTTGTAGACATAGGCTACAACTTTGGATTAAAGAGGTTACTACTGTGAACGATGCCCACCATCAATGTGAGCCCTCAATAACCTGTGTTCGTGTCAATCAAGTCGTCGACATCAACAGTCACTCCAAAATGGGGAACGCATGTGTATACAAGCTCGTGGATCTCTTCTCCAAATTCGCCAAAACCGGGCCCATTTTTCGGCACCTCCGAGTCATAGCGAAATCCCGCCTCGCATAAAGCCATGATAGCTCCCCGCATGGCTAAAATGGGTCACAAAAGACAAACGGGCGATTTTTCACTGCCTTCTCACCATGGGGCTCGACTATGACAGCTCCAACCCGAGCTACGTGAGCTCGAAGGAGACTGTTTGCCCGTCAAAATTTGACCTGGACCAAAATCAAGCCCTTTCAAACCAAGATGTCGAATATCTCTACTTGGAGCTAGAGACACCGCTGCCTACACCCTTGATCACATCGCCGCCAGGACCGGGACAGTCTCCGCCGCCAGAATGCCCCGATCTCAAGAAATACACATCGCCGTTCCTGTGGCCGAAATGGCGCAAATCGATGATGACGTGGATTGCTTGCGCTGTCACTGCTTTAGCTGGATATTCCGCCGGAGAAGTCAGTCCGCCATCCACGGAGCTGAGGAAAGAGTGGAACCTCAGTCTGGTTGTGTATAACGTGTCCATCACCATTTTCTGTATTGGATTCGCGTTGGCGCCTATGGTCTTGGCTCCGTTTTCCGAGATCAACGGCCGCAGGCCCATTTTCATTGGAAGTGGCATCATCTTCGTTGGTATGGATTTCTCCAACCCAGATGGCAATAGTGGACGATGCTAACGTTTAGATAGCAACGATCATTGCCTGTGGAGGAACGCATCATTTCGCAGGCCTTCTCGTAGCCCGATTCTTTCAGGGTGTCGGAGGATGTACGTTTCCGTCGTTGTAACTGTCACCTTCAGAGCTGATCTCGATCCCAGCAACGTTCTCCACCATGGTCGGCGGTGTCATCAGTGACATCTACCATGCCGAAGATCGAAACACCCCAATGGCCCTGTTTTCAGGCGCAGCGCTGTTCGGAACGGGCCTTGCGCCGCTTCTCTCCAGCGTGATCACCTACCACAGCACATGGCGCTGGATCTACTACTCCCACGCGATCGTAGCTGGCGTGTTCACGATTCTGATCTTCCTGTTCTTCAAGGAAACTCGGGGTAGCGTCATCCTTAGCAGGAAGGCGGCCGCGTTGAACAAGTATTACGAGGCGCTTGAGGCCGCGGGTCACTTTGGCGTGATCATGGCCGATAGCCAACCTGGCGAGGAGAAGCGGAAACGGATAAGATGGAAGGTCAAAAGTGATGAACAGCGTCAATCTTTGGGACAGATGATTAGCATCTCATGCTACCGTCCATTCCGTGAGTCAACCCCTCCCCCCACCGGCCTCGGGCAGTTTTGAGCTGACCGATCTAGACATGCTGTGCACTGAGCCCGTCGTCTTTTTCTTCTCGTTATGGGCAGCCTTCTCGTGGGCCGTTTTGTACCTGCAGTTCGGCTCTGTGCCTCTAGTCTTCCAGACAAACCATGGATTCAACCTGGAGCAGTCGGGTGCCGTGTTCACATGTAAGTCCATCGTCCGTATTAAACTGATATCAACTGACAGTCACAGCTATGTGTGTCGCTGTACTCCTGGCCACGACAATTAGCATCTACCAGGAGAAGATTGCCATGCGGTTCGGGAAACTTCCGCGGACGCCAGAGGCGCGGCTGTACTTTGTTTGTGTGCAGTCTGTGTTGATGCCCGTCGGGTTATTCTGGTTTGGATGGACGTCGTTCTCGTCCGTCCCCTGGATTGTACCCACATTAGCTGTCGGCTGTTCTACGATGGGTATTTTGTCCATTTATCTCGCTGTCTTCAACTATCTGGCCGATACCTACCATCGGTATGCGAGTTCGGCCATTGCAGCACAGTCTTGCTGTAAGTTGCTCTCCAGGACACTGAATCACGATGACGAATATCTGATCGGATTGCCAGGCCGTAACTTGCTGGGAGGTGTATTCCCACTGATCACGAATGCTTTGTTTACGAATCTTGGCTATCCTGCCGCCTCGAGCTTGCTGGGTGGAATTGTGAGTTGGATTCTCGATCTACTGCTGATGTATACTAATTGCTCCAGGGTGCATTCTTGACCTTGGTGCCGTGGGTTCTCGCGTTCTATGGCCCGACGATCCGCGCTAAGAGCAAGATGGCGAGTGTATGTGCCTGTGTCCTGCCCCTTGTTCCATCAAGTGCTAATGAAGTATAGGAACTGGCTCATTAGGCCGAAATAAAAGCATATGGGAACGAATTCAACTATAGACTTGCACATAATCAACACAATAGACAGATGTGGCAATAGAAAATATCATAATCTATTGAGCATGGAAACAGCATCTATACACTGTTCATAATCCTATGAAGACAATAAAATTACACATTATATTCCAACGGCGCCTCTCCAGCAGCCAGGTTACACTGCCGGAACAGCCGTACCTCGTCATCTCCAAAAGCCCCAACCACAGAATGCAGAACACCCCGATTATGGAACAGCACCAGATCGCCCTCTTCCCAGTCATGCGGATAGACATACTGGGGCCGGATGGCAGGCCGCTGGAGCTTGTACACAATCTCACGGACCTTGGCCAGGTCGTCGATGACCGTCCCATCCTTGCAGTGGATTTTGCGCACGGCGGAGGGATGGATTTGTAAGGCCGGTTTTCCAGTCACAGGGTTCTTCCATACCATCGGCAGGATCTGGATCTTTGATTCATCAATCGGGGGTAGTTCTGACAGTGGCAGCTCCTTGCCCTCGGAGTACATGCCGAGACCGGTAGGGAGGGCGCGGGCAGAGCTCATCCAAATGTATCTTGTATCATTAGCGGTAATTGACAATGAACAAGAAGGGAGAGGGCTTACGGGTGAGGAGCATATTCAATTCGACTGTTCAATACGAACTCCTTGTCTTCTGGAGATAGCATGTCGAACATTTTCTCGCCGCTGACGAAGGCCGTCGTGCCCAGGGGGACATCAAGAGTTTCACCCGACCCATCATCGTACCGCAGCGTCTGTCTGCGCCCCTTGGGGACCTTCACAGCCAACAGGGTCGTCACTCGCGGAGGGTAAAAGTCATACAGGGCTGCGTCGATATGCCACCGGTAGAAGCGAGTAAAGTCATGGTCCTCCTCGTCGGGGATCGGGTCCCGGTGGAAGGTCCGATGATGCGGGTGTTTTAACTTGATATTGGTCAAACCCTCGTATGAATCAACGTGGCCATGTCCGATGATCTGCACCTGAGGCTGGTGGGGGACTGTTTTCAGGTCGGGATGGAGTACGCTTCGCGTGGCGTCTACTGTCTTGCCATGGCCGTACTGGGTGGCGGACGGATCGAATCGGCGGGTGAGGAGGTATTGCGCTTTCGGGGTGAGGTGGTGCTGGTTCTTGACAACGACGACCAGGTGTTTATATAGAGCGTCGTGAATGGTGTTCCAAGAATCGTCTGGGGGTTGTTAGTCTCCAATGCTTCTCATGTCTCCCCTACTCAGAGGAGAATACTTACCGGTCAGGTTTTCAAGATCGACGTCATCGACCACGGCCCCGAAGGTGATGTCGGAGCCTTTGGGAGGCGTGAGAGGACGGACGGATGGCATAGTTGAAAGAGGTCGCGAGAAGAAGAGACGGGAGAATAGTGTTTTTGGCAGCCTATTCATTGTATATGGAATTATTCCCACGTGGTTTTTATATAGTTGTAGGAGAGTTGGCGGACATGGCCGTATGCGGGGACGCCCGAATGGTTTTATCAGACTCGCTTATCAGGCTTATCTGTCCAGCCTCGGGGTTACGTAGGGAATTGATAAGCCACAGTCCCGCATTGATGGAAGGCATTTGCTAACATTGCCATGCGATTCTAAGATTGCGCTGTGCTACAGAGTATATCCTCAGCACTTCAACCCACATGTTCAAGGCCCCGTCCCATCGTCAGAGCCCGGTCCTATGCTCACCGTTAGCACTCTTAATCATACCATGCCGTATCCAAGGCAGTCCGACTTACCATCAGCCAGGTCGGCATAAAAGAACTCGTCAACCAACAAATTGACGCCATTTTGCCTCTCCAGACTGATCCATTTGCACCCGCAAGCAGATCACCCACCACACGCTCAGCATAATCGGCCGCTGGCATCTTGGCCATCTTGGGCTCTGTCGCGATCTCCTTGGCAGCTCCCTTATACAAGGAGTCCTCGGGGAGACTGAGTCTGGTGAAATTGTTGAAAAAATTCGTCTCTACCACGCCAGTCATCAAAAGGACCACCTTGACGTTGAAAGGGCCCATTTCATGACGCAGCGTTTCCGTATAAGCCTTGATGGCGGCCTTGGATGCGCTATAGAATCCTAGACATATATTGTTAGATCAAACCAGCCAGTGGAATGTGCGTAAACCAACCAAGCCAGGGCGCGGGCAGCACTGCGGCCAGAGAAGCATTGTTTGCGATCGTGCCTTTGGCAGCAATGACCAACGGGACAAACGCCTGGGTGACTGCGACGGTGCCCCACAGGTTCACGTCAAAGAGTTGTTTTGCCTTGGCCAGATCGGTGTCCAATATCGGAAGCGTTATGCCCGCACCCGAGTTGTTGATCAGGTAGTTCAATTGCCCCCCGGTCAGGGCTGTGACGGTTTCCACAGCGGTCGCAATGCTGGAAGAGCTAGTCACATCCAGCTCTAGAAGGGTCACGTTGGGAAGCTTCTCTAGATGGGACATTTTTGATACTGATCGCGCTGTCGCAAAGACATGCAGGCCGCGCTCGTGAAAGGCCTTTGCCAGCGCGGACCCAATCCCGCCTTTACTACACCCCGTAATAAGCACGGTCGGTATGTTGATCTTGTTCGAGGTCATTATGGAAATGGAGCTGATGGAATATGTGTTGGATTAATTGCCTCGGAGGAACCATGAGCATGTCATATGTGAGGTTGGAAAGGGGCGGCGACGTCCCGGAGGAATTCTGTGCCAAGTAAAATCGGTTGCATAGCCACACCTAGTAAAAGTACAGAGCCCAAGACTACTACTAGCACCAGACCTATCCCTTGATTCGATAGGAACGTCAGCAAGTGTATCGAGTTCAGACTTTCGTCTAGGTCGAATGCTCATACTGGGGCCCACCAGCATATACCGAGGGTCATGCTAGGGAGTATGCAGCTGTCTATAAACAGGTTATCCGACATGAGGAATACTGGGCTGCGGCTTTTCAGGTGTCCTACTGGGTAGCATCGATTACATGTGATTGCCCTGATGATGTCCTCCCATTATGATCTCATGATTTCTACTTTCAGAAGACTACATGTGTATACGAAATGATAGCCATAGGGAGGTGGCAACGCCGCGTGTATGCTCTACAGGTCAGTTCATTCCCGCAAGCAGGTCTGTGAATTCTTTGTATTCAAGTGAAGCCTTATCACGTTCATCTACTTCTGGCCTTAGATTGGTACAGGATGTAGCACTGTTGCAAGAAACCACTTCGGGAAATCCCATACACCTCACGGCTGTATTATATACCCAACCCCACAATTTGGAAAGTCCAGCCTCGTTCTTACAACTTTGATTCCACAGCGGCATCCATCTTTTGCCACAGTAATTCCGGTTTCTGGACAACACCCTGATTCTCTGTCATTCACCGTCGAGCGGAATAGCCATAGCAGAAACAAGATTGCTCACCTCCAAGTCAACGAATGTAGGCGACGCCAGTATCAACTTGTCATCGATAAATCTTACGGCTCTGTGCTGGATTGATCCCTCGAACTCCGGTGCCGAGCACATCGTCGCCCTGTGGTTGACTATAGTGAAGCCATCTGGCTGCTTTTCACACCAATAAGGACCACTGTATGCTAGAAAATCATTGATGCTCTCCTTGCACTTCTTGTTGACCGTTGGCGTCAGTTGCACGGCCATATATCCACTCGGTGCGTACGTTATGATCCCCCGCGCCTTTTGGCCCATAGGGTAATGGGTTCCTCCGCCGTCAGGCAGCGCGGATTTGTACTCAAGAAGGGACCAAGTGCCCACCAGTGCATTTTGAACATCAACTTGTGAGGCCATCTGTGGAAATTAGCATCGATCAATGCACTGAAATACCTATATCACCCTTACAGTGACTGACAGAATACTCCTTGTCGACGACAAACAGGCGCGAGACTTCCCAAAGCCCTTGCGAATATACAAGATTCTCTTGAGATGATTAACAATTTCTCTTGGCTCAAAATTATAGCCCTGTGTGAGTTGCAAAAGGATTACTTATATCTGCCATCCAAGAAATAGGGTCATAATGGTCCCAGCTCAGCGGGCAACACCTCGTATGTGTACCTAGACGGATTTGGATATAGCGGCTGCCTGTAAAGGATAGAAACCTGGCACTATGGACTATCTACGCGGTCTTGGGCAAAGTAGAATATCCTTTCTGGTTTCGGACGTGGAATTGTGCGTGTTCTCTGCCGGCGCAGATGGGTTTTGATCGAATCACCCATAACTCTCTTCCACGGGCAACCTCACTGCTACACAACCTAAATTTGACGTCTTTTAGCATCATGTGGAACAACCTCGGTCCGTTGAAGAGATAACAAGGGCTCGTGCTCACTTCCAAATTGACGTGTATGGTGATTATACAGAAGAGTACTAGCTAGGATCTGGATTCCTACTTACTTATCATGGTTTCGCCTTCTGACTCAACAGGAATGGATGCACAATTCACGTGAACTAAGGTATATCCCATCCATAATAAGTTGGCCTAGGCTATTTTAAAGTACCTAATTCCTTGCTTTAACAGAAAGACTACCTACTGTTTTCGGTTACTTGCTTCGCTTCTAACAGGTCAGCAGACCGTTGGTGCTTTCAAACTAGGAAATGTGCATATCTTCCCGCCAATGTTGTTCTCAACTGATATCATCGTCCAATTTTTTGTCATCCAACGTGACATGGCAATAACCTCGGCATATTATAGGTATAAATATTGGGCTTTCGCCTGCTCATATGTGATGTCAAACGTGACGATATCCCATTACACAACATTACTAGTTGACATCATCCACTTTTGTCTGAAATCTGCCACCATGAGCAAATTCACTTCCCCGTTGATTGCCTCATCCTATCAGCACCCCGAGCGAGATGGTGAATTTGGCGCACTTCAGCAGAAGACGATCCAGCAGATGATGGAAAGAGGGATTGAATACTCCACTCTAGCGGAACATCCTATCTCCTGGGCTGAAGACCAAGACCCGTTCGGACATGTCATGGCTCAGGCCTACGCGCATGTTAGTGCAAAATGCTTCAATCGATTCCTGGAGTCGTTCCACGAGAAACTCCAAGATGAATTTCCCAAGTTCATGTCGGGTCGTGGCATTGGTCCCATGACAAACAGGTACACAATGACTATCAAAACTCCGATAAAGTACCCGGACCTGGTATGTCCTCCGAGCCGAGACGACGTAATGAAGAGAGGCTAACACTATTTGAAGCTTATTACGGGGGTCCGCATTGCGGAGGTGCGAAACGATAGAGTCCGAGTGATCTATTCTGCATGGTCTGTTGCGAAAGGGTGCTTGGCTGCTGAGTGTGAATCCTGGATTGCATTTTTTGACCATAAGCGAGGCAAGCGAGTGAACCTAAGGGAAGAAGGCGGAGTGTATCTTGACCTACATGAGTCATTGAGAGAACGCGCCGCGAAGTCCGCTGAAGCCTTAAAGGCGTGGGAAGAAGGCCAGAAGGAGAGGAAGAAGGGGGCAAAGCTTTGACATGCAATATGTTTTCCCTGCCAGACAAGATGTCGCCTTGAATATTAGCTAGGACCCTCCTGTTTTTCTCACGGCTCGCTAGTTATGAACCAGGACATAATTTAACACTAATGTATGAGAATGTAGAGATATGTAAGTGTGGTGCGGTGTATACCTAGAACAGACTGCGAAAACACTTCTCCCGCTCTTGTTGGAGTGGCCTGGGGAACCTCTTGAAGGCTAGACATGCAATTGTGCCTTCGAGTTAGGGAGTACATTGTGGTATGTCTCTTACATCAACAAAGTACCATCGACATGCAAAAAGGCAGGGAGCTGTACGTAGAACGAGTAGACTAGACAAGAAGAGCTCGACAGTTAGGCAACAACACGTTTCATTCTTGGAGCAACACGACTTAGGCAGACTTAACCAAGAGCAAATCTCTTCGTGTAACATCACAGTACCACAGCAAAAGATTTACTTGCGATTTCTACCATGTACTAAAGAGAACGCGTCGACACTTGTCCGGTCCGATGCTCCGAGCGGTTTGAAGCATACCGTGCATGGCATATGCAAAGTGGCAAGCCATCAAATTCCAAGAACTCCACAAGTCAACACCTCAAATTTCTTCTCTAACTTCCACGGCCCATGGGCTGGGTTTGTAGCCGAAAAGGATGTCTGATAGCCAGCCCTTGAAAGCCGAGACGTAGGGTAGTACCTCCTCCCCCATGGTGATTTCCCGAGACTCAAATCTGATTCGAAAGACAGGCAAGATGCAGGATGCCGTGCCTACCGCAAATGCACCAAAAAGACGACCCTCATCTGCAGCGTCGAGCACATCATTAACGGTGATTTTCCGTTCCGAGACGTCTAGAGGTTCCACAGCGTGGTCGGTCCCATTAGACAACCGTGTCTGTGGGGACAGCCTCTCTCGTGCCAGATCCAGTATAGACTGCCTGGTCACCCCAGGAAGTATTAACTGATCAACAAGTGGTGGTGTAGCTAGCTGCAACCCCCCTGAATGGGTTCGCCAGATGAAAAAAAGATTGGTAGTCCCAGCTTCTGTAATTTCCTGATCTGGGGTAAGCCATATTACTTGGTCACAACCACTGGTTTCAGCATGGCGCTGCGCCAGAAGTGATGGCCCATAATTTGCACCTATCTTCACCGACCCCGTACCTCCAGGCCACGCTCGTATTATGTCTTTGGGATTTTCGGAGAGTGTCAGGCCCTGGCTGATCGACTTGATTTCCTCGGTTGTTGACACGAAATTCGCCATCCGAGACATGACAATAACCAAAAGCGCTTCCTGCGGCGTCTTTACACCAAGATACGGTTCTGTGCCGATCAGAGTCGGCCGGATATAAAGCTCCCCCATGGGCTGGTCAACAGGCAGCGCGTGTGGGCCATCGACGGCACAGAGTGTCTGAATGAGTTCCAAAAGTTCGGTTTCGTCAAATGTGGGCAAGGAAATCCGGGCTGCTGATTTAACCATCCTTGCACAGTTTTTCAACGGACGGAAAAGCCGCAGTTTCCCGTCGTGCCCCCTATACACCTTCAGACCCTCGAAACATGTGGTAGCGTACTGCAGGACACTTGCTGCGGGCATCAAAGAGATGGGACCATGTGGAACGAGCTCCGGATCTCCCCAACCATTCTCAGAAGTCCATGCGACGGTGATCATATGCTCTGTGTACGTTGAGTTGGTGGGAAGCTGGGTGCCATTGGGTATGCTGGTTGCCAATTGTTTGTTGAGCCGATTAGCAGTAAAGGTCGAGTATCGCGGGTTGGGGCCATTTGATAATGAAGCTGCACGAGGGATGTCGATCATTGAAGGATTCGATGCCGTTTCCACAGGTTCAACAGAGCTTTTCCCAGTTACCAAACGCCCTAGGTGTTGAAGGTCATCACAGGCGTCGTCTGGCTGGATGCAGAGTTCCAAAAAGGCGAGTTTTTCTGGCTCTTTCCGAACTAACCGCACAGCATCCATGAGGTCCTGCCGAGTCATGATCTTGAAGCACAACATCGTAGGATTGCTGTTCGGTGGTGCTTTATACTGGTCAGGAGCATGGGAAGGTTCGTCAAGCAAAGCAGGGAACTGGGAATATCTCCAGTTGGCAATATAGTTATAAGGACCGTCATTGATCACAGTCTGGTAAAGAATTATCAAATTAGTTCCAAGTCCCGCAGGCCGCATTTACCGAAGCTGGGCTTACTTCTGTTTTGTATCCTAGATTGTTGAACACTAGGATAATCGGGTTCAAGCGCATGCGAACCATTGTGCTCAACTCCTGAGCCGTCATTTGAAAAGCGCCATCTCCAACGAGAAGTATGGTTCGACCCTCTGGACGAGCGAGTTGACAGCCCAAGGTAGCAGGCAAACTCCAGCCAAGAGAAGCATATAGCAATTGCATATGGCAGGTGGCCATGGATGGGAGACTGAGGCGGATTGCAGCAAACCATGTTTGGCCACAGTCGGCTACTATCGTGCTTTTTTCATTGATAAGCCCTTGGATGTTGTCCAGCACACTGGTTACCGTCAAATGAGATCCACTTGAATTTTTCATACAAGACTCAGATCGTTGTCCGAGGTATTCGGTTGCCTGGCGGGTCGCATATGTCTTAGTTCCCACATCCGACAGCATAAGATTGCCGATGATATCCCTCAGACCGCTGTGCTTCAATGAACGACCGTTGGGCAAGTGGACGCTGTCATATTGTACGTCAATCAGACGATGACGCTCCGGGTCAATGCTAAATTTCCCGAACGTATGAAGATCTCCCCAATGTACTCCGAGTGCTAGCACGAGGTCAGCATCCTGGATGATCTCTGTGTTGTTGTCAACAATGCCTGGCCAAAAGATCCCGTAGTACTGTGGATGAAAGGATGAGACGAGTCTGGCGTCAGGCTGACAGAGGACAGGGCATCCCAGCTTCTCGACCAATGCTTCGACTAATGGGTGGGCTGCACAAGACTGCATGAGACCCCCAATAACTAGTATTGGGCGGGAGGCCGAGGAAAAGAGTTCCACAATTGCTCCCACAGTACCACGATCGTGCGATGACGGGGAAATAATCAATTCACTCAGCGGACGTGGAGAAGGACATGAAATCCCCACCAAATCATTTGGGATCTCGATGTATACTGGGAGTGAAGATTCAAGGCATTGAGCCAGGGCGTTATCTAGTGCCTCGCGGGGGCGTTCCGAAGGATTCAACCGAAGAGCTGCAACCGTCACTCCCTTGAATGCATTGAGCGCTTGGTCTTTGCCGCCAGGCGCATGCGTGTGGTGAAGCAGGGTGGAACTCGCCACCGAATCACTGTTAGGGCAGCCTGAAATCACGATAACTTTCAATCGGTCTGAGCATGCTCCACAAATGGCATTCAGAATGGACAATCCTCCAACCATGTATGGCACAATTACCACAGAGACTTTTGTGGGAGAGGTGCGGGCGTAACCATCGGCGGCATAACCAGCGTTGAGCTCATTGCAACATCCAATTAGTCGTAGCTGCGAGTTCTTTAAGAGATAGTCGTGAAGAATCATATTCGAGTCGCCTAGATCGTAACATTAGGATGGCCCAGTTCCATGTTTTTCCCAGTAGAGACCATACCGGGAACAGAGAAGACATTCCTGATGCCTATCTCTTCCAGCCTATACGCCAAATACGTCCCTAACGTGTATTCCTGCTGCCGAAACTTGGGTACGACCCATTGGGTGGAATTATCTGACAGCCAGTCCGCCGTCTCTGGGATTCTCAGGATAGTCCGACCAATTATTTTCCCTATCGAAATCATTTAGCCCCAACTTGAGCTACAGGTACTTGGCGGCATATTGCATTGGCTCACCTTCCTGCATCCGATTAAAAACAAGTGGAAGGTCTTTCAGCTCGACCGTCTGAAACGGTGCGAAGAACGTCTTGGTGAAAAAGATTTCCAGTGCTTTTTCAGTTTCCGCTCTCGTCCCAACGTAAGACGCTTTGATATTGATTGTGCGGAAGACCATTTGCATAACGTCTGCTGCGATCACTCCTCCAGGTGGAAGTCCTACCATCACCACCGTTCCGCCGAATCTCACATACTATTACTTACATTAGCCAGGTCAACTCTGGATAAAGAAGGCTTGGGGCTCCTGTACCTGAAGCGCTGTTTGGAAGGGCTCCATCGTTGAAGCCACAACCACCACTGCATGGGGACCATCCGGTTCGATTGACCGAACTTCGGACACGATGTCTTTCGAACGTTTGTAGTCCACGAAGTATTCTGCCCCCAATTGATCGATGCATAGTCGATGCTTCTCCTCTCCGCTGGAGATAGCCAAGACTCGATATCCAAGTGCTTTGGCATACTGACAGGCCAAGCTTCCCAGGCCGCCGCCGGCACCTACAATGGCTTTGTCCTGGTTAGGGTTTGTTTCTGATGGCCGGAACCACGTATACTTACCGACTAAGTCCCCAGCGTGGGCTTCGCACTCAAGGATTGCTTTGTAGGACGTAACACCAGCACAGAGAACCTGTTCCTGATAAGCGACGTACAGTATTCTCAGTTTGATCACGACTCACCGGCGCAGCCAGTTCGAGATCATAATCTTTTGGGATGCGCACTGCACTACGGGCTTTACAAATGCAATATTCCTGGAAAGTACCATCCACGGTGCCTCCAGAGTATGAGGGTTTGCCACAGCGTAGAATGTCGCCGTCCCTTGCACATGCCTCACACTTACCGCAAGAGCCGTTGATCCACTGACTTGGCATTTAGCGAGTCTATCAATCGACGATCACTGTGACTGTAAGCATAACTGACCTGCACTCCTACATGCTCCCCTATCTCGATATCTTCCACTCCGTCCCCAATAGCAACTACCACCCCCGCTCCTTCGTGGCCACCTTTATATAGTCTTACGTTAGAAGAGTGTCCTTCTTGGTCGTGGAGAACACGCTTACCGATGAGGTCCTCCTTTCCCCTGATGGGGTAGTCCCCTATCAAAGATCAGTTTCGCTACCATGAACATGTACACCACGCCCCTACGCACCTTTCCATATATGCAGGTCTGATCGACAAACACCGGAGTACTTGATGTTGACGAGTATTTCGCCTGGTCCTGGTCGAGGGACACACACCCTTTGGTATCGTAAACCGTTGGGATTGTTAGGCAACAGGTGAATCGTTGTATCAAAGGGGAAAGTTGAATAGACATACTAGGACCGGAACGGTCGATTACCTGGGCCCATTGAGACTCTGGAATTTGGTACATCGCGTGCACTGTAACACTCCGATCTGAGTTTATGCGTTCGGCTGAGAATAGGATTGATACCACTTGTTGGCGAACGAGATACGTAGCTCAGAGGAAGGGGAGAGACGGGTGTGTCCTGCACTATATACTTCTTCAGATTGTACTAGTGGACCGGGATACAAAACGCGATACAAGGGTTTGACGCCAAGCAGGTGGGCGTGGGGCCATAAGTACACCTGATAAACTGATATCAGGGTATGTTCAACTCCAAGGGATAATCACATAGCAACAAAATGGATAATGATGTAGCTCCTCACATCGTACCTTTAATCCAGTGCATAGCTCAGCGCAGGAGTTGAATGGGAAGTGAGCCATTTTTGATGAAGGGATCGGAGGACTCGGCATTAAACAGTTCATTATAACTGCTTTGGTTTACCTGCAGATATCGGACGGTTGGCTGAAGCCAGTCACAAGAGAGATACGGAACCGATTTGTACAACCGAGTCAGTTAGTGAGCAAGGGTGACAAGTATGCACGAGCCGCCACTTATACAGTTGCCGAATTGGTGTCTCTACATTGATAGGCGCTTCCGTCTAGATGTCACACCATGTCGATAGCAAGATTTAGGCCTTCCTTTCTTCAACCCTCGCATGAGAACCACTTTTCCGTCCTTGTCGTTGGTCGAGTATTGGTGGCGTCGCGGCTGAAATGCAACACGGAATCCCCGTAGTGATGATGAAGAATACCCCCTGGTCTCATCCGAAGGGGGGCTGGTAACTTTCCTTCTTATCAGGGAAGAATCCTTGACTTGCGTAATTACAATATCATTGTATATAATTTTGAGTTTTGTTATTCCTAGGATGGGGGGGAGCGCTTAGGCCTCTTTGCTGCAAGATGAGGCGACAAGGAAAGGTATGCGAGGCATCGGTAGAAGTGCAGGAAAATCTGACAAAGCAATAATGTAATATTTCCTATTCAGTAAGTTATGAGGCCCAAGCACAGAGTTGATTTCAGTTCTGTTTTCCTAGAGTTCACTATCTCATACTCATAGACTAACTCAAGTTCCAAATGTGCCCTGAAATGACGGGACTACAGAAGGCATGGCCTTCAAAATAGGGTATATAAAAACGGCCAAAGGATCAATAAGACGGATTGTACGCATGCTATAAGGAATCGAATTCTCATCTCCTTTACCGGAAATTTGAACAGAAAGAAAGTACACGCGGTTTCATACACCCCATCAACTGCCACAAAATGGAACAAGTTCTGATTCAAAAGGCTCGAGCATCACCTAATGACACGGCAATCCTTGACAGCAGCTTAGCTATCAGCTACCAAGGCATTATTCGGCGGGCTGACCTTCTCGTGGAAGTACTCCAAGAAAAGGGATTGAGGATGTCGGAGCCTGTCGGCATCGTATTCGAGTCAGGATACAAGCAGGTTATTTCGCAGATTGCGGTGCTTCGATCCGGGGGTACATGTGTGCCTGTTGAGCCATCCATGCCTTCTATGCGCCTTACCGCCATGCTGAACGATATCAATGCCCGGTATATTATCACCAGCAGTGACCTCACTGATGGGTTAAGCGAGTTTACCATCCTCGATTTCGACAATATTACCGACACACAGCATCCTATTCAAGCTGAAAACGAGATCTCTCTGCGGGCCAACTGCGACGCAACTCACTGTAGCCACATTCTATTCACGTCGGGCTCTACTGGCCGGCCAAAGCCAATCCAAATCTCCTCCGGAAGCATCCTCCATGTCCTGAATAGCTTCCCCACTTTGCCTCCTGGTCCATCGGACCGCATGAGCATGTTTATCAACCCGGGATTTGACTTTTCGCTGTTCGAGATCTGGGGAGCACTTCTCTCTGGCGCAACAGCTATACGAATCCCCAAACTGGTCGTAACGGATCCCACCACTGTCGGTCGTTTTCTGAGAGAGAACAATATCACGGTCATGATTTTTCCAACCGCTCTGTTTAACGCCATCGCCTTGTCTGCTCCAGAGAGCTTTGGGGGCTGCCGTCATGTGATTGTTGGAGGTGAAGCTGCAAATGTTACCTCGATGAGAATGGTGCTGGGCAGCAGCCCACCTCAATATTTATGGAACGCATATGGCCCAACAGAGACCACCATTTGGGTGACAATGGGGCTTGTTGACCTCGCAGAGGCGGAAGCTCCCCGCCTCAGCATCGGACAGCCTCTCGGAGAAACTAAGATCTACTTGCTGAATGAACAACGCGAGTTAATAACCGACATTGGCATACGGGGAGAAATCTGCGTCTCTGGCCCCCAGGTCTCGCGCGGCTACTTGCATCGACCCCAAGAAACCCAGGAAAAGTTCATTGATATCCCCGCTTCTGATCTTGGAGAGGAAGGGCCAGCAGTACGCCTGTATCGGACCAGCGATCTAGGCGAGTGGAGAAGGCCAGGCGTGTTGGACTATATTGGCAGGGCAGACAAGCAGATCAAACGATCCGGTCACCGCGTGGAACTAGGTGACATTGAACGCACACTCGAAATGCACCCATCTGTGCATGCCTGTGTGGCTATTCAACACAAGCAAGAAACATCGGATATCTTGGCGGCATATGTCGTTTTCGACTCGCCGACGCAAATGGGCGAGTCTCAGGATCTTACCAGCTGGGCAAGGGAACGGTTGCCTCCATACATGGTGCCCGATATGGTAAAGCAAGTTCAAAAGTTTCCTCTTACAAGTAACGGCAAGGTCGATCGCGAATCCTTACGGCCTGATATGGAGATGTCTGCAGAAAAGCAGGAAAAGGAAGACTCGACACACCAAGCGAGTTTAGGTGATAGGCTCCGGTCAAAACTACAGGAATACCTCAATGTTCCTGGGATTGGTAACCAAGATAACATTATTTCCCATGGACTTACGTCACTTCAAGCTGCTAGGCTCGTTGGAGCGATCAAAAAAGACCACGGGAGATCTATCACCTTAGCACAGCTGTATGAGAATCCGACTATCGAACGTCTCGTGGCATTCCTTGGGTCGTCCAACGAAGCAAAGATTGGACCGGATGAACAACTTCAGCGATGGCAGAATGACTCTCGCCTTGCGGACGACCTGGTATTGCCCCCCGACTGGCAAAGTGATACCGAGAGACGGGTCTTTGTTACAGGGGCGACTGGATTTGTTGGGTCGTTTCTGCTTCATGCCCTTCTCTCTATGCCAACTGTAAAAAATGTTGCTTGCCTCGCTCGGGGGAGTGGCAATCTCACCCCAGCAGGCCGTATCCAGAAGGCAATGGAAAAATATGATCTCTGGGACGGCAGTCTGGAAAAGGTGCAGAAGATCATCGTTCTGGATGGGGACCTGTCCAAGGATACACTGGGCCTAGGCGAAGAGAAATTCCAGTGGCTAGCCAACTGGGCCTCTGTTATCTTTCATGTGGGTGCGCGAGTGAATTGGTGCGAGCCCTATGATGCCCATTTCGACGCAAACGTGACAGGAACACGGAACGTCATACAGGTTGCTCGCAGTGGCCGACCAAAGGCACTGCATTATCTTTCGTCTATCGATGCGTGGAACGTCACCGGCCATGTTAATAACACCGAACGTGTCCTTGAGGATGAGTCCCTTTTACCCCATCGCGACTCTCTCCTGTACGACATGGGCTATGCGCAAAGTCAATGGGTGGCCGATGAGATGATCCAACGAGCAATGCGTCGGGGATTGCCAGCGGCCATCTACCGCCCAGGGTTTGTAATTGGGGACAGCCAGAGGGCAATCGGAAATCCCGATGACTTTTTCGCCCGTTTCATCGTGGGCTGTATCCAGACTGGATGCTATCCTCATCTTCCACGACAGCGCTTGGAATATGTGACCGTTGACTATGTTTGTGCCGCTATGATTCATATCGCGGCAAATAATGACAATCTCGGTCACGGCTACCATCTCGTGTCTCCGGACCCTGCAAATTCTGTTTCCCTTGAGGGGACTTACGACCTCCTCAAAGAAGCAGGTTATCTCGTGGAGCAAATTCCATATGCAGATTGGGTGGAAACGGTTCGCCAGGCTTCGGGAAATCCCTTAGAACCCATGCTGCCGTTGCTACAGGAACCAGTTCTGGATGGTTTGTCGCGTCTACAGACCAGCATGAACACGCCTGTGTATGACGCCAAAAACACCGTTTATGCCTTGGCGGACCGTCCGGATATCCAATATGTTCCTTTGGATCATAAGTTACTGCGATCCTTTGTCGAATTCTGGGAGAAAAGAGGCTATTTCACTCTCTGCGGTGACGGTTGTGGAACTTCGAAGTAGGGGTGTTCTTATATGGAAGACTCGTCCATATTTGATTCCAAGTGTCGGGTCCCTATGAGTGTCAGTTGATGCAACAATCAGTAGTGGTTACTGGCAAGGCCTTTGAAGTGAATGTCTATAGTGTCCCAGTCTCCTTAGTATGCAGAAAGCAATATCTATTTTATGAACTCACATGAAGTAACGCTGTATTTTTATGTATCCTGCTTTGTTTATCACTTGCCCGTAGATGCAGGATATCATAATCCAGCAGGGTGGTGCCTCGACCGAAAAGTCCAGGGGGTGTTACGGAAACGTAGTCAAACAATGTTTACCATTGATGGACGTTGACTAGACAGCGAGACACACGGCACAGATATAGTCGGGCTAAATATCAGACACCGTTTCTACAATTCAGCTGTCTCATAAGTAGACACGTATACTTTGCCTTATCTCAATCTTCACTATTTACTACTCCAGTCAACAGATATTGCCATCACCTCATTACCCAGGAATGCCTAGTATTACCCTCGGACTAGTAGATCATACTATCAAACCATTCACTTTGTCCCTGAATTAAGAGGATTCAACTTATTGAAAAGGTTTTGGGGGTCATATCTCTTCTTGATCTCCAACAAGCGAGAGGCATTGGTGCCAAACATATCCACTGCTGAGACCGAGTCCCCTAAAAAGTAAAAGTCAGCGCGCTACTCCGGGGGTCGGCCTGCTTGAGGGCCTACTCACCTGTTGTATATCCTAGAAAGTTCGAAACCAACTTGTCAGGCGTGCGACCACAGCGTCGCAATTCATCCTCACACATCATCTGGATCTTTTGCCCCCACGATAAGACATCTTTGTCTTTCTCCTGGTCCGTCCACTGGAGAATAAGCGCCCCATTCAGCGTGTCTCTCCGGGCAGGAAAGGCTGTTGCTTCCATGGGCGTACAACAGGCCTGTTTCTGGTCAAAATAGTCGATGACCAGAACACTTTGAGACATATCTGTCTCGGCTGCCAGATGACAGCTGACTTCTTCCATCACTGCTGAAGCAAATTCCAGGCGAACAGGGGAAACCCATTGCACCCCCAAGATGACTTTCCGACCTCCTGGCGGAACTCCTGCATTAAGCATAGAGTTCGCTTCTGCGTAATCCCTCATCCTCATGTCGTCAGTGACACATTCTATTGAGAGAAGTCGGGAGAAGTGGCTTCTCGCTTCTTTTTCGGGTCCATCAAAAAACAGAACAATTGTCACCACAGGAGGATTGCCTGGTTGAGGAGACAGAGAATAAAGGCACTGCGCTGCTGCCTTCCCGTGAGGATGAACTAGGGCTGCATCTAGTGCCTCGTGGATTTCGGATAATTTGTCACTTCCATAGACCCTGGTCCCGCTCCATACCATATGCTTTTGGTCGTATGCCTGGAAGACAAGCTCTGTAACGACCCCAACGTTCTGACCAGCCCCTCGGACAGCCCAAAACAAATCCGGATTTTGCTGTGCAGAAGCAGTGAGAATGCTGCCGTCGGCGGTGACCACATGGGCTTCCAAGAGATTATCGATGACCAGTCCGTGTTGCGGGGTCAGATATCCGTAGCCCCCGCGGAGCGTAAGTCCCCCGACCCCCGTGCAGCTGATAGTGGCCCCCACCACTGCAAGGCCGTGCTGCGACGTTACTTGATACACATCTTCCCACAACGCTCCGCCCTGGGCGGCAATTTGCTTGGAGGATTCGTCCACGCTGATCTCTTTCATACTGGAAAGGTCGATCAGTATTCCCCCGTCGGTCGACGAGGAGGTATCTGTGGAATGGCCCCCGCCCTTGACTGCAAGATCGATCTTGTGGTGGCTAGCAAACAACACGGCCTTCGCTATGCTTTGCGCATTCTTTGGGCGAACAGTTACTCCCTGTGTATGTTAGGAAGGCTTTCATGCATGCCAAATATCATGGAACATTTACTGAGCGTTGGCACCCAATAGTGGACCATTTCTTCAAGCTGTCGTCATAACCATCCGAATCAGGAAGGAGAACAATCGCAGAGTCTGCTAATCGAGATCTCAGATCCTGTGCTTGTTCAAGGGTGATCGGGAAGGCAGCCATATTCTGTGATTCAGAGAGTAGTTGTTTTCCAGCTTCAAAGGTTTGCAATTCGCATACTAAGAGGGGGTGCTTTATAAACTTCCTCGGATGTTCAAAGTTCACCTGAAGGCTATCTTCATCTAAACTTGCTGCGAAACATGACAGAAACACTTGCAACAATGTTACTATTTCTATAGAGGTGCATACGAAGATAACCAAACATGAGGATAAATGAGGATAGATACACGCGACGTGTTTGCGCCTTTTGGGGCCCCAGAAAACAGGATTCATTAACATCGAAAAGTCATATACCGAAAGCATCATCGTGCAGAATCAGGAATCTGGCAAACTTTACCCACATATAGCAGTTCGAAAATTCTTAAATGAGGTATTTGCATGGCAATCTTGCCACACTTCTTTATTTTGCATGGTTTGATAAAGCAAGCTGCGAACCCTGCACTACAGACAGAGTTATTAGCTTCGCTAAAAACTGAAACTTTTCAAGAAACTCAGATGTGGATCAGAGACGGGGAAGCGGGGTTGACATTAAAATAACAAGATATAGTCTTCCGAACGTGGGAGGTCCAGTTCTTCCACCAGATGTATTCAGTTGACGCAGTTCACATATAGTTCAAGAATAAAATGCTTCTTCCATGGAAACGGTGGGGTGTGTGACAGACTGTATTGGACAACATGAGACGCAAGGAAAGATGCCATGGGAACACCAATTGTCCCGAACATGGTCACGCTATCGAAAACACATTGCTGTTGGAGAGTGAAGTTCAAGTAGGGTGTCATATCCGCATCACAGATCCACAGCGGAGCGGAGCGGGGCGGATCATGTATCTAGGCACAGATTGCACTTATTTCACGTATGGATTCAAGGGTGGCTAACTGATAAATATCTTGGGATATTGGATTGATGAACCCAGAGTCTTCAATTTCATGTTTCAAAACCGGCAAAATTATTAGCGTGTGTAAACCTGACACATACTTCTCTACCTACCTGCTATATATCGCCTGGAAACCGTACCTCTGCAGAATTCCAACAGCATATAGTATACGCCCTCCAGGTTCACGATACACGCCTTTTCGATCTGGTTACTCATGATAGTTGATATCTCTACTCAAGTTATATCGAATGGATGCATCTAATTATATTATAGAATACAAGAGAAAAAGACTCTCGCGCCATTTGTACCTATATGCAAGGGCCGAAAACGGAGCTGGGCCTTTTTCTCGGTGTTTGCTCGGTACCGAAGTTCCTCCGTCGCTTCCAAACTTTATCTAGACCAACAAGAGCCATTTTTGATGATTCAGATGGGGAAAAGCATGCATTCTGCGATGACTCAGTACTACGGACCCCTGCATGTTTCGCCCCTATTTTGCGAGCTTCCAAAGTCCATGACAATACCAAGTCAAGGGTATATCATTCGAACAATAACTCGAGACCTTGAGTCACTGGAGATGGCTCCCAAAAAGGTAAACAGCTCCACCGGCATCTATCCAGGGAACTATGATAACAAGGCTACGGCGAGTGGCCCGATCTTCTAAAGCCGGGCGGCCCGCCTGGTGGAGCAATGAGGCACCTGAAGTCATTTAGGAACTTCCTTTAGCTATTGTTCTGGCCTGGAAATACTCCTTACAGTAGTCTGTGGATAGTGTAGACGTCATCCGGAAAACATACTAACGCACACGGAACCTCCATCAGCGGTGGTGGTGACTCGGTCTAGTTCGGGAATATGTCGGCTACAGATAGACGCGATCTATAAGCACTATGAGGGGCTTTCAATTATAAAAGGCTGGCATACGTCTTCCACACACTGCTTGCACTGACGAAAGATATCAACAAAGACCATCTTCCTTCGCAATGTCTGCGCCACGTGAACCAGGATCCCCGGGGAATCGACACCCGGAGGATCGAACGCTACAGAGAACGGAAACTGTCGAGACCCTCCACGAACTTGGAGTGCCAGAAAGACCACCGCCGCTGGACTCAAATTATCCCGACGTTGGCCGCGAGGAAGACCCCGTATTCCCCGAAGAATACACACTCGAAACCGAGACCGGTCTTGTCCCTGAAGCAACCCTCGAGAAGATCCGAACAGAGCGTCCCCCAGCAGAGACGCCATCCGGAAGGGACCTTGAAAAGGGTTACAAAACCGCAGAGTTCGTTACTTTTACCCTTCATGACCCCGACAACCCTCACAACTGGTCTCGCCTCTACCGATGGTACATCACGATCATAGCTTCGCTTCTAGTTGTCTGCATTGCATATGGCTCTGCCATCGTCACTGGTGGTCTCAATTTGATCGAGAAAAATTACAACGTCTCTCAGGAGGTTGCGATTCTTACTTGCTCCATTATGGTCTGCGGTTTCATGGTTGGGCCATTGCTGTGGTCTCCATTGTCTGAGATCATCGGTCGGCAGCCAGTTTACATCTTGTCACTGGGTCTTTACGTCATCTTCAACATTCCCTGCGCCCTGTCTCCGAATATAGGAGGACTTCTGGCTTGTCGGTTTTTGTGTGGAGTTTTCTCAAGCTCGGGATTGGCATTAGCTGGTGGAACTATTGCCGATATCTGGTCCATTGAAGACCGCGGAATGGCCATTGCATACTTCGCCGCGGCGCCATATTGTGGTCCCGTCATTGGGCCGATTGTCTGCGGTTGGATCAACGTTGGCTCCCATCGCCTAGATCTCTTCTTCTGGACCAACATGGCATTTGCGGGTGTTGTTATGATCCTCGTGGGCCTGATTCCAGAAACGTATGCTCCTGTCATCCTCAAACGACGCGCAGCAAGGCTAAGGAAGGAAACCGGGAACCCAAACATCATCACCGAGCAGGAAAAAGTGAAGCTTACTTTCCGCGAAATCGTCAAGACAAGCTTGATTCGGCCGGTCACTATGATCATGACAGAGCCGGTCCTCGACCTGATGTGCATGTATATTGTCTTGATATATTCCATGCTCTATGCATTCTTCTTTGCCTACCCCGTCATCTTTGGGAGATTATACGGATATAATGATGGCCAGATTGGCCTCATGTTCATCCCTATTCTCATTGGGGCTGGGTTTTCTTTGCTTTGCACACCTGCCATCGAGAAGCAGTTCAGAGGAATCTGTCAAAAACGGAAACCCACGCCTGAGGATCGACTCATTGGCGCGCTCATTGGAGCCCCATTCATCACGATATCGCTTTTTATCCTCGGTGCCACGTCGTTCAAGCATATCATCTGGGTTGGTCCAGCATCCTCTGGGATTGCATTTGGATTTGGCATGGTTCTGTGCTATTATGCAGTCAACAACTATATCATTGACTCATACCATCGCTACGCCGCATCCGCCCTTGCTGCTAAGGTGTTCCTGCGATCAGGAGGGGGCGCCGCGTTCCCTCTGTTCATCACCCAGATGTATGACCGCCTTGGACTCCAATGGGCGTCCTGGCTGCTGGCTTTTATCGGACTCGCTATGGTTCTGATACCATACGTATTCTATGTGTTTGGTGAGCGACTCCGCGCGAGGTTCACAAAAGATTAAGGAACAAACTAGACGAAAGAGCCGACGTGTTATTGAAGGAGGCAGGTAATGATTGGAGATAGTAATAACAGTGGAGGTAGATTTTGATAGACTACACAGACACATACAGACATCTATAATTGATCTAAGTGACTGTCTTCGAGACTAGATACGGGACGTGACGACTGGGACATTAGAGGCCCTACATCAGACTGCATTGATTCGATAGATGTAACTATAAGGTGAGGACATGAACGTAAGTTGTAGCATCTGTATAACCGAGCATCAGACCCATAACTCGCGCCGTGCGTAAGTCAAGAAGTCTGGCATCGATCGTTCAGTAATCCTCCCAATATGCAGCACCTTGACATTATGCTCCACGGTGAAGAGTTTTCCAAAGTTCAACCGCGACATAGGGCTAAGTTGAATATCTGAACTCGCTGGCCTAACTTCCAGCGCTTTGCTGAGCATCCGGGGGTCAGATAGTGAAGCAACTGGTTCGCTCCCTTCCATGTATATGACTGCTTGTTTGGCACTATCGGTCCCGGATTTTGATAGACCTTGATTGCGATAGGTGTATATGGGGCTGAAGAATGCGGGTCAGTAAACTGTGTCTCGTCGACGAATTCGCTATACATACAAGCACCATGCACAATTGGTATACTCTTTGACTACCACCATTCTTCGAATATGGCTGTAAACTGGCTCACCAAACTGGCCGGCTATAATTGTAGCATTGGTTCTGTGTGCAGCTGTGCCGGCGTTTTCGTGCCACATAATAGAAAACACCTTCATTTCTATCAGTGACGATAAAAGACCAGATTAAATCGCATGACAAACTTACTCTTCCCTGCCTGAAGAATCGTCGCGGATCAGATGGCACCTGGTAACCTATAAGCAGTTAGTGGGCCCATTATAGACTGTATTTATGGAATCGTTGTGGCATATACGAGGGTCAAGTGTTGAGCTGGATCTGGGAGAAATTATTCCGGGTGGTGCATTTTGGAGCGTTTGTCCCCAAGCTTCAAATAGTCTGGTTTCTGGCTCTTGGAGACTCATGTTTCTAATCACATCAGGCATATCACCTGGTAAGCCAGCTGGATGTTTCGAAGCAGGCGAAGGTGGACCTGCAAGATCGTTGGTTGTAGCAATTCGGACACTCGTGGAATTTGTAAATTGGAAAATGCTGCGTAATGTGTCTTCAATAGGTAGCATGTGAAGATATCTGCCCGTATTATAGGCTGCAAATATGCAACCGCATACCAGGTGGTCGCGAACAACCCACGCTCCTGATATCCCTTCGCCTACATGGCAGTTAGAAAAATGTAACGAGGAATATTGTGCGATTTACAAACCATGAGAAATCTGAATCTGTATCTTCTTAGTGCGCATGGCAGTTCCTCGTAAGATAACTGACGCAGTGCCATCAAGGAGGTATCCTGGAATGACATTAGATGAAGTGATAATGAGAACTTCCCCCGCCGAGAGCTGATTGTTGTCCAGAGAGCCAGAAATATCCTTAATAATTGATGTACTTGGATCACGATAACTATTTTTCAGTGTACCCAGAAGATTGCAATCCAGTTCAACAAGTGCAAAGTCAGACATAGGCGGGGACTGCGTTGGAAGCCCGTAGTCCCCGGTCAGAGTTCCTCGGCCCTTGTAAGATACAATACTTGGCACCAAGACTGGCGACCATTCGTGTTGGGCAGTACCCTGGGTGGCTACTTCGCTACCTCTGCTGTAGTCACGACGCCTATTCCTGGGCTTAGATATACCGACAGGGAATGAAGGGTCAGAATCGGAGCCAGATTCGGACGTATCTTCATCTGTATCAGAACTCGATGGCGTTTTTGACGCATCAAGGCAAGCAATGATTCCATGTGCAGTCGTCAAGCCGAATACCGAATTGTCCACTACTATAAGTCCCCCAATTGTTGAGAAGGACGAGCCAGAATCATGGAGGCAAAATCGAGTCCCAATACCACATGCACTGTGTATGTCATATCGCAGTTGAATAGCAAAGGATAGTGCCAACTGTCGATCGTCGACGTCGCATATCGTTTGTCGTGGCCTTATGTAGCTGTCGCTACTGCCGTTCTCTGCATATTCACTGGCACTAAGACTCATCGGAGGATGATCAACATTGCTGCCTCGTCTTGAATAAGGCAAATTCCTGGTCCTCGCACCAGGAAAAGCCGGGGCTTCATGATTGACGGTGAGGGGCCACTGGGATAGTTGTCCATGAATGGAAGGCGGCGAGGAGTAGTAGTGTTGGGAAATGAAAGGAATACGATTTCCAGGTTGGCTGGGGGACGTGCTCGCCGTGGAAGAAGGCTGCCACATAGAGCGAGAAGACATTTCAGAATACATGAGAGAGGAAATGGACGGAGTGTAGGACATTAGACTCGCCGAGTCGTACCCTGAATCGTAGAGCCTGCGATCCTGGTCATCTACCGATACTTTCTGTTCCTCTGATGCAGATGAATATTGCTGATCTGCTGTCGATGCGATATGCGCTGCTGGCCACGGCGCTTCCAGTGCAATGTGAGCCTCCGCCATACCGAACCTCTGAAGGAAGTTCTGTAAGAATCGAGCTTGATGTATGGTCTCCTTGACCTTTCTCCTGCATTTTCGGCTGCCGCAGTGGATCCAAACCATCGGCTCTAGCATGACCTTGCCCCTGGCATGCCTTTCATGAGTGGTCAGCCTCATGGATTTTGTCTTGCCGGCCATGCACAGTACAGGTTCTATTATGAGGTGATCATCTGGTATATCGTTGGGAAGGCTATCCGTGACGGCTAAGAGGTGGTTGATAAGATCACCACATATATGTTCGTTCCATTCGTCGTAGATAATATCAGGAGGTGGCAGCTCCTTCAGGACTCCCACGTAATATCGCCCAACTCTATAAACCTCAGATGAGGATGTCGGACGCAAGATGCCATATGTCGGGTTTCCGGTCGGATCTCTCGTATCTGAGCGTTCTTCGGTTACCGTGTTTGGCCTCGCGAGCACCATTATATCGACCGGCGGCAACGGGATTCCTGCATCCGGACATTTTGTGTCAGTGTGACCCCGATGCCTCTGTTCACGGTACTCTACCTGTCGCGGATAGAGCATGCTGATCACTCTGGCTGGATTCTGGGGTGCGGAGCATGTTTATTTCTCAGAAATGGGAAAGATTCGAGTCGGTGACGCATGTATCAGCACCGTGAAGGCCCATAAATTGCAGACAGAGGAGTTCTTGGCCACGATGGACGGGGAGCGCTGTCATCGATCATAATTGGCCCACGGGGGCAGTGGCGCAGTTGTGCAACAACCACTCTACGGACTGTGCCTCGCAAAAGCAAGCAGTATCTTGCCCTTTGGATGTTACGTTACACGTCAGCGTAGATTACCCCATATTCCTGGCTCTACTCGTGAGCGAAGCGTACAATCCATGCACTTGCAGTCCCATCACCATGGCCAAATAATACTTGAGAAAGAAATCTAAATCCTATCGCGAGGAAAACCCGTCGGGTACAAGACCGGCGCTAAGGAGTGCCGACAACGTTTGGGGTTGGAGAAATATACTGACTAAACAGATCAGTCAGAATATGAATCACCTAGCAGCTGTGATGCATGATCAATGGGACTGACAGGGCTGTGGTCGAGGGCCCTAGCCTCGCGCTTTCTAATGGGGCTGAGCCTGCTGAGCGACACCTAACTTCACTGACCCCCTATTCATTAGCATCTGCCATCGTCACCAACGGACATTAATTTACATCTTTATTCCACAGAACCCTATTGTATGGATCCAGCCGAAAAGCCGCGTACTAAGGCAGAGTAAGTCACCAACGGGGCGAATGGGCATGGCAACGACAAAGGAGGACCTTTTTTCTCGCTCCGTCACTGAGAAGATACACAATTGGGAAAAATGGAGAAAATGGAATATCATCAACGCACTCTGGCCAAGCATGAAGACAGGGTTGGGGAGTTTTGTGGAAGAAGATTACGCCTTATTTTTCTTCTACATCGCAAAGACTCTCAAAGACTTGCGTTCCTGTGAGATGCAATTTGCTTCGCAGGACTTCGAGAGCCTCCTGCAGATCATACAGACAATGCGACAAAACCGGTCCTCGACGCTGGAGGAGACGATTGCTCGGGCAAAAGAAAAACTCCCAGGTGCTTCGGATGCAGCCGTTGGTCGATCCATAGAACTGGCGGTTCGCCTGTGGCTCTGCCTCAACGTGTATGTCGAGAACAACCGGCCCATCGGGCGACTCAACACACGCGATAGCCATACCAGGTGGTACAGCTCTCAGAAAGTTGACCAATTTGTGGCGTCGCTATTCCCGGAGGATCGAACTGGCGGCTGGACTATATCAACTCGCTTTCAGATCGACGGATCCCTGACCCTGGCGAATTTGAAAAATCTATGTGGTCTGCACATAAGATGGACTAGCAATTTGCAAGATCACTTGAGACTGACGGGTCAGAGAGGACACCGTACACTCTCGTTCTATCAGCACGAGATTTGTCTCATCAACCACCATCGCGAGCCTGACCCAATCATCCCGAAACCAGTTCTCAGCGAGGCTCTGAGGACTTTCGATATCCTGTTGCCTCGTGGAGATGCGGCGACAGACAAGCTACTGAAACAATCTGGCGTGTCAATATGCGGTGCACGTGAGCCCCGATGGGTGTATGACCTCGAGGAGTTCAAATATTGGAGAAATAATATGGTCCAGCTGCTCGAAATTCTCCATGGGCCACCAGAGAGCCTCTCCCAAGCCCTGCTTGACCGACGAAATCCTGCGCAATGGTCGAGTTTGTGGATTGCGGTGTTTGGGATCTTCCTGCTCACCATTGTGTTTGGCATTCTTACGACGATATATTCGATTAAGCAGTATCAGGTAGCGATCGCATCATACGAACTATCTGTCAAATCATTCCAGCTATCTGTCGCTACGGCCTGTCAGCAGAAGACAGCTCCATTGCCGGGGGTTTGTGATTGAATGTATGTAGTCTATGTACTTGATCCGCTCAAACAACTACCTCATTAGAAGCTACCGTACTTCCACGTTATCCATACTATAACCACCATCGCTGGATCGATGGAATATAAGCAAACTTATTACCTTGTACAGAGAGACATGGCTACATATCAGACGTCTTAAATACGCCTACAGCGAGCTAGAATATCATCTTGGACTTGAGTCGTGTGGTAGATGTCGCTTTAAATTGCCTTTCCCGGCCTGCGGATGAACACAAGACCCCTGCTGGATGGTCGATCGGGGTCGGGACAACTCAAGTCAGCGATGACTTTACTCATTCGGCAAACAAAGAAGACGGCATCGCGAGCGTTCCTTTCTCATATCGGTATTCTGAATCTCATTTCCTCGATCGACTCAGAAACATCACTCCCCATATCGCTGTTGTCCGTTGTCCTGGCTGCTTCGTCCTACGCATCATGGTTGGAGTCCCGTTCACCCCGGAGGAGGACATTCCCGACCTCTCGGGCAAGGTCATCCTAATCACTGGCGGTCTGTCCCTTATTAATCTTACCGCGAGGTATTTGTACCTCATCACTGCTTGCTTATTGACAATGCCTAGGAACGGCCGGCCTCGGAGCAGCGGCGGCCATCCATCTCGCCAAGCACTCCCCAGCGCACATCTATATCAGCGGCAGGAATCCGAAGAGTGCCGACGCCGTGATCAAACAAGCGCAGGAATCAGGGACCAAGGTCTCATTTCTGGCCTGCGACCTGGCCTCTCTCTCCTCGGTCAATAAGGCGGCCGAGAGTTTCCTGGCCCAGGAATCCCGCCTCGACCTCCTAATGTGCAATGCCGGGATCATGGCAGTGCCGCCGGGAAAGACGAAGGACGGCTACGAGGTCCAGTTCGGAACGAACCATCTGGGCCACGCGCTGTTGATCCAGAAGTGTCTGCCGCTCTTGCAACAGACTGCCGCTGTCCCCGGTGCCGATGTGCGCGTCGTCATCCTCACCTCGTTGGGATTCCGCATGCACCCACTGGCAGGAATTGTCTTCTCGGACCTGACGACTGAGCAGAAGTTCAGTGCGTTTGGGGCCTGGATCCGCTACGGACAGAGCAAGCTGGCCAATATCCTGTATGCGCGAGAGCTGGCCCGTCGCTATCCCTCCATCACGTCCGTCTCTGTACATCCCGGCGTCGTTAGTACAGGGTTGGTCGAGAATCTGGGCTGGGCAAACCGAGCGTTTGTCTATGTGACGAATATGGGGAAGCTGATGAAGCCGGAGGAGGGTGCATACAATCAGCTGTGGGCTTCTACCACGCCCAGGGAGAACTTAAAGAACGGGCGGTTCTACGAGCCAGTCGGGATCCTCTCGTCCAAGTTGGATAAGGTCTCGAAAGACGACGCGCTGGCGAAGCAGCTGTGGGAGTGGACGGACAAGGCATTGGCAGACTATCTCCATTAGTTCAGTTTCTATTCCATAGATCTGGGGGTGGATTCAATGCGTCCGGTTTGTTCCTTTTAACTACTCTTTCACCATGGACTGTTCATTCTGCGAGAATGTCACGGCCTAGCGCTTCCTCCTTGAGAGCTATACACAACACTCATTCAGACCACCACTTCTTGAGCTTCATCCCTATTATTCTTCGCTTGTAATAAAGGTCTGTATGTCTACTGCAACTATATACGTGTATTGATAGTTGCGGCTCACAAAAGCACCGCCAAATCGCTCCCTGAATGTTGGAAGGATAGTTACATACCGTGAAAAACACATGAACCACACAATTTAGCGCAGGGTAGTAGGACGTTAATCCATCTGGAGGCAGATAGCCAAGATATGGATCGGTCCAGATTATTCTCTCGTCCAATGCAGGAAAGGAGAATAGTGCGGGGTGATATTGGCCGACTGAATATATCCATGGTACATAGGTGAGCTTTCGCCACCGGCAGCTTTCTCCCCAAACAGTGATATCACACAAGGATTTTATTCGCCAAACATTCTCAGTTGCCTGGAATGAAGCGTTGAATAAGATTCACGCATGACACCTAGACTCGTCATAGTCCTGCGACTGGAATCCAAAGCCAGATGGCGGTTCATTCATAAGCTGACGGGCCCCAGGGCGTGCCCTGTATCCTCGACAGACATGGTAGATAAACGACAGACAAGATCAAAGACATGACGAGCTATCTGGTTCGAAATCTAACGCCAAAAACACAAGGCTGGCTGCACGCGAGCAGGAAAGCTATAAGTCAGCCTTGCATCTACCCGCTGGTACAAGGCCAGTGGCGAGCAACGCATACCATCATCTACATGAAAGCCCCCGGCGATCAAAGCCAGCTGTCTCTCGACTTTGAAAGGCAGATTCTGAACCCTGAACGAGCCGAGACATGCAAGTCAGGTACGGACGACGAAGTCGCTCATCACAAATCCTCATACGATCCTTCGACGACCACTCCCGAAAGTGAATATCTTGCCGATGAAGAAGAATGCACCACAGGCATGGAGGCTCACCATCCCCTTTTTATCAGCCCAGCCAGGAAGGAAGTGAGCGAATTACTCAGTCCGATGGTTGGGGGTGCGGTTCATGGAGCAGACAGACTGGGACCAAGTGCTCGGGGATGGACAAGAAAGCACAAAGAGGTGCACATCAAATATATACCCGGGGGCCCATATGATCGCTACGAGAAGTTGTTGGACGATTTGAAGAAAGCTCGACAGGGTCAGTCGTTACCTCCTGCATTCAACATGAGAAATTCCGATAACAACCTTTTTATAGGCCGAACGAGTGACGCCAGTGCCCATGCCGCTCCTACAAAGTGAGAAAAACAACTTGACAAAGAGCTCTGTATTCTTAGGTTATAAATAACGTAGTTACGGCATCTTAGTACTAAGTTATTGAACAAAATATATATCGAGTGCATGGAGTTACTTCAACAGATTAAATTGACTAGCATCTTGTTGTTGTCCAAGACTAAAGAATTCCCATTCCTGATGCAGGAGCCTTGTATTAGAGTCCAACGTCGTTAACCAAGAGTGCTTCGGCTCGCTCCTCATTCTTCATGACTTCATGCCTTTTCCCGATACTGAACAGCTGCTTGGGTCTCACTAAACTCAACCGCAACCACCTCCCCAAACTGTGCATTGATATCTTCGAGCGAAAGCTTCTTCGTCTCCGGGAAGCAGAAGTATATGACGGGGATATACAGTGCCGTCGGAATGATCAACACCAGGAAGAACTTCCACGCAATCCTCTCCAGGGCATCGGGCCCGGCGACTAAGACGACGATGGCTGCCGCTTGTTGATTCCAGATGGCGAATCCTGCTCCCTGGGGACGGATCCTGGTTGGAAAGATCTCGCTCATGTATATCAATCAATCAATTAACGACGAGCAAGTTGGCAGTGTTGAAGACCATGGTGTTCCTTTCGTTGACAGTGGATTGAACAAGCTTGGCTTCGTCCTTTCACCACAGATGTTAAGTACTCTGTCCAGAGTGAATATCTGTGGACCTTCTGGATGTACTATACTGGAAATCTGACACATTATTGGCAGGCATATGGCTGAATCCGGGTCGGCTTCTGCTATGCGGGGTGCATATGCGGGGGATGCTTCATTGAGAGCTTTCGTCTCGTCCTTCGCCCGAGGTCTCGGGTATATCATCTGGTGATCAGACTAGCTGGCCGAAAATATCTTCTCGTGTTTGCTAATAGTTGTCAAGCTCCGGTAGTTTGGCAGATGGATGATGTATCATGGCTTAACGGGGCTTATAAGACGGGCTGGGCCGAGTAAATTCATTGAATTTAGATATAACTGCATGACCATCCTCGTCCCAGTTGCCATCTTGGCAATATGAACGTCGGTTATGTGTTGTGATCATCCATATACCCTTCTAGTTCTAGCCACTCCGCCATGAAAGCCGACACTAACAAGCTCCAGTCCCCCACAACGGCCATGTCCAGGTGTTCACCGTCATCATCTAGCGTATGCCATACTCTTGGGAATCCCCGGACAGGGTGGTGATCGATGATAGGTAAAACATCGACACCTCGGTCAGCGAATGGCACATGGTCATCTAATATGTGGTCAGGCTCAAGTTCATCAGCGCCTTTGCCCGTATCTATGAACCATGAACGAGAAGCGGATATATCTGTCTTGTTCTGGGTGGATTGGAAGCCACCCAAGTCCCGGAACCGACCTTCTAGGCGAACGAGATTCTTATATGCCCAATTTGTCACGTTGGAGCGGGAAGAAATGGCTGGATTTGATGCACCCAAGAGGTCCAGGAGAACAAATAGAGAAATAGATGCGAGTCGGTTCGCGTATCTGGCGGTAGATGGGTACTTCTGCATTCCCCAATCCGTAGCCAGCGCTCTAGAGCCGTACAGTTGATCCATGATGTCCACAGGGGGATCAGAGAATCTTTCCTCTCCATCAGTGAAGATAATCTGGACGCCTTGAGCCGCCGCTGGTGAGTTATCCCCGCAACTCCATTTCCGTGTAAGTGCTTTGTCAATGCTGCGAGCCGCGTGCATGATCATTGCACATGGAGCAGCGCTGTCTATGGCACCGATAAATCCTGTCGGTCGAAGTTTGCTATCTGCGTGAGCCACCATTGTGAGCCTAGTTGTATTCCCTTCTTCTGCGCCAGGATGGTCGCGAAAGGCGATGAAGTTTGTGAAGCGCACATTCCTGCCACCTGACACTGGCGTTATGGCCGTGAAGCTGTGTGGTTCGATTGTCCACTCTGGCAGCGAGGAATGGAAGAAGTCGATAAAATGGTTCCTGACAGCGGTCGAGCCTGGTGTGTCTGGTACTCTTGTTCTAAGGATTGGTGCCAGAATGCGTCCGTCATGTATGTTAAAGTCGGGGCCTGGGCGTGGCAGACGCAGTAATGTTTCGTCGGAGAGTGTTTTGTATGAAGTCACGAGATGTAGCCATAGACCGAAAAGGATAATCACCTTGCTCATTGTGCATCCCAGTAGGCTTGTCGCCATAATTATCGTCTACAGAGCGTTGTTTTGCCCGTTAGGATGATAGTGAAGATGCTCTCGTTCAGAGAATCTATGAGCCCTTGCAATAAATTATCGTTGATCAGACGATTGAAGAGGGCCTCATAATAAATTCGCCGGCTCATTGTGACACATACACGGCTATCAAATCAACATAATTCAATCTGCAGTTCTGTCTCCCCAGCTATCCTGATGCGCCCTCTGGGATGCCTGTGTAACTCGGAGTTGATACCCGTCAGAAGAGTCCTGATAAACCATCCAGCGATTGCCCATTTCTAACACCAACATTTCAATACGAGGAGGACCAAGCTATCATCGCTGGTTATGCATTGCTAGATTGCGGAGTAGTAGCTCCATGGCGCTTTGGGATAGTGCAGGAAACTAAACTAAACAGTCCGTTGCTCGGCTATACATCCCTGCGCCATCTTTTCATCCACATGCGCGGTGCAGGTCTGCGGGGTTGCTTTCACAATTATCGTCCATCTTCCTACCGAAAGAATGTCGGTAATTTGTCAGGACTTCCTCATCTCATCTCCATACTCGCCATGGCAATCTCGCATCTTCTCACCCCTGATATGACGGATTTCTCACTGGTCACGGCGCTCGGGACCGTCATTGCGCTGGTTGTGCACCCCATCCACATGAGGAACCGCCTCTAACATCCACAGGGTGTCCTATGGACCATCGGCTCAGCAGTGTACAATGTCTACCTCCATCCTCTGTCGCGCTACCCGGGGCCTCGACTGGCTGCCGCAAGCAGACTCTGGTTCTGTTGGCACTTGATTCGCGGCGAACTACCCTTTGTGATCCATGAGCTCCATCTCAAATACGGAGATATCGTTCGCGTCGCGCCAGATGAGCTTTCATACACCCACCCCGATGCGTGGAACCAGATATACGGCCTGCGTCCGGGGAAACGAGAGATCATGAAGGACCCAACCTTCTACTCGAGCCTGCCGTCGGGTAAGGGGAGTATTGTGAACGCGGTCCGCGAGCGACATGGGCACCTCCGGAAGCTCATGTCGTATGGGTTTTCGGAGCGGGCGTTGCGCGAGCAGGAATCCGTGGTGCGCTTTTACGCGGATTTCTTCCACCAGCGGGATCATGGAGACATTGGGTGGGAAAGGGGGTGAGGTGGATTTGGGTTAGATGGTATAACGTGCGTCCGCCCGTCCACCTGTAGATAACTGCTGTTGTGGGGGGGATACTTTGCTGACCGAAACAGTTCTTCACCTTCGATGTCATGGGTCATCTGGTGTTTGGCGAATCTTTCGACTGCCTCCAAAGCACTGGGTACAATCCATGGGTTGCTCTGATATTCGACTCGGTCAGAATTGGCGGTCTTCTTCGGTCGATCAAATTCTGGCCATGGCTGACCCCTATTGTGCAACACTTGGTTCCTGCGAAGCTGCAGGAGCGACGAAAAGAGCAGAAGCGGATCGCACGGCAGAAGGCAGCGTACCGCAAGAGCATCGAGGATGGCCGGAGAGACCTTATTTCCAGCTTGCTTCAACCCGACAGTGGTGTAACGGATGCCGAATATCAGAGTACTGTGGAGTCTCTTATCATCGCGGGGAGCGAGACCACCGCGACTCTACTGGCTGGAGTTACGTTTCACCTACTCAAAAACCCGGATAAGTCGAAGAGGGCGACGATGGAAGTTCGAAACGCTTTCTCATCTCCTGAAGAGATTACCTTTGTCAATGTTAACAAACTGCCATACTTGATTGCATGCTTGACAGAGGCCCTTCGAATCTACCCTCCAGTCGGGGATGGGTTTCCGCGCAATACGGGCGAGAATACCGAGGTGATCCTGGATGAGCGCGTTCCACCGAATGTAAGCCAAGTGAAGTGGTCTTGGGTGTCCATTGCTGACCTGCCATAGACACTCGTCCGAGTCACTCACTGGGCAACATTCCATTCACCCAGCAATTTCGCACGGCCAGACGAGTTCATCCCTGAGCGCTGGCTGGAGGGAGAACATGGGTTTGAAAATGATCGGAAATCTGCCTTACAGCCATTCCATGTTGGACCTCGGAATTGCATCGGGCGCAAGTGAGTCTATACAGTCACTAACACTTGAACCATGCTGACGTTCCCCAGCTTGGCATACATGGAGATGCGCCTACTGATGGCGTTGGTCCTGTTCCGCTTTGATATGGAATTGTGTGACGTCTCTGAGGACTGGGATAAGCAGAAGTCATTCCTGCTCTGGGCGAAGCCCGAGCTCATGGTGAGACTATCTCCCAGGACGGTGTGAGTGTGCAAAGAGCCCCGCGGACTCCATTCTGCGGGTTACTGCTTGCCACGTATGGGCTTATTCATGACATGTTGTGATCATGAGTAAATGAATGACATTCAGATTGTATGTCTGAAGATATGTAGGTATGTCCAAGGGCGTCGTGATGACAAAAGAGATGTCAGAATCCTCGGCCACATCAATCCTTTGCCCGTGGACATAAGTTTGTAACAGCACCTCTTCATGTGTCGACTACCAATGTTGAACATTCCGAATACGAAGCACCACCTCGGTATCCCGTACCACTGCTTCACAGTTTGCAGCAAGTCCAGCAGCCCTTCACTGGTCATTAGTATAATGAGTAAATAGTTTTGAAACAGCCGGACAACCTACCGCGATATTTTTGGGGATCTGTCCATTATTAGCCGGTGATTTCCTTCAGGTTTCAGGGATAGGACTTACGAAGAGGGGAGGACAGGGCTTCGCGAGGACCGCACACATTTTCATGCAGTTGGGTACGACAGGTGGCACAGGTTTGCCAGGAAGAACACCTTCATCCCCCTCCTCTATCGGCGCAGCGTACGCCTGATAGAGCAGGGCCAAGGTACTCAGGAAGAATGAAATCTTCATTGTGTCGGACTCGTTCGAATTCGTCTTGGTCGTGCGGTGCTGATATAGTGAAAAACAGAAGATAGGGATGAGTTCCGGGATATCCAACATTACCCGCGACTTATATATAAAGCACTGCAAATCTCAGGTCACCCATGTCTCTATGCGCGGAGATTTTGTTGGGACTTGGGCGTGGGTACATGTTCTACAACAGTCGGGTGCTACCACAAGAGGATATGTGTCAAGGACCGATTCGATATTATTCTTCGTCGCCGCGAAGGTACAGTCCTGGCCTGGTGGCTCCGGGCTTTGCCACTTCGTTTTGACGTCTATGTTGCATTTGAAATTTCCGCGTCGTACATTACATAGGTCCGAGTACAAATGTTGTTACAGCTCATTGATACAATCCCAATGCGTGGGACTTGCTTAGAACTTGGTGTAGCGCAGGTACGGCTTGACCACACGGACATCGCCGAACTTCTTCTTCGCGTCCTCGGTGGAGACGGTAGGGGGAACAATGACATCGTCCCCGACGTTCCAATCGATGGGGGTCGCGATGCCCTTCTTGTCGGCTGTCTGCAGGGAATCAATCACGCGCAAGACCTCGGCGGAGTTGCGGCCAGTCGACGCGGGATACAGCATGGTGAGACGAATCTTCTTGGAGGGGTCAATGATAAAGACGGAGCGGATGGTAAAGGCAATGCCCTTCTCGGGAAGGTTGTCCAGGTCCTCCTGGGAAATCATGTCGTAGAGGAAGGCAACCTTGCGGTCAGCATCGGCGATGATGGGGAACTGGAGGTTCGTGTTGGAGACTTCATTGATATCCTGAATCCACTTGTCGTGAGAGCCGAGGTCGTTGGCGCTCTGCAGAGATGCTGTATTAGTATGCAGTGTAGCAGGCATGGGAAGGGACGTAAGGGTCTACAAACCAATCCAATCATCTTGACTCCCCGCTTCTCGAATTCGTCCTTCATCCTGGCAAAGGCGCCGAGCTCGGTTGTGCAGACGGGAGTGAAGTCGGCCGGGTGCGAGAAGAGGATGGCCCAGGAGTCGCCGATGTACTCATGGAAGTCGATTTCGCCGTGGGTAGTCAAAGCCTTGAAGTTGGGCGCTACAATAGTTAGTATACCTCTATCCCCGAGACCATTGAGTAACACATACCGGTGGAGCCAAGACGCAGGCGAGGCTGTTCCTGCGGCGTGGTAGCCAGGAACCGGCGAGTGAGGGGCTGCACACGCGGAAGCCGAGGGGGGACAGCAGAGAGACGCGAGACGGGGGCAGCCCTGGGAAGGGCAGAGAGGGCCCGGAAGCCAGTACGAGGAAGAAATAAAGCCATTGCGATGGAGGAGGTGAAGCAATGGATGAGGGCGAAGTAGGAAGAGGTGGATAGCGAGTACGATGAGAGCTCAAAGAGAGCTCGAAGGGAGAAAAGCAGTGGGGAAGCCTGATGATGTCACGGCTGACTTATCTTAATGCCTCAGGCATAATATAACCAATCACGTGATATATCTCCTGGCATACCACAAACTCGTTGACACAGGACTTGAATTCGACCATGATCACTACTCTATATTCTTACGCAGTGAACCGCCACTCACTCATCACTACCATGTGCATACCATCTTTTCCCTTGCCAGTGCAATAGCGCGATCGGAATGAAGCTCACCCCCATGATCAACGCCGCGATCACTCCTGCACTACGCGCGACGCCGACACTCTCAAACATGGCCGGAAACCTGCAACCGTTAGCACACTGATCTCTACACCAGTTGTCTGCACTTACCAGAATGGTCCAATGAACCCCCATGTGGACCTCACGAAGTTGATAAACACCCCGACCGAGCCGGCATCTCCCGCCGACGCTTTCCCAGCCGCCATGGTGTCCACACTATAAGTCGTGAGAACGGTGGTCACAACTTGGTTACCAAAGGCCGCAATTCCAGTCCCCACAACCGGCACCACCGTCCACTTCCCGGCGGTGGCTTGCTCAGTGCACACCAAGAACACCGTCACGCCTGCGATGGAGAGCAGAAATCCACCATAGCTCAGCCAGAGCCGATACTCGGGCGCCGGCCGGTGCTTGATGCGGCGCGCCCGGGTGTTCATCCATACATCCGACATGATACCGCCCAACTGCTCGCCCAGTAGGGATCCAATGATCAATCCGAGGAATTGTAGGCCCAGTTGTTGGGCGTTCAGCTCAAACTTGCTTTGGAGGAGTTGCGGGACCTCCACCGATGCCAGGACAGAAGCGAATAGGAAGACCATGGCGTATGCGCAAGCGGCGAGTAGGACGGGGATGTTGGTGAAGAGGGCGAGCGGCTGGACAAACTCGTACAGTTTTAACGGGGTAGGATCGATTCGTCGGATGCTCAGATACTCCCGCTTGAAGGCGGACGCGCTCGACTGTACGCCATCGCCGACGTAGCGGGTTTCGGGGCCGAAAAAGATATACAAGATGAGCTGGCAGCCGTTTGTCTGTAGACGATATTAGTTAGCTTAGGCTCTCCCTTTGTAGTCGGTAACATACAATGGCCAACACCCAATAGATCCACTGATATCCTACGCGTTGGGTAACGAATCCAAATATGAATGGACCGATTGGCACCCCAAGCGTGACCAGCACCGTCCACACTCCCATATATCTGGCGCGTTCATGCTGGAAGAAGGTCTCGGCCACCACCGCGCTCCCGAGCGCAAAGGCCGGGCAGATGAAGAACGAGACCAAGGCACGACACGCTGCCATGGAGGCATAATCGGGACTCTTAGCACAGCCAATGTTGCACACACAGCTTCCCACCAGCGAGAGCAGGAAGATCGGGCGTCGACCAAAGCGCTGAGAGAGCGGTTTCCAGAACAACGGAGCTCCCCCGAGAACGGCGATCTGTAGAGAGGTCAGGTAACTCGCCCGCTGGAGGGACACTCCTAGATCCTCGGCGATGTTCTCGTAGGCGCAGATGATGGATGCGGCGGTGAAGGTGCCCATGAAGGCATGGAAGGACACGAGAAGCAGGTTCACAAGTCGCTGGTTTCATCCACGTCAGCATGTCTGCTTGATTTGATTCCTCTGGGTGGTACATGCCTTCCAGAGCGGCCAGTTATACGGATCCGCCGGGTCCATACTGGGGATGGGGTCGAGATCGATCGTGCCATGTCGCTGCAGGAGGTATTCCCTGTGTTCGTAGAAGAGACCAGTTCCATCTCCGCCGTCCACGACGGCGCCATTCTTCTCGAGGCACTGGGGTTCTGATTTAGCCGGGACATCCCCTGAGGAAGAAACGGGACGGCTAGTAGTCGTCGACATGATGCTTTAGATGAACGCACAGCAAAGAGAAGCTACTCATCGTGCTGACTGGGGAGGGGGAGAACCCCAGGCTGATAAAGCCGCCTCCACCGTGGCTATCGGCACATCCGGGGCCCCAGAAACAGACGGGGCATTTCCGCCGCGTCGGTGGAGGCCGAGTGGAGCGAAACTGCCAACTGAAGCCGTTCAAGCCCCTGTTCGCGGTGGAGATGGCCGCGTCGGCGGTAGTTGGGAGAGAATCACAATGCCGATGCAGAGGTCTGTCTGCCTGTCGGATGCAGCTGCTGCCCATCACGATGACACTCTCGGCCCTCATCGCCGCGGCTCGACCATCAGAGGGGTTTGGCCGGGGTTGCGAATTGCCGACCACGAACCCGTCCCTCTGATAGATGCATTTATCCTCGGACATTTTTCCGTCTTTGCTTGGCATGCTTAATCCTGCTTGGCAATTGCGTGGCGTCTTGTTTCATCTTGTCTCGGGGGTCAATGTCGTCAATCTCTGGTCAACGAGGAGATGTTCGTGTGTTATCTTCAAAAGACTTGACAGATTCTTTGAGATGAGGATGTTATTACCGACGAGGAGTCGGTATGGATGGTATTTGGTGGTGCCCTTGAATTCGAGTCATGCCGACAATATATATTTTCACTAGTACGCCAGGTATGAACGAAAAACCGATGGAAATCCCCAGAGATAACATGATAGATTCTAAGCAAGGAACAAAGCAGTTATATATAAGTTCATGGAGCATAAGCAGGACTTCAGTGGTTTTAGTGACTGACATAATGTGTTAGGGCCAAGATTCACGTATAGCGGAGGGGGGTCGGCAAAAGATCTAGTAAGTCCTGTCCAAACGATTTCAGACTGAAAGCTGTAGATAGCTGCTAATCTTCTTTAGAAATACATCGGATCCTGAATAGTCACGGCCAATGTAACCGGATCAGGTGTATACGAGCTCAACCGCCGATACGAGCGTCGAGCATTGGCATCTCGTATTGCTGATCTATATTAGGAAACGACCCCAGACAATCACCAGGGTATCAAGACTCATTCTACCCTATACACGACCGACATTCTGCACGTGTGTCGAACTTGCCGTTGAATGGAGACAATCAGCAGTCTGGTGGCCGACAGATGTCAACACAGACGACAGGTTAAATAAGAGTCTCAGGTCACTGAAGATGTGACGACCACCACGAATTGAGAAAGTCTGCAGCTCCTGCTGAATATACGAACGCAGATATCGTCTCGAAGATGCGTATCCTTCCCTGGCTCATTGCGGCCGCGTCCTGTGTGTCCGCCAACGTCAACGACCCGGCCAAGGATGCCACCCCCTACCATGTCGAGTTCCCCCTCTTTCGCAGCGCGAATATGGCCTCCGCCGACAAGCTCTCCACTGGAGTTGGCTTCCATTCGTTTCGCATCCCCGCCGTGGTTCGCACGACCACTGGGAGAATTCTTGCCTTCGCCGAGGGCCGTCGACACGACAACCGCGATTTCGGAGACATCAACCTCGTCTACAAACGCACCAAAACGACTTCGGATAACGGGGCCACTCTAAGTGATTGGGAAAGCTTACGGGAGGTCGTGGGCAGCGGTGATGGAACATGGGGCAATCCTACCCCCGTGGTCGATGATGGCACCATCTATCTCTTCCTGTCATGGAACAACGGTAGCTACAGCCAAAAGGGCGGCGACGAGCTTCCCGATGGTACCATCACCAAAAAAATCGATACCACCTGGTACGGTCGGCGACATCTCTATCTGACCACCAGCACCGACGATGGCAACACCTGGTCTAAGCCGCAGGATTTGACAAAGGAGTTGACGCCTGACGGATGGTCCTGGGATGCCGTCGGGCCCGGTAACGGCATCAAGCTCTCCTCTGGGGAGCTGGTCGTGCCAGCCATGGGTCGCAACATCGTTGGGCGTGGTACGCCAGGCCAGCGTACCTGGTCAGTCCAGCGTCTGAACGGCGCCGGGGCGGAGGGCACAGTCTGCGAAACGCCCGACGGGAAGCTCTACCGCAATGACCGCCCCAGCAAGGCGGGCTACCGCATCGTCGCTCGAGGCACCCTGTCAGATGGCTTCAGCGACTTCGCGAGCGACAGTGGTTTGCCAGATCCGGCGTGTCAAGGCTCCGTGTTGAAGTATAACACGGATGCACCGCCACGAACAATTTTCCTGAACTCGGCATCCAGTGACAGTCGTCGTCAGATGCGTGTCCGCATCAGCTACGACGCGGATGCAGCCAAGTACGACTATGGTCGCAAACTCGCCGATGCCCCGGTGTCGGGGGCTGGGTACGAGGGAGGGTACTCGAGTATGACCAAGACGGCGGACTATAAGATCGGCGCCTTAGTGGAGAGTGACTTTTTTAACGATGGTACGGGCGGAGGTTCATATCGCTCGATTATATGGCGACGGTTCAATCTGTCGTGGATCCTTAATGGTCCCAATAACTAGGGGTTGTGCTGGGCTGGATAGGCCACATGTGCCTGGATCGGGATCGTCGCGTCGCGATAGAAATTAGCCGCGAGTTTGTCGCGTGTATCAGGCCCTCCTTGATAGAGTTCAGATCCTAGTTGGCGTATCCCAATGGAATGGAATGTGTGACTACCCCGTGATGCGCAAGGGATGAGTATAGTATCAAGGGATGTTTACGCCCTGCACGTATAAAAGGCAAAGACGGAAGCCAACCACGTTCTCCTGCGAATCATCGTTTCCTTGCAGGAATTCGCTGTCTAACGATCGTCTCTTCGCATATCACCGCATCATGCACGGCGTCAAGCAACTAGCGCTGCTCGCCCTGGGGCTGCTGGCCACGGGCAGTATGGCCAAAGCGAAAAAGACCACAACGGTAGGTACACGTACTCAAGATGCATACGTGTCCAGATCGCTGACTCGATGGGACTCTCTACAGGTTGGCCTGGAGACTGCCGAGCGAAGTCGATCCGTGAGAGCCGAGATAAACGAATGTGTTACAGTTAATGAATAGTAAGCGACCTCGGATCAAGCGACAACTTGGATAACAACGGTATTAATCGAACACAGCGGAGTCCACACGGTCGTCACTACACGGATGTGTCAATTCTTCAGGTGGGTTTGGTCGCTGTGTCTTGCAATGCGATGGACTAAACGACACACAGGGCCAACGAGTGCATGGGTCACAATGTTATGCTGGCGGCCGGTGAACACCATTCGAACCCAGTGGAGGTGGGCAGTTTTGTATGCCATTAGTAAGGGTATCAGAGGGTACCAGTGTCAGTATAGAATGTCATCGAATAGACGAGCAGACGATCGATGTGGGCGTGGCCTGAATCGATGCATCTCTCAACAAGAATATAATCATCTCACATTTCTCCAAAGATGTGGCGCTTTGTGTTTGTAGCTTACATTCCCAGGGAGTCTTATGCCAACGTCGCTCGGAGTGCCATAATTCGTTCCGTTGCCGCATTGAACTCGGTAGAATCCAAACTTCCCTCTTCCAAGGCCTCTACCAGTGCATCCACGATTGCTTCTCCTTGAGTCACATTTCTCGCGGCAGCCAGAAGAAGATCCATGCCAGCCTGTGCCGCCAGTACACCCCGCTGCGCGTCATTTCCGAAGCTGCGCAGGGCTCCTGCCTCGATGGCATCGGTGATAGTAACGCCCTTGAAACCCATTTCGTCCCGGAGCGTATCCTTGACCCATTTGGAGCTCAGTCCCGCAGGCGAGTCGGCGTCGACTGCGGGATAGACGGCCCATGAGCACATAATCATCGGGATATTGTTCGCAATAAGCTGCTGATACGGCTGCATGTCCACCCGTTCCAAAGTATCCCGGTCCGAATTGATCGTAACAGGCTGCTCATCAGTGTTCTGGCCATTCGCTGCCGCTCCTAGACCAGGGAAGTGCTTCGCTACCGATAGCACTTGTTCCTGGGCTTCACCCTCAAGGAATTTTCCAGCGCAGTCAGCGACCACTGTGCTGGAGTTGCTATACGACCGGCCATATTCGTCAATGAAATTGTCCGGTGCTTGGAATACATCCACAACAGGTGCCAGGTTGGTATTCAGGTTGTTTTGGCGGAGTACTTTGCCGGCCTCGTTTCCGGTGGCCTCTGCTGTCGCCCCGGGGTTTGCAGATTGACCAACCTGCTTCGCCGATAACTCAGGACCCCCTTTCAGACGGCGCACCTGGCCTCCCTCCTGATCGGTCATAGTGAGGAGGGGGAAACCAGAATTTCCCGTTCCATCCTGGTATGCATCCTGGAAGAGCTGAATCGTGTCTGAGAGGGTTTCATTCACATTCTCACCGAATATGATAATGCCCCCCACTTTGCCTAGGCGGATCAGGTCGAATAAATGGGGCGGGGGCTCCAGCCCAGGGTATGAGTAGATAACATGTGCAGCGACATCCTGCATGGAAACCTCCCGCGATAACACGCATGCTGCAAGCCCTAGGAGGGTGACATCCCGGAGTATTCTGGTGGGCTGCATGGTGAACAGGGCACGATGCATGTCTACCAGGGGCAAGGGCGCCACGCCGGGGGCCAAGTCTTATCTATATCTTAGGGCGCATGCAGCGACATTAGGACGCCGAGTAGACCGACGGAGACCCGAGTCAGGTTGCATTGATCGGCAAGTCTCGTATTCCTGCGTAAAGACAAACGTCTAGACCCCGAGGTAGAAACATACGAAGACCATACGACGTAGAAACAAGGAAATTAAAGCAAATAAGCCAGATCTAGAACATCTTCATCAAATGAATTCCAACCCTGCCCGAGGAAAGGATTTCCGCCAGCGTCCATCCATCTAATCTGAAATGCGATCGTCGCCTCAACATCCCGACGTCTGGTTAGTGGGCTTTGCGCAGAAGGCTCCCTCCTTTGCTCTGCGGCTAGACAACTCTCCACCCAGCGTGTTCGTGTTGGGAAGCGCGCTGCAGATGCCCTTGAAGTTCTTCTGCTCCATCGCCCCATGCCACCAACTCTGCACGCCACCACATCCCGAATTGTAAGCGAAGCTCACAAGGGCCCCGTACTGGTTGGCGTTAAGATACTTTGCATTGTCCATTTCACAGACGCAGTTCTCGTAGCCGGCGAGGTCCTTCTTCAGAAGGGCGGCTCCCTCTTCCTTGGTCAAGGGCGTATCGATCGAGTCGCAGTCCTGTTTGGCAACACAGTCATGGCCGTAACCTGTACAATCAGTGCACTGGCTAGCTGTAGAGATAGTACGTGTACGCACCGACGGTTTTGTGTCCGTTGATATAGTAAAAGTCAGGGCGGAAACCCTCAAGGCTCCCGATCAGCTCTACTGCCGCATCACTGATACCACGGCGGAGGAGCTTTCCAGGAAGGGCGGCAGCCTGGAGGGCGAGGATAGATGCAAGGGCGGCAGAGATCTTCATCTTGAGATGGATGGATAGTAACTTGGATCCGAGAAGACACACGATGTTGTGTTGTATTGTATTCTTTTGATTTGGATTTGGAGACTTGTTTGGACCACAGGGAGCAGTCAACCCATATTTATACCATTCCCAAGTCTAGGTGATAGTGCCATGGCCTCATTGTTGTAGTTCAGATGTATACGGCCCGCGATCACCTTCGTGAAGCTGAAACAGAATGCGAGGTGAGAAACATCTCGGCCCCATGCCTGGCGATCTCTCGTATCTCACTGATCCTCTACGGAGTTGTATTCCCGACAAGAAGCAGGATGAAAATGTTGATGACAATGAAGATACACAATTGCTGAGCCCTAGGTTGGTGGATACCCATCTCGTGTTATAGATGATCTACCCAGCTCGTGCTTTCTGGCCCTGACATGATTGCACGCATGAATACGATGAAGCCAATCTTTCTATTAATAACCTCGTAAAGGCCAGGATGTGCCGACGTAAATCTTCTTCGAAACAAGCATCTGGCACAAAAGACTGTCCAATACGATATTAAACATGATGATCTCGATATTATGCATTCTGCTGTTTCGTGTTGATATAACTTATTTTTGGATACGGCTCTGGTGTAATTTCAGATATGTGCCAGCGGTGTTAGATAGGCGGATTCTCTCTTGAGAATAGGTGTCGTTATGGTGTAGCACGAGTTAATCTCCCATGGAAGTCATAAAGGACCTTGATTATGTCCAGTGTTAAGGGTTTTATGTTGTTCGATTCAGGAAGAGCATCTGCCAAGGGGCCAGTTTTGCTCATAGAAGATTCACTGCTGCATACCTACCGACAGGTGGTAGAGGGATCATAGAAGGGAATTGACAACTGACACTAAAGACAACACAATTAGCTAGCATCCTCCACCTCCTGTACTGCACCCTCGACCTTCTGATCGACATGACTCTCATGGGCATGTTGTCCTGGCATAACAGTGCGACCCCCTCTGGAAGTAAAGACGCCTCCTGTGATACCACCCTTGCTAAACAGGAGGGGAATGTCCTCCAGCTCCAATCCTTTCGTCTCGGGGTAGAAAAAGTACACCATAGGGATGAATGCGGCATTCAACACAGCGAAGATCATGAACGTGCGCCACCCGATGTTGGCTGTTTCAGTCAGCAAGAACCATTTCAAGTCAGGAGTAGATCAGGGAATCTACCAAAGGAAATCGGAGTGATTTTGACTACGGCAAACACCGCCATCCAGTTCCATCCGGAGGCAATGGCTTGCATTCTTGTGCGCACGCGTGTGGTGTTGATCTCTGCGGGATAGAACCATGGGACTGGGAGCCAGCCTACATGCAGCAACATGGTTAGCAGGCGAACAAGATATGGGCATTGGGATACTTACCGACACCGTAGAAAAGCTGGAAGATGAAGATAAAGGCCGTTGCGCCGTATGCGGCATCCTCTCGCCCCAGTGACAGCAAGATAGTGACCATAACGAAGCAGAGACACAGTCCCGCAGAGCAGATCATCAACAGTGTTCGCCGTCCAAATCGATCCATCAGGAACACCGGGATGGCCGATCCAACAAGATAGGTACACTGGATACAGCCGCCTAGGATCATCGCCAGATTCCGGCTCATCCTCATGGTTTCCTGGAACATTACGGGCCCGTAGTAATTGATCATGTTGGAGCCGGTGAATTGTTGCCCCAACTCGATGGAGATGGTGATGAGCATGCGACGGAGGTTCTGAACCTCGCCCCAGCTGAACAGCTCCATAAACCGGAACGGACCGCCGCGTTGCTCTTCCTCCAGCCCGACCTGAATGTCCAGAATGGTCTTGTTCACTTCGGCGTTGTCCAGCGGCACGTCCTCGATGGCCGCCACTACCGCCCGAGCTTCTTCGTGCCGATCGTGTTGGACCAGCCAACGCGGCGTCTCGGGTAATCCGATGACCTGGAGGATGAGCATCACGGCGAAGACGGCTTGGAAGGCCAGAGGAAATCGCCATTGGAGGGATGACTCGGTAAAGCTAGTGCCATAGTCCATCCTACATGTCATCAGTATTGGTTCTGAAGATATGCTCGAGCATACACAACGGCGCAATGTGCCTCTGGAACCATACCAGTATGCAATAACAACACCGAGGATTGTCACCGTTCCCTGCAGGGTCAACAAGGCACCCCGGTACGCAGCTGGCGAACACTCGCTTTGGTAGACAGGGGCAGTCGACGAGTTCATCCCGTTTCCGATGCCAGTGATGATGCGGCCAGCGATGAGCTGCGCGACGGTGTACGACGAAGCCAGGATAATGGTGCCAATGATCATGATCGACCCTCCTGCAATCAACATTGTTCGCCGACCGTAGCGCTCGCCGATGAAGTAGCAGACGATCGAACCGACGACGCAGCCGATATCATATAGGGCGGTGATGTTACCCTGCATTGCTGCATCTGGGTTGTTAAAGTCCCGTCCAAAGCGGTTTTCGGCCCCGATGATACCGGCCATCACACCTACTGGGGTTAGGTATTGTCACTGGCGCCTTGCGTATCTGTATAGAAGATCCAATCCTACCTTGGTCAAAGCCTAGCAGTAGGAAGGCCTGGCAGGAGGCCATGGTGATGGCCGCAATCAGGGCGCGACCCCGAAAGGTGTGCTTCCATAGATGCATGTTGCTTCACTGAGGAAGTACGCAGGTCATAGTCCGTAGGGTGCAGGTGTAGTTTAGGTCGATTTGTATATTTTCGTAAGCTAGTTCGATGATTTAGGGGCGCGAGGGACTACCGACCATGGCCGGCATTTCAACAATCAGCTCAAATTTCAAACATTCCATGCTGAAAGTCGCTCTGTACTGTACCGAGCTGGGTACTGGTGATTTTCTCCACATGGGACCGTCATTCAACCCACTATGCCATTCCTAACAGGCCGAAAGGAATCGATCGTCACGGCTCGGGGTGTCATTCTCCCGAATGCGGGGATTCCCCATGGGACATCGGATATGCCGGTGAATAGAAACCCAGGAGCTATGAGAATCGTCTAGAATGGTGAGGTCTAGGGTTGGCAACAACGAAGTGGTTTTGATGTTTTTTTTTTGGGGGGGGGGGGGGGGGGGGGGGGCCAAATACTAGTATACATATTAGTGGCTGAGACGAAGGATTACACCCGAACGCCACGTCGGCATTAGAGCACCCTAGAGTGCATGGTAAGTTCCGTACCCTGTGCCAGGCAAAGGCACCCTGTGACTACTATACTTACGCGTTGCACAGAGAACCTATCAGCGACCATAATGTAGATTCATTAGTTTCGTGGTAGGTTCGACTGACTTTATTTTTTAACAATCTTCAATATTTAAAGAATTTTAAAAGAAATTTTAATAGGTGTGCGTGAGCTTGTCTTTTAGTCCTTATATGCTACTGGTAACCACTCGCCTTGCGGCATAAAATCTATCTTAGTAGCAATAACTTCGGCACCTTTCTTAATTTCGATGCCTGTAAACGATTAGTACATACGCTTACAAATACCTGGTTTATTAACTAGATCTAACATACTCTTGATCTTCTATCCACCAAGTTCGCCGATATTTTCATTACCCGTTTAGCCAGTCTTATTATTTCGCTTTGAGTTGGTATGACCCGCTGTAGATCCAGTAAACTGGACAGTTCATTGGACCCAGGATGCGATGTTTCCGTACACTGGTCAAAATATCAGGAAAGGAGTCGTTGAGGATCTTGGGAACTCTGTTAGACTTACGAGCAGTCGGAACAAAGCTAGATAGACAAATGCCGTTACGTCCAGTCATCCGGTATCGAGTGCTCTGATCAAATGTATTGATTGCACATGCAACTTGAGTGGCATCGGTACCAGTTGACTTTCCATCCGTGAATGAAGTCAGTGACTGCAAGCCCCAGGCTGCACCGTCTGATGGGCCGGAAGGATCTGCAAGGGACAGCGTAAAGTTGCGTTCATGGTTGTATCCTCCGTGCCCTTGGTCGTCTTCCTGGTTGGAGGTCAGCAACAGAATAATCAAGGAACGGCAACCCGTCTATAAATTGAATATTCGGGGCGCTCATGGGGAAAAATTACGGCAGTTGTAAGACCGGCTGCCCTAGGAATATATGGATCATAATGTGTCAGGCCCTGCCATGCTTCCGTGTCTCATTGATATATTGGGGCGTCGAACCCCAAAGCAGGTCACGTGTACTGTCAAATGCTACAGTGCGACCCATGCTCTGGGCACCATGTGCAATTGGCTCGGACACTGCATCGCCAGCTTCGAAAAGAGGGGACTCGTCCGAGATGCTTCGTTTTGTTGAGATGCTTGTGGACGTCGAGCCCATATCCCCGTTCTCGTACAGGTGAGATGAAATCTCCTACTCAGAGGTTTCTCCACGGTTTTCGTCCAAGCTATAGGGAGGCCCCATGGGTGCACCCCACTTATAGGATTCGCCAATTTCTGCATTATTCCAGCACGCACGTTCCTTGAGATAACAAGGGTCGAGATTCGCAATTTCGGCTGCGTGCATCGCTTTCTCGCGATAGTAACGGACCGCTCGTCCACACTCGTCGTACCAAACGATAAGGACACTCCCTGCGTCAGGGCCTTCGGAGGCCAACGTTTTTTCATCAACGACGTAGATGTGTCCCGCCGCTAAACGGAAGAGGTACTCCGAATAAAAGCAAATCCAGGGGTTGCCATCCTCCTCTGGGTCATAGCCGCTTTCCTCGGCACGCTGGGGATCCGTCTCGTCGGATTCAATTCCCTCTTCTAGGGCCTCCTGGATATTCTCTTCGTATTCTTCGAACAAACAAGTGTTATCCAGTAGCTGTGGAACGCGAAGAAAAATCTTCTCCCAGTTGAAACCAAAGTTATACAAGGATGAGTCGTTGAAAACTGTAGCTGAGCCGACGACCTTAGTATCGATGTAATCTTGAATCTGGGCCCACAAGCCTTCTGTAGAAGGGTCGTAGCAGGTGCGGAGCCAACATGGATCCTCGTTCAAGTCACGCTCAGCAGGTAGGCGGATACGATCTAATAGCTCTTGACTAGGTACTGGAAGGCCTCGAACAGACCTCTTCTCAAGTCTTCGCTGCTGGTTTCGATACGGCTAATCCGATAGGTTAGTTTTCTGGTTAGAGTAATGAGGGGCCAAAATTAAATTACCTCGCGACCGCAGACTCCGAGTACCATATATTTAGCGAAAATCGCCTCGCGCTGGGCATCAACAGATAGCGGCGAGTTTTCTCGCCAATGCTCCTAGAATATCGTCAAAACATGCATACATTCGCTGAGTAATAGGTCTTACCAGAAGGAACAGATCAGCCTGCCAGGCCGTAAAGGTTGACATCTTTTCTGGAGGATGCTCGTGGGACAGAGTGAGAGAGTTATTTGAAATCGTCTCGGTACTTGAGCCCTGGAGATGAGATGAGATGAGATGGCGTTCTTGGCGAGGGCTTATCCAATGTGAAGTGGGGAATGTCTTGGAATCGATGAAAGGAATTGTGCAGGCGAATCTAATTGACAGCACTGAGCATAGTTAAGTCATGAATAAGTACATGAACAATTAATGATATGATGATTAGCAAACAGTATATAGTATATATTTATTACTAAATCTTAGGGAATTCTATAATATTTTTTACTACCTACTAGGTAGGTATTTTTAGAAAGTTAGTAATTAATTTTCAGCTTGTCCTAGACACGGGGATAGTGCCCCATATACATGATTGGAAGGCGACACCTCCACCTCCCTAAGTCTCACTAGGTACCTATGCTTATAGATTCCTAAAGCCACAGTCTGTAGCCCTTCTACAGAAGGATCTTTTTTTAGGACAACCGTACTTAAAGTTAAAAGCAAAAACAAGTATAAAACTTAGCAACTAATCATCTATTATTATTACTTACATCTGAATATGCTAGTCATACTATCTAGATTATTTCTAAATGCTTTCAATGTAGAGCAGAACTGCTGGATAACTCAATATCTTCCATCAATTCAACTGTTTTAGATTTAGTTAAGATTTTATTACCTACAGCCTACTGCTCGCCTTATTCTAATACTTCCTAGCATAATTTGGATGAAGAAAATAGATACTGTGCGTGGTAACTTTTTATTAGACCCCAAGCCTAAGCACAAATATTAAGTTGTAAATGACAGGAGATCCGATTCCCTTTCCTCTGATCAGTATTAGATGTTGCCTCAGATCATGCTCAACATTACAACAAGCCTATATAGTATCCCTTGATCTCCAACCATCTGCTGACTTGGAGGGTGTTTACCGGATTTGATATTCACTTGCATGCTTCCATGGAAACATATGGAGATTCTGGGCGTTGAGAAGATTAACATAGAACCCCAAAGCGCTTACAATAGCAAGAAAGTCTTCGCGAGCTTCCTTATGATTGGGGTTGCACTCTATGTTTTCCTTGATGAGTATATCAGCCTGCGAGTAGCTATCACGCAAGAATTCAATGCCCAGGTGACCAGTGAACTCGGATATTGGCGGTATAAGCTCTCGGAAGAGTATAATCAGGTGTGGAAGGGTAAACTCAGGGCGCGTAGCAGCGATTTTGAGAATATTGTCTAGGATGTGATAGCCCAGCGTCCGAACCACGCTGTTCGAGAAGACCATAGCGCCGAAATAAGAATCTTTCGATCCCGGCTTTTCTGGGGCTTCGCCATGATGGAGCTTTTCGATTTCCTTCGAAATACTTGACCAAGACGTCTCGGTCTTTTATTACGGGCTCAGTAAGGAACTGTTGATGACCACTTCGATAGACATACCTCTTTATAGATTTTCTCCACAAAATTTCTTACTTCTTTGCTTACCCCAGTCCTTCGGGAGGGCGATAGCGACATGTCTTTAAAATCGGGTTCCGGCTTTGAGGCGTCCCAAACGACCACCTCAATGGGCTCTTTTGCTTCGCATTGTCGTTTCCAGACTTGATTTGCAACAAAGTGGAGCGTCTTAAGATCTTCGTCGATAACTTTCCCACATGTGGCCACAGGTTGATGCTCAGTAACGTTGCCATACTTTATGACTAGATGTTGGAATGACGAAAGAAATACCGAGCCATCAGGCTCCTTAGCTCGATCAGGAGCCTTATAGTCGGCAGGTGTGTACTTGTAACGGTTAGCTGATATGGGCCGCCCTTGAGTATTTGGCACTCACAATCAACTGCTCCAGCGGAACTAGGTGGTACAGCTGATCCCCGGCGACAACAGCGTGTGTCTGGAGGGAATAGTATGGAAGTACCGTTCCAAGAAGCCTGACCAGCGACGGGTTCAAATTGTTCATCTTCACTGTGATTGTTGCACCAAGCTTAGGCCATTTGATCTTGAGCTCACGAGGAGCTTGTGACTTCTCATATGAGGCAGAGTCCATTGTGAAACCTGTTCTGCGGAGGCAAAGACGGTAAATATTTGTCACAAACTGCTATAGAGCGAGAGCCAATTGCTGTATACATGTGCAAGTCGTTCCCTCCATAATAATGCATAGCGTTCTTTTATGGCACCATATACTTGCCTTCTGCCCATTTGGCGGTGTGATTTCATATTCGCAATTCTGTCGTCACCAGTTAATCCATTAGAAAAGTGATGATGCGTAGAGAGAACCATTACAGTAGGTGGCATTCTAGTAAACCATTAAACAGTGAATGTTAGCTTATGCTAGCGTCAAACCAACCAAAATCTTATTGACTGGCTTTTGAGTAGGCTCTCTTGGGCTATCTGGCTCTGTTCTGAAAAATGTCCTTCTGGGAGCCGCCATGCATCCAGACCACGTCCAATTGACGGAAACAGCACTATTATGATGCTGTGAACATAACCTCTGCCGACATAGCTTCTAGATTTGCGTGACTACCATGGATGGTGCGTCTGCGGAAGCCTAACCTAACCGCTGTTTGACTTGGACAGCAATTGTTTTACATAGGCAGTTGAAATTTTCACCCTTAGTGCACGTCATCCGGCATCATATATAGATCAGGCTACACCTTTATAATCATTTTCGCGCGACGCATCAGTATATAGTGCCTAAGGGAAGTGAGCGGAACAATTTCAGCCTACGAAGAGAGAACGATCTTACCTATAGCCAAGTTCTTCTATATTTGCTTGTGAGATTTTAGCAGGATATACGTGATACAACCCATTCCTTACTGAGTGTCCTATATCAAAGAGTCAGATCGTTGCTCATAATATTTCAACCTTATCAAACATTCCGTGAAGATTACCTCCTTGCCCTGCCATATCTTATTTATTTCTCAAGTGTTAGTGACGATATAACTGCCAAATACGAAGACCTAAGCATACTGACACATAAGTAGAACAACCCATAATGCCACTCGAGCATGCCAACGAGTCTGGCGGAGATTCATTCCGAAAAACCTGCCTCGTACCCTATGTGGACATTGACTCGGCTCCTCCTGTCATTAAAGAGAAACTGCAGGTCCTCCCATTTCGACGAAACATTCTCCTGACGCTGGCTCATTCTCACGGCTTGTTTCCACATTTTAGCGGCCTTCTTGGTGCTTGCTTCGATGGGAAACAGCGTAAACTTCCGATTTTCGATTGGCAGCTGATCGTGCTACGCATTGCTACGATCCTCAATGCCAAGTATGAGTTTGATGTCAATCAACCTGTGGCTGAGGTATATGGGTTTTCGAAAGAAAAGATGGATGCTATCGGCTGCTCTATTGGAGAGGTATCGGATGGTGGAGGTCCGTGGACTGATCGGGATCGGGTGATTCTTCGCCTTATCGATGAACAACTGGCGACTTACGACAATGAGCCTGAGACAGTTAAGGATGCTCTAAAATTGCTGTCTGTGGAGGAAATAGTTGAGGTTTTAATGATGATTGGGATCTATGCTTTATTGGCTCGCGTGATTAAGGGCTTGAGGGTGGACGATGACCAGCCGATTCCTGATTTGAAGGATAAAATCAGGACTGCAATTACTAGTTGACACAAGAAGTATGCCATTTGATCCCTAGGTTTATCAATACAATATATGTTATTGTCCAGGCTTATAGTTGGAGGGCGAGGGTAACCCATTCTTGATGAGGCTCCCCATTTCCTTTTGGATGCTACGGCTTAGGATCCGCTGTCTAAGTTGTGTAACCTAGCTAAGTAACATAACCCATGACATACCTTGGACCATTAAGCCCTTAAGCGCCCAAATCAAAGTTTTTCTTCATAAATAGGTTATTACTGATGCTACCGAGACAGACGCTACGTCTTGTGTCGTAGAGCAATACAGTAGAGTCTCAGAGCTAAGTTGCATCCAGTCCGTCATCTGTGTTATATTACGTTGCATCTTGTTGCCTGTAACCATAACCGACTGCGTCATGAATTGACGAGACTAAACTATAACTACTAGGAAGAGTTCGCATTTGGCGCTTTTAGTCTCCCGTGCTCACAGTACATTTAGAGATGTTACGCCATACCATATGTGTTGTTTCATTCTATCAGGCATGAACGTTGAGCAAGACCTATATATAAGGAACATTATTATCGTTAAACCGTGAAGTCCTACACACTAGCCTCTACTTCGACTTCCAGCACTCTCCACACTCTCCATCGTTCAGGCTGAACACACCATTCCCTAGACGATTTCGCAGTCCCTTAAGTATGGTCGGGTTCGCACAAGAAGCAGTTCTTCCAGGAGCTGAATTTCCGCTGGAGACCGCCGTTACACTCTTGAGCCACTATAGCAACGAAAATTATTACGTCTACGAGCGCGGTGACAAGTGGTACCTCGGACTTGGGGCTTATGCATCCCTAGTCCTTGATCCCAATGGGAAAACCGCGACAGAAATCGACCACCAGGGACGTCAAGAATCGACCGACATAGCTGACTTGCCTGCTACCCACATTAGGGAGTTTGTTGCCAAATACTCCGGGTACGGAAAAATATTTGGACAGGTCGGCTTTAACTATTCTGCGCACTGCTCAGGGCAGGCCTATGCGCCAAGCCAGTGGCCGATGTTAAGCCTCATGGTCCCCTGCGTACAAATCACAATCGACCGTACCCAGACTACGATCAGAGGATACGCAGGAAATAATATCTCGAGGGTGAGGGAACATATCACACGCATACTCAACGCCACTTCGAGGGATAATATACCTCCCACAATCAAGGACAGGGGCGCTATAGACCTCACAAGTAACGCCGGCGAGTACGAGGCCCGCGTGGCCAAGGCAATTGCGGAGATTGCTAAGGGTCGATATACCAAGGCTATTCCGTCCAGAAAAGTCCACTTGGATTTCCGGGTTGACATGCTAGCAACTCTTTTTCACGGCCGACGAGCAAACACACCTGCACGCACATTCTCATTCAATCATATGGGCATTCAGGCGACCGGTTTTAGCCCTGAAGTCCTTCTCTCTATTGATGGTGATGATGCATATACTGAAGCACTCGCCGGGACCCAGCTGTCGAAATCACCAAAAGCTAGCCTCGATCCATTCAACAACAAATTACATAACGATGCCAAGGAGGTCATGGAGCATGCGATTGCTATCAAAGGGTCCATCCGTCGGTTGAGCCAGGTCTGCCTTCCGGAAACCATTGCTATCAAAGACTTTATGAATGTCATGCAGAGGGGGAGCGTGCAGCATCTATTTTCCCATGTAAGGGGACGCCTGAGACCAGGTCTTGACGGATGGGATGCTCTACCAGGTCTCATAGCCAATATCACTGTCCCAGGGATGCCCGGACAGGGCAACCTGAATGCAATTAGGTGCTTTGAGCCCGAACCGAGGGACCTCTATTGTGGGGCGGTGGTTATGCTGGATGAGAGCTCAAGACTTTTTGATGCCACCCTGGTTCTTCGCACAGTGTTCCAGGATGCGAATCGACAGTGGTTACAAGCTGGCGCTGGAGTCACAAGTTACTCGAAGCCAGAGCGTGAGTTTGATGAAACATGCGAGAAGCTGGGTAGTGTGGCGCCTTTTGTGATGCCCCAACGTGGCTAAGTTTGGGAATATCGCCGGCATAGTCCATAACATCGAGCAATACCACTGAAACGTTCCCTGGATACAGAATATAAAAGTGCAAATATAATCTTTTTTTTTTTTTTTTTTTTGCGGCGGATGATATATTTGCCAGTAGATTTCTACCAAGGGGGCCGCAGCTCTTCCTAAAGGAACATAAGGGAAAGAAACAGACTGCACGACTGAGACAGACTATAAAGTGAGTAACGACTGGAGTATAAGGAGTGAGTGGATATTAGGAAGCAACCTTCGAGCAGGAATCTAGTATAAACTAGAGGTCCCCGTAATTTGTGGATGTGCAGTATGACGTCGGACAATGTCGGACTCCTGATCTGTTATTTAATGGAAGCTGCGGGAGGTAATTCAACCCTACTCTGTATATTCCAGATTCATATCTTCGTCTTATTACATGCTCGAGTGCATTGGGAGCATCCTTGACCTTTTTCAGTCACCTCTGAAGTACGACGTACTCCACCAAGGAAATCTCACGAAATGGATCAGGATCAAGCCACTCTGGCGGGGTCCTGAGCCCTGAAGAACCAACAGTCAGTATAGACAGTCCGTCTTTTGGCGATTTTTGCAACCTACCAACCGGGTGAACGGCACCCGCATTGGCCTTCCAGATAATGGCGGGTTGGAGGCTGGGAAAATTCACGATTGGATGACTTATCTGGTCTGATATGTGTACTAGGTGATTTACTGTCGGAGGAGGCACGGCAGGCAATGCGACTGCTGCACGGCTAGCCATGGACCCAGCAAATTACTCGGTGGTAGTGGTCGAGGCCGGTTCGTTCTACGAGACCCTCAACTCCAACCGCACCCAGGTTCCCGGCTATAACTTTTACTCTGCTCTGGCTAACTTTGTGGGGGGGCTCCCTCGAATCCCTGACCAATTTTGGATTGCAGACTGCACCCCAGGGGGTAGGCCAGCCGTCTAAATGGCAGCTAACTGCCTTTGCCAACTTACATCGCTCGGCTTAACATGTTTTCTTAGTACAAGAGCCGATAAGCCTGTCCCCCATAGGCAAAAGTAGAATAAAAACTAAGCACCAGAAAAAGTCGACACAATATTGTTTGGCCTACACTATGTAAGGTGCGGTGGCGCAAGTTGTTGTAGCACAACGAGCCGCTCGAAAAGCGCAGTAAAACATCAACACCGCCAAATAGTTGGAAACGAGCAGAAGAGCTTGCTTTGCTATGTAAGTATTCTGCAAAATTCGTATTCCAATGCATATACTACTTTATCAACCTAACCCTAGTCGGCACGCCCCAGTAAGAGCGAGCGTTTAGCCGTGAATATATAAATGTTCCCTATTATCGTGGGTTTTGCCAGACGAGGGGATAGATGCTAGAACCCCACTGATAGACAGCCAACTTATGCGGAGTATGTCCTACCTACTTGATTGGAAAGTAGCTTCTTCTATGTCGGAAACGGCAGGCTAGCCGCGCTATTCGAAGGAAGGTTATAGATCTCCAAAAGTGGTTGGTGAAAGTGTAGGCTGTACTTCTCTTTCCAACTCCGAACCATTTCTTCAAGTGACGTTTTACTCTCTGATGAGACCTCCAGTGAAACAGTGTCTCAGCTTCATAAGACATTAGTCAAAACAAATAACAGGGTCCCTACACAGTCCGCTAGCGCAGATCCGATGGGGCGCCGGTCAGGAGGCACCCCGATTTCCCCGCCTACGGGATGACTTGGACCGTGATCCAGACAGAATCTGTATCTCTCGGGACACCGACTCCAGAACGGGTTGAAGGAAGTCCAATCACTCAATGCTCGTCGTATCAACCGGGGACTACAGAGTAGTCCGTAAACAAGTGGAATTGGGGGACCTGTTCTCCCGACGGCGCGTTATAATTGGGCTCGGGATAATTTTAGCTCGACCGCGATGGACCGCAGTGGACCCACTGCAATGGTTTGAATCATGATATAGGGGACTCTGCCAACCTGGCAAAGCAGCTCGATGCCGAGACCACCCTTAAAGTTAGCAGTAAGTGGGCTATAAAAGGACACCTTGGCCGTTTGGCTCAAGTTTTATCGCACCTCTCACCCTCCATACCGTGCTTGATTTGCCATGTCTCGCCAATTCTTGTCTCTGGCTGCAGTTGCAGCACTGCTTCCTTCAGCCTGGAGCGCCGTAGTCGATCTGCCGGTTCATTTTTATAATACCTACGTAAGTTTCGACCGCTTAAGCATGCTCCGTCACTCCGGCTCAGCCGTCGCTCGCACAGGCGCAAGTGGAAGCCTCCATCGGAACCCCTGCCAAAACATATATGCTTCATTTTGATACCGGATCTGCCACCACGTGGGTGGTCGGCAAGGGCTGTCTGCAATGTCCTAATGGAAGCGGGTAAGCCTGAATTTTCCATTATTGTCCAGGAGGTTGGGGGTAAACGCGCGGTACTGAGAATTCCAGATACGAGCGCGTCGGCTACGCCACTGCAGACTCCTCGACCGGGGTGAATCTTGGCATCTACGGATATATCGACTACACAGGTGGCGTCACTTCGGGGCCTGGAATGGCCGATATGTTTGGCTTGCCAGCTGGCGCCCCGGGCGAACACGGCCTCCGTTGGAATCAGACCTTTATGGCGGCAGACCAGAGCTCGTGGCAATTCATCCCGGCCGACGGTTTCCTGGGCTTAGCCTTCAGCACCATCGCCGAGGCCGGAGCCACCACGCTGGTGGAAACCCTGATGAAGAAAGACCTGCTGGACGAGCCGCGCTTTGCCATCTACTACGGCACCGAGTTCAATACCACCAGCTCCGACCCCGCCGGCGTGTTCACCATCGGCGGCTCGCACGAGGATCGGTATACTGACGGCGAGCTCACCTACGTTCCGCTGCGGCAGGAGGCCGAATTCCAGGTGTGGCGCACGAACCTGTCGTCCATCACCGGCATGGGCAAGCTCGCCGGCCAGAAGAGCCGATCGACAACCAGTCAGCTGGGCGAGTATGGTCGCGCAGTGTTCGACACTGGCTCCGGGTACTTTGAAGTCCCTGCCAACGTCATCGACGACTTGTACGAATCAATCGGCATGAACTGGACCGCCATCCGCCACGGCGACCACATCCCTCTGTGCTCGGAGTTCAATTCCTCTTGGTCGGTGACGTTGAACTTCGGTGAGTCTGAGACAGACCCCAAGGTGACGATGACCGGTGAGCAGCTGGCCCGCCCCGGGTTCGCCTATCGTGATGACGCCTGTTATCCTCCCTTCGATGACAGCGGGGTGGAAGACCTGGCCCTCATTGGAACGCCCATGCTCCATCAATTCTACACCGTCTTCGACTTCGGTGCCAAGGAAGTGGCCAACTACAGTCCCCGGATCGGATTTGGAAACCTGAAGGACGAATTTAGGCCCTACTTTGCCCGCGGGGCCTAGATTGATGCCCTTCCTGTATAGAAGCCTGTTTGAAAATTCCGATGCTGTGCATACGAAACTGTGCTTTATTGTTCGTTCCTAAGTTATATCATACATCCTGCCTCCATTATCGCTCTCTTGCCTTGCTCCACCGTTGGCTCACCTAAAGGAGGATAATTTTCCCTACTTCCCACTACCAGTTCACAAAGCTTATAAGAATCTCGCAGCACATCATCCCCCGTCCACCTCGCCAACGTAGTGCCCGGCAGTGTAGTTGGTAGACGAAGTTATTAGATCAGCAGGAAAGCGGAAAGGGTTCTCAATGGAACAAGCTAATTACTAATATATATTTTATCGCCGAAAAGATCCCAACGATCCGACGGCATCTGCAACCTCATCCGAAGAAAAGCGCCCGCTAAGTACTCCGACCTATAGATTAGAAGTAGGCAATCGCTGACTTCCGCAAGATCACCCTTAATACTAAATAGAGTACTATCTGTATGTAGTATAGACTAAGTCGAGAAAGACCACCAGAAAACCGTATGTCCCCAGTCCTCCCCGTGGGGGTAGGCAGTCAAGGTTTATGCCGCTGCTGACACGGATATAGCGGGGATATCGGCTTTACTATCTAACATGAAAAATGCTGATGTAAAGCAAACTTCTATCGAAGGCCCTTGGTATAGGTTACTTATAAGCCTCCTGTCTCGCCTTTTGTAGGTTACTGATTGTGTGTTTCTTCATTCTCTTTGCCCAGCATTATATCTCAATATGACTGTCCCTGTTTGGCTTATCACAGGTGCCTCTGGAGGTCTTGGGGAAATCCTAGCCCGTCGTGCCTTGAGCGAGGGTCACCTTGTCATTGGCACCTGTCGTGACATGCGAAAGTCATCATCGGTTATTGGGCCATTACAAGAGCGAGGTATGGCTGTTATCGAGTTGGATGTAGCCGATACGCAGGACTATATCACTACAAAGATAAAACAGGCCATATCTGTATATGGCCATATCGATATCCTTGTGAATAATGCCGGATATGCAGCCCTGGGCCCACTTGAGCGTTTTGCGTATGTATCCTGAAAAATGATCCCGGTCCAACATTTTCTCCGCTACTAATACCGTTGATCCTATAGGGAAGCCGACGTTTTGAAACAGGTGAAGACAAATACCCTTGGACCTTTATACATCGCGCAGGCGGCTCTACCAAGTATGCGAGCGAGGAGGAGCGGAATGATTGTGAATGTCAGCAGCTTCGTTGGTATTCGTGGTGATGCCGCCAATGGTGTCTATGCAATCAGCAAATTCGGACTCGAAGCTTGGTCGGAGTCCCTTTCAAAAGAGGTGGACGAATTTGGGATTTCGGTCTTGGTTCCAGAATTTGGGGCGTTCCGCACAAACTTCTTGGACCATAATGTGTTCAGCCGGCCATCAAAAGACGTTGTTCCCGGATACGAAGGTAGCTTCGCAGAATCGACCTTCGACGGCATCAAGCAGGCATCCCAAAAACAACCTGGTGATCCTGTCAAAGGCGTCGAGCATCTTTTCAAAATCATCGTGGATGGGGGAAAGCTGAATGGCCAGAAGTTGTTTCGAGTTCCCATCGGAGCTGATGCCGTCAAAGTAGTTGAGGATAAAGTTGCCAGGGTGACAGCGGATCTTGAACTTGCGAGAAGACTGGAGGAATACGATAGTACGCTTCTTTGACGGCATTATGTTAATAAGTCCTAGCGTAGAAAGAAGTGAACTATATGATGATTTCTCTATACGCAACACTAACAGGAATAGCCCATGATAGTTGTCTTACAGTATACAGCCTCTTCTGTACTGAGACCTGCTGGGTTGCTGAACTCTGCAATATCTCTAGTGTTATGTAGCTTGAACGTATACCTATTTTATATCGCAAAGTCTAACTCCAAGCGATGATAGGAGATGATTATCAGTATTTAAATAAAGCACACATAATCTGACAGAGAGGCGGTAGGATAGCATTTGATATAAGAAAGATAACTGTACAGTATCTGAGTTTTGGTCTGGGGGTTTGGAGTCGGAGGATAGTCTAGTGGTGCAGTGGCGAAGCCGCTTGCAGCATTATTGCTACCTAAAAGTATATACAAACGGACCTGAAAACCTGAGCAACAGTAGCGACTGGATAGACGCCCGATGTATGGAAATTAAAATTGGGAGCAGGAGCTGAGAGAAGGAATAATAAGAATGCTGTTGGGTATCAAGAAGTTAGTCATTAGCTGAAGTCATGTACTTTTTGTTGTATAAGAAGTGAATAAAGGTGGAGTAGCCTTAAAACAACAGCATGGATAATATATATACCAATGACTATCTCTTATATAAATTTATGAAATATACCAGGGCATCTACAATATCTTGACAAAATATCAGTATAATCATAACCAAGTTACGTTAAAATAAGACGTGCTACCCCCAGTAACTATATCTCTCCTCCATACAATGTCCATGGAGATTTCCCAACAATATCTAACATAAATGGCCATATATCAGGTTGACACTCAATCCGTTTTGTACGGTACTAGATAGTAAAAGATACCTCCCAGCCCCTTTCCGGCTTCTCCTCTGGTAGATATCGGTGGTTGTTGAGACTGATACCCGGGCGAATTAAGACCGACATTAATCAACGGATGAGGTGGGTGGGTATATTACTCACGACCATTTCACATTTCCCAGCATCATATTCTTACATCCCTGGATGAGAGCTGAAATATCTGTTTTGGTGGTCTCACCAAGCTGGGTATACCGGCCACTTTTCACAAGTGAGCTTTCAGCCAAATCAAAACGCATCCGAGATTGTTGCAAATCATAGACTGCATCATTCAATGCCGCCTGGGCCGAGAGGTTCTTATTATAGTGCATCTTCAAGGGAATCGTGCTGTCAATCTGTCCATTGGCCTGCGAGCATAGTCTTCGTCAATTTATATTAGTCCTGTCCTAACTTCTCCTGATATACTCACAACTTCCTTCTTAAGTGAGACGATATCATTGACACTGCCGTCGAATTTAGCCATATACCGCATACCCATTTCAGTAATTTTTGTAGGGCCTCCTACATTATACAAGAGAATGTAGTCTCCCTGAACATGATTCTCGTCGTTTCGTGTTGGTAGACCCAACTGGGGATGTTAAGGCCCCAGGCGTACCTTTGCGAACCACTCATTAACAGCTAAGATAGAAGGCGGACGCTTCACTTACTCCATTGCCATCAGACATGGATAACCCCCAACCGAATAGATTCTGTTTTCAATGTATTCTTCCCAGCTGGGGAGGCTGACATCGCGCCGGTCTTGCACCTCGCCGACAGACTGTACGTAATCATACATTGCGTCGGCATAGCGTCGTAGTGCATCTGTAGATAATCAGCATGACGAGGCTTCTCATTGTGCCTGACAGGCAGGGACCAACCATTTGACTGTCCAGTCTGCAGAGACTTGCCAATGTCTTCAAAGCAACCTGAATTGTGACCTGCATCAGGCACAGGGCACGGTTCTCGCTCTGGGAAATATTTTTCAGGCTCTAAGCTCCATTTCAGAAAATCAATTGTGTTTTTAACATATTCTTGAGTGCCTTTGCGGTTATGTGTGAGCTCTCCGCAATCGACTTCTAATAATAATCCATTTGTATTAGTACTTCATAAGGTGAGTGGCATTTGGTGAGAGGGGGTGGTGGTTAGGGGAGATTGTAGATACCATCGTCCCAGATAAAGAACTATTGACAGATTGTTAGTCTATAACCCATTTCATTATTTAGGTTGGATTCCCAGCTAACCCAGTACATAAACTGTACCAGGGGCCTCAGCCGTTCCAACGGACATCCACTCCAGAAAAACCCGGCCTGTTGAGCGAAGTTGCCTTTCTTCAGCTTGGCCCGCTTAGTCGAGTAGGGATACCATCTTTTATCTCTATGTTAGCATAATGCCATGGTGTGCTCCATCGAAAGAGGGATATTGCCAGGGAGGTAGCATTACCGCTCGAGGAAGTCATTCTCCATCTCCTCACGGATCTCCGTCTCGTTCTCATGATTCTTCACCGTCCAGTCAGGGTAGACTAAGGCAACAAGGTCAGGTATAGTCAAGGTTCTGCCCTTTAACTGTTCCATAACCGGTTGGTGTGATTTGATGGTGACGGTCATGGCAGCGTAACTGTGAGATATGAATGTACCTAGTAGTCTCTTGATATTTAGTGGTACTCGAAACTCCGGAGAAGTAAGTGGCCTCCAAGCTCTCTGCCCAGGTATTTATATTTGCCCAGGATCCATGTTC